GCAAAAATGGACATTGGAGCTTAATTCGGAAATCATTCGCGAAGTTTCAAAGAAGACCTGAGCAGCACCAGGTTTATCATAATATCTATTTTGGATTTAGTGAAATAAAGGGGTTTTCTTTAGAAGTTTGAAGACCGAGTCCTTATTTAGGACCTTCATAGAAGAGCTTTTGGATGAAGAAGGGAAGTTCGTGAATCATTTTTGGTATAATCTGTGCGAAAACGCTCTCTAGATTTCCTAAAAAGTATCGAATTTTTTTTATGTGAAGTCACACGGATTAAATAGGTCTTGTAGCGAGCTCTACAGTACCTCAAGCTTTCTGAAAAGACCTCACTTTTTAATTGTAAGGCTTTTGGAAAAGCTTTTTTTTCTCTCAAAAAAAAACTACGGTAAATAAGTCTGACGAAATGGAGAGCCTGACTAAAAGGAGTTCTTTCAAAAGCCAAAAATAAAAGAGAGATTGGGTAAACGGCGACGGAACCTAATGAAAAAGGGCCACGTGAGGCGTTGGAAATTGGCAAGATGCCTCGAATCGCTCGTATAGTCTTTGCGTGGGTGAGTGCAACACGTTTCTATTGGGCTTTCAGAAGATTGCCTCAATTTTCGCCATTCTCGCACTCTTAGCAAATTATCTAGGTAGAGAATCTTATTTGACAAAAAAAAGTGAGCTTAAAAAGTATAGTTGAAAAAACTTTAGTTAGGAGTTTGACTTTTATGTCTGTAAAATTGAAATGGAAATCTTTGAAACTCCATTAAAGTAAGCATTTTTTGTTATCTGCCTTCTAGAAGAAACAAGCTTCTAGAGCTCAAAAAATACATATGAATTCAAAAAAACTTCACATGCCCTTTTAATGACTATACTTCAAGGCTACCTTTTGGCAAAAAAATCCTTTATAAACATTTCTGATCTAGGATCTCTTCTTTTCGCACACTATTTCGTAACACTATCTTGAGGACACAGTCTAACGTCAGCTATGGAACTATTTTTAAAATGAAGTGAAGTAGTGAGGTAAGTAAGTGTCTATCATTTTTCTCGTGTGAATTAAAAAAAAGACGTGTGAAAAAAAAATTAAGTTTACGGGGGAAGAATGAACTTTCAAGTGTGACTATGATTTTTCCTGAACAGGTTGCAAACGTGAGAAACTCTGAAAAATTCCATTTGTTTTTTCAATATCTTAGCCAGCATCATGTGGTTCACATTCCAACTTTCCTCAGACTCATGAGATTTTGTGTAATTACTTTTTTTTCGAGCAGACATATGGTCTCTGGCGGGGATCGGTCATGCAAAAAATGGTCGGCAAAAATAAAACACTGACAGCCGTTCTTTTGAAAAGCCGGAGATACTCGGAAATATTGGGAGCAACAAAGTCTTCGTAAAGTGTACAAGAAGGGAATCTGATTCGAATGGAAAATAGTGAACAGTTCCACGAACCGTCACGTTATATATGGCAGCGTGGGCGGGCGCAGTTCCCACCAAAGGCTTTCCCTTTTCCTTCCAAATTTTCTCTTTCAACTTCTCCTCTCATTAGCCTTTCGTAATGGCGGTTTTGACGACTAAAATATAAAAACTAACCTTTTGGAAAATGCGATTGGCGTTTTGAAGTGTCCTACGAGTTGTTGATGTGCGCTCCATGGCCAAAATTTTTTCTTTCGGTTGATCGACGTCGTGATTTTCTGAAGAGTTCAATGTATTATTTTCTGTCAGCCTTTCCCGTTATGGAAAGTGTTCAAAGTGATTTCGCAAAAATCAAAATGGTCGTCAGAGAGTGAAAAAAAAAAACTGAATTCAGGAAAGTCAGAGAAAAATTTTGAATTTCGCGGAAATCATTTTGAACACGGTCTTTGTTAAATAATTTTCTCAGGGTGCAAATTTACTGATAGCTTTTTCTTTTCACTACTGAAACATGTCCAGTTGCAGAAAACAACATTTCAGATGTCTAGAAAGAGAAAGTTCTGTTTCTCCGATCATAAAAAGACCCAAAAAGCTTCCAGTTTTGCTAAAATTTCAAAGGGAACAAAAAGAGAAATTTTCGATTTCTAGAGAGAACTTTATTGAAAAGCATGACGAATTTTCAGCCTTCTTCTCTTCATCGATTCATTCCGATATATAACTTTTCCACAGCGAAATAAGAAATTTATTTAATTTTGAAAAATATCATACTTGATGTATAATTGAACTCTCATAGGTAAAGCTTGCCGCAGAAATTGAGCAAGTACAAATTTTGTAGCGAAAAATTCATTGGAGCGTATCAAAATAGTTTCAAAGACGGAGGAAACAGAAAAAAAAGCGTGATAATTCATCATTTTCTCGCTTGCAGACACGGCGTTTTTTGCTCGAAGTTCCAAAACTTGATCCGGACCGTTCGTTGCGCAATCCTAGACAACGTCTGCCATTCTACATCGTTTTTTTTGAGGATAGTTTGGAATGATGACGTTGATAATCATGAAAAATCCATCCGAAAATTTAAAGGCCTGTGTCAGAGAAATTTTAAAAATCGAACACTCATACGAAACTTATTAGGAAAAACATGTGGAAAAAAAATTCTATTTCAAAGTTGATTAGTCGTTTCTAATTTTTGAAAAGGTTAAAATTTGGTCGGATATTTTTAAGACCCGAAGAAAAAGATTGTAGCGATCCAGGTAAGTTTATAGAATATACAAAAATTGGTACAGAAGCGATTTTTCAAATGTTTTAAGTTTTCAAAAAGTTTAAAACGCTTCTCTGGGGAAAGCTCAAAAACCCTCTTAAAACTCTAATTTTTCTCGACATTCCCAACTGCGACCTTTTCATCGGTGTTTGAATCACTCTTTCGAAACCTCTTTAAACATTTCGCTTTTTACCACTTCGAAAAGTATTTTCTATTTTTGAGAAGGTATGAAAAGGCATCGAGGCTTCTCTGAATTGGAGCGCCAAATGGGCGCCACAACTCTTTCACTGACATACACTATTTCGTCGTTTTCTCGCAGCTAGATAACGACGAAATAGTGTGTGTCAGAGAAAGAGTTGTGGCGCCCATTTGGCGCTCCAATTCAGAGTTTTGGATTTTTCCGATGTGAAAAGAATGAACCTTGCCAATTTCCTATGGAAAAGATGCCTTGCGCATTCTCTTATTTATTTCAAAAAAAGAAAGCGCAACAAAGACGTACAGCTGGTCAGACCGAGACATTTGCCCTTTGACACCGGTTTCGCTGCGTCAGAGCGTTCGGAACGCCGACGGCGCCAATGATACGACGAATCCAGAAACGTGTTGCGATGATGTCCCGAAAAGGTCGGCAAAGGTCTTCGGTAACCTGAAAATTAAGCCTGGAAAAAGCCTATACAACATCTAGAAGTTTCAGACTCCAGTTTCAGAATTTATGGGCTCACTAGTGAATTCTACGTAAAGTTTTCACGTTCTTTTTTTTTCAAAAGTTATCTTATCTACGAATTTTTTTCGCGCTTCAAAATCATGAAAAGTTAAAAAAAAAAACAGATCACAAACTTTCCTAATCAACACAAATACAATGATAAATTTTTTTCTAGTTTAGCTAAACTTCCATAAGTTAAACCAATACGTATACGGGTGAACCTAGATTGAAAGATTACATTTGAAACGCGATTTTTACGTTTTAGGAAACTTTTCCCGACAAGGAAGTTTTTTTATCTTCTTATTTTTTTAATCTTGATAATTTTTCTCAAAATCGGTCAAAAGAATTCCTTGATGTATGTGGTAAAAAAAATATAACTAGTTTTCAAGAAAAAAATCACCCGAAAATAGTTCCTTTTTACTTTAAACAGTTCAAATTCAAGATTTTTCAGTTGAGATTTTTTTAGGGTTCTCCCTTAACATTAGTACATCAAAGAGCAAAGAGAATTTAGAAAATTCCGCTTATCTAACATAATTTTCAAACGAAATATTAATGAAATAAAAAGCTAAAAGTATCCTTTCAAACAAATCTTTCCGTAAATCTTGAGAGATACCTGGAGGGTGGGCCTTAAAATCCAAAAACGGGTCCTGAACAGAACAAAAACTACAGTAGTCGCACGATTCACGGCGCCCACTCCTGATTTTTTTTTTCTGCATTTTTTTTCACTGCCAAGAACGCCGTGAGTGAAATAATACTTGGTGAAATAATTATAATGAATGTTGCTCTTTTAATCTTTGAAGTCCGAAGAGCTACCTGACAACACCCGTGCTTCAGCCCTACTCTAATCCATCTTATGCGCGTCTATATCATTACAAACGATTAAATTCCCCACTCACCTGGGCTACACTGTGTCATAACTTATACTTTCTTTTTCTATTTACTTACCTTTGTGAAATCCTCACCTCTTATTCTTTCATTACTGGCTCAGAGGCTCGTGAGGGCCTCAAGTGCCTTTTATTTATTTATTTCAGGCTTAATGCCAAATTTTTTTCTCTTTTTTTCTGTACATATTATTTTTGTTCTGCCTGTAAATAAATAATATTATAAAAAAACGACGCAAGACTTTGGAACAGTTCACGGCGGTCTCCGAACGAGTTTTATCAGGCCAAGTCTCGGAATGACCGGCCATCCGCAGACGCGGGATAAAAACTCGCTTCGCCACGGGTTTCGCCGACTGGCAGCTACCTTTTTGCGTCGAGATGCCGCCAAATGCCAGCGGCCACGATCTCGCAAAAAATCCAACCGACCAATGGACAGGGAGAATTATCAAAGTACTTCTTTTTCTCCGGAAAATCCAAGAAAGTTCATAAAAATTTATTCACTCTTCCGGTAAAAGGCAATATAATATAGAATACTAAATCACGGGCCCAAATAAAAGTGAGGTTTGATGTCCTTCACAGGTTTTCAGCTAATCAGCACAAGATTATTACCTTATTTTTTACAGTATGTTATTGCATAAAGGGGATTACATGAATAAATTCGAATAGGGGCTAGCGTATGAAAAATAAATTATGCGGAGATCTTACTTGATCACAAATCAATCTGGTACGAATCCATAAATTAGTAGGCAATAAAGTTTGTTCAGAAGTCAATCAATACAAGTTCAAAGCGACGTTTTCGAGTTTGCTGAGGAGCGTCGAAACGCGGTAATTCGGCTCGCACTGACGAGAAAAGTTGATCAGATCCAGCAGACTTTTGATGCCGATTCCAAATCTGGAAAATATTTTTTTTTCCTTCATTCTTTTCTGGTTTATATTTTCCAGTGTTTGGCCTTTTCGAGTCGGCTCAAATATGTCTCAGCCAAAGATTAAAAAATATCATATTCATTCATTTTTGTTTTCAACAAGTTTTTCTGGGCACTTAATCTACGAAATGGCTCGAACAGCACAACAATTCAACATATTTGCAAAAATATATCGAAAAATCCCAGAACGGAGCGCTCAAAACTAATCATATTTCTGTTGTAATCTGAGAGATTTGGAGGCGAAAAAGCTGGATTTGTTGTAAAAAAACATGCTAAAGCGAAGAGGATTATTGGTTGAGCATTCGAATTTGATTCATTTTTTAAACAGGAAAGAAATATATACTTCTCAAATTGAAAAATTCCGAGAGGGAATTGAAATCTGTTCACAAGGAAGGTTATTTTACTTCGAGATTTTAAATTTTTCGAAAAATTGCAAAAAAAAAAACAGGAGAAAGGTCCTGAAAGTTTCAATCTGCAGAACTTTCTAGTTTCCGATAAAAAAAACTTCAAAGTTTAAAAAAATCACCTAAATTCGTTAAAGTGGGCCATTTTCAGACTTAAAACCCTTATTTTTCGGAAACTAAATTTTTCAGGTCCAGGATGTTTATCTGGTACACCAAGGGAGAAGCTGGCAAATTTTCAGAAAATTTCCAATCAAAAATAAAAACGATCTATTTCCTATCTAAGAGTAGTGATAACGAGTCCATATCAAACAAATCTAGCGTTTTCGTGACCTTTCAGAATTCATCCTGATAGAAAATCTTAAAGTTGAAAAAGTACATGATGAGAGTGTGTCTGAGAGAAAAAAAAAACATTTTTTTCAACTTTTCTCATTTTTTCAAAGCTCAAAGCAAGGTCGCGAAAAAAATCAGAGAAATAGGAAATCGATAAACTTCAAATGCTATTTGCCCGGAAAAGCCTGATCAATACCACATTAATTTTTTTGTGAAACTCGGAAACAAATAAATGATTCCCAAGCAAAAAGAAAACTGACGCTTTCTGCTGGGCGAGGAACTTGAGCCGTTGCTCGAGCTCGTTCAACTCGTTCTCATTGAAGGCCTTCGAGTCGCTGAGCACGTTGACGATGTGCTGCGGCTCGCTCAGAAGAGGGACGTCGATGACGTGGCCTGAATTGCCCAAGAAGATGAGAAAACACTCGGAATTTCTTGCCGAAAGCATTGATGAGCTCGAGTTCGCGGAGGAAAGAACGATTGGAAGACGTCGCCAAAACGAGGAGTTTGTGGTCCTGGAATCAGGAAATATTTCTTGTTAAGAGTTGGATTTTCCGAGCCTAGCTCACGAATGTCTCTTCACTTTAAGCTTTACATTTTCCGAAAAAATCTCAGAAGTTTGGGTGCCTAGATGAATGAATGAATGTTTATTTCGCTCACAGACAGATCTGTGGCGTGGAGGAAGAGAACCATGAAAGTTATATTTGCCTCCACTTCGATAAAGTTCCACTTTAATCTAAAAAAATATTTTTAGGTCGAAATCGAAGAGAATCAAAAAAAGAAAAGTAATCTATAAACGAGTTGAATCATTTTTGTGAAATTTGCAGCTTCCTTATCAAAAAAACCAATTTTTTTCAAACAACTTTTAAATCTTCTTTGGTCATCCTCAAAAACCATAACTCTGTTTAAGCCGTTCCAGTATTGATACACGCGTTGCGTAATAAAGTTATAGTGAACATGATGGATTGGTGGTGGTTCGAGTTTCAAGGCCGTTGCCTCTCAGTTGGTTTCTGTCTATTTGATATCGTTTGTAATTTGAATGGAGATGGACACCAATAATAGCCATATATGAACTGATGTGTGATTATGATATCTTTTCGCAGACGCCTTGTCCATAGAGTGTCTAGAGAAAGGGATTTTAGTCTTACAGCATAGGTTTCTTTTGGGAGAAGCCGTTTGGTGAATTTTCTTTGAACCGATTCTAGCCTGTTTATGTCAGATTGGGTTAGTGGAGAGAATAGCTCCGATCCATACGATCCATACATGAAGATTCCATATACTTAATATTTGCAGGATTTTCTTCTAGTTAGTGTCAAAACTAATCAGGATCGGCAGAGTGGTCCCTTTAGGGGTTAGGGGGAGGAGAGGTGCTATAAAAGGCAAAAAATTATCCCTATAGAGTTCTTCAGAAATATCCTTCAGAAATGCGAATTTATTCAGCTTTTCGTATGGAAATGCTTCTTCTCATAGTTGATAACAATAACCGACAAACAGGCCACTAACTAAAACCCCTATATGGACCACTTTTGCAGGGTAAAGTGGCCCATATGGCGGAGGTAGAATGGTCCCTAGAGGGGAACCTTCAAGGGTCCTGGGTTACCCATATCATATCTGGACCACTCTGGAGTTTTTATGAGCGTCTTTTTTGGTTGGAAACCTAGCTTTTTACGCGATTTTTGAAATTCTCCAAAACTGGGATTTTTTAAAGCGACTATGATAAACACCTAGGGGCCATTTTTTTTCATAAATTCCTTAAACTTAATTTTCAGCCAAGTCTAGAAGCGTTCGATAAAACTATCTTTCTTGAGATCAACTTTTTTTTTTTGAATTCAGTCGCCAGCTTTACGAACTTCAACGTACCCCTTTAATTTTGATTTTCTGAGATTATTTTCTTCCTAAGATGAATAAATAAATAAATAAAGATCAATTTTTCTTGGGCGACATCTATGTCTACATCAAAGACCTAAGTTAACTCAAAAAATCAGTTTTAAATAAACTTTGAATGAATAAACTTTTTTATCCGTTGAATCTTTTTAGGGCTTCAAAAACCATCAAGAATTGCTTGAAAATGTATCTTACCGGCATCGGAGGCTCGTTCAATAGAATGAGAAGAGCCTGGAGGACCAAATTCGAGTATCGAGGGCCGACCGGAGAATAATCTTAACACGAAGATGACGGAATCGTTTTTGGGAGGACAAAACCTAATAATCGCTCAAGATTGTCGATCAGCAAGACACTGAGTTTCGACCGTTTCGCGTCGTCGAAGGCCTTCCGGAGGGCTTGGCACTTGGCCGTTTCCGAGAACCCGACCATGTCTCCAGGCGAGACGACCTTCAGTTCAAAAATAAGATCAGCTGCCTCTTTCTTGGGGAAGGGTTGATTGAAAAAGTTGGAATATCTTCCCAAAAGTATTTTTGAACACAGAAACACAGAATTATGATTAAAATATGAAAAAGAACCTTGGTTATCAAGATACGAGACTTTAAACCTATAGAATACTCAGGAAATGTTTAAAAAAGTAACGTGAACCTTTAAAATCAGTGTTGATTAAAAAAAAAGATATTGTTAAATCAAGATGAAAGTATTTTTCTTGCCTAAAACCCACTTTAACAAACGGAAATCCGGAGTTTTTGGCGATTTGAGCGGCGAGACAAGTTTTCCCGGACCGGGGAGCTCCTTAAAGAGAAATTCATCCTTTTTCTCAAAAATTTCGTCATTTACCGGCCAGAACGGCCGTAACGGAACCACTGTTCTCGGGATTTTTCGCACTCGCCACCAACAAATCGCCTTCTTCGAGGATATTCGTGACCTAAAATCAAATTCTCATTATTGAAAACTCGAGATATTCCTGAACCTCCTTGCCCCAAACGAACATTCCGCGGTCCAAAAACTTGTTCAAAGATTCGTCAGAACGTCCGAATGCCTGGAATGTGGATTTGAAAAATTAAGGACTGATTTTGGAGATTCAGACCGGCTTGATGTCGTTCTCCAAGGCGTAGTCGAAATCTTCACCGTTGATCATCAGCTTTTCGATCGCGTCAGGGTCAAGTTGCACCTTTAAAATGAGTCAAAAAGTCGTTTTGATAATCAGTTTTTCCATACAATTTTTTTCAAAAATTTATCCTGTCGTTATCAAAATAATCATCTCGATATTTTTACAACTACACCTGTTACTGCCAGAACTATACAAAAAAATTGACTACTGTCAAGTTGCTCATTCTGCTAACAAACTGTACGCAAAGTTTATTCTAATATTTTTTTCATTATAATTAACTTCTCTTGATTCTACTCTAAACAACTTTTCTTCCTGATTTTTCCTCTTTTCTCCTCCTGAGTGAGACCTTACAAACTTGCATTTTTTTTTTTCAAAATGCGAGAACTTACTTTGCCGCCAGCTTTGACGAGACGATTCATGGCACTGGATTGCGCAGCCCGCACAAGACCTTCAATTTCAGCACCCGAAAAGTTTTTCGTCCGTTTGGCCAACTCCTCGAGATTCACTTGAGGGTCCAGTTTCTTATATTCTCTGAAAAAAAGTTTTGTAAAAAAACTATGAACGTAATTATTCAATTTTTAAAAAAACATTTTTAATTTGGTTTATAAAATTTTACTGAGCCAACCTTCTTTTTGCCAATCAGCTTCAAAAAGGTAAATTAAAAATGAATCCCTCATTTTTAAGCATTTGGAGGGTTTCTCACAAGTACATCTTCATACAAAAACTAAAACGTCAGAAGCAAAAAAATAATAAAATATTTCTTAAGAAAAAGTAAGCATTCAGCTCAATTTTAATCTAATACGAAAAAGGACTTTTAATGAAATTCCAAAAATTCCTCCTATTTTTGGTTGAATGGTTTTTTTTCAAAATTTATAATAAATTTATTGAAAAAAAATGAGATGAAAAAAGCCACGAGAACTAAAATTTTGGTTGTTTCTTTCTATTTCAGTTCGCGGAACTCGTATCCAGCATGAAAAATGGTACCCTCAAATCTCAAATTTTAAATCTTTTTACAAGAAATAATGCTAAACCGCATTCGTGCAGTGTGGATCTTGATGATTTGAAGCCTTCCGGTCTCGTCGGGAAGACTGACCTCCATCTGGACCTCGAGTCGGCCCGGACGGAGCAGAGCTTCGTCGATCATATCCTTTCGGTTGGTCATTCCTGGAAGTTCTCCAGTTTTTTGGTTGATTCCCGTACGAACCGATGACGAGGATGTTGTTCAACTGTTCAACGCCGTCCATTTTCGAGAGCAACTGATTGACGACTGTGTCATGGACTGAGGAGCTTCCTGCCTGAAAATCTCACGCTAATCTCCCAAAAAGAGGTGAAAATTAGAACAAGGTCATCTAAACCCAATCGAATTAATAATGGTACAAACTGAAGTTCTTTCTAAAAGCGCATTGCTGCTCTTTTCATATCTCTAGGAACGATACGACCAATCGTTTTGAGACCTTGTACTTTTTATTTGATTATGATCACATTTTGAAAGGATGGCCATTTTTTCTCGACTTTTTGACACCGTATGGAAATTTTTGAAGTAAGCTACAGCCAACAGAAATTCACTCAAACTTTTTTTTTCTCCGCCAAGCCGGACTTTTGACCAAAAATGAAAGAACTTTCGCGAAATCTTAATATCATGAAAAAAAAGGACCATCGAGCCTCGCTGCTTGCAAATCGCGTCGATTTCGTCGAAAATGATGATGTGAAGCCCGGAATTGGCGCCACAACGTCGCCACTCTTCCTCGGCGTCGGCGAACAGTTTCCTCACGTTGGATTCCGATTCACCGACGTACTGAAATACAAAAGTTTGCATAGAACTTGATGAAGACTTTTGACAAGAAAAATTGAGTTTCTTCTTACTCTTTATTTGATTTCCTGCCAGAAATGAGAAAGCTACTTTCAAAAAGAAAACTCTTCTTCTTTATTTTTGGTTTGTTTTATTTGTTATTTCACTAGGTACTAAATTAAATTATGACAAGTTTGAAAGCCGCAGTCCCCTTTAGAATCTGATTCATCAGAAAAATAAACGAAAAATAAGTTATATTTTTCTTGCATTGTCCACGCAGAAATTTTTCAAGATTTTTCAAAAAAATTCTCCCAATTCAAACCACCTTGGAAAAAAACCCGTTTTTCCACACCCAAATATTTCCCCTCCAAAACTGAACTATTCAAAAAACTTTGCCGATTTTTTAAAATAAACATATTTTTCTGGGAAGAATAGTCAAAGTGAGGAACTTTTGCCAGTAAAACTTTAGATCCTTCGAGATTTTCGCATTTTTAGATATACCTTGGACAGACTAATAGAATTGAATAAATACTTCGATTTATAAGAAATGAGAAACTGTGAAGTGAATGAGGCGCGAAATTGTATTGGATGTTTTTGATTTCTCGAACCTTGTCCAGAATCTGAGGGCCGTTGACAATCTTCGCCTCCCGGGCATTCAACATTTTGCCGATTTGCCGGGCCATCAGAGTTTTTCCGGTTCCGGGCGGACCAAAGAGCAAGATACCGCGCACGTGTTTCATGGCTGAAGTTACAAATTTGATTTTCTCCGGGTATTGAATCAAGAAACCAACCGAGTTGTTCGATGAACTCTGGCGGAAAAACTCGGGAGGCGAAAGCGCGTCGGAAAATTCCGGAGAACTCCTTGTCAAGGCCGCCGATTCCCATCTTTTGGAAGTCCCAGTCGGGATTGATTATCGATCGGTACGCTGATTTCCTTAACCGTAACTGTTTCGATGACTCAAAACTCGCTTTTAAGGTTATTAATCTCAGAAAAAAACAATTCCAAAAATAAAGAAAAAGGCGAACAAAGACGCGTTTTTTTACATTTAACGAGAGGATGTTGCGAATTTAAAATAAACTAAATTTAAGCTTATCTGAAAAAAATATGAAAGTCCTTTAAAAAAATCATTATTAGTGTTTTTTTCGGAAATCGATGATTATTGCCTTAAAACTATCAAGATGAAATGCTGAAAAGATCTTATAAAAAAAACCTGTAAAAAAAGATTTTTAAAAAAATTTAGCTTCCTCCAAAAAAATTTTCAAGGTTTTTTTCACAGCTAATGAAAGGATGTCTTGAAACTAAGTTAAACTAATTTTATGATTATCTGAAAATTCCAAAGTTCCTTCATGAAATTTGTGTTGCTTCTCTTTTGAAGATATCATACAGATTTTTCAAAAAAAGAAAAAAACTTTGAAAAATCTATTTGAAGCTCCAAAACATCAGAAAAAAAACTGGCAAGAAAAAATTACTCCGCCGAAAATTTTAACAGTGTTTTTAAAGTTGAAAAAACACAAACCCTTTGCTTTTTCCAATCAAGTTCAGCATGGACCCTTCCTCTTTGTCGAAAACAATTGCCGAATTCGGCAAAAGTTCGCCGGCATCAACCTGGGATATATTTTTGATTTTCATCCAGAAAAAGGAGAATTTCTACCTGCATAGGCTTGGCAGGTGGCCCGTCGCCATTGACCGCTTTTGATAGATCGAATCCTGAAAAAATTATTAAGTAAAATTAAAAATAGAAAAATAACCTTCAAGAGACTTGACGACAAGAGAAAGCATGTGAGTTTTGGCCTTTTCCTTGTCTTCGTATTTGAAAACCAACAGAGAGCCTCTGGAAAATACAATTTGAAAAATGGAGGGACCATTTCGGTAATACTTGCAGAAGGACTGTCCAGCGAATTGCATCGAGAATTCGCGAGCCATAAAATCGGCATTCAGAGGTTCCGGAGTCACGCTGAACAAGTTTTCTGTCATTATTTGAGGCAGGAAATTCGGAAATACTTTTTCTTGCTCTGGAAATCGGCGGAGACGACGATCGAGCCGATGTACTCGTTCGTCTGAAGTTGATCAAGCTTCGAAATGTATTTCAAGTCTTATAAACAACTCGAACAAAACCGGAATGGTGGATAATGGTCGCTAAAGGGGAGAGGCTCAAAAAAAGGCCGCAAAAAGGCAGCAAAAAGAGTCGACCTATCGAGCCTTTTTTCTGTGATTTTGAAGGCTCAAGAAATGGTGGAAAAGGGGAGAGGCAGCAAAAATGGTGCATGAAAGCCGATTAAATGGCGCAAAAGGGAAGCAAAAAAGGGAGCCTTCATCACCCTAAAAGAAAAACTTCTATGGAGCCATTTTCCACCCTTTCCAACTTTACCGATGAATAATTTTTTCCTCGATTATTCACTAACCTTTTGGTGTTATTTTTGAGTTTCCCAATTCAGCGCTTCTTTTTTTAACTACCTTCCCCTTTTTATTTTTTTTAATAAAAAAAAAATGGATCTTTGATGCATTTTAAAGGCTTTCTGCCGTTGTAATCTGTTCAATAAAATTTTAAAAAAAATGAAAAAAAAACGCGAAAGTGGATAACCCTTTTTCGTAGTGCTGATCTTTTAAATCTATTTTTTCGTCTCCTTACAAAAAAATTGCAAAAAAAGTTTTAAATTGAGATTTTTTTTTTCAGAGTCAGTTCTGATCTTGAGAAAGAAGTCACTTGTAAACCGAAAATTTTTTCCTTCACTCAGAATGAGCAAAATATTCTTCTAAAAGAACTGACGGCAAAGGAGTGAGCCGTGACGTCGACCTCCTGGTCCAACGACAGGGCCGCCCATTTTCTCTGGGACATGGCGAAGCCGACTTCGCCGCGTCGCATCGAAGAATCGTTTTTGATGGAGAAAATGAACCGGTGAGCCGGTCCCGTACGCACCATTATGTGTCTGGAAACACAGTTTTATGGTTTTGTTTCGAAATTGAAATTTTTTTTCTTGGTTTCTTTTTTCAAGTTTTCTTTTAAATTTCTTCTCATCAAGTGTAAGCCAACTGGAGATTTGTAATTTAAAACAAAAACCGCGGTAAACATTTCAAATATGGCTGAAAAAAGCACTCGCGCAATCAAAAAAATCTATCGACAGCCTTTTTTAAATTAAATTCAACAGACTCATCAACATCACCAATATTTATCAATATTTATTGGTTGTTTTAGTCAGATGGAATCGACTAGGCGGTGATAAAATAAATAAATGAAATTTATTGAAAAGACGCATTCATACCAAAAAAAAATATTATTCTCAAATTACATTGGAGAAAAAAGAAATGAGAAACTTTTACAGAACTTCAGAGGTATCTTAACTCCTCTCCATAGAGCAAAAATATGTCAGCTAATTGAGCCTCGTCAACTTGAAACTTGTTTTTTCAATGCTATTGTTTTTTTTCGGCTAAAAATTTTTGAGTCTTTTTAATACTACATAAAACTATCACCATTAGAAGATTTTCATTCCAAGAGAAATTTCTACGATCCCTAGGGAATCTTCTCGTTTATCGCGCAAAAATCGCAATTTCTCCCGTCACATGAAAGAATCATGATGATGTTTGTGAGACGAACTTGGTCCCTTTGGCGTCGAAATCGTCTCGGCTGACGATGGCGCAGTTGGTCGTCGCCAACTCGTCAGTCGGCACTTTCCGCACCTTCATTATGGTCATTTTACCTGAAGATCACCTTCTTAAACAAATCCTGACTGTTTCAACTCGGCTTTTCAGAGTAATCAAACGAGGAAAATATGGAAAATAGTACCAGACCTGCTAGACCAAGAATGAAAGCTCAAAACAAAGAGAGCTCAGAAAATAATCAAGAATGAAAGCTCACAGAAGAGCTATCGAAATTTTGGCAGCAAGAAAGTCTAAAGAAAACTAGGTTGACGTAACTTTTACTTATACAAAAATGCAACAAAAAAAAACAAGGACATAATACTAATTTTTAATTTGGAACGAACGATGTCTACTCAAATATGTACCCAAAAAATAGAGTCACAAGAGAAAAAAAAAAGAGAAAACTGAAGAGAAATCATGCTTGACGACGCAGAAAGGAAGTATGAATGCGCAGATGAGAACAAAAAAAGAGAAGCGATGGCGATGAAATGAGCGGAAGACGAGCCGACTGAGGGAATGGGCACCAACTCTCAGAGAGAAGCGAATTTCTGAGGCTTCGGCGCCGGAATCGATAGAAGGCCTTGCCAGACTTCGTTTGTGAAAGAGAAATCGCCGAAAAAGGTTTTTCCGGCAAGTAGGTTTGTGTGAATGGCTTTTCTATGAGAATTGGTTGTTTTGGACACGCAACGGGCCCCGATGAAATGCATTCCAAGAAATACTGAAGAGGGATACTTGAGCACAACGAGGAATGAAATTCTTCAGGTCAAGCTCTTGTTCGTAGTTATTAAAATTCAGTAAAAATCAACTACCATAAAAAAAAACTATTTTTTGTCACTAAGTGAGTTTAAAAGAATAGAGCCAGAGTGTGAGATGAATAACGAAAACTTTGGAAAGCCACAGATGATTAAAAATTCACCGAAGTTACTCCCAATGCGACATTCACTCGCCTCGTGCAGAAAGTGCTATCGTGGAAAATAAACCGTGTACATAATAAACTCGCTCTGGAGCGCGTTTGTCGTTCCCAGCGCCCAAAAAAAGAGCCTTCATCGTTTAGCATTCATACGCGATAGATCAAAAGCTAGGAAACGCCATTCCGAGAGTAAATGGAAAAAAAAATGCGGTAGAAAATGTTGGGCGATGATAGATTCGAATTGAATACCTTTCAACTATACCTAAACATCAGAATAATTCCAACGATATGATGTACGACAAAAATAACAAGCTTTGAAACTTTTGAAAAAAAAAATCCCAGCCAAATTATCCACGCTTTTCTTCCTAATCCAAAATTTAAAAAAAATTCAGAGTATTCAAGATTCTTTATAAAATTGAATGAGATGTAATTGAGTCTATTCCGAGTATGTGAACTTCAATTTAATTCCGTTGTCGGCTTATTAGCAGGCTTCAAAAAAACTAAGATTGTATTTTTATTTTTAATGATGTGATGGAGTACACGCCTATCTTCTGAATCTCTCAATCTTCTAAAAATTTCTTTGAACTTCGGAAGATGAAAATCTCCCTTATTGATATAAATAAAACCTGTTTTTTGCGTTGAAAGTAATCTGCCCATAAGGTAAGTCAAAACTTAGAGCCCTTTTGAAAGACTGATCCGTATGAATCTTGATTGACTGCTTTATTCTGATCCGCCGTGTCGATAATTACGCCCCATTCTGCATGAACACACTAATACGTTTAACAGTTGAAGAAGGAAATTTTAACGTTTTTTTTTTTATCGCTTCGGGGGCTACTCCAGTCATCTTTTTCGCGAAGGAGCGCGGTTTACCGGAGTGTCGTAGTTTTTGAAAGATTCCGCGTCAATAATTTTTCAAAACTCGCATTCATATTTGTCATTTTAAATTTCTAAAGCCGCGTTGAGAATTATTTTGCAACGCACGAGAAAGTGGTCGCGAGATTTTTTTGTATTTGGTTATTTTTTGAGTTGATTCTTTAATCTACTTTGTGCGTCGCGAAATTATCTTGAACGAGCTACAATTTTCGCCGCTCAGGAGTTGTTTTCAAAGTCGAAAAAATTTTCTAAAACATCTTTGTTCTGACAAGCTTTCAAAAATCGTATCAAAAAAGCAATTGCAAAAAATTGCAAAAAAGCAAAAGAATTTTCATTTTTTCTCACTTAGAAAACAACTCAAAGTATTCAAAACGGTTCAAAGTGCAACTTTTTGAAAGTTTTCGTAAATGTCTGTTGAAAATCCTTACTGATCAAAAAAAACCTTATCATTTTGTTCAAATGAATAGTTAATTTAGAACTTTTTGTTTAATTTCGTTGTCGTGTCGCGTTTTTATTGAAAGGAAATAACACGAACATTTGCCTCTCCCATCCGTCATCATAGTATTGTCCTAACGCTAGACAACTTACTCAGGTTCTTGTAAACTGCAAAAAAATGGATCCCAACAATGGTGCTTCTTACGGAGGCTACGGATACGGAGACGCATATGCGGCGACCAATGACCCTAACGAATCCGTACGTTCACGTTCCAAACTAATGAAGAATATTTTGTATCGTTGCTGAAACGGGTTGAAGTGATGTTACTGGTTGTTGATCTAAGGTGCAAGTAAATTTGAAAATTTCTTGTTTCGTCTAAAATATTTTTTTTCATAAAAAATCCGAAAAAAAATTTGTGCCTTAAAAGATATTAAACAGATCCGATACCCGATTCATTTTCTCAGCAATAAAATATATTGAATTCAAGAAAGGAGGTTTGGACGTCACCGTACGGTAGAACAGGCGGAATGCTTTGTTTTCTTTGAAAGCATACCGCCTGACAAAAATGATAAGTATTGATGATTGAAAGAATTATTTAAGTTGAACTACGGATGGCCTGCGGCAGGAGTCATGAGTTCTATGTCGGAGGGACAGGCTCCTTACCAACAATCGAGCGGATTCCCACTAAAGGTTCAAAATTCATTTAGTTATTCAAAGGAAATATTTTAACAGAAAAGTAAAAACGGAATTTCAGGGTTCTGGACGAGGATTCGTCGCCCAGGGCGGTTCGTGGGCACCTCCGCCGACTCGAAGTTCTTTCCCTCGCAAAAATGGTCCCCCATTTGGCTGGAAGGTCTCTCCATAGTTGAAATTCACTTTTTATAGATGAAAAAAATGCGCCAAAAAATTCTTTTTTAAAAAAAAGCAGAGACGAACATTTCTGTCGTGAAGTTCAGTAATACAAAACCCGAAATTTTCCAGTTGCTGAACTAAATTCCGCTAAAATTTGATAATTTTATGTTTGAGGCTTTTTTCTTGTTGTGATGCATAGCATCAAAAAAGAAATTGCATTTTTCAGCACTTGAAATTGATTTTATCGCTTCAGAATAACGTCCAAAAGAAGTCGGATACTCAAAAACGCGTGGAAGCCGCTGGAAAACTCCCCGCCATGCTGCTCCACGAACTTTTCCGCAACGTCACCGAAGAGTTGGTTATTATTCTTTTTAGGAGTTATTCGAATAAGAGATGAACTTTTGTTGTTTCAGCTACCAAGAAGTTCAGTCAGTCCCCAAGAAGTATCGGTGCAACATCACGATCAACGGACAGCAGTTTTCCATGGAAGCCGCCAACAAAAAAGCAGCCAAACACGTAGATTTCCAAGCTATTTTCTGTCGTAAAGGCTCAATTCGTTCACGAAATATTTAGAATTAGTAGTTCTGGAACTTGATTCTTTTTCATTTTTCTTCGTTTGTAAGCATTATTCAAATTCTAAAAAAATGTTTGAATTTTTTTGCGTTTCTGGGGTTTTATGACAGTAATTTTTTTGTTTTGATTTTTGAAAAAAATTACTTTTAAAAACACAAGGAAAAAAATAGCCTTATATTTTTTTCCAATAAGAAAAAGAGTTTTTTTGTGAAATTCCATGTAGAAATCAAGCCAAAAAAAGCTCTGTTTTTTTGAATTTTATAATTTCTTTTTAGGGCATTTGTGCGTTTAAAATTGTTTTGAAAGCGAAATTAAAGCTGTTTTCAGAGTAATTCTCGCGAAATAAGAAATTATCTCTGCTTTTTAATATTCAGATATCTTTTTCACTCTCTGGCGGCTATTTTAAATGTTTCGATATCACTTTTAACCCGGTACAATGGTTCCAAAATCGATGAGCTTTGGCCTTTAACTTGAAGAAAAGATTGTTTCTCGGTGTAAAGTATGGTTTTTTAAGCGCGCTGCGGAGCTGGCCCTCCGGTCTCTCCGACCCGACCTTCAGGTCAAGCCTTACGAAGAAGGAATCACAACCGTGCCGACAAACGCCGTCGCAGCGAAAAGACCGGTGAGGAACGGTTGTTTTGCGCGAATCTTAGGAGGGAATCGGCTCTCGTCTAGCACTAGATTGCTTCCCACTGTCTTGCTCTTCTTCCCAAATATCATGCTCATCTATTCAGGTTATTCAGGCTGCTGAACCTCTCGCGCAACAACACGAAGGCGCGAAGAACAACGTCGGCGGCAAGAAAATTAAGGTTTTCCCCTCAATTATCCAATAAAGTTCCTAATTTTCCTGTCTTTTTCTCAGCTCTCTCCCCTGGATTCGGCACTCTCGCTGCTGGACTTCTTTCGCAAACTGTGTTCTGATGCTGGAGCCGCCTTCGCGCCGGTTTTCGACTGTGCCCCCGTCGGGAAAACCGATAGCCCCACCGACAGCCAAACCGAGTACACGTGAGCGCTGGTTCTTTTGGAAAATACAGCAGATGGAATCAATTAAAAAAAGAATTCGTGAAAATTCATTTTTTGGGAACAGCTCCACTATTAGAGCGATAAAATTGTAGTTTCGAAGAACTTTCGAGAAAACCTACGTTAAAGCTTTTTACTGGCCGAGTTCATTCCTAACATTTCGTAACAAAAAAAGCGTTTGAAAGATTTTTACCTTTTTGAATCACAAGTTTAGGTCGAAAATAACGGGAAATAGTTTCACTTACCATCAAAAAGAGGTTTTTTGTGAGTGATTCCAATCCAGATTTATTTTTTTGCTTTCAGCGGTACGACTCATTGTGTATAAACATTCACACTGAAAAAGGGTTTTTGAAGTTTTCAGGGAATTATAGTTTGACTGAAAGGCGAAAGAAACTTTTTTGTATTGATATGAGATTATATAACAACTTTATCGCCGATAATTTTTAACTTTTCACTTAAATTTAACTTCTCGAAAATCCGCTGAAAGTTTTTTTATATTTTTTTGACAGTCCTGAATCGTTTACGAGATGTAAGGATAGTTTTTGACACATTGACAAAAATTTAAGAAGAAAAACCTAGATATTTTATAAATAATACCAATTCTAGTGTGACACTGCTTTTGTCCGCACAGTAGGTTCTCAAATATTCAAAAGCTGAAAAGTCCGAACCTTGACAAAAATTACCTAGAAATCTTGGAAAACAGACAACTTTCCAGTGTGACGCTGTCTTTCCCGGCGCAGCAGCGAACTTACACAAGAACCGGAAAAGGGAAAGCGATGCTCAAGGACTTGGTCATCCGCGAGGTTTCCCGAATCTTCGAATCTTCAGTTATGAACTCGGCTATTTTCCAGGCTCTTCAAGACTTTTTCAAAATTTCCGACGCCGATATCCGCTCGGTGATCCGTCGTAATCTGTGCAATAAGATTCAGACGGACATTCCAATTGTTCAGGTTTTTTCGACCAAATTTAAAATTTGATAGATGGAATAATTCAGACCTTGCACATCGTGTGTGACTTGTCTCATTGCGACGTAAAGTTTACGGTAGGAAACCACTGATTTTTAGTAATATTCAAATGCATTTTTTCCAGTTTGATACACCCGACAATATCCCGCTGGGTACTGGTCCCACTCCTTATATCGCCGTTTGCAAGATTATCGATCATTCCGGTTAGTTTTGGGCATTTTTTAATGAAGAACGTGGTTAATTAGTTTTTTGAAAGTTTAGGGAAAATTTTTCGATTTGTGAAAATACTAGAGATTTTTTATAGCTCATCCATTCTTTGAGAACTTTCGGCTTGACAATCTCGTATATTTTCTGATTCAAAGTGTTAACTTAGCTTGTAGTAATCAAAACCCTTAACTGTTTTGAACTTTTCACTTTTTTAAAACTTCATTTCGTTCTTTCAATCAGAAACAAAACTTCAAAACAAAAGTTTTCCGGAGAAAAAGTTGGAATGTTGACGATCACATGTAGATGAACTACGAAAGTGAAAAATGTAAAATGAAGTCACAATTAAGAAGCAATTAATAAAAAAAGATCGGCTAGATAGTCATTTTTCTTTGATTTCTTCAAAATTTGAAAAGAGCGATTTTTCCAGAAGGAGATAAAGAAATTTCCTTCAAATCGGAACCGGCCGGATCGAAACACGAGGCCAAGGAACGCGCCGCCCTTCACATGCTCAGGTTCATCATATCCAGAAATGCTTCTAATTTTTTTATCAGTTTTTTTAAAGCGAAAAAAATATCAACTATTTCTCACTTCGGCATTATATTTTGTTGCTAGAACACGAGCGCGTTTTTTAGCTCCTCTGATTTTTTTAATTAAAATTTTTTGTTAGAGCAAAATCTATAGTTGATGCATTTTGACTGCTTCCTGTCGTTATAACTAATTTCGATGAAGTTCGAAAACGAAATTTAAAAAAAAATCCTAACCTCCTAGCACCAATTTTTGTTATTAATTCTACCTCTGACAGGAGCTATTTCGAAATCGACCCTGTCTCAAAAGTCGGAGATGAAAATCAACAGGGCCAAGCAGTTCAGGGCCCTTGTCAAATCTTGAACATCATGTGGACCAGGCGAAACAAGGTAAAATCATCATCTACCTTTTTTTATTTAAAAAAATATTTTTTTCTCAGAAAGCAGCTGCCATCAAATACGATTTCACTGACCTTTCCCTCAACAACATGCCCAATTTCTTGTAAAACCATAAAATTTTGGCATTTTTAAAGAATTACTTTTTAGATGTTTCTGCGAGGTTGAAGGCGAAAAATACCAAGGCGAAGGTCGATCGAAAAAGTTGGCGAAAAATGCGGCTGCGACGGAGGTCCTCAGGGCTCTCTTCAAGGTTTTTCGAATTCTTGGCCAGGAATAATGAAACTTGAGTTCAGTACGAATATTCCGTGGACGGACCTTTGCCGCCGGAGTTGGCCCCGAAAAAACATTCAGATAAACAGGCGGAAAAGAATTCTCGATTTGAGGGAGCTGTCGTTTCTCCGCTGTAAGTTTTCTGGAGAAAAATGAGTTTTTTGAATTTCATTTGAATTGATTACATACATCGGCTGGATCCCACCCCAGCGTTTTTGCGCGCGAAAGAAAATTTGAAAATATACTGGAGTAGGCCGCAGTTTGAGGGGGGTAGGCCGCACTCCCGGGCGGGATCTAGCCGACGTATGATTGATTAGGGAGTCTGTGAAAATTCGGAGTTTTCAAGAATAAGAACTTCATTGTGGCAGTAGAAAGAGGGAAGTTGAACTATTTTCAAACGAAAAATTAGACAGAAGTTTGAAAAGGTCGCTTTTTGTGAACGTCCGTCTTTATTAAAAAATCTGTGAAAATTCGAAACTTCCAAGAAAATTGGATGAGAATTTCAGAGTGTCAGTAAAAATAATGAGATCGAAGTAAAAAGTTCAGTAAAGAGCCAGAAATTTAAAAAGACTTCTGTGAACGTTCGTGGCAGTTGAAATTTTCACCCATCATATCCGAATTTTTCAAAAATTTTGAACTTTGGCCTTAATGCGTAACGAAAAAAAATCACTAAGGAATTTAATTTTCGACCTAAACCTTTTTTTTAGTTCCTATGTATATTTGATTTCTAGAAGCCAGTAATGAAATGAAGTAAAGGGATATGGGTATTCCAATAGTTCAACATAAAATAATTTCAAAACTAACTGTGACCATATTTTCCGACAAAACGTTTGACCCTACCTCGACTCCTTCAAACGCAGCTACTTGCAGGTGCACGGAAATCTTGGAGTTCAGCAAGCAGAAGTACTACGACATGTGTTCCGAGTTTCGTATTGGAATGAGCACTCAAATGGCTTGGTTGGACTTTTCCTGTTCTAAGAAGACCTCGAAAATGTTGCAGCTTCTTCCTCGTGAATGAGAAAAATGAGAAACGTCTTCTTTCGATCGGCTCCTCGGCGCCGACCGTCATCGACGTCGGCACGTTGACTTCGGCCAAAGGCAACAGCATCGTCCATCTCGATCCCCTCGTCTTGGCTCGTCGTGGACTCGTTCGGTTAGCCTGAGAAATTGAAAAAAAGAAAGAGCCGCGACGAGTTTTCCATTTTTAAAGTAGCACCCGCGGATGCTACCGCCGATCGCCCGTTTGACCCCAGCCGAGCATCCGAAACACAATTTTTAGCCGCGTATAGACCATACATGGGATAAGCATGGCTAGCAACAGCCAAGTCCTTCCACCCCACGCCCCCTTGCTCCATGCTCAAAGAAAAAAAATTTCATCATTAATAACTAAGAAAAATCGCTTGTTCGATTTTTTATATAAGATCGGACTAGCGCCGCCCTGAAAATTTTGTTTACTTTTTTTTATCGCACAATCGCCCAAATATGTTTCTTTTTTTCCGAGTATCAAACAAGAGAAAATAAAGAATGATTCAGCCATTTTCCTATACCTCACTTCAGGTATCTGATGTCGGAGGTCGAACTCGAAGCGCAGGACCCGACGCAAACGATCTTCCTCCGCGGCGCTGATAACAAGCTCAAGCTAAGGCCCAATTACCATCTCGTGCTCTACGCGAACTACCCGCCCAACTGCAGTTTTGCCGCCCTCGAAAGACCCGAAAAACGCCTGAGCTATCTGACGTGAGAACACGACTCCAATTCTTCAAAGTGATCGTTTTTTTTCAGTCGAAACGCGTTTTTACCGACTCCCGACGAGCCGCAAACCCTCCAAGAAGTTCAAGAAACGAGCGAGATCCGCATAAATAGCACGGCTGACAAGGTCTTCAAGTGGTCTGTTCTAGGTTCGTCGGAAATCTTTTTTAATCATGAAAGTATCTTACATGGGAGATCATTTTAGCGTAGGGTTCAGAATTTTTTCTAAATTTGCTCAAACAATCTTTGATGGACTGGGAATCGATCCCCCATAGTCGCTATCTGCACAAACTTTTTGTTTTGAAGATATGACTTTTCAAAGATTTTATCCTTAACCATGTGACGCCGTTTGGAAGGAATGTGGCCGCGCCACCAACCACTGCATGGCAGCTAGGAGCGTGGTGCAGTGGTTAGCGTGTTAGCCTGCGGAGCCTATTATGAAGGTTCAAATCCTTTTGCCGCTAACTTTTTTTTGCCATTATTTTTTTAAAGAATTCTGATAAGAATATTAAAATTTCATGAGTAAAACCTTTCCAAATAAGTTCGATAGCTATTTTCTTTCTAAAATCGCTTTTTTTTATGGACAATAGTTATGGAAACTTTCTGAAGTTGTGGCGGACTTCATCAGAGACTATTTTTTTGAAAATCAGCGAAAAATGTTTCAGAAAAGCGCTGAACCTTCATCGAAGATCTTCGCATGTCTTGGTTGTGATAAATAACAGTGGCTTTTCAATATTTCAATAGCCAATTTCTGTCTTACGTCTGAAGAAACATCTTTACAGAATATGAAAACTTACCTGTCATCCGAGTTTTATTGAAAAAAAAAAATTTCCAAACCCTATTTCCATCCTAATCCAGATTTTTTTTTTCAAATTTTCGGGAATCTAATGTCGTGTTCAAAGTAATTTCCGCGAAATGCAAAATGATCTCTGACTCTCCAAAATTTAGTGATCTTTTCCTTTCTCTAACGGGTATTTTGCATTTCGCGGAAATTACTTTGAACACGGCATAAAAATCTTTTGAGCAAAATGTTTTTGGGAAAAATTCTCTGATGATGTGAAGTCCGCCACAACTTCAGAAAGTTTCCATAACTATTGTCCATAAAAAAAGCGATTTTAGAAAGAAAATAGCTATCGAACTTATTTGGAAAGGTTTTACTCATGAAAATTTAATATTCTCATCAGAACTCTTAAAAATAATGGCAAAAAGTTAGCGGCAAAAAGGATTTGAACCTTCATAATAGGCTCCGCCGGCTAACACGCTAACCACTGCACCACGCTCCTAGCTGCCATGCAGTGTTTGGTGGCGCGGCCACATTCCTTCCAAACGGCGTCACATGGTTAAGGATAAAAACTTTGAAAAATCATATCACCAAAACAAAAAGTTTGTGCAGGTTGCGACTATGGGGGATCGATTTCCAGTATATCAAAGATTGTTTGAGCAAATTTATAAAAAATTCTGAACCCTACGCAAAAATGACCTCCCATGTTACTGGGATTTTTGGAATGAGAACACTCACGTTTTCTGTACTTTTTGATGAACAATTCGCGTTAGGTTTTCCATAATCGGAATTTCATTAACGACAGTAATATATTGATAAATCGTTGTTGAGCCCAACTAGAAATATTAGTTTTTTTTTTTCAAGTTCTTTTTTGAACGGCCATGACTTTTGGCGCATACCTATGCGAGAGTTTCCGTGCTCATATTTCTCGAAAAGTCCTCTTTTGAGATTAGGATGCTCCCTAGGTAGAGAAAACATGCTAAACGAGTGGCAATAGAATATAATTTTTTTTGTAGTCCGGTGAAAATATTTTTTTGCTCAAAGTTTTGCTCTGGAAGAAGGGAAAAATAACCTCTGATCTCATTATCAGGTGTGCAAGGCGCTCTCTTGTCGACTTTGATGCATCCAATCTTGCCGACGACTGCATTCTTCGGTCATGCCGCGCCGGTAACATTCCTACCTTTCATGAAAATCCTCTGGAAATAGTTCCCGATGCGCATTTGCAGAGTTTAACTCGAGTTTCTAAAAATCGCTCTCTGATTTGTAGGTGAGCGACGAATCTCTGAAATTCGCTCTGTTCGGTCGGCTGGGAGAGCCAAAAATTCCGTTTACTGTGGAGTCAAAACGCGTTAGTTTCTCTTATTTTTGAAGGCATTTTGAAAAAATCTCCAGGTGAATATCATGATGCTTCAAAGCGAACCTCATCTGTGGTACCGCTCTTCAAACGGACCCGAGGTTCGTCGTTTCCTACCAGTTTAATCCAGAAATAATGTTTTTTAGGTTATTGACTGCACTACTGGACGTACAACCAAGGGAGCTCCATCCAAAGTTTGCAAATCTGAGCTCTTTGAGGTTCGAATTCGCTCTTTTCTATGGTATCTCCTGAAATCTCGATTTTAGGAGTACCGTAAGTTGAAAGACGCCATCACTACAACGGAAAGCTACGAAGACACCAAAGCTCGTGCTCACGAGTACCAACTCGCCAAGAATATGTTCTACGAACAGGTACTGTGAGAATACGGGGGAATACACTGATACTTTCAATTAGCTTTCTGGAATTTGCCGTAATTTAGCTTTAAAAATTTTTAATGGACGGAATGGTACTTACATATTCGCTATCTGCGCAAATTTCTTGTTTTTCATTATTTTTCATATTCGCTTGGAAGACAGAAATGGTTCTGAAACCCATATCCTGCAATTTTAAAACTGTTCGTATATGAGACTGGGGTCTGAGCAGATTTCTAAAAAAAGTAGATAAAAAAATTGTCCGGTGCCATTTTCGTTTGTGGTCCCTTTGAAAGCCTGGAAAAGACAATTCAGTCATCGATGACTTGGGAAAATATTAAATTTCGCCCTCTTTTGTACAAAACTAGATTTTTTTATGGTTTATATTAATAAACTTGATTATTGCGTTGAAAATAGGTTTAAAATATATCAAAACACAACTGAAAAAGAAAAAATACAAAGAAAGAACAAAAACATAATATCCAAAGCACAATACGGATTTTTGAACAACAGAAATACCGTTTCGCAATTGCTTCAAAAGCAAAAATATTTGATTCAAAACGTATATGAAAAAGCCATAGTTGACGTAATTTATCTGGATATAAGTAAAGCCTTTGATTCCGTAACACATCGAAGAATGTTGGACTTACTGGAATCCTATGGTTGCAATGGTCGGCTACTCTCCTGGTTTCAGAGCTATCTCATTGGACGTACTCAAATGGTACGCATAAATGAAGCTCTATCCGATGAAATTCCCGTACTTTCGGGTGTACCACAGGGTAGTTGTTTGGGTCCTTTGTTTTTTCTACTTTACATCAATGATATTGATAAAGTAGTCAAACACAGCGAACTATTAACATATGCCGACGATTGTAAATTAATGATAAGCTCGAAAAATAGAAAAATTTCGAAAAATAAGCTTCAGGAAGATCTAAACTCTATTCATAACTGGCTAGCAGATAGACAGCTTGTCCTTTCGAGTTCAAAGAGTATACATGTCAGATATGGTAAATCCAATACTGAGAACCCTTCTTACACAATAAATGGCTCAAAAATTCCAACAGATGTATTCATCACAGATCTGGGAGTACATTTTAGTTCTAATTTAAAAATGAATGGTCACGTGAATGTAATTGTGAAAAAATGCATGAAAATCGTGAATAATCTTTTTAGATGTTTTACCTTCTCGCACACTAACTTCATGAATTGCTACAAGTTGAAGATTTTACCTGTTCTTGAATATGGGTCAGAACTTTTCTGTCCTCTAACAAGAACAGATATCGATAGATTGGAATCAGTTCAAAGGAAGTTTACTAAAAGACTTCAACGTCTCGGACTAAACACCCTTTGGCAAAGACGTTTAAAGAAAGACATAACTGCTGCTCACAATTTCATTTACGGATACTATTGGTGCCCATCTCCAATCCCTTTACAAAATACAACAAGTAGATCGAATCAACTGCGAGGAAATGGTCTCAAAATAGAGCGGCCTCTACTTTCTGACATACACTACCGGTTCATCAATCAAAGAGTTTACAATCATTGGAATCACATGGATAGAAACATAGTATTTGAGTATGAAAAAAATAAGTTCAGATCTAAACTTGAGAAATGGTTTGAAAACAACATTACAGAACTAAACACTCTTGATCCAACAAAAATATGAAAGCTACCTAATCGACATCTAAAAGAATAACTTCATGGTTATTCCAATTTACTCAAGTGGGGGGTTAACACGACCGCGAGTCCTCTTCCCTCCATCACCACAAGTTCCGACACATATGTTCCCAAACTCTCCCTACATCTCTTTCGTGAAATTTAGTACTTGTGTGTGAGAAATAAAACATTTTGATGAAAGAAGCTTTTTTTTCTGACAATGTTAAACCTGTGAAGCGGAAGAAATTGTTCGAAGAATAAACATGAAAAATCTTTGTTCCATCACAAAAATGAAAAAAAAAAACAATTAATTTACAGCTCCAAAAAGATGGATTCGGCGCGTGGCAGAAAAAGCCAAAGGAACTTGTCGATTTCACGTTCGATTCCCTGGACGTCAAGTTTTAAAAGAACCCCCTCACTTGTGTGTAAGAAAACTGTAAATTGTTACACTCAAAAACCTCTGATTTGATCTTTTTTTTCCTTTTTTTTTTAGTGCACCGTGTGCTTCTTCTCGAATGGATCTCTGGGAGAGATTTATTATAATAAGAATTTTCAATTTTTTTTTTCTGGTCCGTTATGTAAACTTGTTTCATTTCCAAAATGGTCAATTGTTGTTGTTTTTTTTTCATAATAATGAATCTCTTGTTCGTGTGACGTGTTCTTATTTTCATTCACATTTTTTAATTATCGATTGATGGAGTCTTGCGAGTTCGATGACTGCAATAAGTTGGAGCGCGTGAGTGTAGTTGAAAACTTTCTAGGAACTTCCTTTTTCGTAGGTTCTCAGCGACTCGAAGACCGCCGACGCCCTCGACCAACTTCTGTTTGTGCTTACTTTCTTTTTTCTCGAGGCATTGGAAAATTTCTGATTCAATAACTTTGAAAGCAATGAGAAAATTGGATTTTTATGTCGTCTCCGTCGAATTGGTTCGTGGGAAGAATCCTTCTGTCCGTTTTCTTCGTACTTTTGCTGCTTCTGACCATCGGCGTTGGCTCTCTCGCTCTTCTGATGATCTTTCGCGAGAAGAAACACCGCAGTCCACCTTCGAATGAACCGATAGGTGGGCTATTTTTGCAAATAACCTGGTAGGAATTTTTTCAAAAGTCCTAGTAACTCCAAAATGGTTCCTGTAGAGGCAACCTGAGGCCCTTGAAAGCTCCCCTTAGACTTTACCTCCTCTTTAGCGGCCACTAAAGCTTGCAAACGTGGCCTTTAGGGTTTAGGGGTTTTTGTAAGTAGCCCCTAGAGGGGCTCGCTAGACAAATTGTTATGAACTCTATGAGAAGAAGCATTGAAACGAAAAAAAATTTGAAGACTCTATAGGGACCACTTGAGCTTTAGGGTCTTAAGGATCAGACCCTAAAACCCTATAGAGACCTCCTAAACTTAACCCCTATAGGGGCGCTTTTTGTCCTCTATAGAGCCTGTTTTTTTCTCAAACCCCTCTAGGGGCCACTCTGGCGTTCCTAGGTGAATATTCAAATCTGCGAAAAGCCTGTAGATTCGATGTTAGCGATTCAAAATGGTTCATGGCGGAGTTTGGTTCAAAAAGCAACGTTTAATTTCAGTATTGGAGAAAAAACCGTCTCCCCCCTTGCCCCCTCCCGTGGACAACAAACCGTCTCCAGCCGTGCCTGCTCCTGTCGAGAACAAACCGCCCCCAGCCGCGCCCCTTCCTGTTAAGCCATCTCCTCCTGTAACTCCGCCTCCTGCAGCAGCTCCGCCTGCTCCTGCCAAAACGGCGCCTCCTCCTGCAGCAGCTCCACCTCCTCCTGCCAAAAAGACGCCGCCTGCGGCAGCTACTCCGGCAGCCCCTGCAAATCCTCCGAAAGCTTCGGCGTCGCCAGCCGCAGCCAACAAGTCTAACAAAAAACCCGTTGCTGAATCGAAATCAAAAAAGAAAACCAAATAAAACAATTTATTTTGGCTTCAAATTTTCATTTGAGATCGCTCCAACTAGCTATATTCTTCCCGACTTGAAAGGCTAGATTTGCAAGGGTGAAGCGTTGCGTACGCGGCGCGTGTTTTGGCGAGAAAATCGGATTCAAACGCGAGGCATATTTTTTTTTGACAGTTTTTCGATAGTTTTTCGTTTTTTATGGTTTAGTTGAACAAATAGAAGTAGAAAAAAATAATTAAAAAAACAATTTTTTTCTCTACTTTTTTTCCTTATTGACCTCGAATCCCTGCCAAAAAACCGGGTCACCCTTACCAATCTAACCATCTCGCCTTTCAAATCGCGAAAAATTGATTACATATGACAATATTGCACGCTAAAAAGATGAGAAATGAAAAAAATTCAATCGAATTTTTGTATTTTCGGTTTCTTTTTGATCAAGTTCCTCAAAAAGATGGCGCATTTGTAGACAAGATAGGCTACAAAAACTGATCCGAATAACGAATAGAAGAAGAGATCGATGAGATGATATTCGAAGAAGTTGAGATGACGTCCGTGGGGGTCCTGGCTTTTCAGCTCCCCGAATCTGAAGTCAACTTCAGAATTTGTTCAAATTTCGAGAATCTTTCTCTTGAGATACAATCTCGACATCATCTCACCTGGCTGCGAATTCCAGGTAACGAAGGGCGAGTTCCTTGGGCGGAATGGGCTGTCGCTCCAGGACTTCAGCCAGCTTTTTCGCGTTTTCCGTGTAACTTCAAACCAAATTTCCACTATTTTCTCTGAAAAATTCACCTTTGGTCGTAGACGACGTCGTGGATGGCTTTTTTCACGAGATCCTCGTCAAATAGGTCCGATTTTTCCAGAACGATTGATCCGCCATGTCGTTCCAACATGTAGGCGTTTCGGAACTGGTCGGCGAATATTGGGACCTTGAAATGTTACGTTTTCCCAAACTTCCAGTGTAAAAGACTTATTATAAGAGGCTAACTAACAACGAAAAATTTTTTTAGACTGTATTCCATATTTTAAGTTTTTTTCGTGTAATTATTGAATTTATACTTGAATTGTACAAAATTTATCTTCTTCGGCTGAATTTTTTTATTCGCATCAAGACAGCGACGGATCGGTGTACAGAAATTTACGTACCGTAACCCAATATTGCAAAAAAGGCAACATGAGAAATGATTCAAAAATCAATCCTAGTCAGAAGCTTCCATGACGGAGAGCTTTATGAGAAAAATTTGAACCGGGAGAAAAAAAATCATTTTTCTCCATAGAGCAACTGTGCTGCAGAATTTTTCCCATGAATTGAAACTTTTTTAAAATTTCACTTCGAATTTTAAAACAACAGGATTGTACAGTTTAAAGTTAGACGCACAATGAGGAGAGTTCTACAGAATGACCTTTCGAATCACATTCAACTTTTCCTGTCCTTATACATCTAGGACCAAAAAAAGTCTCACCGTGACAGCGGGAACGCCCAGGTAGGCAAGCTCATTCGTGCTGCCGAGGCCGGCGTGGGTCACGAAAGCGCTGAGCTTCCGACTGGCGAGCAACGCCTTCTGCGGCACCCACTTGGAGAAGTGAACGTTCGACGTTTTCTCCGCCCAGGCGACGTCGTCGTCTTCATACTTCCAGATGAACGTCACATTCGGCATCGAGGAGAAAACGTTCAGAATAGTCGTCCTGCAACCAGCTTGTGAATAGAAATCTGTGAAGTTTATGAGCTGCTTAATATAAGTTTAAAAGTAAGGTCATTTTTCTCTTGCCCTCAGGAGTCTTCGAAAGACACGTCCGCAACATCGCGTTAACGTCTACTGTAATCAGTTTTTTGGACACCGATCTGAATCTTTTTTTCAAAATTAAAAGGCGGGAAAAAAACAGCGTTTTTCTTCGAAAGTACTAATGTCTGCGCTTTTTTGAGGAGACCGTTCGATTTTCAATCAAAAACTCTACAAGATACTGATTTTCAAAATTCCAAGTTCTAAAGACCTTTCTTATCGAGGCTTTCAAGCAGTCAGAATGCGAGAACTTTAATCAGGTTATTCAAAACCCGAAACTTCTATTTTTCCCTAAAAAATACCTCATGTCGTTCGGCATCGCCGAGGAGAAAACCATGGTTCCGAAAGAAACGAGGACGTTTTTCGATCTTCTGCTTACAACTTCTTCCCATTCCTGAATTTGATAATCATGCCTCCTTTAAGGCAAGTGAAGATCGTTCCAAATTTTATAAAAAAACAGTAAAATCGCTTTTCCTTTCATGATAAAACTATTGTTCTGATTCTTAAAATCTACTATTTCACGAAACTTTTTAGTTATGAAGAAAAATGCGTCTAAAGGATAGGCCTAAGACCTTTCGCTTTGCATCTTTTGTGTAGAGCGTGAAGATATTTTACTGAAATACTAAATTTTCTCAAACTTTTCTCAAACGTTCCCCGCGCACCGTCTACCATGTATTCTTCTTTTTTTGTATAGTTTTTTTTCAATTTTTTTTTTTAGAAAAATGCGATTCACGTCTTTAAAAGTAGGATCCTCTAAACTCAAAAAAAAAATTACCATAATTTTTGGGACATAAAAAAGGTATTTGAAATCCCGAAATCAAGCTTCATTTCAAGTTGCCTGTAATGCGCTTCCCAGCTGTTTTTCGTTGAATGAGCGAAAATATAACCTTGCTGAGCTTTTCAGATCGAAGTTCAGTCAAATTGATGGTGGCGCCGCCGATTTGAACCGTCTTGTGGAGGGTCGGCCGAGGAAAGTTGAGGAAGGGGTTGGAGTTGGATAGGACGAACGCCGCTTCAGGAATCACTTCCTGAAGAGAACAATACTGTCTAGAAAAGTTCATCCATATGAAAAGTCGAAGAGGTGCTCAGAGGATCCCTAAGAATGTTCTTAGAAGGTGAAAAAAGGCTTCTTGGTGCTATAGTTGATTCACGGCTTCCTTAAGTCATCAAAAAAGAGTCCTTCTGACATTTCGAACTTTGCCAACCAACCCGAGAAAGGCGAACTTCGATGTTGAGCTTTTCCTTGACCATTTTCGGAACGTTCGGATCCTGTACCATCTGTTCGCCGAACCACGTCTCCAAGGCGTTTATTCCTCTCTGAAGGACGTTCATCTTGTCGCGTTGAGTCGAAAAGAATCCTGAAATGTTTTATTATTTTTCAATTCTGGGAAATAATTTGAAAAAAAATTCTGAAAGACTGGGAGGAATTTGAAATAAAAACCACGGTAAAAAAAGACAAACTTTTTTTGACAGTTCTTCCGAATTTGAACTTTAAAAAAATTACGTTCATGGAACTTTTTTTATACTACCAAAAAGTGTTTAATTAGAAAAAACAAGTTTAAATTTGAGTGTTCGGAAAGTCTTTCGATGACTCTTTTCAAAATCCTTTTTTTTTAAATCTGCGTTAAAATCTTTGTCGCTGACGTCTTTGTACATGCGTGGCAAAATTCTACTTTATCATTGGAAATTATATCTAGGCCACAAATTGAAGTCAATTTTCACCTGATTTCAGACTTACCTGGCACGTAGCTGGGTAGAATAGGCTCGCCGATGAGATTGGCGACCGTGTCGTACTCCGGGAAAGAATCCGTCAGGACAAGCGTCGGAATCTTCAAAATGTCCCGAACCGCTGAAAAAATGTTTTGAATTCAATGAATTCGTCAGCCAAACCAAAGGGGCATTCAGAAATCGCTTCCGTCAGAATCACGTCGAAATTCTTCTTCTTCAAAGTTTCCATCAGTTTTTTATCCACTACGACAGCTAAAAATTGATTTTACTCAACTTTTTCTGATGAGAAAAAGCCTCACATTCGCAAGAGTGGGCGAAAATCGTGAGATGAGCGGCGCACATCTGAAAAAAATCTGTCAAGCGTCGATTTTCTGAAAAAGCACCTTGGCAAAAGTGAAAACATCGGATTTTTCGACCCATAAACTGGTATAGTCGCCCTGGAGCAGAGCTTCGTTCATTCTGGACACTTGCTGACTCGCCTAAGAAATCTCGAAAGTTGTTTGAATGGAAAAGATGACGCCACTTCTGGCTTGAGGACGTCTCTTGTGTACTGGAGCAGCTTTTCCGGGTCATCTCGCATCGATTCATCGATAATCGGGGCCAGAAAAGTCTGCAGCTCTCTTTGATCAATTTTTGAATGACCATCTTCTATTTTTGAACTATCAACCTATTATCTTTTTTCGCCGCAAACTTTAAACTATCTTGTTCTGTTTCTAACAAGGGGATGTTTTTGAGCGCCCGGCTAAACTTTAGATGAAGCTTGGCTGACCTACACTTCAGGACTTCCTGATCTTAGAACGAGGAACAACTTCTTGCAATAGATTTCGGAAAACAATCGTTAACCGAGAGGAATTACAGAAAAAAAAAAAGAAAAGAATAAGTTCAAGCAATGATCATTGAGGTATAGAAAAATAAAGTTGTGATGAAGTGAGTCTTATTTTTCGAGGTGGAACATTTTTTTGTGCCTTTTCATGAAAATAATACCTAATGTTGTATATTATTCTGCTTTTTATACGTTTTCACTGAGCTTCTACGACTTACAAGCTTGAAAGCGCTCAAGAAAAAAATCCAAACAAAGTTTCACAGAATTATTTTTCGTATCACTTTTCTACTCAGATATAGTCCATTTTTCCCGACTTGACAGGACAGAGGAATAGATTAGCAAGGCTAAAGCGTTGCGTAAAAGAAGCGGCTTCCGTGCGGGAAACTCGAGATCAAATCGGGGAGGATTGACTATAACAGATACTCACGACATTATGTCCAGCTTGAGCCACAATTTCGGCAATCGTGGAGAGAAAGTTATTGTGACTTCGGGCGAAAAGAGGCGACCAGACCAGGTAATTGTACCCATCCGATCTGTGGAGCACCGCTGATAAAATTACTGCGAGAAACCAAGTTTTCATCCCTGAAAACTCCCAAAAATCTCAGCAAAAGGTCATAAAGACTTGCCTTTTCGAAACGTCTGCAAAAAAGATAATAACCGCCTCTGCCGCCAGTGAAAGTTCCGACGAAACCAATGGCCAATATTTATATAACTGGTTCGAATGTCGCCGGAAACTTCTCCCGCCCCTTACCTCGACAAAACGCCGTGGAGAAGCAATAAAAACACACCTGAAAAAACTGAACAGCCTGTCTGGAACACAGTTTTTTTATTTTCAGAAGTTCAAAAGTTTCAGGAAGTTAATTGTTAACAGAAAACTATTTACGTGATACTGTTTTTGTCGATAATAGGAAAATATTTGTATGAATTCGGTCTAAAAGATCATTTCTTGATCAATTCTGAAAAATGTGGAACATTTCGTTGTAGAGAAGCGCAATAAATATGAAGATTCAATAAAAGCTTGCTGATACGTTCTCTAGTGTACTGACCATGGCAAAAAGAGAGTTTTCCCAACTTTCTATTCGAGTTTCACTACAAAGCTTCACAAATTCACTTAGAACCACCAGAGTGGTCCCTGTAGGGGCAAGCTTAAGGACACTTCAAGGTTCTCCTCTAGGGATTGTTTACCCCAAACCCCTAAAGGGGCCATTCTGTCGTTAGTGAAGTTGAACGACCAAAACTTGACTTCAAGTCGAACTCAAGAAAGTTTTAGTTTCTCTGTGGTCAAAGTGATCATTTCAGTAAAATTTCATGGAATCATTGGTATTTTGATGGGAAAAAAACAGCAAAGCTAATGGTAAAAGTGCGAAAATTACTTTTTCCTTCTAATTCAAATTTTCACTCTTGATTTAAAAGTTGAAAAAGAACTGGGAAAATTTTTAGTTGCCACTATAGTAGTAACTACTAGACCACTAAAAATTTTAGTGGCCACTTTAGGGGTCAATGGATCCTGGATGGAATACTGGATGAAAAACTACTGAAGTGGCCACTAAATAGAGAACCTCTATAGTGGCCACTAATACGAAAAATAGCGGCCACTATAGAGGTGGGTTTACTTTATTGTCCTCTCCAAGTAGCCCTTGGCGAGCCTCTATAGTGGCCACTAAAAATTTTCCCAGAAAGTCTACAAAAATTTCTGATCCAAATTGGAATAGTGAGTTCCTGGCTATGAATCTTAAGGAAAATCTCCAATTCATTTTGATTATTTGAATTTAGTTCTCCATTCTGAATGAACTTTTCCTATTTCAGGCCAACTGGAAAGTTCTAGTATTATTTACCTCTCTTGTACCTTTTCACACTTGCGAAGAGCAAATTCAGACAGCTACATCCAAACAAAGCTGAGAAAAAAGAAGCAAGAACGAAGTGACAATGAAAAGTAAACAGAAGAACCGTATGGGTGGTCTGAATGAATTATGTTTCACTTTAGAAAAAAAAAAAGAAAGGTTTTTCAAAGATGGGACGCTTCGAAGGAAGCAAAAAGTAAAAAAGTGGAACGGTGGATTTTAGCTTTTTAAGGGTGAAAACGGAGAAAAAAAAAAATCTATTCACAGGTGGAGAAGTATAGCCTCAACTCAATAATTTTCGGATATTGGATGATTTCCAGAATAAATACGCACTGAAAAAGTGTTATTGGGCAACTTTTAAGTTGTTTCTGAAAGAAACCCTTTATCGAACAATCAAAAAATAAAGAAAATTAGATATTAAATAAAAAATCTCAAACTGAAATAAACGAAAAAGATTCCGTAACTGAAAATCATTCGCTTTCCAAATGATGAAGTATTTGGCGTAAAATAAAACATCAAAAACCTCAAAAAAAAAAACAGTTTTTATCACAAAAACGAGAAGAACACTATCTACTTGCCCCCCGTTATCGCAGTCCACCTTATTTTTTTCTCAAATCGTAAATATTTTTATCTACAGAGGACTACACAAACGGTTTTTCAATAATTTATTGAAGAATACAATTTTTGACTGAAGGCTTTTTTCAAGAACTGCTTCGATTTCCTGAATGAAAAAAGGGAAAAATAATGGTATTTCAATAAAAAAAGGAAATAAAAAAATATATTCATTCAAACTCTCAAAACAAAAAAAAAATAATTGGTCGATTTACCTTGAGTTTAAGAGTAACGAATTTTTCACTTTATTCCTCTCAGACTTGATTTTAATTTCTATGACATTTTTTCTTTTTTTGTTCTTTATTTAAATTGTAGATCGAAGTGAACTTTTTGGAGTTCACACTGATCTGTGAATGAATATTATTATAGACTAGATAATGATTTTGGTACCAACCTGAACAACTTACCAGTTTTTTGTGCATCAAAAATCAAAAAAAAAAGCAATTTGGTTCACTAATTCAGTATGCTTTCCGGTAACCCTTTTTCCTCCCAAAATATAAAATTTTGGTTTTGAAGCTTGCAAGATCTTCCTCTACAACTTAGAAAAAAGTTGGGATTATTTTCAGAAATTTCCAGGATGCAAACTATAGACCATTCACGGCTAGCTTGGAACGCAAAAAGGCGTGGCCTGTCTGCACTCTCCACCAAGCAGGGCACTGTCTCGTCTCTTTTCGTGTCAGGACCCTTTCCTCGATGGCTCAAGCCAGCCGTGAAAAAGCTATAAATGACCTTCCTTATCGGAGAGCTTTCTCGTTCTTTTCTTCATACTTCCCAAATAAGTCGTCAAAAAAGTCAGTGAAACTACGTCACAAATTGCAAAGAGAACCTAAAAACCTTGATTGATGGCATGAAAACCATTTTCGGAGTAAAGATCAAGGTAACCGTCGAATTAAGACTACGCGCTCTAAAGATAGAGAGAAAGATATTCTCTGAGAAATTCCTCTCCCAATTTTTTCTCTGCTTAACTATGCCATCTAGTTCTTGTTCTTATTTCTGAGAGTCCTCTCAGAGAAGAATGGTCAAGACGTTCTTCTTTGTGGTTTTTCTGGCTGTTCCGATTTCGGGCCTCAATTTTCTAGTCTATTCTCCGCTTTTTGCTCACAGCCATACGGTCTACTTGGCTACTCTTGCTGATACTTTGACCAATGCTGGACATAATGTGGTAAGAAAACTTTCTACCAAAAACGAGCAAAAAAAACTATCCTATTAAGAAATTTGAAAAAAATTTTTTTACTTCTTTTTTTCATGCTCTATCGGGACCGGGAAAAAGTTTTTTTCAAAATGAAGTATCTTCTCCCACTCAAAAAAAAAACGTATCAAACAAACTGATATTTTTTGTACGATTTCCGAAAATGTCGCAATTCCAAAAACATATGATGTAAGTTCAAATAATTTTCAGACTTTCTTTGCACCTCTTATCCATTCCAAGTTACGAGCCAAGCTGTGCGTGAAATCTACAAAAGATGTCATTCTCGTCGAGGTTTTTATTTTTTTTTTGGAAAGGAAAATGTATTCACCGCTTTTGTGAAGCCTGATTGCAAAATCTCAACTTTCCCATATATCAGTCAAGAAGAAACCTTTAAAAAAATTCCAGAAATCTGTTGCGAAAAAGATATAACTTGTACTACGAACGTTAATAAATTCTCAAACCGTACTTTTTTTCTTTTCTTGTTAGATCGAAACATTATCAATTCCAGAACGATGACTACATGGAAAATGTTCAAAAGAACATTGATGCCGTTGATTTCGGCCGTCTCTGGGTCGATCCGAACGGCGCGAGAATGCTTTTGGGGGTACAAACGGTATTTTTACTTAAATCAAAAAATTTCAGCTCGCGGAACACTTTCAAAAAATGTTTCTCCGGAGCTGCAAACGTTTGTTTCCGAACAGGATTGAAAAAAAAATTCTTTTCAATTTCAGTTCAACTGGAAAACAAAATAGTGATGGAATCATTGCGCTCGAAAAAATTTGACGTGATCATTATGGAGCCTCTAACAACTTGTGCTGTTGGTGAGCGCATAGAAAAGGTATTTAGGAAAAAAGACCTTTTAGGAATAAAGAAATACCTGAACATTCCAACGATGCTACTCGCGGTTCCTTTGACGCACATGGAACTGGTTTCCTACTACTTGGGCGAACCCATCGCCCCGAGTTACGTACCCGGAAAGTACTCGGCTTTTTCTCATGGGACTGAAATATTTCAGGCGTTTATTCGGACCAACGAAGCGAGATGAACTTGATACAAAGGATGAAGAATACGGTGTCCATTTTCTTGGGCATACAATTGGTCAAAGGAAAGATGGACGAAGAGCAACAGCTGGCCAGTCAACTAACTGGATTGAAAGTCCCTGGTCTTGTGGTTAGTTCAATTCCAGAACTATTCAAAAGAAAAAGAACGAACGCGAAAATATTCAGAGCTTTAAAATTTGATTTTCAGGATGTTTTAGCGAGAATTGCAAAAAAAGTTTGCTCTAATAATAATAATGGAGGTTTGAAAATACATTTTGAAACAAACAACTTGGTCAAGAAGAAAATGCGTTCGACAGAGAAGTGGAAAAAAATTCAAAATTTCGATTTAAAAAAGAAGACTCTCAGAAGTTGGTGACCAAAAGAGAAAACTTATTTTAAAAAATGAGAAAACTTTTCAACCAGAAAAATTTTGCGCGTCACCGTGTAGTATTGCGTCGTTCTGCAGCTTCAGGAAATTTAATTCGGAAATAAAATAAAATCTCTTTTTGGGAAAAAAACAATTTTTTTGAAATTGTGTTTCTTTTTTCCTCGCTACATTTTCATGATATTTATAGGACGTGATACACGAGTCGCCGTTCGTTTTCACTAATTCCAACCCTTTAATCGACTACCCACGGCCGATAATCCACAAAACAGTAGCTATCGGTGGAATTACTGTCGACGTTGAAGAAATTCGCACCCGCAAGCTCGACCAGGTTTTTCTTTCGAGAAAAAATTTGTTTTAATTTGTTTGATCGTGAAACACAGAAATCCCAGCGCTTGATTTACTTTCTTTTTTAGTATTCACTCAATAAAAGTAATTTCTAGAAATGGGATGCAATTCTAAACCTTCGACCTAAAAATGTCCTCGTATCTTTTGGGTCAATGGCAAAGTCGGTTCTGATGCCGCCTTCTCACAAGTTAGACTTTCATTTTTTTTTTTTTCAATGACCGCTCTTAGAAAAGCTATAATCGAGACGTTCCTCGAATTTCCTGACGTTACCTTTATCTGGAAGTATGAAAGCGACGACATCGAGTTTTCCTCCTCTGCAACGAACGTCCATTTCACAAAATGGGTACCTCAAGTCGAACTATTGGGTTTTTTTTTATTGAGAAAACAAAAAAACCATAAAAGGAAAATTTCCAGCGGACTCCAGGTTGACAGCTTTCGTGACTCATGGAGGCGTTGGTAGCACAACTGAATTTGCTCATTTGGGAAAACCAGCCGTCATGGTTCGTTTTCAAACTGATTTTGGGAACTTTAGACTTGCATGGCTAAATATGATTAATTTATTCTTGTCTTCATAACATTTTTTTATTAATTCTAAAATGAAAAAAAATAATAAGAAGGTGTAGAACGACGCCGACCAATTTTTTTATTCTGAAAATGTACTTTCTGTTTTGCCTTAAAAAAGACAAAGAAATAAGGTTTTTTTAAGCTTATTCAAAGGTTGAAACGGATAACTGAACGAACTAAAACTCACGAAATGACCATAAAATACACACTAGTTGGCGAAGTTCTACGGAGGCCATGAAAAGGTAAAAAAAATTTCCCGCTTTCATCCATAAATGATAAATGACCTAATATTGCTCCCTAAATTCTCATCAATCTGGATGGAAGACTCTTAAAGAAAGTTCTGTTTATGGAAAACTCTCTTTTGACTTTTAAAATCAGTTTTGAGTCATTTACCATTTTTGGATGAACCACGGTAAATCCATTCACCATTTTCTTAAATACGGCTTTGAATTTTAATTTGCTCCCATTTCTCAGAGCTTTCCAGGTTCCTGTGTTCGGAGACCAGCCGCGCAACTCCTACAGCATGGAACGACACTCGAATGTGGTCGTCGTGCGAAAGTTTGAGCTGGCCGATAAGAGCGTCTTAATCGACGCCATCGGTCGGGTCATTAACGATAAAACGTAGGAAAAGCTGATCTTTGAATGAAAGTGGGCTTCATCAGATACACGGAAAACGCCTTGAAGCTGGCCGAAATGTTGGAGAAACAGCCGAATCGGCCCAAAGACTCTTTCGTTCGACATGCTGTTTTTGCGGCAACGTTGGTTCATGGAACAGTTTTTATATCGTGTTCAATGTGATTCCGCGAAATTTGAAATAGCCGTCAGGAAGAGATAACTAAATTTTGGAGAGTCAGAGATTATTTTAAATTTCGCAGAAATTACGCGGAACACGGCATTAGCAATATATAGTCCGTTCAGATTTTGAATGTCAAGTCGAATGACGTCATTCGAAAACGATCTGTGGATGGCTCGCTCTCTAATTGGTTTATCGCGCCAAAAGGGGCGGAGCTTGAGCGAGTACTTGACATTTGAAATCTGAACATATAGAAGGCACTTTGAAAAAAAATAGCATTTTTTTCATGTTTTGAAACCGTCTGGTATGTCTGTGCTCTATTTTCTCTTTTAACAGAAAAAAGTGGTAGTAGTTTTTTTTTTTAGTTTTCGAGAGAAAAAATGCTTCTAGTTAAGAAGTATAAAGCGTATTATTCGTTACATTTTTAACGAGTTTTAAACTTAGCCGTTTTTTCATGTTTTCATTATTTGAAGAAGTTCTCTCTTCAGATTTGGAAACATGAAAAGCTTGGATCCTTACGGCAGACAATTGAACTTCCTGCAATATTTCCTTATCGATATTCTGCTTATCGTTGTCATCACCACCGGCGGCTCTCTTTTCTTGTAATTCCGAAACTTTGGTTTTCCCAGTACAAGTTTTTTTCAGGGCGATAAAAGTCTACCGGAGGTTGCGGTTCACATCAAATTCTGAAGTACGAGTAACTCAATAAAATTTGTTTTTTTTTTCGGGGATTTTTAGACGCACCAAGAATGGTCCTCCAAGGGCAAATTTTAAAAGGACCTGAGAAGAACCTTTAAAAAAAGACTTCCTGAAAGCCTCAAGGTGCCTTTTTCTAGACCTTCTTAGGAGGAAAAAAAGAAAAAGGCGGAAAAAAAAAATGAAAAAAGGAGATTCCGACACCTTTTTGGGACTGAAAAGGAAGCTCGACGTTCTTCTTTTTGACACAGGCGAATCGAGAAGGTACCATAATTTGTCCGCAAAGGTACCTTTCAAAATGGATCGTGAAGACCCCAGAATGTGTCCATCGTGAGACCTCCGGCATACCTTTTAGCTATATCTGAGCCATCTCGGAGGTACTTCTGAGTCTCTCTTTGCTCAAAATCCTCAGAGGTATCCTCAAGGTACCATAATGAGACTTCAGAGCCTGCGATATACCTCAGGGGGTCTCGCGATACCCTTTCTCGATTCGCCTATGAAGGCCCTTCGAACTTTTCCCGTGTCTTTCAGTTCGAGTCTCAGGTGTTCTAGTGTTATTTTTAAAGTTCAGAGTTTCTAGCCGACCCACCTATTTTTTGCTTTCGGCAGTTTCGGTCTGAGAGAATATTTGTCTTTTGGATAGTCTGTCGGTTTGACACCTTGCGAAACTGAACTCTGGTCCAAGTTCCTCCGAAAAAAGATAGGAACGCACTTCGAAAGCGTAGGAAGTTCTCCATAAGAACGCGTTATTCCAATGATAACCCTGAAACTTGACAGTTTTTCCGCCTTAGTTTTTCCATCACCTTATCGTGTGCGATGGCTCTCCTTTCTTTGTTTGCCATTGAATTTATAGGCGCGATTTTATTTTTTTTCATACTCTTTTTTGACTAGAGGAGACGACTCCATTGATCAGAAAATTCAGTCATATTTTTTGGTCTAGCATAAAAACTTACTCCGTTTTCTTGCGGCGAGCAAAAACTTTAGATACGTCTAAAATTATCTTTTTTTTCTTAACGAGTAAATTTTCAGCCAATTTGGTATCGAGGCACTGATAAAAAAATATAGTCAAAAAAATATAGTTGTGATAACCGAAAATGATTAGTTGGTTTTTTTTTTCGAATCTGATTGTTAGATTAGAGAAATCTTTTCGGGAATATTTTTCAAGGTTTCAACGTTGGTTTATAGCGCGATTCTCGTTTGAACACATGTTTTCCGAAGGTTTTTCCAAAGACCCACATATATTTTACACTATAGTTGGGTACAGCTTCTTCCGATGCTGGTCGCACTTTTTGGGGCTTTTTTGGTAGGCCAAAGCTTCGCCTACAACTACTTGGTTTACAATCCTTTATTCGCCCATAGTCATGCTTCGTTTCTTGGAAAACTGGCCGATACTCTGACCGACGCCGGCCACAACGTTGTAAGTGTCTTTCTGGAAACGTTTCACTCATTTTCGCTACTCAGAACACTTGTTTAATAACTACAGACTGGAAAAAAGAATTTAGTTGGGTTCTGAACCCTCGGTTCCAGTTTTTGATCTAATTTATTACCAAAATGTGTACATTTTGATCCATTTATTCCTTACCGTTTTCTCAAAATTCCTGTAAGAAAAATTTTGAAGTCATTTCCAGACAATGTTCGCCCCGGTGATGAACTACAGGCTGGCAGAAAAACCGGTGACAAAATCGACGACAGATATCATTACCATGGAGGTAAATTGTTGAGATTGAACTTTTTCAAAAACTTGATTTGAGCCTGACGAGTATCTCAACGATTTCCAACATCAAATGGACAATGCCGATTTCGGACTCTACTGGATCCACAACACTGATGTTTTCAGTACTCAGCAGGCTTGACATTTTCCAGTTTCTTTCTAGTTTTGGTGTTTTTCAGATGATCGACGTTTTCAATATGACTTTCCACAGGCAATGCGAATGTAAGTCTTATTGAAAAATCGTGGTCGCACGAGGAATGGCTCAGAGACCGCCTTAAATTGCAGTCGAGTCGAGATCTGATACGAAACTTAAGATAGTCCTCTCATTATTTGCGATATCACGGCTCAAAGTTTGATCTAATGTTTGAACAGATCCTGAAAAGTTATTCAGTTTATGTCCCCTTCCCCGCCTACCCCGTCTTTCAAGTCGGAAAAAATCGACTATAATTTAGTCTAAATTTAGAAAAAAATTTAAAAAAATTTAGTCTTGATTTTTAAATTATTAAGAAATTTTCAAGTCTTCCGCGCCCAAAAAAGTACAGCATTTTTGGAAAAATCGGCGATTCAAACGCGTCCATTCGCTCCAAAGAAATTGAGCTTTTGTATAAAAAAAAATTTCAGTACTCTCGGAAAATCAACAAGTCCTACAGAGATTGAAAAACAAGAAATACGACGTCATCCTCTTTGAACCCTTCAATGTCTGCGCCTTCAGTACGTTTAACAGCTGATTCAAGGCTCGCTTGAGTAATTTTGAAATGGGTCTTGACACGACAAAAAAGAGACAATATTGGTTGAGAGGTAGACAGGCCATGCTCTTTTTCAAGCTAGCCATGAATGGGCTCAAAAGCTTTTTTCATGAATAAGCCATCTTTTGAAGATCTGCGCCGGTTTTTGGAAATCCCTACAATGATCATTTCAACTTCCTTGCCTCTGGACGAACACACGTCCAGGTATATTGGCGAGCCGATCCCCGCCAGCTACGTTCCAGGTTATTTTTTGAAGCGTGGCCATTAATTAAGAAGAAAAATTCTTCCCCGTAACCAAGGTGATCATTTTAGTCGGGCGGGAGTTTTCCGTAAACTCAAAAATTTAATGGAGATACAGACAAAGGCTCCGAATAGTTGCTACCTCCCCAAACTTCTAGCTTTGGAGATGGTTTCTCAAAATTCGCGGTAATACAGAATCAGACTTTATATTTATATTTCATATCTTTGTAAATTCATATTTTTCGAACTACCATTTTGCGCAAGTAGCCAATATGATAAACTTCTTTGTTAGAATTTCAGCTGCTTTTTTCTTTATCTTCTCATATCAAAGGCGCTTTCGCTTTCCCAAAAATTGATATTTATGAGTTTTTCTATAGTGCAATCTACCACATTGCAATATTCTACATGTTGCCCAAAATATGATCGTTTGAAACAGAAAACCAAAGTTTGCAAAAATTTTTTTGCAGTTATTTCATGATGAAGATTTTTTTTTTCAAAGCGAGAGAAATTTTTGAAATCCAAAAATATTTTTCATCTTCTTTGATATTGTTCTAAAAAAATCTCTCAAGTTTGATTTTTTTCCGAAATATTTCATAAGAAGCTCTAAAATTAAAAATCGACCATTAATTGCACATTTTCAAAATTTCTAAATAACCGCTTTTCTAAAAAAGTTTTTTTTTGGAGCTAAGATTTCAGGCTTTCACAGATTATTGAAACGGACTATGTATGGAATATCGCTTTTTCGTATTTTTAAGACTTACAAGGAGAGGAATTTTACTTTGCGGATCTAAAATTCTAAAATCTTAAAAATCTGTCCAGAAACTCCCTGATGTACTAAATAGGGTGAAAGTTGAAATTCTCAACATGTACATCTTTCTAGTTTTTAGGTACCTCAAAACGAAATGAAACCCTCAAACTCTGCTATTTGGGGTTTTGAGCCCTCACTCCTCGATAACTAAAAAGTTGTTCAGGTTGAGGCTTTCCGGATCTTATTTTGGTACATCAATGAGTGTTCTGGCTAATTTTGAGAAAAATCTCGACCACAAAATAATATGATCTCCCTTGTTACCTTTTTATCAGTAAGGACGAATAAAATAGGTCTATGGTCTCATTTCGGAGAGGTGATGAATCTGAAAGAGCGCATGTGGAACGTCTTCGAGCAGCTCTTCTACCGCGACGCCACGGCCAGTCTTCAGCCTGAAATATTCCGCAAACTCGGCGTTGAGCCATACGATATCACTGTTCGTCGTTAACTTGTTTCTCAGTCTCTCGAAATAATTTTTCAGGAAGAGTTCTCCAAGACTTCCTTCGTTTTCGTCAACTCGAACCCCTACATAGATTTCCCGCGTCCGACGCTCCACAAAACAGTCGGAATCGGCGGCATAACGGTCAATGTCACGAAAATACGTCAGCAGACTCTAGAAAAGGTAAGTTGGCCTCGCCATTTATCGGCATAAGAAATTTTCATCGAGTTGCAGAACTGGCACGAGCTTTTGAACGCGAAAACGAAGACAGTACTCGTTTCTTTCGGCTCCGTTATGTTTTCCAAGGACATGCCGATAGAATATAAGTAAGATATATTGTCCTCAGAACGTTTTTGAGCTTCAGTGATCTTTTAAGTGGGTTTAGGTTGCAAAAAGTCACTAATTAGCTCAGAAACGTCCGATTTGCACTGTCAGCCAGAAATATCTCGGAAAAAAAACTCTAGATTGAACCTGGTTCGTGTGATGAAGTCCTTCCCAGACGTGACGTTCATTTGGAAGTACGAAGACGACGACGTGTCCTTTGCGAAAGACGCCTCGAACATTGTCTTCACCAACTGGGTCCCACAATCCTCTCTTCTAGGTTGATGCGAATGAGTATTGAGGAAATGGAGAAACTTACAGCGGACGCGAGACTGAGCGCCTTCGTGACCCATGCTGGACTCGCCAGTGCAACCGAGCTCTCTTATCTGGGAATTCCTGCAATCACGGTGTGTTCTTTTTCGTTTGGGTTATTCTGAAAAAGTTGTTGAATGGTCCGGAAACAGTGAACCTCGAAAAACTCAAGTAGTTCCTAAAAAGTATTGGTATGAAAGTTCTTAGTCATGATACTTGAGGTGCCGCTGTTCGCCGACCAAATGCGCAATGCTCGAATGCTTGAAAGGCACGGGAACTCGATTTCCATCGACAAACTCGACCTCGGACACTATGAGACGATAAAAGACGCCCTGCAGCGGATATTGTACGAAGAAGAGTGAGTTTTTTTCATTTCATGAAATGCATTAACACGGGCAAAGGACCCCAAAAGATCTTTTGGAAACGAGAAAGGACCTTTTTTAAAAGGAGAAAGGACCCTTGAATAGGAAAAAGGACCTATGCAGGAGAAAAAAAGGTGAAAAAATGATTCCGAGACATTTTTGACACGTTTTTAGAATTGCGAAAAGGAGCTTTAGATCCTTCTTTCAAAGGTCGTTTGGACGTGTACCTGAAAAAGATAACTCCTTTTCATCAAATGATATTTTTCAATGTAGTTGAACTTCATGAAGATGACCGAATAAGGGAAAATAAACTTTAGTGTATAAAAAAATATCATTTTTCAAGGAATTTTTTTCTACACTGAGAAGATAGGAAACCGTTTTTCTCTTTCCTGAATATTATAACCATCAAAATCAAGCTTTTAACGGTTCAAAATTTTTTGATTTTAATCGTTGAATTTGAAAAATCAATTTCATAATGTTTGAATTTAAATCCAAAAGTTTTCAACGGTTGACCGGTTGAAACTGTTAAACATGTTTGAAACCAGTTCAAATTTTGGAAAAAGTTCGAACGGTAGGAAAGGATGACTACACTGCGGCTTCTGTACTGAATCTCCGTTTCAGATTCACAAAAAACGCGAAACTTCTCGCGGAGCAGCTCGCCACGCAGCCCATTTCCCCGAGAGAGCTTGTGATCCGACATGCGGAATTCGCAGCGAAGTTGGTTCACCCAAAGTTCAAAGTCGATTTCTACTCCTCTTAGGTTCGGCCAAATCGCGAGTCTGGATCCGCAGGGACGGAAACTCTCCACCTTCCAGTACTATCTGGGCGACGTCGCTCTTGTAATACTGGCCACTGTTTTCCTTGTTTCTCTGCTCCTTCTCAAGTTTTTCCGTTTACTGTCAAGCTTCCTTTTCAGGTCAAGGTCTTCGAAAAGAAAAACTGAATGAATAAACTTTGGGTCGAAATTAAAAGCGAAATGACGAAGGATCACTGAAAACTGAAATGCAGAGTATTAGGGATTTATCACAGTAGCTTTGGAGGGAAGATTGGAAGGAATGAGTTTGGCGGCTTCGGCGAGGTCGGCGATGCTGTCTTCCAGACGCGCCAAGTTCGAACTCGTCACGTTCAGCTTGACTCCGACGTGCTGCAAGGTTTGGCTTATGAAGTGGATCAGAGAAAGGATTTGAAGTAACTCGAACATCTTATCGAAGGAAAACGGCTTTTTCTTTTTTTTTTTTTGAATTTTGACTCTTTTCCATCTCAATTTACCATGATGGAAAACTCCAGAAAGATCCTGGAGAATTAAAAAACAGAAATCATCATTTCGAAAATTGTTCTTTTCATTCTTCTCCACCTTAAATCAATACTAATAGGTTCATTAAATTTCATTAAAGCAAAAATGGGCCAGAAGATTTATAAACATTCTGAAAAGCAGGTTTAGGAAAAAAAACTCACTAGAAGAAAAAATTTTACGGCAGTTTACAAAAACGATTTCAATCTTTATCAGCAGCATTAATACTTGACTCAATGGAAAAAAAGTGAAAAGCAATTTTTAAAAATCTCAAAATTGAGACCTTTTAATTTTTTGAATTTTTTCATCATCTTATGGAGTCCAATTTACTATTTTTGCTCTGTCGACTGATATGCTAATTTTAATTAGTTTTTATTTCGGAACTTTTTAAATTTTTACTGTTCCTCGTGGTCATTTGAAAGAATAGAACATAAAAGGCAAAAATAAAGTGGAATTGGTTTATGAAGCAATTCAGACTCAAATTTCGACAAAAAGTTTGAATTTCATTGATCTTGTCTTCTGGTTCTGTTCGTCAAGTTTTGAATCTTTCGGTAGACATCCATGAACTGAAAAGACAACCTGCATGGAGGTGAAAGTGTCTGAAGCGACGGCGACGATCTGCTCGACGAGTTTCTCGGCGGGTTGCGTCCTCTTTTGGCAGACCGTCGTGACGTCACGACCAAGGTTGCGCCATCGCTCGACGAGTCGCTCGTCGACGTGTCGGGGCTTCGAACTCTTCCTTTTTGAAAAAAAAAATTTACAGTAAGTTCAAATTTTCTAGAATTTCCTAGTATTCTGGAAAAATTTCTGAAATATGGAAAAAATTCTTTTAAGTTCTGATTTAAATGTACATGTTATTTTTTTCTGCCTGTAAATAAATAATATTATTATCAAAAATCGCAGGCGGGTACCTCTTCGACTCGGTTTTTTACTGGTTTTTATGAGAATGAAATTTATAAAAAACATACAAAATTTTTGACTTTTGAGAGTACCTAACGTCTTTCACAGATTCTCGGCAGTTTATGAGGCCAGATTTGGAATCAGCGTAAAAACTACAAACCCGGTCTCATTTAGAAGTCCCACTGCGACCGGAGACCATTCTCTGGTAAAGGAAAACAACAACTTTTTTTCAAACTTTAAACTTAAGTTTTTTTGATGGCCTGATAAGGATTTTTAACCTATTTTTCATATTTTTTTAAAAACTTCTTTTTTTGCGATAATCTTTTTGAGGCACCTCGTATCCTTAACTCAAAAAAAAGTAAAAAATACTTTTTCAGAGATTTCTCCGCTATAACTTTCGTCTCCACTGGAGGGATCTCTTCCGAAAAATCGGCTTCGTCGTCTGTCTCCGGCGCCTCGCCTTCGTAGACCACCGGCATCAAAAAATCTCAAAGAAGAACTTCTTTATTTATTTTTCTAGCAATTACTGTAGGTATTCGGAAGGCGTCCAGAATAATTTATTGTAAACTAAAACTCATGAAAAATTGAATTCGTGGTTTTTTTCTTCTTCTTCTCCGGCCTTTTAGAGCTCAATTCTAGGTTTATTTTCTTTTGACGTGAACTTCATGAATCAAGACTCATTTTTCTTTCAACTTGATTGTCAAATGTGGAGCAAAAAGTTTTTCTAATTCATTTTATCAGCGCGGTAAGACTAAATTGAAACCATATAAAAAGAAAGTCTTCGAAGAAAAAAAGCATCAGAAGCAAAAAGAAATATTTTTCTCTCATTGAGCCGAATTCGACTTATTTCAAAGTTAAGACTTTTTTCATCGATGGAAGAAGGTTCTCAAAAACCTTTTGGAAAGCGCTTTTCAACGATATTTCTTGCATTACAGAGCTTCAACCATGCGAAAAAGAAAAACAACAATATTTTTGTACTCTTTTTATTTATTTTTATTTGGTTTTTTTAAATTTTTTTTTTTCAACGACATTTCAACATGAGATATACAGCCAAATAACGCAAGTTATAGATTTTAAAACAGGAAAAAAAAGGGGAAAATACGATAAAACCAACAATGAAAAAGGAAAAGAAAAAGAAAAGAACACGTCTGGGAACGCTTTGAGTACCCACTAGGTGAAAAAAGAGATAGTAATGGATAGAGCGAAAAAAAAAGAAAAAGAAATGGTTAATATAGTGAGAGAGAGAGAGTACAGGTAGCAAAATGTCAAAAGAAAAAAATCCTTAAATTATAAATAAATACAAAGGTTCGAAATGAACAGGAAAACAGACGAGAAGAAGTTTCGCAACATCCCTCAAAAACAACAAAGCAATTACACGTTTTGTACAATACCCGCCGAAAAGTGATCGAAAAAAACTAATGGAATCGGGGGACAAAACTTAGTACAACTCAATCCCTTACGCCAAAATTAAAGTAATTGATTTGTGGGGCTCGATTCGCGTATTGTTAAGTTTAACCGTTTTTGGCATTTAAACATGAATAAAATGGAAGATTGAGAAGAAGAGAAAAAAAGGGAAATACGATGCCCGAGACTTTTTTTTTTGGTTTTCTTCATTTTTGTCATAATTCAGTTCTCAAGAAGAGTATGCAAAGTAAAAAGAGCTCATCTTTTTTTTGTTCTTTTTAAAGTTTTTCGTCTTGGAAAAGTGGTGCATGAAGAATCCGGCAGAGCAGTCGATTACCATGAAAAACTGAGAACAAAAGGAAAAGAAAAGGGTTAGAAGGAAGCAAGAGCTAAAGAGCTCCGAGAAGACGTCAGGCCAGTCATTCGAAGGTGGTGACACGCTTATCACTGAAAATAGGTGAGGTTCAGAAAAGACACTCAGGTTGAGGCATACTTGTTGGGGAACCTATACAGCACATCGACGGCGAGCATCTCGCGGTCCGTCAGCACGTTTATTTTCTCGCACGTCGAACTCGCCATAAACTCCGGCTCAAACAGATACGGATATTGAGGACGTCGAATCGGCTCCGACGTCTCGCCGTCAAGCAACCGCAGGATCTCCGGATCGGCAATGTTATGCGGGTCTTTGAAAGGCGGCGAGTTTGGACGCTGTGGAGCGTGCTGGGCATAGACGAGGCCCGAGTCGCTTGGGGTCGGCTGCAGAGACGGGCCGCCGTAGTACTGATGGAGGCCTGTCTGCTGAATTCCATGGAGTGGCGACCGTGGAGAGAGCTCGGCGAGGTCCGAAACCTGGAAGAAGACCACATTAACGTTGGAAAATACAAAAGTTTCCATCTGACTTCCAATTAAGATGAAGAAATCATCCTTATTCTCATAAGAAATTTCCCTGGTTAAAGATTTCATCTAGAATTTTTGGAATGACCCGACGAACCTCGCTGTCAGAGTTGACGACAGGACTCGCCGAGATGCTGGAACCGCCCCATTGGTTGGCCGGCGCCGCTTGCTGAGCCAGGGCGATCTGAGCGAGTTGGTGCTGAAAAAGACAAGATTACTTTCCAGTTGCCGCTGGGAGCACGGACCGAGAAGATCTGCTGCTGCAGAGCGAGAGCCTGGAGCTGAGGGTTGTTGAAAGGCTGGAGCTGCTGAGTGAGCAAGGCCATGACGAGCTGCTGCATCGCCGGTTGCGACTGCTGCAAGGCCAGCAGCTTCGCCGCCACCTCTCCCGCCGTCGTGTTGACGTTGATCAGTCCGGCCATCGGCTGAAGTAAATTATTGTATGAGGGGGAAGATTTCCAAGTTCTACAACATATAATCCCACCTTAAGCCTAGCCCGTAGTTTATTATGATTTTGGAACATGAAAGAAATGTTTTTTAAACATCAATCATTGATTTCAAAGCGAGGAAAACTGACGTTTTCGGCGGCGGCGTCGTTGGCCAGCGGCTCAGGAGTGTTGATGTTGACATTGAGGTTCGACTGTTCCATTTTTTCTTCTTCTTCAAGTAGATTCACAGCTTCCGGCTTGGAGGCGTGGCCTTGCTGCACGGAGAGAGCTGAAATTAATCATTCAATTGATGTTTCATTTGAAATTCAGGATAGAGATAACGATAATCGAAAAAATTAGAAATCAAAATATTTTTCGTTCTTTGGACAGATCAAAAACCACTCGGCATGGGAAAAACATGGGTCGAAATGCACTTTGCGCCGCAAAAACAAGGTGAGGATCACTTGCAAAAGTAAAGTCGCGCAGAAAAAAAAGCCGATGAAAAATCTTTCAAAATTCAAATCAAATGAGAGGAGAAACTTCAAATGAAAAGCACATTTTCAAATTATCATTCACTATATCAAATCTTTTGATCCTTCTGGTTGAATCACTAGAAAAAAAACGCCAAGAGTTTCAAGCTTTTGAATATTTTCATGGTAAATCATACGATTTCTAGTCTGCTAAAGGCGATTTTCGTTCATGACAAAAAAAAATACATGATTATTAGTTTTTGCAAATTTGAAATTAGATCTCTGGTCAAGCCAGTCGAGAGGAATCGACAAAAAGAAATGATGCACCAGCAGAACTTTGGGAAAAACTGTTTGATCGATGTGTTTCGTTGAAAAGGCCGAGTTTCAACACACCAAAGATTATCTGATAATGAACCGGGTTCGGAAAACAGTTGAAAGGAACTAAGTTCAAAGAAAAATACTCACGGAAACTAAGTTGTTGGTTTACAAGATATTACTCCTAGAATGATTGGATAAAAAGTATGAATACACAGAGGAGCATAGAGTAACTAATTATATTTTTGAAAATATTTCAATTTAATATATTTTGCTATAGTCTCTCATTTCCGAAAGAAGAGCCTAATGTTCTGAGGTACGAGGAGAGGAGAAAATGCAAACAGATCATCGAATCAGATTGATCTCTCGGTCGAAATCTAAACCCAAAGTGTGCTTTGGCGGCTGTTCCTCCGCCTAAACCGAAGCCATGACGACGCAGAAGAGGACTGAAGGAAAAGGAGACGGAGGAAACGAGGTGGGGGACCCTCGGCGGAGGACGCACAAAAAACCTGTCTTTCTCTTCCATTTTCGACTAACACCATCACCTCGCCTCACTTCTGAAGCAAGGAAAAAAGGAGAGAGCGTTGAAAAAACCTTTGAAATTGGTCGAAAAAAATGGAACAGCACTCGACTTCAATGTCAGACGATTTTAGGCGGTGGAGTTTCGAAAAGATTGGGAATTTTCGTGGTGAAACACTTTGGCAATGATGCAATTCGCCGCAGAGCAAATGTTCTGGACGTTTCGAAAGACCTGGGCGCGTACACTTTCCGCTTGGCGATAAGATCACAAGAGTGAACTTTGCCGCAACAGTTGTCCGCTATTCTCGTCGTTTTTCCTCATCAGAAACTTTTTTTGTTTCCGCATTGACGACGAAAATCGGAAAGAAAATTCAACGTTGTGAAAAAGTGATCTTCAACGTTATTGTTGTACGATATGATAAAAAAAACTTATAAAATGAACTCGATTCCAAAAAAAAAACCAAGTCATCTTCCCTTGACTTTGAGAGAAAAAGAAAAGGAGAAGAAAAGTTAGATAAATTTCATGAGAACGATTTTTTCCAAGGACAAAACGAGTCGGGTCGACAAGTTGTGTCATTGAAGCGCCACCCTGAGCGTCTAAGAAAATTGCCGTCTCACCTTCTCTCATTTTACGAGGAAAGAAACCTTTAGACCAGTGAGACAGTTTTCGACTACAGTTGAATAGAATAAATATGATTTTCTTGGACAGAAACGCCTTCTTAATTATTGGTGCCTCGGAGACTAATTGTCGCATTAACAAGATCCTCGGCTCTAGAGCACAATTGAGAAACGCCAAATATATATTCTCCAGCTGAATCCTCATCTCGTATCTGATAGAGCTCCAAGTTCTTGCAGCTTTTTAGCTTTTTAAAAAATCTTGCTTGGAATCAGTTCTAAAGTTATAATTTGGAAAAGAAAAAAGAATTGATTTTATAAGAATATAATTTAAAGTTCAAAAGATGGGAAGAAATTCTAGAATTTGATATAAATTACTAGCTGTAAACATTAAAGTTATGTAAAGCTAATCGAAAAGCTGCGATAAATGATATATTAATCGGTCAAAGATGTTTTGGTGGGCAGAGAAAATAAGAGGTCAATTGAAAACTCGGTTTCGAAGGTTAAGTCTTCTCCTATTGTCGTAGAGTCAATCAGAAAATTTCTTTGAAGTTCTTGACATTTTTCTGTTTTTTGAAGGCGCGTGATTAATTTATTTTTTCAATATAATGTTGATTTGAGCTTTACTGTCGTGAAAGATTGACTAATGGTAAATATAAGAAAACCATCTTTTCGGGACTGAATATTTCGAGTTTCGGAAAGCACGCTTCTTTGATTATTTTGGTAAGATGATTCGAAACTTGGTTTTCAAATAACGAGTGTCTAAGCCTATTTTCAAAGAGATGAGAAGGTTCGAGTGAAAAAGCCTTGCTTGCGAAACGTTCTTTGTAACAGTTAAGGAATCGATTTCGAAGGACTGAAAGGTGCATAGAAACGGCGAGATGGACGCGAGAAGAAAGAGCCGTGCGAGCCGCCGGCCAGTCCCACCACTACTACACGTATGTGGCGGCGGCGGCGGAGGGGGTTGGCTGAAAAAACCGTGCAGAGAGGAAGGAGACGCAGACGGCGTACGCCTGAGAAATAGAAGAGGTCCAGAGAAGGAGAGGGTGCAAATCGAGTTCTTCTAGACGTTTTTGAAGGTTCCAAAGTTGGTTATCCGAAATCTGTATTCAATATCATTTCATGGATTGAGTTGGATATGATCGAGAGTTTGACTATGAAGGGAGAGGAAGGCTTCTTCATACTACAGAACTAGAAAAACTTGAAATCGAACAAAAATTATAATTTCCTATCTCAAACAAGTTTTTTTTTGACAGTTCGAGGGGAAAAAAATAATGAATGTTCAGCAAGAACTTCAAATAAAGATGCTGCAAAAATAAAATTAGAAAGATTTTTTTGCAGCTGTAAATTTACTTGAACAGTCTTTGAAATGAACCATATCTTACAAACGGAACATGAAAAAAGACTTTTTAAAGGCCATAATCATCTATAAAAAACGAAAACTAAAGTGGCAATCTTCAAAAAAAAAAAGCTCAAAAGACCGTTCTTTCGAAACCATCTGAAATAAGCTTATTCGGAAAACTTCGAAAAGGCTATTTGCGAATGGACCAAAAGCAGAGACGTGTTGAAGGGTTCGATTTATTTGAGACATGGGCTGGATGGTACCACCTTCTTCGTCATGCAAAATGCAAAATAATCGATAATCCCTTAAAACTCGTCAACAACCCCTTTCCCACAAATATTTACTGGCTCCTTGCTCTCAAAAATCATTCTTTCCGCGCCGGGAAAACATCTTTTTGCAGTGAAAAAATTTTTTATAATTTTGAGTCCTGATTGATGAAAGGGATAGATATTTATGGGCGCTTTTTATTTCCGTATGACTCACAGTAGAGCAAAAGGCACACAGACATCGATAGGGATGACCGTTGTGTCTAAAAATAGACATTCGAGACGGAAACAAAAGAATAAAGGACGCATTTCTCAACTTAATTGAGTCAATTAGACGCCTACGACTCTTTATTACGATTCGCCATAAATTTAGTATAAGTCCGTGAAAAAAATCGTTCAGATTCGGATTGAATTCCCTAGTCAGACTCTTATCTTTTGGCCTGAGATCACTATAATCGAAACTAGCGGTTTATTAGTTTGTTAAAATTGATTCGAAATAATTATAAAATGCCCATAAAAGAAACTTTCTCAACAAACTGAAGCGGCCATGAACTTGAAAAGGCGAATCTCAAGGGAAACATTCTAAACGTAGTAGGAAAAAAGGATATATTTTGGGTTGGGAGCACCTAAAAGTTGTGGCGAGCGGCGAGAACTGATTGTGGAGCGAAAAGGGTGCGGAGAGCCGTCGAGTGCGTCGTCGCGCTGAGAGCAGCCAAGCCAAACTGGGTCTCCGCTGGACTTTCTCTCTTTCTCTCTCTCTCTCCCCACAGAGAGGTTTAATCCTACCTGAATAGCCATTCACTGGCCAGTAAATTACCTACTCCACTCTACGGAATATCACCAACTGACCGTCGGATTCATGACGCTATACAATTGAAAAAGAGGCGATTTCTATTCGATTTTCGTGAGGATTTCGAGGTCGGCCGCAATTGTCCGGCTTGACCTGGTCTGGCTTGTTGTCGCGCCGGCGGAACCTCTCCTCCATAACCAAACATTCGGAAAAAAGAATATTCCCATCATCTAACTGCCAGGTTATTTGTGCTGTACTCCAAATAAAGTTGGGAGATCATTTTGTAGAAAAGTTTTTTTTCCAGAAGACCAGAAAATTCAATACTTCTGAGCAGATCAGACAGACTGTGAAGACAATCTCAAAAGAGACATTCTTGTGCTCTTCTTTTGTTATAACAATCCACTTTTTCTGACCCGTTCGTAGACATTTGGGGGAGAAAAAAGCGCCGCGGCAGATGGCCGCAACGTGTGCACCGCCGCGCAGAAGAGGAAACAACGGGTCGTTAAGTCGCGTTTGGATCGAGTAAATGAGGGAATCGTCTTCTCAGAGGAGGTCGTCTTCACGAGGCTTTTTCGTGGTAGAAATTAGAAATTTCGAGAAAGCCAACAGCTTCAGATTTTCCTTCCTCAATTTTCGAAATGATCAGAATTTGGGCACCAAAAAGTTCGAAAACTTCCTGAATTTTCTCTTCTCAGACTTATTTTCGAAGCAACTTTCCGATGACCTCCAAAATTCGATTAAAAGAAAAATAATAAAGCGGAACGGCTCAAGGTCGACCGAATAAAGAGGGAGAGAGAGAGAGAGAAGAGAGAAAGCCGAGGCCAGAGAAAAAGAAACAGGCGTCAAGCGTGCAATATACACAAGGGGTCAGCGGCAGATCATGTCGTCGCGCGCGCGCGTAAAATGAGAGATGCAAGATGCGCGCCAAAGATAATGAAGAGTCGAATTGCGCCCCATGGACAACACCTGCCCCCGAGGCTCGGCTTTATGAGATTCGGCAGGTGCAAGGATTCAGTGCGTGCGGAAAAGAAGAAGGAACGGACCGTTGATGGCGTCGAGGACGGCGTTGGTCAGCTGCTGGCCGTTCAACGTCGGAGGCGCGTTTTCGTTGCTTTGAAGGGGGCTGTTCACTCGGGAAGTCACCTGAAACTCCGAAAATAACATAGGTCCAAGAATTCAGTTTCACATTTTGAATAAATAATCTAAATAAATTTGAATGAAATCTTCTTTTGTGTGTTTTGGTGACACCCCCAGACTTACACTTTCAAAGAATTCACAGAAAAACTGACCTCCTTGGAAACGGCGGCGGAGGTGGCCATCATCATTACCGGCGAGTTGACGGCCATTTTCGATCTTTTGGTCTGCTTGCGACGCCGATTCGCGAACCAACGGTTCACCTAAACGTTTTCAAATTGAAGAAATCGAAGCGTTTCCCGAAATAACCTGCTGGAAAGTCACGTTCATCTCCTTGGCGAGCCGTTCTTTCTCATCTCGATGTGGATACAAATTGTTGCCGGTCTTGGCGAGGTACTGCAAATCCGGAAATTTCCCTCGTCTTTGGGACAGCCTTTCGCGTATTCTCAATTTTACAGCCCTCGACGCGAAACCCGTAAAGACCGTCCTCTGTGAGGAACAACGCAACGTATCAGATGGATTGCTTTGCACTTTTGAACAGTGCAGGCAAATTTCTCTTTTTGGGGATTTTCGCGTGAAATGGTTCAACAGTTTATGAACTTTTGAAGTCACATGGAAAGCCATTTTGGAAATTTGCAACTTCGAAGTCATGATTTTTTAAAAAAACATTTTCGAGGTTTTTTTCGTTACAATTTCTCAAGTGAAAAGAGAAGTTTCAGACCCGAAAGGCGTGAAAACTCTTCTGAATGCTATTATGAGCAATTCAGTCGTTGTCAACTACCGATACACGATTCATCAAATGTCGGTGTGGGGCACGCAGCGGGTGCCATTCCATTGTTGCCACTTGCTTAGCGAAATTCGCAGAAATTGGTTGCGAAACCAGGGTTTTCGAAATTTTTCGCAAAGGCACAAAGAGACGCCGGCGCGTCTGCCACGATATTTCTCTCTTTGTACCCGCGAGTAGGAAAGAAAAAAAAGGGAGAGGAAAAAAAAAACGAGAGCTGAGAAATCTTTTCTGACAAAGAAAACTGTCGCAGAAAGGCCGCTAAAAATCGAGCTTTTCATTCTTTTTTTTTAGGAATTTGTCCTTCAAGAAAGGTTTAAAATTGAAGAAGCCGCAAAAAAAGTGGACTTGGGCTCATAAAGGGGGACATAGGAACCTTTTTCAGAAAAATTCTTAGGATATTTTTCGAACTTTTCCTAGGAATAGTTCGTTAAGAACGGTCGCGATTTCAAACAGTTATCAAAAAAGCTACCGTAACACTGCTTTTTTTTTTGAGTTTTCGCTTCGAGATACTTCAAAAAAAGTCGGGAAAAAACGAAGGGTCTCTCTGAGCTAAATCTGATATACAGTTTTTGGCAAAAAAGGACAAGCTAGCGTGAAATTTCCTATAGGGAAGAAGCTAAAGATTTTGAGAGCCCTAAGGTTTTTCATTTTTGGCTCAAAACTGTTGATGAGACGAACCTTGTCGAGCATGACGTTCAGCTGTCGACTGCGAGCCTTGTCGGAGCTGATCGCCGTGGCGACGGTGATCTCCTCGCCCAGGTCCATCGTGACGTCGGCGTTGGTCGAGTGAGAATGAGCCGGCGACAGGAGAAGTGCGTCCGGCGAGGCGTTGAAGTCGCCGCTCTCCGTGTTCGTGTTCAGTTGTTTCAGCGGTTCCTGAAGTGAATATAGCGTGAAAGAATAGTTTTGAAAGTCAATATCTTGATAAGAGTTGCCATAGCATTTTTTTTCAATTTGGCCTCAAAAGCTCATTTTCTGACTCGAAAGCCTTCTGGAGATATTGAAAAGTTTCTTCAGACAGGTGCAAAACCTTCTCCTAAGCTCCTTGACTCTTTTTTTAAAACAATCTAAATTTTATTTTCAAAATATTGTTCCCCTACTATACAAATATTTTTTGGCAAGGCAAATGGGGCCACGCGCCACACATTGCAAACTGTTGGATTTTCGTTTTTTTTTGTTCGATCCAACGCTAAATTCACTACAAATGACCTTCAAAATTGGGAGTCGTGAAATTGAGCGCGCTGGAAAAATTTCCCGAAAAGAAACTAATAAATTCCTCAAAACACTTTGAAATTTCTATTGAGAACCGAGTTTAATTTAGTAAATTTGTATCCATTTTTTTTGAGTGAAAATTGTTTCACTGTTATCGGAGGGGTATAAACAAACCATCGCTTCGGCCGTAACATCAGCAATGACTTTGTCAATCGTTTCGCTGAGAGTGAGCCCTCTCGGCTGCTTGTCCACGTCAGTTTCTGGGGTCGAGACAACGTCCGCCATCTGCAAACATATCTTGCAAAAAAGAAAACAATAACAAAACGAGGGTCGCGAAGAAATGAGCATAATCATAATTGGAGATTACAACTTTGGGGGCTGTGAACGAGGAAAAGTTGAAAAAAGATAACTGCAGAGATAATTTTACGTTTCGCGGAAATGACTTCAAACACGGCATTAGAGATGTTGAGATGTTTCAATATACAACTTTTGAGACAAATCTATCTGTTAGAATCGTTGTTTTGTATGCTAGAAGATGTTTCGAATTGAGAAAGCTTCGAGAAAATTTTGAGGATTTTTCTAGACGAGAAAAAAAAAACCAAGAGTGTAAAAGTAATGCCGGCCGTCGCGATCTCAAGCTATACAAGGGGACTATAAAACGCATGAAGGAAAAAAAAAGCCGCGCGCGCTCACCCCAGACGTTACACATTCTCAGGGTGAGAGGAGGACATGGACAAAAAAAAATGGCGCGCTCAGAAAGGCCGCGGAGAGTTGTGCAGGGGACAGGAAACAGAGTGCTTTGTATAAGTCATGGGAAAGGAAAAAATAACAGTTTGATGGGAATTGGAACCATTGGGTTCCATCTCGAAAGTATTACGGTTCTTTTGACTTACTGGGAGAAAAATCTAGTGACCACTTAAGAGGTTGTTCAAGGAATACTTGGAGAGGACACTAAAATGGTCACCAAAACCATTTCTAAAGAAGCCACTATTTTTTTTGGCTAAGTGGTCACTGTAGTAGTTTTTGTGAAGTATTAGTAGTATTCAGACCTCTGAAGTGGCCACTAGACTTTAGCCACTTAAGTGGCGACTACTTCGACTACTAAAGTGGCCTCAGAAACCTCAAAGCCCTGTAGTTGTCATAAATTTCCCTCAGTATAGCATTTGATATGACATTATGATAGGAAGAAGGCTTCAGTGAGTGGAAAAGGGTCCAATGGAATCGCGGTTCAGAAATACAGCTGTCGAATGTTGCTATCGGCACGTGCGGCCCCATTATTCATTGAAAGGAGCTGACGTCTAGACGCCACGTTTCTCAAAAGTTATATCACAAGAGGAGACTACAACACGTCCGGTAGCCTCAAGGCATGATTTAGCTTGATGCTTTAGAACGAGGTTTGATCTTTTAGCCATGTAAGCCAAACTTGAGGTTACCTAAACTTGTCTTTAAAAATTCCGAATGCTCAGAAATGCAAACTTTTTGAAGTTCTCTTTTTTTCAATTTTCTAGAGTTTTGAGTTGTGAGATGAATTTGTAATTTTGACTAACAGACAGAACAGGTTCCTCACATCAAAGTCTGTAGGACACGACGGCGACGAAAGGGCAATTGATAGGAGTTGATAATGGCCGATACAAGGGCAGCGAATTGCAGAGGCTAGTGGTCAGAGTCTCGATTGATTAGGGAGAGATGCGGGAAAATTAATTGTGAAATTTATGTTTTGGTCTCTCTAACAACTCGAAGCTACCATTATTAGAAACTTTCCAAAGCAAAACTTCTTTCTGTTTCAAGTCTCATTTCTAAACCTAGCGGTGAATCACTACATCATAACTCTCAGAAAAAAAAACCTGTAGAGCTCGAGAAAAAAACCCAGACGAACGGGAGAGAAAAAAAAAGCCGGAGAACCCCCCAAATGTTCAGGATAGGGCATGTTTGCGCACTGGCGGCGAGGCACAAACAAATAAAAAAAATCAAGGATAGAGTCGTTGAACGTGCATAAAAAACGGCAGAAAATGGAGTCGGAGACGCGGCGGCAGACACGGCAGACGGTTGCACTTTCGCCAAACGGAGCAGCCGACCGCCGTCGGTTCTGCCGCACTTTTGTGTTTGTGACGCCCATCGGCGGTTCCGAACCTCGCGACCGACCCAATGATTCAGCCGTCGTCGCCGCAGCTGTTTCACTCGAGGGACAACTTTTTCGCGAGTGATTCTACTTTCCAGTCGAATCAGTTTTCGAGAGCATGTTAGCAATCAACAGGGAACTGATTCGGGTTTCTTCCGAGGATGATCGAGCATTTTTGCGATTTTGGGTAGTCAGGAATAAGAACTGAATGCAGCAAGAAGTTTAAATAAGTATTTCAGGAGATGAAGACTTTGAAGTTCCTATGGAAAGTGTAGATTCTCATTTTGAATTTCAAAACTTCTACGCTCCCATCAAGGTCCTGTTGATTCTATCGAAAATTCTACCTTGGTAAAAAATTTCAAAAAAGAGACTTTGAAATTTAGACAGGATTTCTTCAGAAAAAAAAGTTCAAGCGTCGTGATTCTAAAAAGAAGAAAACAACCTTTCGAAAAATTTGGGTATTAAAAAAACCTAATGGACTTGAAGTATAATCACGAGTTATTTGATTATATACTTCTTCAGAGAAGGATAGAAAAGCTCACATAGAGACCTTCCAATTGATTTTTATGTTTTCCTGTTTACAGATGTTTTCCTATGACAAGGTTATGATTCATAGCACAGGCAAACAAAAAAAAAAAGAAGAAAAAAATTCTCATGAGACTGTTAAAGGTCTGAGAAGATAAATGTATGAAACCAGCACGTTTCATGAAAAAAGTTTGGTTTTTACGTTTCGAGAGCATGAGAACGGATGACGGTAACATGAGGCTTTCAACATAAACAAAGCGCGTGAGAAAATTCAATCAAACACGAAAATTCTACATTTTTATGAAATCAACACACGTTTACGGTAGCTATCGTAACCAAAGTTTCTCATGGATTTTTCGTCATTCGAAGTTGTAGCATACACCGTTTCCTGCAGAGAAAAAGAAGAAAACAAGCCTACGCCGAGAAAATAACAAGGTCATTCTGCAGAAAAAGCAGCTGCGAGAGGAAATGGGCTCAAGGAAAAGAAAAAAAAGGGGAGACCATAAACGGCATTTTTATAGAATATGTAGAATAAAAAAATGATTTCAATGCTGAAACTTCGAAATCGGATACTTTTCTTTTTTGCAAACAGAAGGCGACTACTGAACAATGACGAGAGGAGCCATTCGACCTTCGAATCGCCGAGACAACTAGTTCACAAAACGCGGCGGCTGGCGGCAGAAACCACGTTATTTTGGCTTCTTTTTGAGACTGCAGGCATATGGAGGTCAGCCAAGATTTCATATGACGCGGGTCTCCGCGAAATTTCTCAAAAACAAATACGCGAAGCGATAAAATAACAGATCTGATCCATCTATTTTCTTGAAAATGGTCGAAAAAGATTTCTGAATTACTTGGGGTTTCAACTATTTTCAGATCTAGAAATCTTCGCTTATAACAGTTTCGTGTCGATTGCAGAACCTTCATTTTAAAGTCGGAAATCATAGAAAATGTGGGAAAAGTTTCAAAAAATCAAAATGAGAAACAAGTATCTTTCCTATTCATCTTCTTCTTCAGCAATATCTTCTTCATGTTTTCTTTTTTTCGAAGACCTCTTCTAGCAATTCCAAATGAAAATTTCAGAACCCAATTCTTTTTTAAGGAGGCGTGGCGTGGAAGCCCCATTAGGCACTTTTGGAAATAGTCTGTTGCAAAATCAAAACTCCTAAAAAAATATTCGAAATAAAAGAACAAGTTGACGTTCTCTCCACTTTTTTTTGTCGCTGCAATTTCGTGGATTGAAAAGTTGGCGAGGATGTAAACAACTGCTGGTTTTTGGTCAGAACTGGGCCAACGTCCGAAGAAAACGCAGTTTTTGAGTTTCTCAAGAAATTGATCACCGGATTTCCGAAAGCATTGGAACAAAACTTCTGATATCCCCTAGATTCGCTAACTTTTTCCTAGAGAGGCCAATATAAATGAGAAAAAGTTAGGCTGCACACATTGAATGTCAACTTAAAAACATTGATTATATTTTCAAAACTTTAAGTCAAGTTTTTTTTCTTTCTTCTACAGACATATAGATGAGAAATCCTCTCAGAACAATCAGAAATTTGAGATTTTGAGAGAAAAAAAAATTTTAAAAAAATCAAATGAGGAGCTAGTTGATAAGATCAGCTGAGAAGACAAATTCGAACGAAAAATGCCGAATTCGAATGTCTGAAACGGGCAAAAGCGCAACAAACAGCCCGAGGGCACGGCCAGCACGAGGTTCACGACACATTGAGCGCCGGCGCTCGGGCGCCGCGCCCTTTCTTTCTCTGCCTGACCTCAGCCTCCGGCCGCGTTCCCTTCTCGCGTTATCGCTGGCACACGTCGTCGTAGGCTCACAGCTGGCAACGCCAACCAAAAACCTTGCATTGCTTTTTTGTCTATTTGTAGAAATTGTTGTGAAAGAGTCATGGAAAATGTACGTAACAGAGTTGGTGTGAAATTTTGGTGAGTATGAAGAGATGAAAAATAGAGGTCCTTCCCAACTTGGGAGGCGGAGAAGGGGGTGGGACGCGTAGCGTGTGCCTACGCGGTTCTTGGCACGAGTTCAATTAAATCGCCACCGACTATTTAAAAAGCTCGGTCACCGCATTTTTTGTACCTATTCTACTACGAATGAAAAAAATCAATCAAATAATAAACAAAGTTTCGAGTGCTTATGAGAAGTTTTTAGAATTTCCCCGGCCAGTTGAATTTTTTTTTTCCTAGTTTCGCATCGATTGGAATGACTCTTTTCAGTGTAAATTTCTAAATTGTATATATTTTGAGAAGGACTCCTTTTGATAATGGTGATCAAGTCCTTATCTTCCAAATAGAAAGAGTTTTTGGATTTTCTGGCCCTCTTAACTTCGACTGCCCTACGTTTTCTGCATGTCTCCGGTAGTTGTTTTTTTTTAAAGAATCACTAGATTCGCAAATTTGAAGCTTTGGAGCAGTAAGGAAAGTTTTTTTCTTATCTTTTTCTATTCTCAATTGAAATGAGGGACTGAAAAAAATTACCAAATTTGAAAAACGTTAGGTTTGAAACTTTAAAATCTGAGAAAAAGGAGTATTGGCATATCTGAGTCTGCTTACTTTATTGAAAACTAAAAACGCGCTTTTTTGATGAATTATGAAACCAGAGCTACCTTTGTACATACACCCAATTCACAACACCTCTTGCCCTCCCTTTAGGAGTACGACCTGACGAGAAATTCTTGAATAGCAGCTCTAGAATAAAAGCACGAAAGGAGAATGAGCAAAGAGGAAAGGAATAAGTAGCAAGTCGCGAAAGTATCAAACATTTTTGCGAGAAAAGAAGCAAAGCCACGCCTACGACGGGCTCGGAATGGAGCGTCGCGTGAACAACAAGACGAAGAGAACCAAGCGAGGGAAAAGAACGGAGAGCATCGGAACGGCAAGAACAGCGCAAGCAGAACAACAATTTTCGTCTCGGCGCACCCCCGAGGAGAAACGATGCCTCGAGGGCTTTTCCTCTCTTTTTTTTTCGTTGTTTTGCAGTTCCGTGCAGCGCAAAATACGCACTTCTTCTTTTTGAAAAACAGAAATACTTTTTTGAGATTGTTCGCAGACATTTTCCTGCTCAAATGAGACTCGATCCTAGATTTAATAGACAATAATATTCATAGAGAAAATAAAAGAGAAACTGGGAAAGGCCTTTCAAAATTTTCTCAATGGGCGAGAAATCTTGTATGAACGAGAAAATACTGAATAAAAATCTTCGCTTCGACGCTCTGCTCCGTAAAACATTTGCTCCGTAAAACATATCAGCGGAGATTTTTTATAAGAAACACAAACTAAAGTAAACGGAGGTTGAAAAAATTTAACCCAAAAAACTTAGTGCTTCGATCTCGTTTTCGAAGATTTCCGACTATTCTTTCTATACACAAATTTTAATTTGTAATTAGAAAAAAAAGTTCTTATAATGAAAAATACAGCGATTCGTCGCGACAGGAAAATACTAAAACGACTTGAAACAGAATTCTGTATGGGAAAAATACAGGCTGGCAAATTTTTGATGGATGTTAAACAGAAGAAAAAAAAAATGTTTGAAGGAAAAGCTCGAAAAATGTCCAATTCGTGCTCGACACGGCTTTTTGACCACTACGGCAGAAAAGTCTATTTTTCAAAGAGCTGAAAAAAATTGAAAATGTTCGGCTAAAAACTTTTGAAAGCCGTTCTTCTTCATTTTTTTTTTTCGTATCTGTGAGATGTGTCCAAACCTCAACTATAAATAGGCAAGGCAGAAAAAAAATTACTTCAAATAAAGACCGAGTTTAAAAAAACGGAAAGCTGAGGACGCGTTCTGGCATGGCGTATTGAGAAATGCCTTCGTATTGGCCGTGCCACGTATAAAAAATTTCGCAATTTTCCGTAGGAATTGAGAAATGGAGTTTTGGAAGAGAAATATTGAGGTCCGAAACCGGTGAAATGCACATATGATGCACATTCGATCGAACGGAAAACTGTTATCTTTTTGGCATTGGTGCAGCGATCGAAATGGCCATAAACATGTGACAAATCCATTTTCTTCAAAGTTTTATCAAAAAAACGTCACTCATGGAGTTCTAAAAAACCTGGAAATTCGAATTTGAGGCTTTTGAGAACTTTTGTATAATTTTAACTTATTCTATTCATGAGGAAATTCTTCTAAATTTTTTTCATTTTCTAGTCAGCGACAATGGAAGGTGTAGAATGTAAGAATTTCTAAATATCCTACCAAAAATGAAGAAAATCTAGAAAAAAAGCTCTGTTTCAAAACTAGTTGAAAGTTGTTTGTGTGGAGACTAACTAGAGATCGTAACTAGAGAGCAACGGTTCTCATCCACTGATAAGCCCTCCTCGCAGCTTTTGCCCACTTTTTAAGATTAAAACTGCTCTCGCGCCCATCATAACTATTTTTTCAGAAAAAATTGAAAATGCTTTCAGAAAGGCTCCTTCATGGAGTGTTTATCTCAGGAAAAAAGAATGATACTCTCTTACACCTTTTTAAAAATATTTCAACATTTTTCACAGTTCGCTCAAAGTTAAGAGAAGGAAAAAAACATTTAGAGAGGAAATATAAAATAAAATGAAAAATAGTGAAAAAATAAGAATTTGAAGTTCAGAAGCAAACTTATTGATCCTTAACAAAAACTACAGAAGAAAAAATGCTTTCTCTATTCAAAACCTCAGCACTCATCGACAAAAAAAAAAAAAATCAAAAAGCGAACTAAATTTATAATCAACTCACGGTTTACTCAAACTAAACAAAAATAAATCCGCATTGCAATGATTCGAGGAAAGAAATAACGGTTGATTGGTAGAAACTCAAACAACAGACAATTGAAGGTTTTTGCGATCAAAGTCAGATGTGAATGGTCTGTAGGAAAAATTAATTTTTAAAAATTAACAAAAAAATTCTTAAAACGCGGCGTAACTTGATGCGCTTGTTGTGCAAATGTGCATGCGTCCTCTATCAATACGGTAACAAAAACTGCGAGTATTTCTGTCCATTGGTAATTTTTAACAGTTATAGTCTGTTCAGATTTTGAATGTTAAGCGCAATAACGTCTTTAAAGTTCTACTCTAAAGTGCTCGCTTTATGATTAACTTATCGCGGCACAAAGGGCGGAGCTTGAAGGTTGACTTAACATTCAATAACAAGTTGAAAAGAGAATAGCTGCGGGTTCTTGTGTGTTGACATAATTCGTTCTTATTTTTCCGTCTTCCATTTGTGAAGAGTATCGAAGAACAAATCTCTTTGATCCTCTTGTACCGCTTGTTGTTTTAGAGCGAGATGTTTTCAGAACTTCGATTGACTTCAAAAGAACTTTTTTTTTCGCAACCCCCATAAAAAAGAAAACAAACAAGTAGACAAAACAGCGAAAAGGGGGAGGAGCCAGTAGGCAGATGAGTGGAAACCGCAGAAAACGGCGTTCGTGCCTGGCGGTGCTGGCCGCTCCGCTCGCGCCCATGAGCCTTTGCCGCCGCGGCACTCATCGGAACACTCACGCTCACAGTTTTGTCATCGACGACTGGTAGAAACTGAACTGGCACTGTGGGGATTTCGGCAAAGTCCTCGGCTTCTGACCGACACACCCTTTTTGCTTTATCTGTTTATTGAGCTTCTCGGAGGGCCAAATGATAACAGCATGTGTGATAAGATAGTTGTCTGTCTGTCGAAATGGAAAAGCTTTATTTTTGTTCAATCTTTATAATATCACATGAAAGAAGGCCTTGGAATTCTATTTTTTAAAAATGTATCACGGGCCCCTAACTTGGATTTTTCAAAGTTCTAAGTTCTAAAAAAAGCTCTGTCTCACTGCGTAGATGATTTTTTAAGAAGGACAAAAAGAAATAAAACTTTTTATGGGGAAATTCTGCAAATGATGTCGAGCTCATGATTTTTAAGTTGCGATAAGTGTTCCATCTAAAGATAATTAAAAATCCTAGTGTAGTAAAAGAAAATTTTAAATAAAGATTCAAGCCTAAAGACCAGAGCTCAGTCTGAACGCAGTACCGACTCTACGTGAGTCAACAAGTACGAACTTAGTGCAGCCAGATTGAGTCATTCAACATAAACATTTCATTTCACTTCAAACTTACAGTTTATAAAGTATTAAGTCACTAGAATACTTTTTTGCGCTATAGAAGTATTATTTGATTGAAAAAATTATAAAAGAAAAAAATTTGAATGCTCAGGCGACGGGCCTCTGACGCTGGGTGGACTTTCTTCTCACGGATAACGCTGAAGAACATTTCCGCTTCGAAATTCTGAAAGTCTCTTTTCCATTTTTGTCAATTTGCAAGCACCAACTGATAAAGAGACGAGAAGAAACAATGGATGTTGATCATTATGAAAGGCGTCGAAGTTTGCAGCAGAAGGAACCAATCGCCGAAGAACGTGCAGTAGCGCGTGATTGGACTGTTCTTCAACAGTTCAACTTCGTACTTTCATAATCTGACAGTTTTTCACTTTGCGCAAAAAATCGGAGTCGACTATCGAGATCACTTTCACGAAAGCGTACAGCAAAGTTCCAATGAAAAACATAATCACAACACCTCGAATGTACAACAATGATTCCTTTGTTCTTTTCGTGAGGATTTCCTGAAAATTGTAGTTGCAATGAAATTTCAGGCCTGAAAAAGAAATTTTAAAACATTTCCTCGGAGTAAGGTCCCAAGAAAAATCACTTCACCCCATTTTAAGTTCTGAAAATTGGCCAGAACTTTTAGAAGAACACGATGAAGATCTTGAGATCTCATTCAGGACTCTTTTCGGGAATTTTTGCGGAATCAGACTCTCGAAATATTTTTACAATACATCAAAGAGTACTCCATGCAGCTTTCAGAAAACATCAAACCGCTGATTAAAATGATCTACGTCAAACGCACAGTCGGAAAGGGTCGAAAGACTCCATAGAAATGTTTCCTTTTTTCTACCTTTTTGCGCCACTTTCTCGGCCGTTTTGCACCATTTTTGCTGCTTCTCCCTTTTTACATCATTTCTTGAGCCTTTGAAGATATAGAAAAAATAGAAGCCTCGAAATGGTACTGTTTTTGTTGCCTTTCTGCGACCTTTTTGAGCCTCTCAGCGGTCATTATCCATCAGAGAGGCTGTTCGAATGGACTGACCCGAGCTCCTCGAGGAACGCCCATGCACTGACGGTCCCTCTCGTCGGCCAGAAGCTTTTTCTTTGTCAGCCATTTGAAAACGACGACGACAGTTAATGGGAAAACAACGTTGATGAATAAGCTCATCCAGCCGTAGACATAGGTGTTAATAAACCTGTAAAAAACCGCTACAACACTACATCACTCACACTTTTCCTAATGAACAGTTTCTTCAAAATTATAGCCTCTTTTTTGACATGAGTTCAAAGTGAATTTGCAGGGAAAAATGTTTAGCTTTCTTTTTTTGACCTCACGTGCTTTTTTGCCTGCTTTTTGTTCAACCATTGCCAAAAATTATTAGAAAAAAAAAAGAAAGATTGGACTCGGCATAAATTTTTCCCATCCGAGAATTTTTCTTTCAAGAATCTTGAAAATTTAAAAAAATAAGAAAAAGCCAAACAAATCACCGGTTCTTGTTCAGCCACTCCTCGCTCCGAACTTCGCCGTTTGAATAATGTCTGCAAGTCGTAGCTTATCTTTTCTTAATTTATAAGTCTTAACTGACACTTTATGTGCAAAGAACCGTAGAAAGTTCGTTGAAAATGCCGCAAAAGCGATGCCGAATAAAATTGGATTGATGTGACGGCCAAGAGACTTCGACTCAAAACATACGGTTGCCCTTTGCAATATTTTTTCAGAACCTTTTCAGAGCTGATAACGCTTATATATTCTTGGAAGGCGTTGAAAGAGTGAATCAGTGCGCATGCCGTCTGGCCCATCGTGAAGATCGGATTTCCGTAGGTGAGCATATAAGTTAGATAGAAATAACGAGCTTTTTCATGTCTGCAGTTATCAAATTTGACTCGTTGCCCCAATTTTTAGAAAATAAAAGTACTTTGAAGTTTTTTTTCGAAGCTTTATTATTGCCTACCCGAAAAAAAGGAAGTGCGCAATCTTCACAAAAATCGTTTTTGCTTGCAGAAGAAGCCCAGCTACAAGAAGTGCGATCATCAATTTGGCTACCTACAAAAAATCTTACTCACTCAAAATTTTTTGACAAGACCATATTTTTCTCTGGAGATTTGGCGTAGTCCCAGAGCATCCAGACGTTCAGAACGATAGCGAAAAGCACGGGGATGTAAAATAAATGGATGTAACCAAGTTGCTCCAAGGCAAACGGCTAAAATGGAAACAGGAGAATCTAGAAGCGAATTCAGGACTTACATCGGTGGAATTGTCCATTGACGGCGTCGCTGGGTGAAGTGAGAATGGAATCGAGAAGATTGGCAAAACCCGACAACAGTAATTGCTTTCTCTGATGTAAAATTGAAAAGGTGACAGCATTGACTCATCCTATTCACTATTCTATTCAGAATATAAATTCCTCATTTCAAAAAAAAAGTTGAGTACTGTAAAGACTCCAACTCCCTCTTTTCTAACTTGCTTCAGTTATTTTATCAAGCCAAAACTGAACTTTAATAGTTTAGCAGTTCGGCCAACGGTTGTGAATCAAATTTGAATGATAGTCGATTTAGTATACAAAAAAACTCTATTCAGAAGCTTTTTGAATATCTAAGACCTCTAAATTGTGTTTTTTAAATAAATAATTTAAAAACGAATCTTTCAAAGCTTGTGACGGTTGTTGATAATGCGTCATCACAACAGAATCTGTCAAAACATAATTATATCTGTTTTATGAAAACCTTTTTGGCCTTTTTCAATTTAAATAGGCCTTTGCGAGTTGGTTCCAATTCCTTCTGCATTTATCGTATCTTCGATTCGTCGGCGTTTTTTTAATCGAAATCCATCTTAATGTTTTTTTGTCTTATATTTTTATTTCATCAATCTTAATTTTTTTCCTCTAATTCAAATATGTCAGATGAAGAATGAATATTAGAACCATTTTTTTAATTGAAAAAAATAAAAGAGGATAAGGTTTTTTTCACAATTCAACAACTCCTTCAACATTCCTCTACCGATTCTCATCTTCTCAAAACGAGTAGAACGCTTGAAAGACTAATTATAATAGTTTTGGCATTGACCCAACAGCGCCGACGACTTTTTGGGGCGGAGCCAAGCACGCAGCGCGGCAATCTGGCCACACGCATCGCGCGCCAAGTTTTCCCGCCAAGCACAGCCACTCCAAATCATCCGGCGTTATCATTCCATTTTTTCCATTTTTTTTTTTTTTTGGTTTTTGTGAAAAGACAGTTAAGTTTTCCTTGTACGTTGTAGAAAGTATATCAAAATGAGACAAAACTCTTCGAAATTAAAAAAAGGAAACGTAGTTTTTTTAGGGGCCACCCAAAAAAATGTTTTTATTTCGAGGCATTTTTTTGTTTCTTCCCTTTCCGCGTCCTAGAAATTTCGTTGTTTTTCTCATTTCTCTTTTTTTAATAAATATATTTGCATAATGGAAACTTTTTCGCAGAGAAATGGAGGCTCGTTATCAACAAGAACTTCGCGATCGTGACCCTGCTACCGTTGAAGACCTTGCCTTCGACACGTTCCAGACAACTGAAATTAGCGGAATTGACGATAAACTCGTTAATCTTCAGGTATCAATAATCAATGAAGAATGTTCAAATAACTAGATTCAGCGTCTCTCATTCGTTGGGTGTGGCCTGACTTCGCTCAAAGGGCTTCCCACTCTGCCTGCACTCACCAGACTTGATCTTTGCGATAATAAATTGAGCACTGGACTTGACATCATTGTCAAGAACGCTCCAGAGCTTGAGGAACTCGTACTTTCAGCTAACAAGTGAGTAACAATCTTTTTTGTTGAATTTTTTCAAAAATTTCCAATTAAAAACAAATTCAATTTTTAGATTTGATACACTTGACTCCATCCGTCCCTTGAAGCAGTCCCATATTCGGACTCTCGATCTTTTCGACAACAAGATTACGGAGATTGAGGGATTCCGGGACAAGGTCTTCGAAATCATTCCAACTCTTGAAGTACTAGATGGAGCAGATTCTGCTGGTGTTGAAGTTGAAGGAGAGTCGTTCGACGGAGAGGTAAATGTTTCTACCGTTATAAGCATATGAAGTGCGGCGCAGCACTAGAATTTCTCAACTCTTTTCCGTTTGTACTGTTTTTTTTTTAGGATGGAGAGGATTCTGGTGATTCGGGAGATGATGACGGCGAGGAAGACGGACCTGGTCTGAGCTACCTCGACAACAGTCAGCTGGATGAAGACGAAACTGAAGACTACGATCCAGAAGCCAAGAAGGAGGCTCGTGGAACTAAGCGCGGAGCTGAGGAGGCTGAAGAGGAGCCGGAGGCGAAGAAAGTTGCGGAGAGTGACGAGTAGATCGTCAAAAATAATCTTCAATTTCTAACCATTGTAACTGTTTCGCTTTTTTTCACAAAAAGGAGCTGTTTTGTATAATTTTTTTCCTCATTAATTTAATTTTGAGTTCCGGTATTCATTTTACATGATCCCAAAAATAACACAATACTTGTAGCCCCTTCATCCTGATCTGATTTTCTTTATGTTGGTTATATTGATGTAACGCAGTTTTTTCAATTTTGAATCACAATAAATTTTGTATGTGAAAACTTGATTGAAAAAGTGGTAAAAATACATCTGTTGAATCTTTCGGATAATACTTTACTTACTACTAGACTTTTTCTGGTCGTTTAAATTATCAGAAAATGGTTTAAAAAAAACAAGCATGAGAACCCACAGCCGTCGAACAGTTCACAGCTTTAAAAAAAGATGCCGCCGTGTTCTTTTGTGGTAGATCTATGAGGCGCTTTCTAACCTTTTTCCTGAATTTAAAGAAGATCTTGACAAGATTTTTTGATTTTGTTCCAAATGTTTCGAGCGTAAAACTGGAATAATTACACTCTTCCTCGTCCAAAAACTAAATGATGAAAAGAATAAAACGGACTATTATTCTTTATCATTGCTACATGATCTTCCTTGACGCTTTTAGAGTTTATATTTGCAGTTTTATGGGGCGGCCGCGGGTTTCAGAAGCAGATCCACTTGGGAAGGTAAAGCGTGGTCGGCCCAGCAAACTCAAAAAGGAAGAGACGGCCAGCCGAACGGGCTTTGAAGGGGAAACCGCCGCTCCCTGGTACGATTTCTTAATAAAAAAATACAATAAGTGAAAAATTATTTAGAATGTTAAAGAAATACGGAAAATCAGCTAGAAAGTTGCCTCAAAACTTTAACTTTTAATTTCTCTCCTTCTTATGAGAAACCAGTAAAGGTAGAAAAGCAGAATACTAGTTTTCCTATCAACTTCAGAAGTAGCTTGGAAGTCACAGTTTTCCTTTTTCTTTGATTATATTCAACAAACTATGAAAGACTTTTTTTTTTTGAAATTTCATGAAATATCAAGAGACCTTTAGAGAAATCAGTGAACCGTCATTAAAATAATAACTTACGGTTAACCAGATGGCTTTCTGCCGTCTCTAGTTCAGCAGGTTTTGAAAGTTCTTATATGGCGTGTTCATCGGACAAAACGGAAATTGTTCCGAAACGCAAGAAAAATGCTCCAAAACAAAATTGGTACTGTTTCTGAGCAAATTTAGCGCTCCGATGAACGTTTTTGCTTTTTGAAACATGTTCGTTTTCTCCAATGAACACGCCAATAGCAGTTTTCAAAAAAATGTCCTCTGAAATTTCTTAGCTCTTCATTCATAATTTTCACGATGTTGTGCAATTCAGGAGGAAAACCGTTTCTGTGTTCAAGCAAAGCATTTCGATAGTGACCACCAGTCGGAATGAAACGAAAAAAGCTCCCGAAGATGTTCTGAAGAAACGTTTCTCGAACTCTCGGCGGACCGTCAACGAAGAAAAACCTTTCCAGGTACCCTTTTTTATATCTACCGTATATATTTTTAAAAAAATGCGCTCATGACTTTTGAGAAAAGGAAGGTTTTCAATGAAAAGTTGTTTCTCACGATTTGTAAAGAAGAGGTCTTGGTCGTAAAATCATTTTTTTGTCCCAGTCTGGATCTGGTCAATTCTAAAAATCATTTTTCCCGCGATTTCATCGTAATCAATTTAATACAAAAAGGAAAATAAATAAGTTAGAGCTGTCGTTTTTCAGCTGCTCTGGCACAAACGAATGGAAGGTATTCAAGCAATGATTCCAGTTCGCATGGCGGATAAAGTTGGTTTCTTTTCGAAATATTTTTCTCCATGGCAATCACTCACACATATCTAGCTTTTCTTCTTTCAAAATAATCCATCTTAAGCGATTTATTACACGGTTTTATCTCTTATTACTCAGGTAAATCCAGATTTGGAAAGATTCAGAAATAATTATTACCAAGCTTATCGAGCAAATTGAAGCTTTCTGCGTGCACTGCGGCAAAGTAAGCATTTATTTTTTCTTCGGCTTGATTTTAATTTTTTTTAATTCTTGGCTAGCGCTTGTCCAGGCGTCTCTCTTTTTTCTAACTATTTGGAACTTCCGAAACTTTTATTCAGTCTTCAAAGAGAGACTCTGTTGAGTCCTGGGATTATTGAAGCTTTGTCCGTTCAAGGAGCTGTCGTTGATCAAGAGAGATCATCATGCTCTCCTTGAGAAAGTAGTAATCAAGATTGAGCGTTCCGATGATCACTGGTTCTGCAATGATATGTTTCAAAAAATGCTCTAGGCGGACCAGAAAGAAGGCGAGTACCTAAGCGAAGCGCTGAAGCTGGCCGGCAGTCTGGAGAAGGCGTGCGACGTCGTTTCCGAGGCCGCCGCAGCCGCGTCTCTCTGCAACGCCATTCATCATCCCAAGCAGATTGGGTGATTCTCCTGATTTTTCAGTGATAAAAAAGTATCAGCGCATGGAAACATTATAGGTAGATGTTGTTTCTTACAGAAAATTAAGTAGGACTTGGAAAACTGTGTTGCTTTAAAATCTTATTTATTATGGTCCCTTTCTTGTTTCTGCTGTCAAGTACTATTGGAAAGTGTTCATCAACGATTGGGAAAATTACTTGAAAAGGAATTTTTAAGGTTATTGCACAAGTTTCTGTATGTTATCCTCAACAGAAATCCCATATATACGGTTAAAAAAGAGTTCTGCAACGTTTTGAAGCGCTCAGTTTTGCAAATGTTCTACGTCCCGAAAATAATTCGAGGAGAAGGCTGAATGAATCTTCACGGCTCTTGAAAATCGTTTCAAAAAAAAAAATATATATATATCCCCTTTCATAAAATTTTGCAATGCCTTTTCTTTCAGCGCTTTTGGCCAAAAAGAAGAGAAACAGACGCTGAACAACTCGTTGTTCCTTTCCGTTTCGACGGATCAGCCGATGATTTCGGTAAGTTTTGGAATTTCAAAACAAAAAAGCAGTGAAGGCAAAATTGGAATGAATTTTTTCAGGCGATAGCCATGTCAAAATTGAACGAAGACATCGCAGCCCAGGAAAAACGGGTCCTCGACTGTCGGAAACGGCTCCAAGAAGTCATGAAACATTTTGGTGGATGATCATATTTCATATCATTGTAAAGCTATTTTCTGTTGATACTTTCCCTATTTCTGTCTATTTCATGTATTCTGAAAAACTACCCATTCCCGTCATTTTCTTGTACAGTTGAAAGCTATGTTAACATGCATCTTGATATAATTCGTACACTCCAATTAATAACTTTTTCTGTCTGATAGTGAATAAATTTTTCAATTAGTTTGATGTCCAGGTTAATCTAAAAGATTTTCCAGAAAACTAGTGAATTCTTTGTTCAATCTACTACTGCCGTGTTCGAAGTAATTCCGCGAACTTCAGGATAGCCGTCAGAGAGTGAAAAAGATAACTAAGTTTTGGAGGGTCAGAGATTATTTTGAGTTTCGCGGAAACTAGTTTGAACACGGAAAGCTGCTCGCATGCTGATCAGGTGTCTCAACGGGTGTACCCGTATTTAACCCGTGTTTCTGAGGTTATTTTAGTCTCAGTTGGGCTAAAACGGGGGAACAACGGGTGTAAGAAAAATATGTAACCCAGCTGGGCTAAAGCGGGGTCTCAGTTGGGCTAAAAATTGCCAAAAGTTCTATCAGCTGGGCTTTTACGGGTTTAATACGGGGGCACCCGCGGAGACCCCGTGTTAGCACGGCGGGGTTACCCTGCTCAGCATGCGAGTGGTTTAATAACATGATCCGACATTGTCAATAATGAAATTGGAAGCTTGAACCTGTCTTATTTGAGTTTTGAATTATTTATGCGTACCTTCTGTCCACCTCAAGATAGCCGTGCTATATTCGATGTGATTTTCGTTTTCTATTATTTCAAGCCGAAAAATTAATTGAACCTCGATCTTTTTATTCTTTTCGTTCAGCCGTTCTTGGTTATTCAACATTTTCAAGCTTCAGGTAAGGTTTCAGCGTTTATCAGAACAAAAGTAGAGCCAAAATGAAGGGTGCTGATTATGTTGATAACATATTTTCATTATTTCCAATTTCACAATATTGTGGATAATTTTGTTTTTTCTGTCCAGAACAAAAAATATTGAGCTTCGAAACCATTTTCGATAGTTTGCCGCTCGTTTTTTGGCCATAGCTTTTTTCTTAGTGAATCTTTTTTTCAAAAACTAAACGGATTATTAAAATTGACAGTCTCCTCTATCGAATATTGTGAAAAACATATTTTTTGAATAGTATTGAAGAAATGGCTTGTGGTCCCTAGATATATTTCGAAGCTGCGCTTTATACGTTTCGACACAGAACCAAAAATAGTTCTTGAGAAGGTTTTGATGTTTTTTTATAGATTTCGCATTCCAGCGTAGGCAAATGAAAGTTTATAATACTCGGGAGACCTTCCGGTACGAACCCAAAGAAAAGGAAACAGTATTGTAAGTTAATAAGTAATTTTTCCCGGTTCGAAAAATATTTTGGGTTAGGGATCCACTGGCTCTCGAGTCGCGAGACGTGCAGAACTTTGAATCGGCCGGGAAGGTTGCCAAGTACCAGTGCAACTGCAAGTATCCTTGGCTCCGCGAGCTCCACGGGCTCACGGCCTTCATGATGGTTTCCTTGATTTGATTATAGTCTGCTCAGATTCTGAATATCAAGTGGTCGCTAAAGCACCGCCCATAATGGTGCTATAAGCCAATCAGAGAGCGAGCCATCCACAGAGTTTTTGAATGACGTCATTGTACTTTTCATTCAAAATCTGAACAGACCTAAACACGAAAAATACAGGATGAAAGCCAATACTAATAAATTAGATCTTTTTAAAAAAATAAGATAAAAAAAGACCATTTACATTTTTGTTTGAGCATTTTCGGAATTTGAGAATTTTTTTCGGATTACCGTTGGTGTACTGGATTAGGTCAAGAACTATTCTGCCTATACTAATTTTTAGGAGAGCTTAAAAAGAAAAATCTTTAAAAGTTTACGATCAGCAAATTTTTGCCATATTCTCATCAAGAACTGAGGAGTTGGACAGCTTGAAATCTGGTACTGATAGAAAATTCTTCACCTATCTTTTTATGACAAAAAAAACTTATCACCGAAAAGCTGAATAAGAGAGAGATGTGCTCTCAAAAATGAAAGAAACCTCATTTCTTTGAATCTTGCGAGGCGAATTTACGTTGACTCAAACTTTTTACAACTTTTAAAGTTCAACACTCTATTCTTCATCAAATAGAAGAAATTCAGTCCAATTCACTGAAGGAGAAACTTTTCTGGTTGGCCGTCATCTTGGCCTGCACGGGTGTTTCGATCTACAACACGAAACTGATTCTCGAGGACTACGTCAAGGCTCAGACCGCGACTAGAATCACAATTTTGCCGGTCATTTTTCGTTCTTTTTTTTTAAATATATTCTTTCTTTTGCGCTTCAGAGGATAATCTCTCAAGTTGATAATGGTTAACCGGTCGTGCTTACCCAGAGTCTCAGGGTGTACCCGGTTTAAACCAGAACTTTTGGCTTTTTTTTGCCAATTTCGCTCATTTTCCAAAATAAACGATTCTTTTCAGACAGACCGCCTCAAGTTTCCAACCCTCGTGTTTTGTCCGAAAAATGCTGATGCTCTGCACTTTTACCCCATTCTGGAAGGTTTGAAGCTGATTGAGTTATATATTTTAGCTATTTCATTTCTCAGATATGTATCAGCGGCTGGGATACATGGAAAACAACACAAATATGGACATTATTCAGTACGCGATCGCCGGTTTCATGTTCAGTAACGTCGACCTCGACAAGTACAACTCAACCTATTTGTTCGTTTTCTTTTCTTTTCTTCTTGAATTGTATATTCAATGTTTCCCGACTTGAAAGGCGAGGGAGGCGTGGCTAGGGGCGGGACACGTAGCGTGTGCGTACGCGGTTCTTGGCACGTGTTCAATTCAACCGCTAGCGAGCATTCAGAGAGCTTATTTATCGCTTTTTTCACTTCTTTTTTAATTTTTTATTGATTATGTTCATGTGTGCATCAAAAACTAGAAGAAAATACAAAAAAGAGCGGTTGCCGAGCTTTTTAAATAGTCGGCGGCGATTGAATTAAACTGGCGCCAAAAACCGCGTACGCACACGCTACGCGTCTCGCCCCTTGCCCCGCCTCCCTCGCCTTTCAAGTCGGGAAACATTGACTATACACTCAACGACACAAAAATGACATTTCCCCCAAAGTTCAAACAAAAATTTTGCGTTCCAATTCTTCAAAATTCAAAATTTTCGCTGATTCAAGGCTGGCTTGAGTCATCGAAAAAGGTCCTAACACGGTAATAATTATATAGTGTCTTTTTATTCAGCCTTACATTGTTAGCTTTTCGTTATTAAAGGCGCATATACAGAGATTGGTCGCGTACATCGAAAGATGATCTCCCGGAAAGAAAAATTGTGAAAACCTAGCGCGGAATGGGCTAATATTGCATTGAAAATTTCAGAAAAGTTGTGATTTTTTGATAGATGAAATCTTCAGAAATACTCTAAACGACTATTATTTGAAATGGCGAGGGGAGAGGTCTCAACTGGAAATGTTCGACTTTGTATACAACCAGAACGGCTACAACTGCAGCGATGTCAGTTTTTTTGAAAGCTTGGAATTATTAATTTGTTTGCTGGAAGTCCATTGCCGCATGTGGAATGGTTCGATGTGTTACGAATTTTTTTCGAAAAAAATTTTTTTGTAGTTTTCATGTTCCGAAGTAGTTTTTTCCGATTAGTAAAATGAAAAATATAGCATTTTCAAAGATTTTTCTTCACATTTTTTGAAGGCTTTCTCCTTGATCACTCTATGTTCCTAAATAGATACTTTTTTTGAGTTAATTTTCCCCGGCAAGTCGTCGCTCAAGCTCCGCCCCTAATGGTGCGATAAACCAATCAGAGAGCGAGCCATCCACAGAGCTATTTCGAATGACGTCATTCTACTTGAAATTTGAAATCTGAACAGACTGTATTCGTCGAAAAAATGCGAGAATGAAGCTTTAAATTGAAGCTTCAGCTTTTCCAAACGTGCTACGGTGGCTCGACGACCTACAACTGCTGCGATTTATTCGAGCCCAGTTACGCGATGCTTCGAGGAAGGCAACTCTCAGCCTTGGAAGATAGATTCTCTCGATTGTTTCAGGTGTTACCGACTCATCGATTCTTTCTATCAGAACGACACGGATGAAGTCTCCAAAGTGATCATCTACTTCAACTACATCGACAGTCCTCTTCTCGCCGATGGAGTCAAGGTTGCCCAAGAATAATTGATTTTAAAAACAATATATTGAAGTCGCAAATCATCATGTACAACACCGATTCGCACCCCGAAATCGGGATTTTTCCTCGTTATTATTTCAACCTACACGATTGGAATCGTCTCAGGTTCACACAGAAGGTTTTTTTTATATATTTAGATGAAAAAGAAAAAAAATTTTTTTTTTCACTTTTTATTTCCTTTGGCTTAGTTAGCCGTCAAGGTATTTTTCAAGTAAAGGCTAGCCTATTTAAAAAATTCAGCCCAAAAAGTTTTTTTTTACTTTTTTTAGCCCAAAAAGGGTTTTTTTCGTTTATTTCAGACCATGCCGCTTCAAAATTTTTCAAAAAAACAACTCTTTATCAAGTAAAATAACGGGAAGCTCAATTTTAATTTACTATGAATTAAAAAAACATATTCAGGTGATGAAATTAGTCCCGGTCAACGACCGCTGCTCACACGAACAAGTTTATCAAGGTTACAAAAAATGCTTCAAACAAAAAATTGCTCAAATTCAAGGAAAATTCACGTGCTTCGTTTACAAATGGCTGATGCAGCTCAAAGAGCAGTTCAATTGCACCGTTCCATATTATAAAAATCAAGTGAGCGTTTTTTTACGAGGCCTAACAAGGTAGGTCTTTTCAATTTGGAGTTTGGTTTGATAGGATTTTTTAAAATAAAAAGAAATTTAAATTTTTTAGATTTATTGAGCATATTTTTTTAGAACTCTAATGCACCAATTTTACGCTTTTCAGATCTATATCAGTCTGTCTGTATTTGTTTTTTTTTTTCAATCTAAAGTTTTCTCTAAACCTAAACGGATCAGTATTTACATTTTCCTCTAGCCATTAGTATAAAAAGAACTTTTTTTTTTAAATTTGGAGAAAAAAAGCCTGCCGTCCTTATTCATAAATCTGCAACTCTGAACTATCTGGTCTGTATTTTTCTTTTTCATTCTGAAGCTGAGTTATCTCTCGGATGTCCCAGTTTGCGAGCCGGAAGTCGTGGTGGCCAACTACGACAACATCACGGACACGCCTGCCATCCAGGGATATAAAGTGAGGATTTCGGTTCGAAGTTTATTTTCTATGGTTTTCGAAGAGAAAAATTTCAACATTAGAATGAACTCCCTTATTGGGAGTTTATTCATTTTAACATTTTTCAAGTGCAAGCCGGCGTGCAAAAGAGTTGAGAACGAAATGCAACTGACGACGAGTATCGACACAAGTCCCGATCAGACTTATGGGTTCCGCATAGAAGCAAGCTTCACCTATTTGGAGGTTTATCTTCAACGAAATTTTTGAAAAGATAGTTCTTTTCGATGGGCAGGAAGTCTAGTCGGCCTTTAAAAATAGTCTGCTCGTGCGAACTACCCATACCGCTCTTTGAGTCCGAAAAATTGACTATTTTTCAGTTTGAGCAGTACGAAGAAGTGCAGAAGACGACGTTGGCCGGCTTCATCTCGGAACTGGGAGGTCAGAGCGGCCTTTTCGTCGGCTGCTCCATAATGACCTTCGTCCAGCTGATCAGCTCCATCTGCCTGGCCCTCTGGAGGCTCTGCAGACGTTACTACGACGACCGTTACTACACGGTCCGACTGGGTCTCTACACGACGCATCCGACTGAAGACGTCCATAAATTCTACCCTAGACCTGATGAAGTTCCTCCGACAGAGCGAGACGACGTCCAAGAGGATGTCCACAAGCCTCTTTCCGTGATAGACGAGGTCGAGGAAACCGCCACCGAGTCAAGAGCTGGACCATCTGAATCAGAGAAGCCAAGTACCGGAAACAACAGCGCCAACCCTACGATGACCTCGTCTAGCATTGAATACATCGGTTTTCCTGAAGTCACGTCCAATGAAAGTCGTCCGAGTTCCACCCAACCTTCTGAAACTTCGACGGTGGAGTACACCTTTCCCTATGACGAAGTTAGGCCGCGTTCCCTTCGACGTCGTGTTGCTCCAAGCGAAATCGAGTAAAGTTTTCAAACTGCTTTATCGTAATTCGATACAAAGTTCGAGTTTAACTTAAAGCTTTCAAATTTGTTTTCGAGGAGTAGATTGGAAAAATTTATTGAGGAAGACCTACTAGGAAGGTTTTTAGTAGCTTGAAATTGTCTGAAGATTGTCATGAAGAAACACGAACTTTTCACGGTTAAAATTTCGAGGATCTGGACTTGATAGTTAAAAAAATGTTACGTATAGCTGACTCATGGCTAGCTTGGAACGCTAAAGGGATGTGGCCTGTTTTTACGTGTCAGGACCCTATTTTTGATGGCTCTAGTCAGCCGTGAATCAGCTATAACATTATCATCAAATTCCTAACCAAAAAGCGAAATAACCTTTCCTGTGAGAGGGAAAACACAAAAATAAAAGAAGGAGCAAGAAGTACCCGTCCAATTATATAGTCAATCAAAAAAAAAAAAAAAAATTATTTTCGATCATTAAAACTTGGCGCCGCTGTCATTGATCGGAAAGTGGATGGAATGTATGGTCTGGGGTCGATCCATGTGGTGGGTCGCCAGCTCTTGTTCAATCACTTTTCGTAGCTTCAAAAATGAATATTTTGTCGAGTCTACTCTATTCCTGAAACCTTGTCGTCGTCGTCCTCGTTGTCGCTGACGTGACTTCGCATGCTCCCAGATTCTTCCTCAACTTTCGGCAGCTTTTTGTGCAACGACATCGTGCTGACAAAACCTGAAAAAAAAATGGAGTTTCTCAATATTCGTGGGGATAAAACCATCGGAAAGTTCAAAGACGCCGTAAGGTCTCTGTGGCGTGCTCAACGACTTGGAGAACATGTTGCCGTCTTCTACTTTGTAGGAAACGGGTTGAACAGAGTGGGATCGTACTCTGAAAAATCAAATCTTTTCTTCAACCAGAAAGTTTCGAAAGTAATTTTTCTCTGTAGAAGGGAGTTTTTGAAAAAATTTGTTCAAAGAGGGGGATTGAAAAAAACTTTGTAGCAAAAAAAGTGACGCGTAATAAGTGATTTCGCGATTTACAAAAACTTGAGGAGTTTCAAATTCTTATCAAGAAACATAAATATCACATGAAATCAAATCGAACACTATCCAAAAAAAATTGCAACTGTACCTAAATGTTTAGTAGATTTTTTTACATTGGAATATCGAGAATTTCAACCTTTATGCCGTGTTCAAACTGATTCCACGAAACTCAAAATAGCTCTCAGAGAGTGAAAAAGATAACTGAATTTTGGAGAGTCAGAGATAATTTTGCATTTCGCGGAAAATTCTTTGAAAACTTGCTTTACGAAAAAAGTTATGATGATAAAACTTTTGTTCGTTTCGATGGTCATTATCTTCATCGTGTCTGTAAATCAATTACTTTAAATATTTGACCGGCGTCTGTCCAACCTGTTTTTTTTTCTGGATATTTCAGTTTTCCGAGCTTTTCTCTCTCAAAAAATAGACAGCTTTTGGTGATTCAAACATTCAGTTCATTATTTACTTCAACAAGTATTCAACCAATTTTCAGAAAATTCCCAACCCATAACTAGAATGACCTTCCTCTTGAGAGAGGAATTTCAAGGTAAGTAAGAGAGGAACCTGCCGCCACCTAACGCGTCGCTGATCTTCCGCCTCAGTCGCGCCGTCGAGTTTGACCTCGGGTAGGAGCTCCCGCCAGATTCTCCGAAAACTGAAAACGATAATTTACTCTGGAAAAGGTCGGATTGGGATTGCTTACGAGTTGGAGACGCCGGCTGCAGAGAAACCATCGGTACAATGTCTTCCGGGTTGGCAAGCCTGAAATGAAAAAGAAAAAGGTCGGACAGAATTTGAAAATGACGAACGTGACGGTTTGGGCGGAGCCGAGAAGAGCATGATCTGTGCCATTTTTCTGACTTTCTTCAGAATAAACAGGCGCGAATGAAGGATCGGCGAATTTGTCGCGCAGCATGGGAGGACAGACGTCGTAGGTCTGGTCCACGATCGCCATTCCCGTCTGCAAACGACGAGTTTGTCGCCGACGCCGGGATTCTCACCGCGATATTTTTGTCGATCAGAAAGTTGCATTCGAAGTCGTCGTCGTCCTCACCGAGGGGATTCAGAAGGCCTTCTGCTACCTGGACGACAGATTCCAGAATCAGTTTCGCATTTTCACTCTGAACTAACCTTCAGCCAGCCCATGAAAAACACAAACTGGAAAACGGTCAGAAGAGGAAAGTAATAATCAACCTGGAAAAGGTACAGAATATTTTGGCTGGAGGAAAATAAATAAACCGAGCTGGTTCTGTTGAGATCAACGTACTGTCTGGCGACGAGGCAGACCAGAAAGTAGACCCGAACTGCTAGGAAAACGACCTGATAAAGATGGTTCTAGGCGACTCAGGAACAAAAAATGAACCTGAGGATATGCAAGAGGAATCGGAACCCAGTCGAAATTGCACAAAAGAGCCAAGTTTGTTCGGAAAAGTTTGAGTTCCTGTATAACGCCATATCAAAAACTAGGAAAGAAGCCGGTGAAAAGAAGATTTGAGTTGTTGTTTGGGAAATTTCTCATGCCACTCTTGCTCTAAAAATGAAGTTCATTTTGTTTTGAAGTTTCAAATTTTCCCAAAAAATCGCTGAAGATCTATACGAAGGCCCTCCAAATTCGATATCTGCTCAAAATTCAAATTTTTAAAATAGAAAACTTCAAAATTGAAAGTCCTTAATTACAACCAAATTTTCTTAAATTTCTAACCTGCCATACAGTGTTGAAAAGAGCCGGAGTGATGTCAGTGTCCTGAAAGAAAGGATAAAGTTGACTATTTATAAATGTTAGACTTTCTCATAATAAACTGACTTGCTACGCTGAATTACTTAGGTTAAAGACATTTTCAGAAAAACGGAAGAATTTAAAAAAAAGTGTCACTTGGTTCTAGAAAAAAAAAGCCTGAAAGGAAAAAAATCAAGTCAGTTTGCGAACATCAAAAATTGAAAAAAAAACCGACAAAAAGTTTCCAAAAAGGGTTTTCAAAGTTTTTGGGGTGAAATTCGATGGAACTTCTAAAAAACGGGCCCCTTGGTCAAAATTCCCAAAAAAGTTTTTTTCTTTTTTTTCTGATCTTGAATGAAAAGGCCTTAGCAAATCTCTCTTTTCTACAAAGCTCCACCAAATTTCGCTCTACCGGCCATTAAAACATTCACCTAATGACTGCATTACCTTGTGTAGTTGGAAGAGAAGGGTGGAGGCCCAGTTGACTGGAACCCAGTATTTGTTGTAGTTACAGTCGACCTTGTCTAACATAACAGCTTCGTGCTCATGTAGAAAACCTTAAAAAAGTGTTATTTTTAGGAATAAATCAAAAAAGCTGCAATAGTCAGGGGAAAAAAATTACAGAGAAAAAATCAGCTTAAAAAACCAAGCAGCGAAAATTCTGTCATTTTTTGCGCTCCACCGATAATCGTTGCAAAAAGTTTAGGTTTCGCCGCATTTTCAATATTTTTGAAATATTTCATTTTCTATTTTCGATTGATAAATTCTAACGTAGATAATTTTTTTGTAGAATAATCTACAACTCGTGAAAAAAACCCTTTTTTTGCGAGAAAAAAATCGTTTTTATTGATTTTTTTATGGTTTTATCTACTATTTTAAATAGGACACAATCAAACTTCGGTTGTTTTGAAAAGTTTTTTAGACAAAGTAAACGTTCCGTTCACTGAATATCGATTTATCGTGTGAAACAATACAAAGAAAAACACAAGTTAAATCAAATAAAGTGAAAAAAATTACTCGGACATTGGTAACGCGAAACGGACGTGCTCCGGACGTTTCTGGGCGATTCTAGGGATCCCTTAAGAGTTCTGAGGCTACTAAAGTGGTCACTAGAAATGCCCCGACACGTCCGATTCGCGTCCCGTTCGCGTTACCAAGGTCTGAGTAGCTGGAATTCAACCATTGCGTTATCGCTGGAGCGCAAAAGGTGAATATGGCGATTCTGCTTTCGCGATTTTTTCGCAGTCCTTTTCTTTCACCTATTTTAGGTTGAAAATCGACATACCGGCTTTCACTATTGAATCAGTGTTTGGGAAGCGACGACGGACTTTCAGGGAAATGTCTCGGAAAACCAGGACCTAAACGTAATTTTCTAAAAAATAAATTTGAGCATTATCAAACCTGAGAAAGGACCAGATAACGGACCAAAGTTCTGCGGGACAAGACGACTTTTTCGTCGGTTCCTCGAACTATGGTGGCGATTGAGATGGCAACGCTTGAAACAACTTTTATGAGTTTCACTCGAGAAAAGGAACTTTTCGATGAAGCCAATGTTGGCGAAGATGTTCTTCCAGCGGTCGACGATGACCGTGACGAAGAAGGCGAGCATGAAAGTCAGAGGGACGCATTTATCCAACGCCTTGTCCAGACTCTGAGCGACTTCGACAAACCTCCTTTAATTTTTTGTCAAGATGTATTTTGAGGATGTGGATGAACCCTTGTTCGGACTTGTTGAGGAGCGTTCTGTACACGACGAAGACGGCGTAGTAGCCGATCAGCCAGAGTGCAAGCTCGTTCGCCACGGATTTCCAGATGGAGCCGCGCCAGCGAAAAAGCAACTTGAAGAAGTTCAGACACGACACCGAGGAAACGTCCAGGTTGTACGAAACCGTCATTCTCTATTCTAGAAGAAAATCATACTTGATTGTACTCCTCTAGATGTGAAGCTTCATTGACTTAGAATTACTTTCAAGGTGCGCCGGACCGCAAAACGACTTGCGCTTGCCGGCATAAGCTATATGATGTTTCGTAAAGTTCAAGCTTTGAATAAAAAGTCATAATTCTCCAACTTCAATTCATTCAAAGCTTTTGAAAGATGAAGCCTCCTTTTTTATAAAGTTCGAAGAAATTGGATAAAAATATCATTTTTTGGAAACGGAACTCGTGAGAACAGAAGAACGTTTGGAAGCGACGATGGTGTGGAAAAAAAGGCTACGATAAAAATCAAAGTGTGTCGCGACCTGTTCTTCAAAATAAATTGCGATTCTGTTTGAAATTCAAGTGCCAAAAATGTCGAAAACAATAATATTTTATGCAGATCGCTTTCAAAGAGCGCAACTATCTGAGCAACAATGCTATGAAGTTCAAATGGAAGAAATTCTTTTCCGGATGTATAATTATCAGTTGATTATCGATAATTCAACTTATTACTATTTTTTGATTGAAAAAACTTTTTCATTATTGTAAAATTAAGCTTTTTATGAAAAGAGGAAAAGAAATTAAGAAAAACTCCGAAAGTCCATTCAAAGCGGTCCAGAAAAAAAAAAGAATTATTGAAAAGCAAAGAAAACGAAAAGGTCCTGAAAGTCAAATAATGCCAGAAATTTCTTTCATGCCTACGCAACTCCGTTTACATTGTTAAATTGATAAAAACCGCTTTTTATGCAAGAAAAAAGCGAGAAAGAAGGATTCAAAAAGGTACTTGAGACTGTCGACGATACTCTGCGACACGGGAAAATGTTTTTTTTTTTGCTGGAGCGTGAAAAGAAATATATAATGTTTCTTTTCATCGATTATGTAAATATCTGTTTTTTGTTCGAGTGATGCCAATATCTGACTTTCGATAGAACTTTTTGATAGATCAAGTTAATCTTGCCTTCTTGTGAACGCTCAAGATTCCGTGAACAATTGAAAATTAAGTTAGAGACAAAAATTGAAAAATGCAGCTATACTTATTGGAAAAAAGCGGAATTGATAGAGATGGACAAAAATTATTCCAAAAAGTTATTGAAAAAGCCAGGATGAGCGAAAAGGCGGGCAGCCAATCGAAATGACGTCCTTTGCGTTTATTCGGACGATGATCTTGTGACAAAATACGTTCTTTTATTCGGTATGTTTGACTTTCAGGTAGATGTGCTGGGAAAGTAACGAAAAGAAATTTTTTCTGTGCCTTTCGGAGTTCGGCTACTTTTTGATGCGAAAAATGGAAAAGAAGTGAGAAAAAGCCGGCATGAAAATGATCAGTGTATTGAGCGGTATGAAAAATAAAATTAGCAAGTCTATTTAAGAGAAAGAAAAATTTTTTTCAAAATTTCAGAGAAGCCCTCTATTTTTTTAATATTTCAGAGTAAAAAAACCTAGTTCCAAGACTTTTTTTGCAGAGAGACAAAAAAAGAAAGTTTTTAATACGTCCCAATATTTATTAAACTTCAAAAAAATTATTTTCATCTAACAAGATTGAAAAAACTGAAAACTAGTCTGAATTGGAGCTTCCGAGCCGGGAAAAGGATAGGAAATCAAAAACTTACAGTCGAATGAAATGTCAAAGAAACAACGTGAAGCAATGGGAAGAACGAACCTCCTGTCCTGACTAATTGAATCTCACGGGTGGTGGAACTATGAAGACAGAAGATCGCCGCCAGTGATATCCAGATGTCATTGAGGACGAACCGACGACCCTCGACGACAAATAAAACTGTAAAGAAGACTCCAAACGAGATAATGATCGCTCCCATATCTGTAAACGCTTTGTTTTTCGTTGGTTACAACTTTGGAAGATAAAGTTGTTAAATTTCGCCCCAAGTATTTCAAGCTGGTTTTGTTTAAAAAAAAACTTATTCTTGACCTCAACAGAAAGTGACAATTTTTTTAAACTCGCAAAATAAAATTAGTTGAAAATAGTTTTAAAAATGGTTAAGAAGCGTTTATCGAAACTACAGTTAAAAATTGAAAGCCCTTTGTAGGGATTTTGAGTATTTTCCAGTGGTTACCCCTCGATCCAGAGCTTAAAATTCTTTGAAATCAGTTTAAACGTGCGAAACTACACTGCTCCACATAATTATATATCCACCTAAGACTTTAAACTTTTTTAACCATTTTTTCCGGTTTTTTGTATCAGTTATCATTTTCTCATCATTTTTGTTCAAAAATAAGAAGAAGAAGAGCAAAAAGGTTTTCCAAGAAGTTGAGGAACCTTGGATTTAATCATAAAACGGTCGCGGTGCTCTTCATTACATCAGCTACTCTTGAATCGATTATGATGTGAATATTTTGATTTCATAAGTACCTTTGTACTTGTGAGCAACAATTTGAGTTCAAAAAACTTCAGTCAAATATTTCTTTGCATTGAAAAGAGGGAGTTTTCCGATAACATTTATGAATTGTTTGCAGTTTTGCCAAAAATAGAAAGCTTAAAATGTCTTCGGACCATTTCTGTAAACTTTTTCTGAGATAAAATCGTTTTTTTATTTCAAGAATAGTTGGTCTCATCAAAAAAACCTGCTTCTAGAAAAGAAGAATGAGCGAAATTGGTAAATAACTAAGGGAATTTCAAGTCAAATTCATAGGGATTTGAACTTTTTTTTCTTCGAATTTTAAATTACTTTTTTTCTTCTCATGATTGAAGATTACAGTTATATTTTTGTTTTAAAACATTGAATAGTCCATAATTATCCTTATTCAGCGAAAAAAATTAAACAGAAAGTCAACACAATCGAAATCACGAAATATCCTTTTTTGACTCTTGTTTCTCTGAAATTTTTTCAGCTTTGAGATTTTTTTTGTCAGGTTTTTCTGAGTTAAACTATTTCTGATTCCCTCCTCAGCCTTGTTGCATTGTAGATTAAGAATTTCTCCGCTCAATGACTGAGAAAAGCGAGTTCAAGTTGAAAAAACTGATAATTTTGTCAAAGGCGCTCACGGTTTTTGAAACTTTTTTTCAAAATTTGACGCCCATTTAGGAATCTTTTTTGTGATAAACTTTTTCAAAACTTCTGAGTTAATCCTGCATATGAAAATTCAACCCTCACATTGATGACTGTGGAGCTGGAGTACAAAACAGCACCGCGACCGTTTTCTGATCAAATCCAAGGTTCCTCTGCTTTTTCGAAAACCTTTTTGCTCTTATTCTTCTTATTTTCAAACAAAAATGATGAGAAGATGATAACTGATACAAAAAAACCGGAAAAAAATGGTTAAAAAAAGTTTAAAGTCTTAGGTGGATATATAATTATGTGGAACGGAAAATTCGGTTTTTTTGAAAAAATGAAATTTTTAAAAACATTTGTTTTTCAATAGGAACTTTGTTGATAGCTATATTAATCTGATCAAAATTCCCATCTTTTGACAACAAAAAGATTTTCAGAAACTCTCAAAATATTCGATTTTTCGAAAAATCTCAGGTGGATATATAATTATGTGGAGCAGTGTATTAGTATGATAAATATTTCATTGTTGCAACAAAATGCATGCATTTAGAGAAAGAAGAAAAATAGAAAGAACCAAGTTTTAAAAAAAATCAAAAATATATAGAACTGCGCGGAAAATTTACCACTTTCAGTTGCAAACACATGGCGTATCTTCACCGCACAGTAAGCAAAAAAGTGTGATTTCGGCGCAGTAAAACAATAACGACTCGAATCTCTGTAGAAAGATGTTTTGAAAGTTTTATGAGCAGATACTTGAGAAGTACTAATAATATATGGATTTGCGGCCAACTTTCTTTTCTGTCAAGTCCAAAAAGTTATCATTTGTAGAGTTCAACGAGACTGAAGTTTCTGTCGTATTGAAAGCGAGACTTTTCGTTATCGTTTTGTTTGCCGTCTGCGTCTTTCTTGGTCTTCACACAGACCAGAGAACTCCACTGGGCGCAATGTTGTGCAACCTTCTCACCGCTATATAAATATACTCTCTGAAATTGATGGAAAAAAATTCATTTGCATATTGAATTTCTTGTAATTTCTTTTATTCTAGTTAAGTTCGGGTTATTTCTATATGTTTCCATTTCGATTATCTGTTTGAAACCTTTGACTTTCTCAGAGGTGTCCGAAAGAGCACATATATAATATATGTGATATATTTTCAATAAAAATAAAATCCGATTTCCCGTTTTATTCTTCGAGTTTAGCAAAACTTCTGCGACTCGAGAAAGGCTTCCATGTCTTTCGCTTTTGTTATTTTTTTCGAATGCTTCATTTAGCAGAAAGAAAGGACGATATATATCTGTATTAGATATTTTGATAAGAACTAAAAACGAAAGTTTGCATTGAAGTCCCACGATGTCAACAGAAGAGATACTAAAAGCGCTGTCTCTCGAAAAGATTGAAGCCGATGTTCGAAGCTACTACAAAGTAGAAGGATCTTTCGGAAAAAATGTTCGTGTCGAAAAAATTGGTTCAGGACAGGTTAGTTTCAAAACATATTTTCTTCAGCATTGGATAATGCGGAAAACTTTCAGGGGTTTGTATCTGAAGTGCTTCTCTTCTATCCAGACTGGACCGAAGAAGGAAAAGTTCCTGAATATTTCGCTATAAAGGTGAACACAAAGTTACAACTTCAAGTGAACTTTGAATACTTTTACAGTTCCTGTCGGCACGAGCCAATGGAAGCTCGAAGTTCGACGAGGTCCTTGTTTCTTCAGAACCTTCTGGAGCTGAAATCCTCCGCGCAAAAGTGAGAATTTCAAAGTTTTCGAGAAAACAAAATATATTCAGTTGCACAACACGGAAGTCGAGGTGCTGAAATGGCTTTCTAAGTGTTCCGATTTGCCAGTTACCAAGGTTTTGAAATGTAACTTTTCACTATTTAATTGGAGCTTGCAGATTATTTCGGCCAACGAAATGGTAGCAGGAAAAGGTCCAGGCTATTTCCTGATGAAGCATATCAAAGGATCTCCCAACCTTCACATGTGCGACAACATTTCTGAATCGGCTCTCAACCAGGTAAATCTCTTCTGAATCTTCGAAAATAGATATTAATTATTCCAGGTGATGAGAACGTTGGCGAAGATCCAAGTTATCGGTATGGACGTTCCCGAAGAGGTTGTAGCCCAGAACTCAAGGGACTACTTCAACTCTATCGCTAAAATTATCTACGAGGATAAGGTTGGCTTTTACAGCGCTGATGTTTAGTTTTCTTTCTTTTTCAGACAGTTGAAAATTTCTGTCGAATGCTCGAGAAAACAGCGAGTCCGATATGGCCTGAAAGCACGTCTGAACTGATCAAGCGGTTCAAACCGATAGCTCCAAACTTCCTTCGATTCTCAGACGACGTCGGGTCTTCTCTCAGTGAATCTACCTTATAAACTCCTTCTTAAAAACTGACTTGTTTAGAAATGAAAAAAGTTCTTTGTCACGGCGACGTTTGGATGTGCAACATGCTTTGGAACGCAGAAGACGCCGCCAGCTGGAAATTGGAGGCTTTGATCGATTTCCAGGTATTTGAGTGGGTATCGGATGCTGTTAATCCTCCTCCAGGCCGCCCATTTTGGCTGTCCTGGAATCGACTTGGTGCGGCTTTTCTGCGGCGTCCTGAGCGGAGAAGAAAGGCGAGCACGGGCGAACGAGTACATCGAAAGGTTCTACGAATTCTTGCGAGAAGAACTCGGCGACGACTCGCGACTGCCGTACTCGCTGGAGCAGCTCCGCGAGTCCTACCACCGACAATTCGCCTTGGCCGCCTTCATTGTCTGCGGCTCAATCGCCGTCGTCGGCGAGATGATTGTCGAAAAGAGCGACGACCCTAAAGTGGTGGGAAAAACCGATAATTTATGTGAAACTCTACCTTGTTTCAGGCAAAAGAAGTGCTGTTCGAGAAACAAAAGTGCCTTATCGAGGACATTGTCAAGGAAATGGACCGATCTCTTACAATAATGCATTCCGAGCAAAAACAATAAAATTAGGCAATAAATATGTTTCAAATTAAATCGTGAACGTGGTTTTTTGACTCATTTCGAATACAGGCGCGCACAAAAAAATAAAGGTGGATTTTTCGAATATTAGCTTAAGCCATCGAGAAAAACACAACCAAATCTTCAAAGCTTCAAGTTAATTGGTTGGATTGGACAGGTTCTTCTCAATGCTTCTGAAATGGATCCTGGTTTTCGCTCTTCTTATCGCCTTCGTGTCCTCCAGAGACTTTTACTGTTGGATCGGAAAGCCTTTTTGCCACATGAGTTGTATGTGGGAGGTTCGCTAGATTTTGATAGCTTTTCGAAAGTTTGATCTAGAATTGCTTGGAAGGATCATGTGACAAGGACATTTGTGAATGCTTGAAGTGCGACTACAATGAAATTATCCAAATCCCACCACGAGGCCTGAAAATCATGTGATTTGCAATAAATTGAAAATTGTTCTCTGATCATTTTTTTAAGATTTGCAATTTAAAAGAGCCGAAAAATATGTTTACAGGAAGTATTTAAAAAAATTGAAAAAAATTTTTTTGCTCTCAAACGATAATGTTCTGTTCGCCAAAAATTGTTTTTGAACGCGACTTCGTGACTAGCTCCTTGGCAAAAAAATGAAAAATACCTTAAAAAAAGAAAAACAAAAAAAATACTGTTTTTGAAGCAACAAGAAAACTTTTTTTGAGAAATTTATAAATTTTTTTAAAGAAACGCGTCTGAGCAGATTATGCAAAAAAACGAACTATGCGATAAAGGAGAACCGGCTCGAGGAAAAGCTAACGTTGATCACTCACACGTTTTTCAAATTTTTTAATTAGTACAATCAAACTTAAAAAAATAAGAGAACCAAAAATACAAAAGAAAAGTTGACGAAATGATGGCTGAAAAGGAATTGCAAAGTTATTTGGGTTTATGCGCTCTAAAGGACAGTTAAATCGATTCGTTCCCCCGAAAAATTTCGGGGAAAGTCCGTTTTTTTTTTCTTTTTTAAAACGCTCATTTGTTCTTTTCAAAATATATATCAGTGAAGCACGCAACCGTCTTGACGATGAAGGTCTTTCTTGTTCAAAAAACCTGCGTACCAGATGAATATTTTGTAAATCACACTGCAAATCTTCTTTTTTTATTTTTTTTTCGATTTTAAGGCGTTCACTTTTGAAAAATAGGGGTTTAAAGATCAAGACTTCAAGAACCTTCTTTTGAGCAAGTTATTTGAAAGTTTCAAAATAGTATGGCCTTTTTTGTGGGTTTTTTTTTTCAACGAGGCATCGCTCTTCTATGATCTGTAGGTCTGCTCTGCATCGCCACCGAAGACTGCACCAAGGAAACTTTGTTCTTCGCCGACTCGCGTCCCAAGGAAATCAAAACGTTAGTGCGGATTCTTCTGAAATTTAGTTTTTATAGGAAAAAAAAACTAAAGGTTTACTTGTTGAGAAAAATGTAAAGCAACGGGTTTATCGAGTTCCAGAGCATCCAGACGAAGTGGCCGAGGAACACGCCAATCGGCTGGTCCCAAGGAATCGGCAGATATTCCCATGTCACGTAACCCGCTATGTGCACCAACGACACACCGAGAACCTTCAAATCGGACATTTTCAACTGTTTCTTTGGTTTTTTTCTAACCTGGACGGATAGGATCACCTCTCTTTTTGAGAAGACTGACGCTTTCTGTAAGTTATCTATTTATTTTTTTAATTTTATTTTTTTGATTATATGATCAAGAGCCCGACAGTTTTTCTTCAGAATAATTTTTCCAGAAACCCAAAAATTTCTGTTAGACTGGTACAATCCATAACATCCCCCACTCACGAAATATATGAAGGGGAAAATCGCCGAATGGCTGATTATAGAGAAAACGACGTCAGCCAGGGATAACTTGGCGCTCCATTCTCTGACCAATGCCGAAAGGGGGTAATCTGCCTGAAATCAAGGCATCTTTTAAAATCATATGTTTACCGACGGATCCTTTCCTAAAAATCTCCTCTAACCGCTGTTTTGGCTACTGCCATAGCATTTATTTTGACGCCTTCTGGGAGGCCTCGAGTTATTTCAGAAATATTTTCACAGTAAGAAAAAAAGGACTTGGCGTTCTTAGAAACGCCCGAGTGGTTCCTATAGGAGGTAGGGAAGAAAAATCTCTTTTAGGACAAAAAAGTGCTCCCTTTAGGGGTAAAATTTAGGTGGTCGTTACAGGGGTTCAGGGTTTGACCCCTAAAACATGAGCGATGGCTTTAAGTGTGTTTCGATTCTCCGTTCATGTTTGAAAGTTGAAAAGACTTCCTTCCATGGCCCTCCATGGTCGCCCCCGTAGGGAGCACTCTGGCGTTCCAAAATAGTTTATACCAACATTTAAAAGATCGTCTAGTTTTCAGAAAGTTTATAAACTATCAGGGTGCAAGAAAAACATTGTAATAAATGTAGGTAAGAACAGAATAGGGAATCGGCAATAAAAATAAATAAAAAGTGATTTTTGTTTTAAGGTTTTTAGACACCATTTCTTGATTTCGCGTTGTCAAAAAAACCACTGTGTATTTTACGACGATCAGAAAAATATTGTGTCAAATACGAGCTTTAGAAGTCTATTTGATAATTTGTGAATCGTCTGATCTATTTTTTTCGTACACAGCTTCATTTTACTCACCATGTAGTGCCAGGTGTAAGCTGGTAGCAGGTAGACCATATGACTGAGATTACTGCAATCAATAAGAAAAAAACGGCAGCCCAATATATTGAAATTATCACGAAGAAAGCCTGGAACCTCAAAAACACATAAAATCCTTGTAATCTTGCATGAAACAATTTTTCTGCTCACGAGAAAATTATTACTTTTTATTAGATTTCTTTTCGCAAACGTCAATTCAAAAGTCACTTGTCTAACGTCTAAAAAAAGAGTTTGATTTTTTTGACATCCGAATGACTTTCGAAATGCAAATTAGAATAAAAATTGAAAAATGAACTATTTGGCCATTGGGCGTTAATAATTTACTTCCCACTAAACCTAGCAAAACTCACTGCCATCATTCGTTTGGAAAAGAGTTTTGTCGAGAAAAATGGGAAAATAATTGATATGAGTCTGTTTGCATTGAGAAAAATGCTCAAAACGAGCATACAGTTCCAGGAAGAGTTCATCAGAGCGCCGATTCCCTGAAAAATCCCTTTTTTTTTGAATTTTTCCAACTACAGGGATTTACAAAGTGAAAGGCTGTGAAATGGGGAGTCGAGTCGACAATGTAATAAACTGCCGAAAAGTGAATCAGCAATTGGACTGTATCCGTCACGGAAATCACGAACATTATCTGGAATCTTCTTTTATTCCTCATTATTTGATAGGACTACCTGATAGGCAGGGAATTTTCGAGTTTCTGAATCGTTGAGCATCGCGTTCATCACCAAAAGTTGCAACAGAATGAAGAAAACGCAATAAATAAAAATAAAAACGGCGAAAGGGATTTCCCGTTGCCAATAAACTTGCGAGTCGTAAACCGGGAACTCGATCAGACCTGCAAAAAGACCTTTTTTGGTCTTTGAAGCTCACTTTCAGTGCTTCTGAATTGAATAGTTACCTATGCCAACAATGTCCAGCTCGAGCAAAGTCTCGTTCATCTTGTCCGGAAAAAAGAGAGACAGGAATTGCCAAGCAACTAGTCAAAACTGAATCGGCGTAGACTTGTAATTGAATGTTTCAACGCGGATATGTGTTCTGTTAATCAAATTTGTAAGGCGAGGAAAAACTAGGAATAGGTAAACACCTGATTGACTTCTTAGGCCTTATGCCTCACACGAAGCGATGACTCGGAACGAGCTCCGCCCCATCTTGAGATGAACTTTATGTTTTTTTTATAAACTGAATTGAGAAAAAAGAAGATTCCAAAGAAAGAAACCTGCTTTCTAACATGTAGATTCTTTTGGAAAGTTGAGTTTTTTTGAAATTTATTCTAAACTTAGTAAGGTTACATTTTTTTGGTCTCCGATAAGTTCAACTGAGCCTCTCAGAAGTTATTATTTTTTTCGGAAGTTCAAACACGGGATCAAGGGCCATGCTGGAATTTGAAATTAATTAATTGAATATATCTTCAACCACTCAAGATGATCAGTTAGGTTAGTCAGATTTTTCTTCTCCGAATGTTTCCGAAACAGATTTTCTTTTGGTCTTTCTGAATCCATGCATTTTAGAGATTTTTTTCTGCTGCTTCAAAAGTCTCTAGTCACTTATGTCGTTTGTCGGAGCTTTTTTCTTTGGTGAAAAATCTCATAAAAAAAATCTTTCGAATTTACACGATTCCATGTCAAAAACGGTTCAAAGTAATAGGAAACTTGAAAATTTTTAGCAGATTTATTTCTTGAGTTTCTTCTGTATAACCTGCTAGGAGTCATTCGTGGAAGATTTCAAAAAAAAAAGGCTGAAATCGGTATAAGGAATTTGTCCCAATGTTCTTTGCGCATTCTCAACAGGCCTCTTCACAGGAGTCTATGTGTTTAACACATGTTTTTTTTTTCAAGTACACTCCATAAACCACAAAAATCTTGATAAATCTCACATACAAGAGTTAGCGTAACTTACTAGCAGACTTGGGCAAGTACTTAGGAACGCCAGAGTGGTCACTAGAGAGGCAAAATGAGCTCTTGTAGGTTCCCTCAAGGGGCCACCTCACTTTTGGGTTTTGTGATCGAACCCTTAACTCCTATAAGGACCACTTACATTTTAGCTCGTTAGGGAGCACTATTTTGTTCGCTAAAGGGGTTCCTTTATCCTTTAGTGACCACTCTGGCGTTCCTAAGTGCATAACTGAATTAGCCTAGGAGGTTGGCTTTACTTACCAAAGCTTCCTGTTGGGGCAACTTAAGGGGCTCTTGAGCGTTTTCCTCTAGGGATCACTTCTTTTCTCCCTATAAGGGCCTCTATGACAAGAAGTGCGAAAACTCAATAAATTAGCGTTATTCGAACGAAAAATATCAACAGAGGGCTTGATGAAGTTTGTCTTTCCGATTTTCAAATTGAATAAAAAGTTAAAAGACCCTATAGGGGTTCCTTTAGCTTTAGAGACTTAGGGGTCACTTTTTATCCTCTCTAAAGCCTTTTTTTCTAACTTCTATATGAAACCGCTCTGGCTTTGTCAAGTAGTATTTACTTTAATTTAAAGAGACTTGGAAGGAAAGATTAGCCTTAAAAAACGGACTTCCCGTGTATGTTTCCTAGTTGTGTTGTACAAAACCCGGCCGGCTTTTAAAAACAGTTAACAAGAATATAAGGTGAAGCTCAAATCTTGTCTATCCAATCAGACGATTTTTTTCTTCTGTGCCCACACGGCGTTCCGCATACGGAACAGCTGGAGACACCGCTGCCGGCTCCCGAAGAACGATTCGCCGCTGCGTTCCGCCTCTCAAACATTTCCACCGGCCGTTTGTTGAATACACATGCGTGTGCCCCTGGTGCACGCACCTCCGGAACCGATTCAACGCCTTCTTTTCCATATTTTTCTTTCCTTTTTTGTCACTTTTTTCTTGCTTCCAGGACTTTTTTCTTTCTGGAAATGTTATTTTTTGAAAGACTTTTCGTAGTTGATTTCAGAAAGGGTGAAACTAACTAGAATTTTTCTTCAAAAAAGGCTTGGTGTTTCAAATTAATTCAAGTTTCAAGTTTTAGAAGTTGAAAAGTATTTAGAAAGAAGGTCTTCTGAAAAAAATTTTTTTAAAAACTCTTTTTGAGGTTTTTTTCTCCCGCTAGCGGCTAGGCTTCATTCACGGCTTGCTTGGAGGATAAAAAAACGTTTTTGAACTTTAAAAAAAAGTGAATAATCCCTAAATTTTTTATAATAAGCAATAGTTTTTCTCAGGGCTCTACAGGTTTTGTTACAAAAAGCGCCGAATGAAGCATGTTCAAGTGTCGTAGAGAAAGCGGGAGTTTTTGTTTTTTTTTTTCTTTTCCGCTTTTTTTTTTCATGCGCCGGCGGCCACACCTTGCTGTATGGAAAAGCAGAAATACTATACGGAATTTTGAAAAATAACATAGCGTTTATTTTTCTTTGGAAAGGCAGCTTCCCAGAAAAAAATTCTATATCAATTTTAAAATTAAAAAACGAGGAGAAGAATTTTTAGACCGGTTTTTTCCCAGTACCCCAAGCTAATTCTTATTCAAACTGGATCAATTTGATTCTTGTTTAATTCTTTATTAAACTTTTTTTAAAATCTTAACGTTCAATTATTTTTTCTAGGAATGCTCGGTGTTTGGGATTGACGGCGATGCGAAACGCCGACTTAAACGGAAGGATCGCCGTCCTTTTTTGGATTTTTTCCGTCGTTTCAGGTGATTTCTCTACAGTTTTCCGGCCCATATGTCTTATTTACGTTGCCGTCCCATTTTATCAGTCATTCCAGAGATAAACTTGACCTTATCTCTTTCTTTGAGCTTACCGCTTTGAAGAAAACAAGCATTTATCGTTATGAGAAGTCGTGAAAATGTTGCGGTTGTCTAAAGAACAGGGAAACTTGTTAGCAGAAAAAAATATAATTCAAGAATAATATCGAGGTTTTTTTGTTTCGTGAACTCTTTCATTTTATTTCGTGACTGTGCCTTTTTGAGATTTTATTTGAAAAGTTTCATTTGAATCGACACAGATTTAAAAAGCTCTGAGAGAGAGTCTGATTTTCGCTATTTTTCATCTCATTACTAGGGCCAAGAATAGTCTTGTTACAGCCAAACTTTCAGATTTTGGGAAAATTTCTCAACTTTGTGAAAAAAAAGACGTTAAGTTCTAACTTGAATCATACGTACACATGTCATCTTCCAATCAGCTTTGAATAATTATTTGACCGCCTTTTTGTTTAATTTTTCAACGTGTAAGTTGAAGTCGACTCCGACCGAAAACGTGTTTCTAAAAAAATAGTTCTGACTATAAATATAAAGAAATTTTTTTCAAGTATCGAGCTTTAATTTGAGAATACCTTAATACAAATTTTCTAGATAAATTCATATATTCTTTCAAAAGATGCCTTCTCTTTTCTGCGAAACTTTAAAGCTTTTGTCTAATTTTCTTTCAATGATACTTGACTAGAAACGCCTCTAACCGACTCCTTACACGGAGCTCGGAATTCCCGATCCGTTTCTAGGTAGTCCTCATGTTTGGATCTCGTACACACATATCGCTATCGTGTTACACGGGCTCGCGAACCACTCAAAAACATCCAGCCTGAAATGACGGCCTATTCTTCAAAGGGCTCAGAAGTTCGCGTTCCGACTTGATTTATCCAACCCGAAGACCATTTTTTCTTCGTTGGTAGAGATCAGTTCCAGATTGCACGTGTGCCCCCGTCTGATTATTTGCTCGGTCGTCAGCCTTCGCTGAGAGCCCAAATTTTTTCGCCCCCTACAGGTGTTAGGACTGTTTGATTTTCGCATAATCATACGAGAAATCCGGTCCGCCGACAGCGTTAAATTCAAAGTCCTTGAGAAAATGGAGAAAAATTATTACTCTTTTTTTCCGAAAAAACAAGAACTCTTTTTTCGATTTGCAGGAATTTTTTTCGGAAAAAATCGTTGAATCTGGATAATCCTGAAGCTTGGGAAAAAAATCCACAGCTGTTAGATAATATTCGAACGAGGGGGCTTTAAGGAGGAAAAAAATAAGAATTTTTCAGAAAATCTTCGAAAAATTGCCATATGATAGGTAATTCTCTCGTTATTCTGAAGTTTAGTAGTTTAAGTTTAAAAAAAAGCCGTAGCTAGGTTAAAAAACAATTTTAGAAAATGATACTCCTGCGAAAGTTTTTAGACGATCGCATTTCACCTTTTTTTTGTGGAAAACGATTGGTCTGAATGAGAAAATATTGTATAGTTCTCTAGGGAGAACTAATAAATTCTTAGGGACTCCAGAATGCGTATAGAAAAACCCTCTAGGGACCACTTCATCTTTCCCTGTAGAGGCCACTAAACCTTGCCAAAGTGTTCACTCTAGGGATTAGCATGCCTGTCGATTCTTGTTATGAAGTCTCTGAGTAAAATAATTCATATGCGAGAAACTCAATAAATTGGCGTTATTTATATTGAAAAATTGCTCAAGTTAGTCTTTTTCAATTCTCAAATCTGAAAAAAACTTGAAAGACCCTATAGGGACCACTTGAGCTCCAGAAGCTCGAACTTCAGACCCTAAAACCCTGTAGGGACTACTCTGGCGCTCCTAAGTTTGCCTTGAGAAAGTTGCCGACTGTCGGCACGAGAACAAAAGCAACTTGACGTCTCATTTTCTGGCGCTACTCGAGAGTCATTTCGGTTGGCGGATGCCGCTTTCCAAAGCCCCCAAGGTCACGATTGCGCGCCAACCTTTAATCGATATTTGCCTATAATTGGCTAGACATGGCTCGCGTCCAAATATGTCACACCTTTCGGCAACGCTTTGTGAACGCGAGGGAAACCTGTTGCATTATGAACTGTCATATTTCAATCACTCTAGAAACACAAAACGGCTGGTGTTTAAAGGTATACGGTCTGCAAGAAACGATATTAAGGAAGCAGAACTTTTCATTTTGTGTCAAAAGGTCTAAGAGAAAACATACAGAAGCTCCTACTTTGAAAAAAGAATTTTGAGCTCATGTCAGTAGTTCTTCTTGCAGCATAGTAACTATGGAAGAATAGTGTTGATTCAGATTTTTTTTATTCTTTAATTTCGATGAGCATTGATGGGGGCGTGCCGTAGCGCAACAGGTTGTGTGCCTGTCTACGGTCCACAGAGTCATAAGTTCGATCCCCGCCTCGACCCAACCAAGGGGTTTAAGAAATGTTGGTAGTGAGAAAGCCGTCACTCACAAGGACGGATATGTCACTAGAGCCATTCCACTGGTTATCACTGATATCAGGATAAGACCTCGGTTAATCGACTTGGGTCCAGCGGTACAAAGGTGTAGGAAGAAGAAGATGATGATGAAGCATTGATATCTCAGAACTCATTTTGGCTGACCAAAAAGGAAAAAGAAACAAGGAACTTTTCTTTGATACGAACTTGAAATTGAATGGGTTTTTTACTTTTCGAAGTTTCAGGTCGTTCGGAATCAATATGTGGTCCTGCGAAGTTATTCTTCTCCGCCGAATCGACGAGCTTCATCTCAGCTGCTCGAAGAGAACATCGGGTTGTACTATCAAAAGTTGAAGATTCCGCAAACCTCACGATAATTGATAGTCTCACAGGTAAATCATGATTTTTTTTTTCTGATTGTGTATCTTCATTTTGAAATAATATTTTTTATGAAATTCATCCTTTCAAACCGTGTTTTTTATCCGTTTTTCTAATTTCTACCGACTTTATCGGCTTTCTAATTTAGCTCTATATTTTTTTCAGAGTAGTTCGATCTCTTGGGACAATGAAATTTCAGAATTTGTTTTTTTATCTTTTAAAAACTGATCAAATTTTCACTCATTCTCAACTCAGACCATGTTCTTGTAGATTTGATTTTGAAAATTTTTCATATTTTCACTCCAGAAATGGACTCCCCCCTGAGATGTTCCCTGGAAATCATCACCTGTCCGAACTGCAACCTGAACCTGAAGTTTCGACCTCCCGCTGAAGATTTACCTGAAGAAGAACTGGAAATGGTGATTTGAACGGAAATCAGGAAGAAATCTGGAAAATGAATCATTCTCCAGATGCCGTCGTGCACCGAGTCGAAAGAAGAACCTTGCTTCGATTTGCAATTTGTTGAGAGCAAAGCCGATTCCACCCTGCCCGCGACCTATCGTCGAGTTTCCATTTGGGACTTTCCTTATAGGTTTTTTATTTCCGGATTTTCATCACGATGGATGTTCAAAGTCGGCCTCTCTGACTGATTAAGATTACCGGAAAGCTTGGAATTTTATATTAATTTGCTAATAACTCTGAAAGATCTTGTAGAAGATTCCGGATAGCTACTTGACTTTATAGTTTTTTTGAAATCGAGATTTCGAAAACTTCGTAATACAGAGTGAAGCCTATAAAAACCGAATTTTTTTCGAATAATTTTTCAACTTTGAGATTTCATAACTTTAAAATTGAAAGAGTGGGCGATCAGATAATATAAGGGACGTCCATCTAGACCTTCTGAAATCGTTTAAATAAAAGATGGAAAATTTCAAACTTCACCCTTGAATGACCTCCTTGGGGGGTCATTTTGTGCAGAAAATGATACATATTTTATAAATCCTTTTCATTCTGAAAATAACTGCCTTGGAAATTTCTTTTACACACAAGGAGAACTTTTTTTTCATCGAAAATACCGAAGTAAAGCAACTTTCGAGCATTTTCTGCAAATATCCGAAAGAATTTTTCCCAGTACCTTATGGAACTTAGAAAATATCTTTTCAATTTTCTGTAGCTCTCCTAACTTCAGTAGATCTATATTAAGAAATTTAATAGCTGATCAACTTTTAGAAACGAGTTCAACTCGACGGGAAACTCGTTGACAATCAACTTGGTCATGTGGAACCTTGAAACAAACTCCACCTTGTACAATTACATCCAGGTTGCATTCAAGGTTTTCCTGAAACAATTTGAAACTTTCCAGAACTTTTTCCCTCTATTGGCCACTGCGGTTACCAACGACGAAATAATCATCGGATCGCCATTGGAAATTCCTGCTTCTAATTATTCTTCTATCGGATTTTTTGAGTCACCAAGGTCTCATGATGCTTTGGCTTCTTCATGATAGTTTCTATAAGTTTTTGATAATTACAAATTTTGAAAAGTTCAGAAAATTCTGGTAGGATTGGACCATTCAGTTCAATGTTGAAAAAAAAAGTGTTTATAAATGTTTTTTCTCGTTATTTTTTTTTTCAAAAATCCCCATCCAATTTGCAGGTCTTTCTTACCTTAGCTTTAGCAATATTCCAATTTCTTCAGAAAAAAATGACCTCTATATTCAAAATATGTCCTTCAGATATCCTGAAGCGTACCCGACGAATTTGATCAAGCGATACTTTCTGATCAATAGCAGCCCAAATGGCTTCATCCGTCTCATTTTCGACGATTTCCACGTCCACTACCAATCTGAGCTTCAAGTTTGTCACGATAAATGGGGAGACATCTTTTTTAGGTCCAGGGTAGAGGGGTTACAAAAAAGGCCCTGAAAATGTTTTTATAAAGACATCAAAAGATTTTTCGAGCAGCTACGTAGCTGTTTTTTTCATTTTAGTCTACATCTTTCCTTGAGATTTTCTGTAGCATTAGCTTTCAGACTTCTTATTGCCAGCCGGGTTTTGAAATATCACGGAAAAGCTAGAAATTAGAAGTCTCCAACTCTTTCTAAGAAGAAAAGATTTTTTCTAAGTCTTCAAAAATTGATTCTTCAAAGATCTCCTTTCATTCGCATGTGACTGTATTCATCGATTTATCATAAATTTTGATTAGATTTTCGATTCTGATGGGTCGGAAATCCTGAACTCTCGACGGGAAAACCGACGGCCGTCAGCCCTTGTCACCAAAGGCAGTACATTGACCGTCGAGTTCCGGGCTCATAATTACACGAACTTGGTGAGGATCAAGATATGAAAAAAAGTTTTTCATTAAAAAAAAAAGTCTTTTTTGAATGATTACCTATATCAAAAAAAAATAATTAAGTGAGTTCAGAAGTGCGGAATTCGTCCGAAAAGCTTAGAAAAATCGAAAGTCTTCATAGAGAAACTTCTAATTAGAAACGACTAAAACCTTTCTGTATTTTTTCAGTGACTGAAAAATGTGAAATTCAACAGCTTGAGACAGTATTCAAAAAAAAAAAAACGTAAAAAATCAGGTGGGCTTCCGGGCGCGCTACGAATTCGTCATGGATATTCCGTGGCCTGAGAAACCGAATTACAGAGGTATCAAGTTTGTTTTCATTTTGTGACCAAAATCATGTTTTTTTTTTAGCCAAAATTAGGTAGAAAAAGGCAAAGCAAAGGATTTATGAATATGTACATAAAATATATGTTAACGTGAAAGGTCACTGCGAATGTATTATTCAAAAGTATTTTGATGATTTTCTTTGACTTTGAGGGACTTTTTCTCGAAAATTAAGAAAATGCCCAAGTTGACACTTTCAGAGATTCCTCTGTTCAATTAAAAACTGTTCTGGAAAGTTCAAAACGCAAAATAAAATTACCTTCATTGTCAGATGTTTTTTAAATATGTTCTCAGGAAGGTGGACACCGATTTCTCAATCTCCATTTTTTGCCTTTCCATCAACTCTTTTTTTTCTTTAGCCTCACCTTTTTTTTTTTATCATTTTCCGACCTTCCGGAGTCGCTAAAGGATCATCTTTTTTCGTCTTGAGGATATTTTCATAAAAAAAAAACTCTCATTTCCTCTGAAATTTTAAAACGCAAAATCAGATGACCTTCCTTGTCAGATGCTTTTTAAATCTGTTCTTAGAAAGGTTTTTTTCAAATTCCTTTATCCTCCCCATTTCTTGCCATATCAACTCTTTATTTTTCTCCAGCCTCACCCTTTTTGCTACCATTTTCCGACCTTTTAAGAGTCGCTAAATGATTGTCTTTTTACGTCATGAAGATATTGTCATTGAACGTTGGAAATTTTCAAGATTGCGACGATTACTTGGAGAATTACGGAGGAGAGATCCGTTTGGATCGTCTTTCCCACTTGGCGAACTCCTACGTCGACTGCATCTGGATCGTTGGACGTCTGCCGCACGTTTCCAGGGTATTCGACAGAGTTTATCTCAAGGTATTTCGTCCTATTTTTGCAGGTAGGAAAAAATTAAGGCAAATTTTTCTATCTGAGATGATTTTATTCTGTCAAAAGTCTTTCCCCAATTTTGAAAATCAGAGTCACCTCTTCTACCAGACTAACTGATTTCTGAGCTTGCAAATTTGAGCTTGCTAATGACTTTTAGGCCGAGCAATTCCATCTCAAAGGAGTTTCGCTACGTCTCGAAATAAGGGAAGGCTGCTGCTCGACGTCGGATCGTCTGCTTCTGCTCTCCGACCAGCAGTCCAGAGACCAGCTCAGTCATCAGCAGCCCAGGTTCCTGAACAAATCCTGTTTCAAGAAATTCGATGAAAAAGTCTCGGAAGCGCGCCAAATATTGTTGAAACGGGTTTCTGTTGATATTCGAGCTTCGTTTCAGGGATTAAAATCAGTTTTGTATTCAAATCTTCAAGAAAAATGCAAGTCTAAATTGAAAGTTTTCAATTTTTAATAATCATGGGAACAAGGAGCTTAACGAAAAAGCCTAGGAGTTCTTTTTTTTTCAAATTAGTTTTTCTCATTTATTTTGGCTGGCTTGAGCTTGAAAGTTCTAACTTTTTTCTTACAGATTTGGATATACAACAAGTTTGACGAATCCAGCCTTTTATATTCGTCTTCGCGGATTTCTGATGAACACGTCAGTTTTGTCTAAATCTTGTTTGGAATATTCAAAAAGTTTTTCGACTTAGAAATTGGTGAAATTTCGCTTGAAGAGCCTCTCCCTTTCCCACCCTTCTGATTTGTAGCGAAAATGAAAGCTTCTTAAAAAGGACTTTTTGTTCGATTTTTGGCGGTCTTATTTTTCTTGTCTCTGTCTTTTTGTTATAATCTTTTCTTCTGCCTTTTTCATTTCATTTTTTGGGCTTTTCTTGACTGATTGGAAATCAGGGTGCCCTCGAGTACCTTTCAGCCAAGTATCATCAACTTCACGACTGGAAATGTTTTGAACTTTCTTGTGTCCCTTCAGAAGCGGTCTGGAGATCGTCTACTCGCAGTTCTATCGTTGGACGACGCCCGTTTGCCCCGGAATGGGCGAGTTTCGTTGCGATAACGCCCGCTGCATCAAAGTAAATCTTTAAAACTTCTTGGTAATGGAGGTCCTGGTCAGAGTTCTCTCCGGTGCGACGGCAGCAACCATTGCGGCGACGACAGCGACGAAATCTGCCATGTACCGGTCGATGACTTCCAAGAGCAAAGGTTGGGTCGACAGCTTCTGTTGATAGTGTTTCCAGCGAGACGGTCACCTTTTAAAAGCACAAATCTACAGTAATCACAGACTTTTCTGCTTCACAAAACTGCAAAGGACAAAGGTCTCGAAGCGAAATTTTTTTCAATCGTTCAATCAAAAAAATTTTGGTGCTATTTATAGATTTTGTTTCAAACAGTACTTTTTCATAAATTTTAACTTTTTTGAAGACTGAAAGCGAAGAAGAAAGCGAAAATAAATGTTAGCCAGTTAGATTCTCCTGTTAGCTTCGTTTCAGAACGTTAAACCGAAGAAATACATACTGGAAAAGAAAAAAAAATCTGATTAGTTCCTTCCGACAGTTCAGTTTTTTTGCTGCTTTCAAGAGAAACTTCCGACGTGTCGGGCATCGTGGCGCTGACGATCGGCGTCTGCGGCGCCCTGGTCCTTCTGATGAGCACCGTGGCGGTCGTCTCGCGCCTCTACCGACGACGGATCGCCATGCACAGTTCGCGTCGCGTTTCTCGAGTCTCCACCATTGGACCGACTAGAAACGGTCTCGCATTCAGGAAATTCCCAGTTTGAAAAGTCTTTTTCAAGTATTAGGACCAGCTTGAACGCAGGTTTTAAGGAAAACTATTGATCTCCAAAAATAGGAAATGGTTAGAAATCGAAACTTTCATATTTTTATGGATTCCGACATATTTACTCATTTATTAAAATTATAAAGTTTTTTTTTGTTATTTTTTCCAATCAAAATTCCAGAGTTCTCTCCTTCGATTCAAACCATCGGAGAACGGCGCTTCTATGTGGTACCCGAGAGCCAAGTGTCCGTGATCGAAGCCCCTCCATCCTATGACGACGCCCTGAAACATCCCAGTGTACGTCCCGCTCAATCCCCACTTCCTATTGCATTCTTCAGGTTCCGACGTCTTCTGCCTACGCCAATAGAGCCTTCCAAAGTGCTGAACAGGTCAGAGACTCCCGTGGAACTTCCAAATGTTCATGTCCTTCCAGGAACAAAGCAGTGGTGAGCTTCCTCCCGAACGCGAACCTCCACGAGAAGACGAGCCGACTTGCTCCGGGTTGACAACTCCGACGCCGGCTGCTGTTCCTGCTGATAGCGATCCTGAAAACGAGGAAACTAGACAGGAATCTTGGGTCTGATTGACAAGTCCTGGATCCTCTTTATGTTGAATTTTTTCTGCAGACATTGAAAAGATTGTGATTAGAAAATTTTATGATTTTAAAAGTGTAAATCGAAATTTGAATCGAGTTGCATAGTCCGTTAGCTTGTCCCTTTTTGCAAAAAAAAACCCCCCATTACAAATTTGACCAAACTTCTCTTCAAGACCTTTTTTTTCTGTCATTTTGCAGATTTGTAGAACCAACTTAAGAAAAACGCAAAAAATTATAAATAAGATCAAAGTTCCTTGGGATTTATGCTTAATTTTGGACCAAGAAACTTTTAAAATTTTCAAAATTTTCCAATATTCCTTATCTCAATTGTACGAAAAAAAACAGCTGTAAATTTTCTACCTGACAATTTCTTTACCTCTTTTTTGTCATTGCAATCGATAATTTTTTCAATTTAGAACGGGTTCCCTTGTCTTGTCAGCCTTTCTGCCTGTTTTTCAAATTATAATAAACATTTTTATAAATTGGCTGGGAAGATTGCGTGGCGCGAAAATTGTTAATTCAAGAAATGGCGAGCCGGTAGTTTTTTTCTTTATAATCTGAATTTTTCGTTTGAATCAATATCAGTTGAGTTCAGATTATTCGGCACCTATTCGAAAAATTTTTTTCAGGTTGAAGTTTTTGAGAAAAAAATTTATAAGGAAAAGTGTGATTTTGTGGAAATTTTTTTATTTTTACTCTATTACGCCAACGTGGCAGAGTTAAAAGTTTCAAAATCCGCATTTTTTTCAGCGAAAAATTTCGAATTTTTCTGTGGAATTTTTGAGCAAAGAAGTTTTGCCGATATCCCTGATATTTTTTTATATAGCTACGAATGTTTCAAGTGAGACCACAGCTTTTCTTGTAAAATTTGAAATGTTCAAGGCTCGGTGCGTGAGAAGGGGGGCTCCCAGACTTTTTGTACAAACTAAAATCTCTGAAATTTTTCAATTTTTCAAGTTTGGAACCTTGCTATCCAAAACAAAATTTCGTTTCTGATCAAGTTACCCTACAAAAACCGTCTCACTTCAAACTTTTTCGGAAAATATGAGTTTCTAGAACTATCATGAGCGTGCCCGTGCGAGAAACGCGAATGTTGCAAAACAGGCGCCGCCGATGGTTATCAATTTAGCACACTGACTAACCCAAAACGCATATCTTCCCGAATTTGGCCGGTTTTCCAACGAGAAACTGTCGAAATAGCGTGGCAAGGGAGAAGAGACGCCAAAATTTGCATATCTGCGCCGGTTATCCGCGACCCACTTATTCCTACAGTATCTCGACGCCCTATCAGAACGACTTTCCCTATAAAAGGAGCCAGGGGAAGCTTCGGACGATCCAGCGCCATGGACTGCAAAGAATCCGACCAGCATCGGTGAGCTTTTCCTACTTTATTTCTTTTTATTTTTCTTGAATATCTTCCTATTATATCAATCGATCTAATAATTTCCACTTTATTAGATTCTCATGATTTTTATTGATCTCCGGAATAAAAAGAGAACTGATGAATTTATTTTTTAAGTTTCACAAATTTTTATAAGAATCGCTTTGAGTGAATTGAAACCGTACGCATTGAAATTGAAAATTTCCTTTAAGAAAATTAGAAAATTACTTAAAGTAGCCTTTTAAAACTAGAATTGGTATAGTCTGTTCAAATTTTTAATGTCAAATGCAATGACGTCATTCAAAAACACTCTGTGGATGGCTCGCTCTCTGATTGGTTTATTGCACCATTATGGGCGGAGCTTGAGCGACGACTTGACATTTAAAATCTGAACGGACTATACTTCCTTACTCGGAACTTGGTAACGCAAACTGGACGCGTTTCGGACGTATCGCATCATTTCTAGTGACCACTTTAGTAGCGTCAGCACCCTTAAGTGATCCCTAGGATTGCTCATTTCGTTACCGAGGCGACTATCTGATTGATAGGCTTATAGCCAGTTTCAAGCTTTTTTCTATTTCCGTGAAAACTTATAGCCGATTCTCTTCTAGCTTAGGGCGCAAAAAGACCTGACAGGACCCTTTTTTCAATAGCTCAAGCCAGCTCTGAATCAGCTATATTACCTCTGATATCAATAGAAAATAATCTAAAATGAGAGATTTGCAGCCACATGCGGCACATCGCCTTCACGGCAGTCGTCGTCTCGACTGTCGCCGTCATTTCGGCGGTCCTCACCCTCCCGCTTCTTTACACCAAAGTGCAGACCCTCCAGAGTGACGTCATCGTCGAGACTGACTTCTGCAAGGTTCTATAGGCTTTCATTTTCTCTGTTAATCCCAAAATTTTATTTTGGACTTTATCCAATGTTATATAAGGTTAAGAATCTATGATTTTATCAGCTTTTAAGAAATTTTGAGCGGTTCTGAGATAATTTTTAGGATCTAGAAAAATGGTGCATATTCTATGCCGCGTAGCGTTTTTTAGATGATACTGTTGTGAACGAAGTTTAATCAAAAAATATTTGTTTTTTGAACTTTAAAAAGTAAAAAAGTCATAGATGAAATTTTGATGAAGCTTGGCTGGAATTCACATCAGAATTCCCTGATTCGGAATCAATATAAAAATTATCGCAATTTATTTTGAATAAAGTAGAATAAAAAGCTTTAAATGACGCTTGTTCGCTATAATCTGTAGAGCTTCGAAAATTTTTAACTTCAAACTCAAAATATTTTTGTGAGAAAATTATTTTCAATGGAATCAAGAGGTCTTGAAGTGCAAACCAGCCAATTTTCATCAAAAGTTCAACTAGATCCCTACGAAAGAGCTTCAATCGCTTCTGATCCCACCTCCCTTGTGAGAATAGTCGTAGCCCAGTTATATTTCGAAAAAAGACATCCTCTAAATATAAGACAACTTACAGTTGCGCTCCCGTGACATGATCTACTCCATGTCTCAAATGGCCCCAGCTGGCCGTGTGAAGCGCGCTTGGCAGTTCGGCTCGTGGGTCCAGGACAGCGGCACCGGAGGAGGAGCCGGCAACGCCAACGGCTACGGAGGCTACGGCGCTTCTGGATCCAATGACGTAGGCCCAGCTGGAAGATTCTCTTCATTGGAAATTCCGCTTTCAGTACAACACCCCAGCCTCGAACGGCTACGGACCGGTTGTCAACGCCGAGCCGGAACCACAGTGCTGCACTTGCCAGCAAGGACGAGCTGGACCACCTGGACCTCCTGGAGACGACGGACACGACGGAAAGGACGGAGATCAAGGAAACGAAGGACAACACGGAAAGGTTGCTCCGTTGTTCCATTCCGTCTTTCTCGGACTCCGGAATTGCAAAAAACAAAAATATTGAATCTCAGGACGGTGGAGTTGGTCCATCGGACGGACTTCAAGGCGAGCCTTGCATCATCTGCCCACCAGGACCACAAGGAGCCATCGGAAACCCAGGAGCCAAGGGACCTCAGGCAAGAAAGAAAATCTTTTATCCGACAAAAAAGACTCGTCTTCCAGGGACCACGCGGATCACCAGGACTTTCTGGAGTCGACGGCCGTCGCGGAGAGCCAGGAATGGCCGGACCAGCTGGAACCCAAGGCGAGCCTGGACCTCAGGGACCACCCGGCAAGAAGGGAGACGATGGCCGTGTCATCAATGTAAGAGAAAATCGGGATGGATTGGAAAAAAGTTTGAATTTGTCAGGTCAACGGACCACCAGGCCCACCAGGAGCCCCAGGAGACCAGGGACGCAAGGGAGAACGAGGACCGAAGGGAGTTCCCGGCAGCGTTCATCCCGGAGTCCAGGGACCTGCAGGAGACCAAGGCCGCAAGGTTTGTGGTTCTGATAGTTTGGAGCAATGAATACAACTAGGAAAAACTCTAGCGGCCACTTAAGAGCTTCCTCAAGGACTGCTCGGAGAGGACACTAAAGTGGCCACTCAAAGCACCTCTATAGAAGCCAGTATTTTGTGTTTTAGTGACCACTATAGTAGTGTTCAGTGGTCTAGTAGATCCAATTAGGCTTCTAAAAAGACCACTGAAATTTTGCAATTTAAGTGGCCACTTATTCGACTACTATAGCGGCCGCTAAAACTTCAACACCCTAAAGTGGTCACTTAACATTTCCCCAGAAAACTCGCTGGTTAGTTGTTGAGTGACCAGTAAATTTTTAAAGGTAGCGATTTGAAATTTAGTTGAAAGTCAAGGATTATACCAGTCAAATCAAAAAAAAAAACAATACCGAGCTTCAGGGACGACCTGGCCGCAAAGGAGAGCCCGGAGGCACCGGACCAGTCGGATCCAAGGGACCCAACGGCGACTGCTTCCACTGCCCCACGCCACGAACCCCTCCAGGATACTGATTTCCACCCGCAAATCCATTATTTATTTGAATCAGTTATTAAATTTATTTCCGAACGAGATTGAGTAGCACACAAAAAGTTTTTCATCCAGCCAATTTTTCGCGGAAAGAATCTCTAGTTATTGAAGAACGCAGTCGCCAAACAAATTTCTCGGCATTTTTTGATTCAAAAACTAGTAAAAAAACTGAACCTCTCTTGTTTCAAAAACTCAAAATTTTGAAAAATCGAAAAAAGGTGATAAGAAACTTGTCTCGAAGAAAATTGTGTAGTCTGCTCAAATTTAAAATCTTGTCGCTCAAACTCCGCCCCTTATGAGAAGATCAAACCAATCAGAGAGCGAGCCATCCACAGAGCGTTTTTGGGGGCGGAGTTTGACTAGAAATTAAAAATCTGAACAGAATATAGTGCTGATATTTCGGTGTTTTTTTCCATAGACTATAGTTTATTCGAATCAATAATTTTTTACAATTAATCTTCTAGAAATATTATTGATCATATTTATTTATTCGAAGTCGCAGAATTCTTCCATTTTCTGTTCAGTACAATTCGTCTGTTCAAAAATATTTTCTGGGTGTTTAAAAACGCAAAATTCATCTATGACTTAAAGGCTCTTCTTCTCTAGACCTTTGTGATCTTTGCTCATTTTCCTTTAAATCAGCATGATTTTTCAAAAAGATCGAATAGAGTTTAATTTTTAGGACCGATGCGAAAATAACGTCTTCAACATAATGAAGAATGCTCAAAACTAAATTAAAAAATTCATTCACACGTAATAATGAGGCGACCCGTCGGCGGATTACTTCGTAATGCACATTACACGCTCAACAAACTGAGGGGGAAGTTAATTAGCGATAAGATACAAGAAATAAAAGAATATATAGTTAATCGTTGAGTGGGAAAATAAAACAGTTAGGCAGGCTCGGTGGAGCTTTCGAAGGTGAAATTGGCGTCGTTTTCGATGGGAGTCGAGGAGCTTTGATGCTTCTGAGCCGTCGAGACGCCGAAGAGGAACTGGCCGAAGGAGAGTTCGCCGAGGTCCGGCGCCGCTGAGACCTTTCTAGGACCTGCCGTCGGGAGTTCTCTCGTCGTCGCCAGGGGTCGAACTTCCATCGGAAGAGCCTCAGGTACCGCGAAACGGAACTGAAAATCGTCGGTTGATGGTCGGACGAGACGGAAAACCTGCTTGACGGCGGGCTTTTCTGGCGAAGTTCCTGGCCAGTAGTCTGTCATTGTCACCTGGAAACATCATCAGTGAACCATCTTTTCTGCGTTCTCGTGAGCTTCCTTAGCTCATTTTTCAATGGATACAAATAGGAAAAACTCTAGTGGCCACTTAAGAGATTCCTCGACAGCTATTTGGAGAGGACACTAAACCACTGCCACTATAGTAGTTTTCTTTCAAGTGGCTACTAAAGAGACTACTATAATGATCACTAAAACGTCAAAAGCCTATAGGGGCCACTCACAATTTTTTCGAGAGAAAAACGCTGCCAAGAGGGCTGGACGTCGTTTGACCATTTTTTTTTCAGAATTATTCACTTTTGCTAATATTAGCCTTGGAGCAAGCTTTCCAAACTCACTTCCTTTTTCCTTCGATTCTGAGGAAATATTCGTCTCCGTGAACGTTATTTAAAGAAAATAAGTCGGAAAAACTCGGATTTGGAAGAAAAGGATCAATTCAACCAATTCCTTTTCCTAAATTTTCCAAATAGCCGAACCTTTCCGTATCGTTGTCTGAAGCGTGGGATTCGTCTGCAGAACGTACATTTGATGAGGAAAACCAAGCAGCTCACTGAGGCCAGGAAAAATAAGCAGCCGAAAACTGTCAGCACTGCAAATTACTACGTTGTAACTTGAAACACAATTCTTCTTTTCCACTTTCGAAAAAGTGTTAAAAAAATAAGTTCATTTTCTCTCAACTTCTTATTCGTCAGAAAGCCTCCAAAAAGCCTTCTTGAGGTTTTTGAACACCCTAACACACCTTAGCTCATTCTTCTCAACTTAAAAAAAAAGTCATTTTTTGACTTTTTTGCAACTCTTTTGGAATAATTCTATCGGCCGGACACAATCTTTGAACGCTTTTTTAAAAGTTTCTTTTTGTAATTTTTCGAAAATTTTCGACATTGACTTAACAGAACTTCTCTTTTGATCCAAAAAAAACCCCCGAATCAATATAAAAAAAATTTCTCCTGACGTATATTGAGGATACGCTTTAACCTCCTCAGCTAGATACGAAATAAAATGTGTATTTTTCTTGATTACTCCTCGTTTTTCACTTCTATTTTTCCTTTGCGATTTCCCCTTATGAAGAAAAACCCACCAACACACCAAGAGGAGCAGTTTCTGGAGAAGAAAAACGAGTTACTCAATGAAACCCAGGCCAATAACGTCAAAGTTCCCAAAATAATCAAGGCGGTCGCGTATTGAAACCAGTAACGGATAAAGTAGTCGCCGAGTGAGCCGTACTGAAAAAAATTCAATCATAGTCGATTCACAGTTAGCTTGAGACTCTGAGGGGCGTGGCCTGTCTTCGCTCTCCACTAACTGAGTACTGTCACTTTTTTTTATCGCGTCGGGACCATTTTTTCGATGGCTCAAGTCAGTCAGTTTCAGTTTTATAAGCTCGCCTACCAAACTTTGTTCCATTTCACATCCTTCAACAACAAAAAAATCATTAAAGTACAAAATTTCTCGAACTATTTTTTCCATCCAATTAGTCTGCTTTTGAATCTCTTTTTCAAGTCCTCTGACTGAAAAAAAAATTTATTTTCGATCCAAATCTTGCAAATTTCTCACTGATTGATTTGTTCAGGCTCTTTAAAGGCGCATGGAAAAGGTCTTACTTGGAGAAAAGAATAAACTGAAAACCGCTGATTTCATATATACCTTTTTTTCAGACTCTTTGAAAAAAACTCACGCAAAACTTTTTGCCGCTTTCAAAGTTTATTTAGTAAAATATTAAATACAGTCAGAATTTTAAAAAAAGATTTTCTATTTCATTTTTGAGCGCGGAGTGCAGAAAAATTTTTTTATTAAAATAGACCAGAAGCTTTTTCAAAAAAAATTATTTTTTTAATTTTTCCTTACTTTGTTGTATTTGTAGACGACGCCGCAATGTTGGCACGATTTCTGGAAGGGCAACTTCTGGACAAGACAGCCATGGTGAACTGCATTCCTAAAATAGATTAGTCGATGAAAAATGATTTTTCATTACAACCCACCCGCAGAAACACGGTCTTATGAGCAGCGCATCCGATTTCTCAGCCGGAGTTGGCCTCTAAAAATGATTCGTGTTTCCAAAAGTTTTTATATTTTCGAGGAACGAAAGTCGGTGTTGGTTCGTTTCCCTCCAATGAGTTTTTTGATGAAAATTCATTCAAGTTCCATGGTTTTATTCATCAATTCGAGAACCATGTTCGAAGAGATTTCCGCGAAATGGAAATTATCTAATTCTGGTGCATTGTTTTTTTTTTTCATTTTTGACCGACTTTGGATATTTCTAGTACTTCGAGTATAGCTCTAGATGAGCTATTTTGAACATTTCTTCAGATTAATTGGACCTTGACATTGAAATTGAGCTTGTGAAAGCTCAAATATAAGAAAAAGATTTTAAAAATATCGATTCGACAATCAAAGACCGGTTTCTTCTCATTACGCCGATAACTTTCCCCGAAAAATTGATCAGAGGAAATATTTTCCCTCAAAAATTCCCTTTTTTCAAGAACTCTGACAGGATTATAGAATAAGTACAAATGACACTTGTAAAGCCGATTCGGGCTTGTTTGGGACGCTAAGTGGGCGTGGTCTGTATGCGCTCTCCACGAGCCAGGCGCTATTTCGTGCATTACCGTGTCAGGACCATTTTTTCTATGGCTCAAGCCAGCCGAATCAGCTATAAGAGGGCGTGGCCTGTCTGCGCTCTCCACCAACAAGGCACTGTTTCTTTCTCTTCGTGTCAGGACCCTTTTAGCGAAGCCAGTCGAGCTCTGACTAGATGTTCAAAAGTTTTTCATATTTCTAAATTCGACGCAAAAAATCTGTTCCAAGTACAACAGGGTTTGAATGGAAAAGCAAGATCCATTCCCTGACAACGTAGTGACATTGAAAGACGGATTTTTTTCACGATATGATGAGTTTTACCACGTATTTCTGCCCATTGCAAATGCCGCATTCGACCGTTTCTCGGTTGGCCGTCGCTGGAGCGTTTTCTTCCTCGTCCTCTGAAAGGAATCCCGTTTTTTCCGACAAGCCGAGTCAATTTACCAGCCAATTCCTCGACGGTTGACAAATCGCACTCGACGTGCCTCTGAAACGGTCAAAATTGATGATTACGGGCCATTTTTCAACCTTTGTGACTTGATTTCGGTGACCGCAGGTCAAACACCTTGTCCGCATGAACCCGGGACTTTCTATCGCACAATTTGAGTGTACCCACAGCCTGCAAACGGACTGAATTTACATTTTTTTTTATACTTATCGCCAGAAAGACTCTCAAATCAGTTTTCAGAAGAAAATTCTCACCAAATCAGACTCGAAAGAAGTTAGAAAAAAAACTCCGGATTCAACAAAAAAAAATGAGGTAAACTAACCGATAGAGTATTGAAAAAACTGATTGGATAGTTAAACTTTGATGAATTTCGGAATATCCGAGCGATTTCCCGCCGTTTTAAGTCAAGAATGGAAATAAATAGAAGCTTTCCGTATACCTTCGCTAAATGTAAAAAAAAAATCATAAATTCATAACTTTTTTTTTATCAAAGCATCAAATAAACGCTGAATCAATCAAAAAGAAGAAACGGAATAAATAATACGTTCTTTCGAACAATTTTTTACAATTCTTTTCTTACTCATTCTCGTTTCGTTTTCTATCATTTTTCTTCTCACGAAGTAATGGAATCTTAAAAACTCTTATTGAAAAGGGAATTTCCTGCGTGATAATCGCAATAATAATTGAATTCAAAATAGCCAAAACACTCGATATACTGTAAAGCTTATTTAGTGCAAAGCTTGGAGAAAAAAGGTTAGAAATTTCCTTTCGCAAAGGAAAAAAAGCGATTCGACTTCAATGAAAAATAATTGTATATTAACATTATTTGCTTTGAAATTTCTATTAAACATCGACCAAATTTCGAACGATATGTGCTGAATTTCGTCTTTTTGGTTAGAAATCCTTCCTCGACATCCTTAAAAAAATTTAAAGTTCTCGAGTGACTACAGTTCTTCAAAGGTACTACACCAAAAGAAACTTTGACAAAGAATTACAGTCAAAAAAGATGAAAAATATTGCAGAAAGCTGGATGACGCGACGTTGGCACATATATATGCGGGAAAAGAAAAACAAACAATATCAAATCATCGTATCTTCAAACGACAAAACGATTTTCAAAAAAGCGTTCCTCGCGACTGGCAGAAAAAGAGCTTTCAAGTGAATTTTCCATGTAAAGGTAACATTGTCCGAAAGTTGGAATATCATGAAAAAGTGAAAATTGGCCTCTGGAAGATATACAAAAAGAGGTTGGAATTTTAAGAGCAATTTTTTCAAAACCTGTTCTGATAATAATGATAGTTTGTGTGAAATTTTTCCTGAAGTTTTTCAAGAGAATTAAAAAAGTTTTAAGGCGATAAGTCGTTCTCAGTGTTAAGTTGAGTCTTATCTTCTTAAGACTCTGTCTAGGCGAATTTAAACTCTCCAACCAGGAATTTCGATCAATCTATACCTAATTTTTCCAGAAGGCTCGTTTTGAGTCTCCGGCCTTTTTGAAAGCAAAAAAAGAAACAGGGAAGTTCGAGCAAAAACTAAAATTCTCTATAATTTCGCTGAAAACGTGGGAAAAGATTTTTTTATTCTGCTTTTTTTTTCGTTATTTTTTATCAAATATGTATTCTTTTTTGCTGCCTATTTTTTGACCTTATGAATTCTTGCAAAAAGCTCGTAAAAAAGTATAATTTGTCTGAGAAACGACATACATTGACTTCAAACGAATTTGCAAAATACGAGAACTGAAGGCTAGGGAAAAGTCGGAATGGTGGATACCGGCCTCTAAAAGAGACAAACTCAAAAAGGCAGGACAAATAAAGCAAAAAGAGCCTCTTTATCAAGCGTTCCATTTTTTCTTGGATTTCAAAAGCTCAAAGAATGATGGAAAATGGGAGAAGCAGCAAAAATGGATGCAAAAAAAAAGCAGCAAAAAGGATCCTTTTTTACTCTTAAAAAAAAAGGAAACCATTTTCGACCCTTTCCGACTTTTTTCAGGAGAAGAAAATTTTAAGATGAAACTCGACCTATTCGATGCGAATAAACTCACATGGGACAATTGCATGGCTTGAAGCAGTTGCCGACGATTTTGCCGCGCTCGATTCGCTGGTAGCAGACGAAGCAGTGGATCTGAGCGACGCCGTCGCCGGTGGCACCAACCTCAAAAATCGGGCCGAGTTCAACGGAAAACCGCTGGCAAATCCATGACAACCTGTGGGGGGAGCACCTGCATTTGCGGCGGCGGCTCCGTTCGACCATTCAGAGTCGACTGCAAACGGGTCATTAGTCCTCGAAACTTGTTATTTTCTCAGATTTCTGCATTTTGATCTTCGTCGGAAATCAGTGAATAGAGCACGGAACCTTCGCAAATGAGCCTTTTTAAAAAAATTAATTGAGAGTTTGAAAAAAATCAAAATACAATTATTTTTCTCTGAAGAGTGTTCTCATCTTTTTGGAGTTTGGAATTTTTCTGAAATTTCGAAGTTTGAAATTTTTTTGAAGGTTCTCGTAGTTTTTTTATCAAGATTAATTTACAAAATTGCATTTTTTTTTTCACATTAGGCTTAATTTTTTCTTAACACGGAAAAAGTCCAAAGGTGCTTAAAAAAAAAGGAATCAGTAACTTATTTCAGAGTTCCAAAAAAAGAATCAAAATTTTCTCTAAATTTCCTTTTTCCATTTTTTCCGCTTTTTTTCCTATGTAGGTCAAGAAAAGAGGAGCCTTTTCCAGAATCTTTTTTTGGTCCATCTGGACTTTGTCCGTGTAAACGAAACATTTGTAAAACCTAAAATTCAATAGTAAAATTTTGCTCGGGTAGCCACTGTTAAAAGTCTCAACCTAGACCTTCACAGCAAATTTTCAGAGCCTTCCCAAACGCAACGAAAAAAGAAAAATGATCTGCCATGCGGGAAGAAAAGATGTTGTTAGTGAATCGATCGAAATCTTGACTTCTCGACTTTACAACACTACTCCGAACTACAAAGAACTTCAGAAGACACCTCGGCTGTCGAGTCTTCGGGGTCGATATCCGAAATGTACGAAGGAAAGTGGTTACTAAGGTTCATAAGTCCTCCTGAAAACAAAATTTAGAAAGTTTCGCCGGAACGAGAAGTATTTCCGTTGAAAAGGAAACAACGGTGGGAAAATGAAAGATTTCAGGAAGGACGGAACAAAAAGGAAAACATTTATTCAATCACAGGTGCGGAAAACTTTATATTACATGTCGGTGAAGTCGGCTTCAAAATACACATTTGGCAACATAACTCGTGCGATAGTCGTCGAATAACCCGGTAAGCAAGGAAATAGTGAGAAAAAAAGAACATATATAATAAATGTCGCGGCTAAGAAAAAGGAAAAAGGCCCTGGGGGCGCGCAGGTTGTGGCGACAACATAACGAGAGGCGCAGAGAGAGACGAGTTCTCTGGGGCCGCTAATTTGAGACACGGAGAACCAAAAGTTCACTTCGGGTACGATCAAAAACGCCACCAAATAATTAGCAATTATACAAGGAAGAATTGGCAGAAAATAAAATAAAAAACGGGGTTAGTGGTAACAACTAAGTTAGTGGGGGTGGGAATTGGTTAGTCTGTTTTGCAAGAAATTATGAGAGGTGGGAGTCGATTTCAAGATGGCCTCTGAGGCTCTTGAGCTGCCGAGTCTTCGACGACCTCAAAACAAACATCAAACTCTTGATTTCGGAACGGTTTTTTCTTGACGAGAAGAGCGGTTTGGCTGGTAAAAAACAGAAAAAAAGTTCAAAAACCCTTTTTTGCTGAAATTGAAGGACCTTTTGCTGCGATTCTAATAACTCTCGTTTAGTACTTTGATTTAATTCTCTGAATAATGTAAAATTAGTTCTCAAAAAAATTCCATGACCTCTAACGCTAAGGAAAAATTTACTATCAATCAACTTTGTTTGGTTCTAGTTAAAAAAATATTATATCTTTATTTTTCTTAACACGAAAAAAAGTAATACAAAATGAAAAAAAGAGAAAGCAATTGATTAAGTTGGGGACAACGAACGTTTCCCTGAAAAATTTTCACACGCAATATAATGTTTTTTTCAACTTTTTCTCGTACGATTATATTAGCGGGTGATTTTTTTGGGCTCTGAAATGTTGAAAAATTAATAATGGATAACGGTTTTTTTACTAAATTTTTTTATACATCATTTTTTTCGAAGGTTGACACTTTTAATACTATTTTATAACTACTGAAGTGTGGCTCCAAAACTCTGTGATGTATTTGAGAATGATCCTGGAAAACCTCAACCTGCCGAACTTTTTTTCTATTTCAAGAAAAGGAAATTTAAAATTCAAGTATTTAGCCTCAGAAAAAAACTACCAGTTTTGCACGTTGCGACAAGTAAATTAAAAAAAAGTTTCAGTCAAAATTTGAAGAAGTTTTCAGATGTTATTGTTCTTTTCATAACCAATCACTAAAATTATTCTACCAAAAAAGATGTTGAGGTAATGAATGAAGAATCAAAGTTTTTTTTCTAACGGAAAATGCGCTATATCCAAAACCTGTCCGATGAGAAAAAAAAATGAACCCGATTCGAATTGGAGTAGCAGACGTTGAAGTTGCGGCCCTGCGGTACGATTCGCGTGAAGGCGTCGTGTCGCGGCGTCGAGCACATTCTGGAGCCGACGCCTGCGTGGAACGAGGTCACCGAGTGCACGGACGGCGATTCTCAAACGTTCGTCCATTTCGGAGCACTGAGGTCAGCACCAACTTCCGTGCCGAGGGGCGAGGAAAGACTCGGGGGAGGCAAGGTCGACGTCGGCGAACAAGTCCTCGGGCATCTGAGGCGGAGAGGCGGCCGTCGAACGGAACGGTTCGCCGTAGAAGTTGCCGCGCGGACTGCTGAACGTCTCCAAACGGACGATTTGCTGGAAGGAACTTTTGTTGTTTGAAACGCGCATTGATGAGTCATCAGAGCCCTAATGGATCGATGTGATGATAAAAACTGGAGCGCTGTGGAAAAAAAACGCTTTACAAAGAGTTACAGAAAGGATAAAGGTTTCAACAGAAGTTTTCCAACACAGATATGATTTCGGTGTGGTCTGAAACTTTCTGTTGATCTTCAAACGGATCAATTTCGGATACAAGTCGACAAGAACCTAAAATCAGCCTTTTGTAAAATAACTTGATATACATGAGTTTATTCAGCTAAAATATCTAGAAAAAGATGTGGGAAATTATTCAAAAGATGGAATATTCTTAATCAACCTATGAGAAGTGAAGGATGGACCGACCTCGGAAGGCCGAGAAACGGCGAAAGGCATCGCATTCCTGGCGGTATCGTCATTGTGCGTATTTTCGCTGTCGGCGGCCGTCTGGTTGAAGGCGGCGATAAGCTGGGGATTGATGCCGAGGACGGGCTCGATCAGCTGCACTTCTGGGTATCTCACCGGAGATCCTTCCCCTCCGGATCTTATCGAGTTCTCAAAAAATCGATCGTTGCAAGCTATTAGGTTGGTTTTTCAATATGACTTTCTCTGTCGGTTAGGCTCGGCTCTAGGAACGGGCTTTGGGCCTCATTTTTGAGAGAATGTTCGCGCGGGATTCGGCCATGCCAGGCTTCAAAACTTCAGGATTCATTTAAAAAATTTTCACGGAGAAACTATTATTACTTGTTAAGTCATAGCCTTTATACGAAAAAATGAGCAAAAACATGACTTTTGTCGTAAAAATAAGCTTGATATCCGACTTGAAAAAAGCCATCTTTTGGAAAAATCAAAAAAGGAGAATTTTCTCTATTAAGAAAGGATTCTTCACCCAAGCGTTCTGCACTTTGCGAGTCAGGCCTCGCGGAGCCTCGATATGCCTCCCGTTGTAGTGCATGGATCGTTCGGCGTCCAGTCGATCGACAACGAAAACCACCTGGAAAACTGCAGAAATCGAGCCTCGTCCTCAGTTTCGACTCACCGCGTTTTTCCTCTGCCAAACTTTGAAATAGTGGTACCGGTTACCGATCGTCGCGCTCATCAGGGCGAAGTAAATTAGGAACAAGAAGAGCGCGATCACGCCGAATGTGACTATTTCTGGAATAGATACATGTTTTCTTCCGTTTCTTCAAAAATTCTATCCCGGGTTTTCAAAAAATTCAATTTCAATTCAATTTATTCAGTCTTCAGAGTAAGATGAAGAAAATCTCTGCTGAATCATGGTATAATCGAAGAGTTAGTCGTCGGCGCGGGTTACGGTCCACAATCGTTGTCCAATACGTCCCGGAGTGACAGCTAGCGTTGGGAAACAATGTGGGACCGCGGGTAGTACCAGCGAATGAACTGCTTCACCATAATGGAACAGTACAGCGCCCAGCTTGTCCAGGGCTGACGGGCGTCGGAATATTATCCCATGCGAGAGCGGCAATGAGACCGACCAGTCGACGTGATGAAATGAGATAATTTCAAAAAAGCCTACACAAAAAATAACATACTTCGTCTAAAAGACCCTTTTTTGATGTAAAGCCAAGTTGAAATCAAATCCTTGAAATACTCGTCGATTTCAATTACAATTTCAAAAAAAGTCAATTTTGTCAAATTATACTCGTCAATTTCAACCGTTCAATATTTTTTTCAAACAAGTAAAAAACATGAAACCACGTAAAACAGTTGATTTTCAACCGGTCCTACGTCAAAAAGTTCGGTTTGAAATCAACCGTTTCATTGAAACCAAAAAAGTTCAATCGGTTGAAACTTTGACGACTATACCAGACATTAAATTCCGAAAATACCACTAAAAATGTGAACAAACCAAGGCACGCACGATTTCTGGCCTGATCGGCAGGAATATAGTCTTCATTGATTTCTAGATCTATTGGAACGGACTCGTACCTAGAAAAAATTGAAAATTATCACAAAAATGCTTTGAAACTCTGACTCAACTTCAATACTGAACCTGAGAAGGATTTTTTTTTACGCCCACTGAATTTTTATCGAATAACGTCTCAAAAACTCTCTTCTTTTTTTCCTTTCTACGTCAAAAATTTCTTATGGAGTTTGAATGAAAAAAATTTTTTTCTATACAGTTAGTCTCAGCTAATCTTCAAAAAAAAGTATGCGACTTTTTTTTAGTTTTTTATTTAAGCTTTTTTGACGGTAATTTTGTTTTTTTTGTCAAGAAAAAAAAAACCTTCTCCAGGCGTCGACAATACAAGCGATGCAAAAAGCTAGAACAGCTACAATAAAAACAGTCAAGATAAGCATGTAGACGGCTTCGACGGCAAATCCTCGTTCTCCTTTTCTCCTCTTCATCCCGTACAGCTTCAAGTAAGAGTAGAAAGACCTCAGCTTTCTGAAACATTCTTTTTTGAGTCTATGGGACCTTCCAACGCATAAAAAAACCGTCCTAATTCGAACTGGAACTTGCAGATTTCGCACCGCGTGGTTCTAGAAGTGGACAGCCAGTGCTCGAGGCAACTACGATGGTAGAGGCCCATCGTGCCTCTTAAAATATCATGAAAGGAAAATCATCAATGCTACAGGACTTACTTGCAGTTGCAAGGGGAAATTAACGGCTCGCCCACCGAATTTCCCAAATAAGGCACGGAAAGCTCGCTGCACATGCAGATGCGGCAAACGGCCTGGCCGAGCGACTGATTCACGAGGTCGATCATCACCTTGATCATTTTTGTTTGAAAATCCTCAAAAAGCTTCAAAAAACAACGTCGAAAGAAGACAGCTCTCAAAGTTCCCTTAAGCATAACACCATCAGAGTACAGAAAGAAAAAGATAACTAGATTTTGGAGAACCAGAGATAATTTTGCATTTCGCGGAAATTACTCTGAACACGGCATAAACTTTGAATCGACTTTTTTTAAATCGACGGGTATCGCAAAAAAATTTTCCGGTTCTTTTTTCATATCAATAAACCCGGGAAAATTTTTGATCTACTAAGTGTGCTCCAATGCTCACTATCGAACTTTTTACGCGAGCTGTTCCCTTTTTCTTTTTTTTTTCGTGTTTTTCCATACTTTAAAACACTGTGCGTTCATTGTAGAAGCTTCGGATTTCTCTTGATGTCGAACCCTTATTCCCTTGAGTTTTTGGTTATTTCCATCGTTAGCTCCTTTTTCGTCTGGCGTGACTTTTGATTCCTGTACTATAAATGATGAATTTTTCAATGCTATGATTTTTTTTCAAGGTTCCAGTTTGTAATGGATCGACTAAAAATGCGAAGTTAGTTCAAAAATAAAATTAGCTTAGATGCTCTCCAGTGCAAACGCAATCAACAAATTTACGTTTTTCATTCAAGGTTAAATGCACAAGTTTTTGTAATGCAGCTTTATAAATAGTTGGAAGAGAAGAAGGTTTTTGTCAGCCTTGATCAAGCTTGAGACGCCATAACTTTTCAAGAAAACAAAGTTTATGAAATGTTTCTTCTTTTTTTGTAATAAAGGACTCTAGAAAACATCTAGGCAAATTTTCATTTTCAAACAGCCTTTTTCATAAGCTTTTCATAATCATAAAGAAACTGGCTTTTTTTCTTTATTTCTATTTAATTTTTTCTGCGGGAAATTTTTTTTATCGCCAGAGGCGGCGCGAAGGTTTCTGCTGTCCTTTATCGCAAACAGAATGTTCGCTCCAACGCAATAAAAAGTTTATTTTTTCAAGTTTTCCTAATTTTTTCATCACTTTTCATCATTTTATGCAAGCTTAACCATATGAAATTTTTTTAAGCGAGGCAAAATATTTAAATAACTCTGATTCAACCCTGCCGTGAGAATTCGTTTTGTTGTTTTTTTCCTATTATTTTTGAACCTTTTTTTCTATCTCGAGTTTTTCCCAATTTTGGTAGTATCCAATATTAAAAACAGTTTCAATTTTTTTCATCTTGAAGGTAAAAAAATGACGACGGAAAATGGAGCTCCGCGCGTGAAAACAGAAAAAGAATTGAAGAAAGAGGCCGAAAAAGCTGCTAAACTCGCCAAATTCGAGGAAAAGCAGAAAAAACTTGCCGAACAAAAGGCAGCGGCTGTTTCCAAGCCAGCCAAGGAGGTAAGGTAATCGTTATAATTCATGAAATTCATCTCGAAAAAAGGATTTATCAAGTAGGACTTTTTGAATTTCAAGGTCAAGGCCAAGAAGGAAGCGTCGGCGGCCGTCAAAGATCCTGTTGATAATACCAAGTTTGGAGAGAAAAAAGGTTATTTTCTTGAAGAAAAAGGTAAATGTTTATTTCTCAGATATATCCGGAGAAATTCCAACGGCCTACAGTCCGAGTTACGTCGAGTCGGCTTGGTACGCATGGTGGGAAAAGCAGGGATTTTTCAAGCCTGAGTACATGTTAGTTGCTTTTTGAATAATGTTTAGTATATTCGGAAAAAAAGCGGTTTTTTTGTGGGTGTGAGAACTTTCTGTGTAAAAGTTGCAGATTATTGAATTTTAGTATTGAAAAAAATTTGGTTTTTTTGGTTTTTTTCAGTTATAGATATATCTATTCATTGTATTTGGGTTTGAATTCTTCGAAAAAAAATAATAAAAAGCCGAAAGTTTACTTTAAGAACGTTTTACGCGGTACTGACATGAAAAGATGCTGGAAAAGAGCAAAATGGATCTTTTGAGATTGTAAAAAGAGAGCTCAAAAGACTTAACCATCAGTTTAGGAGTTTTTTTGCAAAAACTTTTCCTTCAGCTCTTTTCTTTTTTGTCCGCGGGTTTAATACAGGCTGCGAAAACTTCAGATAACTTTCAGAGAAAAGTTGAACGGCGGGTCGGAAGGCCATTTCACGATTTGCATCCCTCCTCCCAACGTTACCGGAACATTGCATGTCGGTCACGCCTTGGCCACCACCATTGAAGATACCCTCATCCGATGGTTCTTTTTATTTTATACCATGGAAAATATTTTAAAAGGTTCTAATAGTGTTGCGTCTATTGATTCTTTGTTGCGCGGTTTTTTTTTTGCAAATTCCTGTCTTTTTTTGGACTGTTTTGTTCAGGATGACCAAGAGGATCTTGGAACATTGTTTTTTCGAAAGTTTTTGCAGAACACTTTTTGGAGAAAATTCTTTAAATAACATCTTCAAACAAACTTCCGGTTTTAAAAACAGTAAATCCAAGAAAATAAGGTTAAAGCAACTTAAGAAAGGATACGAAAAAAGATACGAAAATAAAATTTTTGCTCACAACTTCCTCGTATATGGGCTATCTTTTCAAAACGATATAGAGCTCCATTTTTTTTCTTCGAGCTGAAGTTCCCCCAGAGTGTTACAAATAACAGTCATCACACCTCCAGAAGGTTTCAGGAAGATCAAACTACATACAAGAAAGTTATGATAAAAAAAAGCGTTTTTCGTATCTTCTTTGACAGAAGTTTAATGGGATTCTTTAGTCGGAATTTGAAGAGATAAGCTTTTCATCAGTGAAAATCCTTTAACTTTTTCCAAGCCTCCTTTTTTTATATCCTATATTTTTTTGTGTTTTAAAAAGTTTTCCTGGAGCCTCGCCTGCTTGAAAAAACCATGAGTTTGGCAAGCAATTTTCAAAGTTTTTTCGTTGAAGGAATCGCATGCGCGGCAAGGTGACTTTGTATAATCCAGGATGCGATCATGCAGGTATCGCCACTCAGGTAAAAATGTGATCCAAATATTTCCAACGATTTTCGCTTCAATATCCAGGTGGTCGTCGAGAAGCGATTGAAAAGAGAGAAAAATTTGACACGGCACGATCTCGGCCGTGATCGCTTTATTCAAGAAGTTTGGCATTGGAAAAACGAGTTGGTTTCTTTATTTTCAGATTTTTTTTTACAGTTTTTTATTGATTTGTAGATTTTGAATCCTGAAACTTACAGAAAAGGAGACGTGATCAACGACCAGTTCCGGAAATTGGGCGCCTCTGTCGATTGGGACCGTTCTGTGTTCATGATGGACCCCAAGGTGCTCCACATTTTCTCAATTTTTGAATAATATTCGTCACATTCATTAAGAAGCCAAAATTCTCTCGTAAATTCAGTTGGGTATTTGTATTTTGAGAGCTTTTTTGATTTTTGCGAATATTTCAGGCTAATTCGAAACGCTAGAAAGTTAAAGCAGTGAGAGAAAAGCCTAGGAAAAGCTGCAAGAAGAATTTTTAACCATTTTCAAATTCGCTAGAATTCTAAAGACTTAAAAAAGGGTGCAAAATTGAAGAGGCAGCAAATTTAATGCATAATTTGATGTGATTTTTAGATTTTTCTTTTCAACTCAGGTGGGTTTATAGAGCTTTTTGACTAGGATTATAATTCTTGTGAGGTTTTGGGGGAATCTATTTTTATAAACCAAAAAAATCAAGGAAGTTTTGTAGAAGGTAATAAATGGACATAGAAGAAATGAAGAAAGATGTAAAAGTTTGAAAAAACCCGTAGATTGTTAGAAGGGAGGAGTCTTATCCCACAGAAAGTACAAAAGACCTCAAAAAGGCTTTTAAAATAATTTAAAGCTCATTTTTGAATCCCTAAAAAGGTGTCAAAAGTTTCAGAGATCCTCCTTTTTTCCACCTTCTTTTTTACACCTCTTTAAAAGGTCCTTCTCGAAAAAAGATCTAAAAAAGACGCCTTTGAGCCCTTTTTTTCCAAAATTCCTCTTTGAAACCTTTTGGACTTTGCCCGTGAAGGCGGCATATTTATGAGAAACATGTTGAAAAGTGTCTTTTGAAGATGACCCGAGCTGTGACGGAAGCTTTCATCAGAATGCACGAATCCGGGACCATTTACCGTTCGAATCGCCTCGTCAACTGGAGTTGTGCCCTTCGAAGCGCGATTTCTGATATTGAAGTGATAAATAGAAATAATTCAACGTTCAATTTTGATTCTTAGGTCGACAAAAAAGAGCTCACTGGCGCCACAATGCTCTCCGTTCCCGGATACGAGAACAAAATCGAATTCGGAGTTTTGCTCTCGTTCGCCTACAAAATCGCGGGAAGCGGTGAGATTCATCAAACAAAAGGACGACTTTCTTTTTATTGAAAATGAATCGATTAATAAAAAAACTATGAGTTTCACGGCTAGGAATACTAGCGACTTTTCTTCGCCATTGATATCATCATTGGGTAGATTAAATGATTGTATAAATATACCGGGTGGTGAATAATTTTCTATGTTTAAACTCTCCACTTACGTGGACATAATTAAAGAGCTTCCGTTGGCGTAATGAAAAACTGACGTCAACAATACTTTTTGATGAAATTCCAAATCAGAATAAGTTTTTGGTAGAAAATGTCACACTTGCAGTTTTGTCTAGCACTTCATCAACGCCCTAATTGAAGAAATGATTCAGACGAAGAAATTGTGGTTTCGACGACACGTATTGAGACGATGCTAGGAGATTCGGCGATCGCCGTCCATCCCGATGATAGCCGTTACAAGCATTTGGTTGGAAAGGTATAACGAACCTCAGATATTTTCTTGGTTATACTGAAAACGTCCGCTAACAAGAGAAAGGCTTGGAGCAGCGTACAAGGGCGGCGAAGGTACAGCGTGGCGACTCCACATGCGCCTTTAATAAGATCCTCATTTTATCAATTATTTCTGTTTCCTTTACTTAATTTGATACTTTGATCTTCCAGGTTTTCTATTACTTGACGAAGTGCTAAAGAAAAAGAAATTAGTCAATAGTGGGGCTCTTATTAAAGGCGTATGAGGAGTCCCCGCATCTACCTTCGCCGCGCAAATTGAACCGCTTTTTTGCTTTCCCAAGCCACTTTTGAAATATAAGTGCTAGCATTACCCCGAATTTGGAAGGATTTGAATGACACATGCGCACGGTATCTAAAGATACGCCAGAGAAGTGAAAAACTTTTTTTTTCTCTGAAGTCTCTTCAAGCCGCCACTTTCTCTCGTTGTTAACTTATCAGAACTTTCTCAGTGACAATCAGAGCTCTTTCCTTCGAATTAGGCGTCAGGAAAGGCTTAGTAAAATTTTATTTCTGTTGTTCTTCAAGATCCGATTATTTTGGTTTGTTTCGAGCTGAAAAATATACTTTATTCATTGCCAGCTTGGATTATTGATTGAAAGATGAGTGAGTTTTTCTTCCTCAAAAAAGTATTAGAAAAATTCCGTGCAACCATGTTTTCCACACCTGCTTCGTTCAGAAATGCGTGCATCCTTTCGTGACGGACCGCGAGTTGCCGATCATCGCCGACAGCTTCGTCGAGCAGAGTTTCGGAACAGGCGCCGTGAAAATCACTCCCGCCCACGATCACAATGACTACGAAGTGGGAAATTCAGCAGAAACTCGCGTCGAATCCACTTTTTTGAGGTCGGACTTCGACAGAAGTTGCCTTTCCACACTTGCATCAGCGACGAAGGCTTCATCGCCGAAGGCTGTGGCAAGTTCTCTGGAATGAAACGATTTGAAGCCAGGTTTCTTGGATCCGAAGTATTTCTTTTGATGTCATTTTTTCAGAATTGCCGTGACAGAAGCCTTGAAAGAACTTGGTCTGTTCCGCGGGAAAGAAGACAATCCGATGGTGGTCCCAACTTGCAGGTAAAACATGTTTGAATTTTTGAAAGTCTTTGAAACGATTGAAATTTTCCTTAAGACCTAGAAATATCCAGCGAAATTTTTTGGGCAATTATTGATCCTGAATTTTTGAGAAAAGGTCATTTTTTCAATTTATTTGAAGAGTTAAGAGTTTTGTATCAGTTTGAGCAGTGAATAGGCAGTTGAAAAACTGAAAAATATACGTTTTTCTCAAAATTTTAACTTTATCGAAGGGATCTGATGCTAAAACAGCGTATAGAGTAGAAAGGAAGTTTTTAAAATTCCTTTTTTTCAGTCGAGAATAAATTTTGGTTCGAAATTTGTGAAAAAGAACCGTGGTATGCGTTAATATCCTTGAAACTTTTTTGTTCTACATTTTAATAATGAAAATCACGATAAAACATCGACGTGAAAGGGTACTGTAGCCTCGGGGGCGGAGTTAGCTTCCTGAGATTCGGGATCTGAGAAAAATGTTCTTATTTTGTTAGTTGCCATGACTTTTATTTTTCCAAAAGGTTCTTTCAAAGAAAATTTTTGACGATATCTGAACGTTAGCTACATGAGAAATATCACTATTCAACTTTACTAGAGGAGGGGCTGGTTTACGGAAGTCTATCAAATTAACGAGTAAAATTTAGTTTGGAGCCCAGGTGGTAGTTCTTCGTTCCATTTTATTTATTGAGACATCAGAGAAATCAAAAAGGTTTTGCTGAATCATGGTAGATAGTAGGGTTACCAAGAATGGAAACAAGCTTTTAGCTTCAGAAGCTATTACTGAATTTAACTTAAGACGACTTGGAAGAAAGGGGGGGGGGGCGGCTTTTTGAAAATGATCTGCCCTTGTATAGTTCGTTTTTCGCGACTTGAAAGGGCCGGACTTCTCTGCGCCATCCTCGTCTCTCGACGGCCCTCTCATGTATACGTGATGTTTCCATGTTTCTCTGACCTCGCCAAATTTGTCAAGCCGCGAAAAACGGAATAAATTAAGAGTTACAATGCCTTTGCAGTCGTTCGAAAGACGTCATCGAGCCGATTCTGAAGCCTCAATGGTACGTGAAGTGCACGCACATGGCCGAAAAGGCGATGAAGGCGGTGACTGACGGAGAGCTCAAAATCGTCCCCGAGTACCACATCGCCACCTGGAACCGTTGGCTCGAGTCCAGTCGGTCAGTTCCCACCTGAACTTGCTCATTTGACTCACCAAATTGTAGGGATTGGTGCATTTCGAGACAGCTCTGGTGGGGACACCGTATTCCGGCCTACCACGTCAGCTTCACCGATGGAAGGGTTTGTTTTGCTTTTCATTATGAATCCTTTGATGAGAGAGACAAGAAGCTAAAAACCAGGAGGCCATGGAAATTTCTTCAATGAGCCTTCTGAGTTCTTGACATCATCAGTTTCGGGAGAATGTTGCACTTTTATGTCTTTACCTTCGAAAAATACAAAATGTGCACCTGGAAGGATGGTTGTATTTCATTGAATCAAATTTTAAAAAATGGTCATGTTATTCTGTGGCTGAAACTGAAAGGTGATTGACCATCAGCGCTCATTAAATTAGAACTAACTAGGAAACTACTCGGACTCGGGTACGGGTTTCAAGTTGAAACTTTAGTGGTTTATAGACCCACGTCATAACACTTGAAAACAAGAGAGAATATCTGCTAAACCCGATAGAGAACTGAGAAAAAAATAGTAGAAAATGTGAGAATTAGGTTTGAAAATTTTCAGAACACTGCTTTATACCTTATTTTATATTTTAATACAATCGCCTTGAATGATCCGGCTATGATAAACTCTGAAAAACTTTTTTCCAGCCAAAAAAAGGAGGAACGCAGAAACTTGATAATTTTCAAGCCTAAACTGTTCATTTTCAAAAAGCTTTTTCTCAGAAGCCTATGGGGTTTAGCAGATGATCTCTCTTGTTTTCAAGTCTCTTAACCGGGTCTATAAACCACTAAAGTTTGAACTTGAAACCCGAGTCCGAGCAGTTCCCTAGTAAAAAGTAGGTTTTGTTTCGTCGTTCAGGTTTCTCAGTGCTCAATTATTAAAAAACTGAATATATTCACCTTTTCCATTTTTGAATTTTCTGTTCAAATGAAACCACCTCTCACAACTTGATTATCCTGACATTTCATTCACTTCCAGTATAGCAAAAAGAAGGTCGATGAGCCTTTTTTTTTTGAAATGAGCCTGTTACGATCATATCATCTTCTCAAGCTAATGTTAAATAGCTCTTACTCATCCTCAGTCCAAAACAAAGTCGGATCAATATTGAAACTCCAAAACATCTCAGGAGCACTTTTGACACTTTCAGAAGCAACCTTCCGGTGACACCGACGAAAACTACTGGGTTTCGGCGCACAGTGAGGCCGAGGCTCGCGCCATAGCCGCCAAGAAGTTTTCGGTCGACGAGAATTTGATCCGTCTGAAATGGGGTGTGCATTAGGATAATAGCTGAAAGAGCTTTTCAATAATCTCAATTAAAAAAAAAACTAACCAAATGGAAGCCTTTGTGCTTTTTTTTTGAATCTTCAAGATTTCTGTACATCTTTTTAAAGCTTTATCTCTAGTCAGCGTCACTCCGTAAACAACCAAGCATTCATTGATAATTTTCGAAAGATTGAAAACTGCTTGAACAGTTTTTTTTTTGTTCCGAATTTTATTCTTGAAAAATATAAGTTCACTGATGAATTTTCTAGAAACAAATAAAGGAAAAAAAAGAGTTTCTTTAGTTTTTTTGTGAGGATAATTTTTCTAGACGAGGATGTGCTGGATACGTGGTTCTCATCGGGAATGTGGCCTTTCGCCATTTTCGGTTGGCCCGACAACACGGCCGACATTCAATCTTTCTTCCCTTCAAACGTTATGGAAACCGGTGAGTTTTTCCGTGTTCGAAATACTCGCGAAAAGTTCGAATGACCAGAAAATGGTAGCGCAAAGGAAAGGATAATTAAATGTTGCTGCCTTGTATCAAAAAGGTTCCTTTTATTAGCCATTTGAATTTTTTTCGGGAATCATAGAGGAATAAAGGGTGAAAATAAAAGAGAAATCGAAAAATGATGAATAAGAGTTGATGGGAAAGCGTAAAAAAGGAGCTGTTTTTCTACCCTTTTAGGCTTCATTCCAGAAATTTAAAGAGAATGAAGACTTAAAATTAAGGCGCCAGGATCTAAATCAGTTATAGATTTTTGAAAAACCCAAAAAAAGAACCCCTTTACAAGATTTTTGTTTTTCTGAATTTATAAAGGCTGAAAAAATGGTAGAAAAATGAAGAAAGACAGCAAAAATTGTACATAAAAGCTGATTAAACGGCGTGATAAGTAGCATAAACGAACCTTTTTCCACCTTTTGAAAGGCTTAGATTTTGCTTAGATGTGGACAAAAATGAACATTAAACAGGTCACGATATCCTTTTCTTCTGGGTTGCTCGCATGGTGTTCATGAGCCAGGAATTGACCGGAAAGTTGCCATTTACGGAGGTTTCAGAACTTTAATTCGAATTCTTCAAACTTTCTCTTCTTTTAGGTCTTATTACACGCAATGATCCGAGACGCCCATGGCCGGAAAATGTCCAAATCTTTAGGAAACGTCATTGATCCTCTTGACGTCATTCGGTTCGTTTCAGGGGAATTTTTGAGCGGAAATGGGTCCGAATCGTTTTCAAGTGGGAAAATTCACAAAAAAGCATATTTTCCTATTATATTTTGCTCATTTGGAGGCGGTTCTTCTATGAAAAAGTCTGTTCAGGCTTTTGTGCTTTTGTATCTTTTTAAAACTAATTATCACTCTTTTTTTGAAGAAATGTTTTTTTGTTTGAAAGACTATTTCCTCCATCAAGTACTGATGTACATCCTTGAGGCTCAAAAACAGGAAAAAAAAAGCTTTGACAAAAAAAAACAATAATCTCTTTATTCGTCATTCCGATGTTCAGAGGTGTCACCCTGGAAGGTTTGCATCAGCAGCTCATCTCAGGAAATCTTGATGCAAAAGAGATCGAAGTGGCGAAAGCCGGACAAGCCAGAGACTACCCTGAGGCAAGTAGAAAACTTTTCTCAGCAAGATCCAACTTTTAGAAAAATTAATATGACGTGACAGGGATCTCGTTCTCTGAAATTTTGTGATCTTTCCAGGTCTGAGTGAAAGAAAGATTCTTTATAGCCTCAACCTGCTCAAATTCCTACTTTTAAAGATAATAACTTTCGAAGTTGTCTGTTACCGCTTTTAGGCCTCATTTTGTTTTTTCTCTTTAAAAAGTCATAGCTTCCATATGAAAAATATAAAAGTTTGCCCATTCGCGTGAGGAAAAAAAAATTTAAGGGCCTATAATTGGATGAAGTTCGACGTAGTTTCAACGTGGAAATTTTTTTCATGTTCATTGAAAATTTCCTCAATGTCAAGCTTGAGATTTGTACATGAGACTTTTGCCATGAAAATGCGGATCCAAAACGACTATAATTAGTTTTTCAGGGAATCCCCGAATGTGGAACGGACGCGCTGCGATTCGCCTTGCTGGCCTACACGAGTCAGGGACGCGACATCAACCTCGACGTTTTGCGCGTCCAGGGATACAGATTCTTCTGCAACAAGGTCCTTTCCGCAATGAAAAACTTGTCGAGTTTTTATCAATTCCTACGACTTATTTATGATTTTTGGTGGTATGAATTGAAGTTCAGCAACTTTTTCCACGAATCCTTTTCCCGCGTTCTCCAAGAAAAATCGTTTATAATTTCATTAGAAAATTGTCAAATAAACGCCTATTTTTGAGAATGAAAGACTGCCCTGAATGATTTTTTTTTATCTTTGCAGATTTGGCAAGCCGTTCGATTTGCCCTGAAGCAGTTCGAAGGCGTTGAGGCGGAGTACGGAAAAATTGTATGTGACACTCCATTTGACTGCGAACTTAATCTTTGATTTTTAGCCCCAAGGATCGCTCTCGACAATAGACCAATGGGTCTTGTCGCGACTATCGTACGCCGTCCGCGAAGTCACCCGCGGGTTGAACGAATTCGTATTCACTCAGGTTATCTAAAGTCCTCTATAGATGATAAATTCATTCAAATGTCAAAAATCAAGTTTCCGAAGAGATCTTCTTCGAAATTATAATGTAGTCCGTTTACCGTGACTCGAAAGGGCGGAACATCTCTGCGCTCTCCTCGTCTCTCGGCGGTCCTCTCATTTTAACCTGACGTTTTCATTTTTCTCTGAATTCGCAGAAGAGGGAACAGAGAGACGCAGACACTCGAAAAGTGTCAAGAACGGACTGTAGTTCGCACCTCTGTCAAAAAAGGACGTTTTTGCGCACAAATTTTGTTCATGATCTCTGTTGAAAAACCCCTTAAAAGCTTTCAAAGCAAGTATTTGTTGAGAAGTAGGAATTTTGCCTACTTTAGCCAAGCAAGTTTTCATCATAGTTATTTCAACCTTCTTTAATTTTTTTCTGAACAGTTTGCGAATTTTCCTAGTATATCTGGTCCACGGCTGGCCTGAGCCATCAAAAGATGGGTCTTGAGACGGTAATAAAAGAGAGAGTACCTGGCTGGTGGAGAGCGCAGACAGGCCACGCCTCTTAGCTTTCCAAGCCACCCGTGAACCGGCTCTTCAGTCTTTGGATTGATTAATCAACTTTTTTGAGTGTATCTGGAGTGCTTCTATCACTATTTGTTTTATCTTTCATTAGATTCTACCGACCCTTATTTACAGGCCGTGATTTTAATGATAAAATGATTAAAGGATATGGAAAATGTTTCAGGCGACGACCGCGATTTACAACTTCTGGCTGTACGACTTCTGCGACGTCTACATCGAGGGAATCAAGTCGGTTCTCTACGGAGGTACTTGAGGACTCCCCGACAAAATGAATGAAGACGTCTTCAGAGGACCTGGAAGCCAAGAAAACGACGCTCTCCGTCCTTCACTCGTGCGTCGACAACGGCCTTCGTCTCCTCTCGCCGATGATGCCCTTCATCTCGGAAGAGCTCTGGCAAAGGCTTCCCAAGGCCCACAATTCGTCGCCGTCCGTCATGGTCGCTTCGTTCCCTTCTGAGACCCAGGTACTGACCAAAACTTGTTTTTTGAATATCATTGCTCCCTACTAGTTTTCTTTTAAAAAAAAAAAGTCATGGATTCAAGTATCTTCTTTATTGTCCTTCTACTGTTTTGAAAAATTTGAAACATATCAAAAACCAGATTTCATAACTTATTTTTGCAGTTCTCCCATGAAAACAAGAACCTCGAGACGACCTTCGAGTTCGCCAAAGAGATCGTTGGCAAAGTCCGATCTCTACGTGCCGATTACGACTTGACCAGCAAGACAAAGATCAACCGTTAGTAGCCAAACTGAAGCAGGAATCATGGCGTTTTTTAGTGCATATCCTTGTCGAGTCTGCTGAAGACCTGGCAGCCTTACAAAGCGTCAGCGCCCTTGTTAGCACACTCACTTGGAGCAAGTCGGTACGTCCGATTTGCGGGTTTTTGAAAAAGGACTTCCGAAAAAGACATTTCAGACAGTTATAGAAATAAATTAGAGAAAAAAATTGATCCCGATCTGATCCGACCAAGAAGCTGAGCTCACAGCTGGGCACCGGGTGGCTTAGATTTTTTTAAAATCTTATTTCGAATCCCAGATTGAAAAAAAGTCTCGGCGCTCTTTTTAATTATTAATTATTTAGAAAAAAATAAAAGGAAACTTCATGTTGATCAAGTCTGAAGCAAGAAATATAGTACAGAAAGCTAAAATATCAATATGCATAAAGTTTTTAAAATTAGAACTTCTTAAAAAGCCTACACAACATCCTACTTTTGGAGAAGAGTCGCCTAAATTTCTAAAAAACCATAGAAAGTTGATAAAATATGTTTTTTAAAACTTGTTTTGATCCCTTGTTTCTCGAAAACTAGAAATTAGTCTCAGGATCGTTATCTGGTTCATCAAAACGTGTTTAAGCCAGTTTTCAGACCACCGCATAATTTAATGACCTTATGAGACAATTATTTTGACCCATACAGGTTCACATCGTCGGTCCAGAAGACGCGAGTACGATTCCTCACGGCTGTGCCCAAGTCGCGATGGGCAAGCGATGTCGCGTCTTCGTCGACCTGACCGGCATCATCGACGTCGCCAAGGAGATCGAGAAGCTGTCGGCGAAACTCGGCCGCAACGAGATCGCCGTCCGCAAGATTGTCGAAGGCCAGAACGTCGCCGACTACGAGAATAAGGTGCCCCTCGGCGTGAGGACCAAGGACCAAGAGAAGGTGACCTCACCTGAAGCCTTACCTGTAACAGTTTCCCACTTTCAGAAGTTGGCTCTGGAGAAAGAGATCGAGAACATCACTGAAGCTATCAATCAACTACGACTGCTCCAGTCTTCATAATAAATTTTTTTCGCTTTAAAGTTCGTTATCTAGTGCCTTTTTCGGTGATTTTCGAATGGTTATCCAATTGTTTTCATTTATCCAACTTTGTTGCAGATTTGAACTGTTATTTCTAACTGATAAATTATTTATTGAATAGTTGAATTGTTAAATGAGAAGTATATGCATCACTCGATTACCGAAATATGAAAATAAGAAAAGCGTTTTCACGACTTTCTTTCTCGATTCACTGCTGATGCATAGAAAAGTGATAAGATAATTATTTTTTTTTCTGAAAAAGGAAAAAAAAGCTCGTTTTGATCTCTAAAACGTAATTTAAGGTCCTTTTTAACGATTTCCGGAAGATTTTCAGTGGTCACTTTAGGGTTTTGACGTTTTGGTGGTCACTATAGTAGTCGAATCAGTGACCACTGGAGTGACTAAAATTTAGTGACCTCCTTAGAAGTCTAGTGGCACTAATAGACCACAAAAAACTACTTCAGGGGCCACTAAGACGCAGAATTGTAGCTTCTTTAGGGTTCAGTGGCCATTTTAGTGTCCTCTCCAAGAAGTCCTTAAAGAGCTCTTAAGTGGCTACTAGCGTTTTCCCCAGAGAAGGCAAAAAAAACTATCAACGTCTGAATCTCCGTTATTTACACGCTGTTTCTGTTAAGACTTTTTTTTTCAATGAATGAAATTTTAGCTCCATCCGCGATGGATCGAGAAAAAGAGAAAAAAAAAGAACAAAACTAATAAACTAAGAGAAAAATCTACGGGCAGAAAAAAAGAACTAATTTCCTGCGAGCCCATCAGACGGCAATCGCCAAAATGGCTCGGCCAATTGGAAAGCTGCCAATTTCGCAGCTATCAGGGCGAAAAAAGGGAACGAGAGCGGCAGGGCTCATCGATTGCCCGCCCGCGTCACGTTTTGGCGATGGCTCCTCGGAAGACGGGAGGCGAGAGAGCGTGCGTCCCGTGGAGCGTCGTCAGAAAAGCCACCGGAGGGGCTGACGACGTCGCAGAAGCGTCGACGGCGACCTCATGGGCGACTACGACTACCTCATCAAGTTCCTCGCCCTCGGCGATTCCGGCGTCGGAAAGACGTCCTTCCTCGTGAGTTCCCCCTCAATAATTCAACGGTATCGAGTCCGTCCGTTCGCGTTCCAATGAGTCTGAGGAAGGGCAAAATGTCGGAATTCGATGAAGTTTTGTAGTAAAATGATCAGCGTACTTCAATTTTGGTTCTTTTTTTTTACGGAGTTTTTCGTATAAAATCGCACGAGTAAGTTTGAAAAGTTAAGTTGAAAAATTTCGAATCCTCTTTACGCGTTTCGGCAAGTCTAAGAGAGTTCGAAAATATCAGAATTCGATGAAATTTTGTACAGAGATCCGAAATTGTCAGCATACATTCTGCGTTTAAAAATTACGAAAGAAAGTTTGAAGAATAAAAAAATAAATTTCTTGAACTTTGTACATTAAACAATTTTTATACCTTCGTTCGCGTTCCGAAAAGTCTAAGGAAGTCCAAAAAATATCAGAATTCAATGAAATTTTGTATAGGTATCCGAAATTCTCGTCAGTCTTTAACTGGAGGAGGAAGGGAGTTTTAGTAAACTACATAGGAAAGTTTGAAGAATGAATTTCAACTATACGAATCTTCCGCTTGCTTTTTTTTTCGCTCGGATATTCTGTTCCAGGATTCATTTTTTTTTAAAATCACATTTATGCCCTTTAGTTGGGTTCTGAGACCCTACTTTTTCTCCAGTGCAATGGTAAATTTTCAGGCTTTGAGCAACTTGACTAGGCAAACAGAAAATTTGAACTACCAGAACAGTCTTTAATTGGGCATTTTCAGCACCGCTACACTGACAACACCTTCACTGGCCAGTTCATTTCAACGGTTGGAATCGATTTCAAAGAGAAAAGAGTGGTCAGTCGAGTTTCTTTTCAGATTTATTCAATTTATTTTCTCTAACAAAATGATGGTGTAACTCTCAGTGCACCCCGATAAAAAAGAACATTTTTTTGAAGGTTTGAGACATTTTGTTATTCAGGTCTACAAAAGTGCTCGAGGAGGCTTCGGAGGCCGGGGACAACGGGTTTTGCTGCAACTATGGGACACGGCTGGCCAGGAAAGGTGAAATAATAATTGTTTTATTCACTATTTCATATCAAAAGTATAAAATAGTACATGGTAAAATAAATAGACATTGAAAAGTGTGCATAAGAATAAGATTAAAGAAGAAAAAAAAACTCCCCTAGTAGGTCTTGATAACTTTTGCGCTCCAAAGCTCGAAAAAGACCTAACGCAAGAAAATTTCTTGTTTTCTAAAGTTAGTAGGGTACATTTCAGTCAAGTTTCATCAGAAAAAAGCAAAAATATTTCATTTTTTACGGTTTCACTCACAGAGTAGCAGTAGAGACGTTGAAATTAAACCTAAAAAGTCAATATATTCCATAAAAAGAACTATATTAGAGTTTTTTTGAAAATAAGCTCTAGGTTCATCAATTTTTATTTCATTCAAAACCTGAGGAGAAAAATTCACTTTCCGCATGAAAATTGGTGACTAGAGCAAAAAAATTTTATATCAATCTAATGTTATAATAGTGAAAGACGTAATATAAATAATTCTCATTTCTAACCGGCTAACCTAATTTTTTTGGAATGAAGAGTTTGAAAAAGACGTTTTCTAAAAACTTTTTTTCTGCAGATTCCGGAGCCTGACGACGGCTTTCTTCCGCGATGCGATGGGCTTCATTCTCATCTTCGACATCACCAACGAACAATCTTTTCTCAACGTCCGCGACTGGCTTTCTCAGCTCAAGGTTTCTTTTTGATTCTCTGAATTCATGAAGAAAATCAAAACCTTGTAAGTTTTTTTATATTACTACAAGTTCCGCAGGCTTATATTCAGCTTTGAAAATGAGAAAATCTTACTGTAAGTACAAAAAAAAAGTTGTTTTACGCAAGCCGTATTCCATTCATAACTTTTTCATCTAATTAGAGATCGTTTTTTTGGGCGAATTTGGGGAGAAAAAAATTTTTTCGTGAACCTTGAACTTTTTTTTTACAATTTTGATTAAAAACTCTTTTAGATAAAGCTATCTGCAAAAATGTTTTAATTTCCAGATGTGATTTTCCTAAATCGCGAAACATTTTGTCAGATCTGAATCTGAGGTAAAAGGAAGCTTTTAAAATCCTCCGAAATCTCCAACAAATTTTTTTTTAATCTCAAGAAATCTCCAAGAAACTCCAAAAAATCTGCGGAAATCTCTAAAATCTCCAGAAAAAAGCTTTAGCGAGTGCCGAATATGAGGCTGGTTCATCTAGACATTCAGAAAATTTTGGAAAACTTTGAAACTTTACACCGAAATAATCTCCCTTTTCAGTTACACCACAATTTTTTCATCCATTCCTCTTCCTATAAGGCATAAATCTGTTCCAGGTTCACGCCTACTGTGAGACGCCCGACATAATAATCTGCGGGAACAAGGCGGACCTCGAGAACCGACGTCAAGTCAGCACCGCCCGAGCCAAGCAACTCGCCGATCAACTCGGGTGGGAATTCTTAGAGTGGTCCCTAGAGGGTTAGGGAAAGTCTCTATTTTGGACAAAATAGTGTTCCTCAGTAGAGTTCATGGTCTGACCCACAAGCCTCTAAAGCCTAAATGACTTCTAAAGGGTCGATTTTTCGATTTTTTGTGAAGCTTGTAGCTTTTTTCATCAGGCCTTTAAATATTAAAAATTCTGATTTCAACACAATTTTTGCGTTGTAGCGTGACAGAACAGCATGGGTTTTTCACCTGCTCTGAAGCCTGAAATTAGGTTTTGAATAATTAATTTCCAAATTTTTTTTGTTGATTGGTTAACTGTCTGCAACTTTTTCACCCTAAAAATAAAACAACAAAAAAACGAAAATTACAATAAAATCATGTAACGAAGTTTCGCAGACCAAAATTTGTTGCTTAAAAATTCTATTTTTTTTTCTTCTCACGGGTTTTTGGCAACCACTTGTTTTCGCGGAGATTTCATTCATGTTTTGCCAGATTTGGTGAACATTGAATATATTCAACTATACAGAGAGACTTCTTTCGAAGATTCTAGAATTTTTAAAGCTGATGCGCACCCAAAAAAGGGTCGATACGTAGTGGCTTTGAGGCCGTTTTTAGCTTGCGACCCGTCGTTGAGCTCGACAGATTTATTCTTGGATATTATAAAAAATCAATAAGTAACTTGGTTCAACCTTGAACTCGCAAGTAAGAGATGGAGGTCCTGAAAAACTTCGATAAGATGTCCGAGAAAGTGGACTCAAAGCCTCCAAATCGAATTTAATGGTGTTCACTATATTCGAGCCTTTTTTTTTTTGCTAAAGCCCGAAAAGTGCAGATTGATCATTCCAGGTTCCCCAGCGGACTCATCAATCATTTTCTTACTCGAAGTTTTCCACAAAAAATTTTAAAACTACTTAGAAGCATGTGGAAATTTAAAAATTGGTTTTTAAACTGCAATTATGATATAATTTTTCTTTTGATTCCGATTACTTAAATTTCATTAAACTTCCCTGAAAACCTGAAAGGTAGTAAGACCGTGCAGTTATTATTCATTTAAATTTATTTTTAAAAATACAAACAAGCGAATATCCAAAACGCTCAGATCAAGCTGTTTTTTAATCTGAAATGGATTCGCCTTGAAAATGGAGAATCTTGAAAACCCATATTCCGTAACTTTTAAATTTGAAACCTCTTGCGCAGGAAGGGGCCGTATGTGAGTTCAACTCCAGTCCATCAAAGATTCTTTGAGTGAATTTACCGAAAATTTCAGAAGCCCAGCTAGGAGGATTTATAGGAAAGATGGTTTTTGAAAAATCAGTTCTTGTGTCATCTTTCATTTATCGATTTTTCATTGACAGCTTTTCCTTTTGATTGAAATGAATTATAAATATTATTATAGTTCAAAATGAGAAGCAGGAAGGAACTGTTTGAAAGGATCCTTGCAGACTGCCGTACTTCGAGACGTCGGCGTGCACGTCGACGAACGTCGAGAAGGCGGTCGACTGCCTCCTCGACCTGGTCATGCAGCGGATCCAGCAGAGCGTCGAGACGTCGGGCTTGCCCCTCTCAGGTAGACGCCTTGTCGCCGCCGGCTCCCGTTTTTAGCCCACGCAGGTCCCTATTCAGAATGTCGCGGTGTGAGCCTCGAGAACGAAGCGCCGCCCACCTCGTCCTACTGTTCCAACTGCTAGTTCTACGTTTATTTTTCTTCTCTAACTTCAGGTCAGTTTTTATTTTTTTTTTTTAATTATTTGATCGATTTTAAACATTATAGCCTCTCTTTTTGATAGATTTTTGAATCCATAGAGTGATCACTAGAGGAGTTAGAGAAAAAATCTTGTATACTGGACAAAAATATTTCTGCCAAAAAAACTGAAATTTAGAGGTCCCTTTAGAATTTCAGGCACTGACTTCTAAACTCCTAAAGCTTTATTTTCCCACTCGCTTGAGTATGAGGAGTGTTATGAATTGTTAATAAACGTAGAATCCTTTTTTCATCTTTATTCTCAAAATAATCTTCAGACCAGATCCAATCTGCATTATTGTCCTACATAGTTCAGAAATACACCAATATTGGTTTTTAAATTGTACTGAACCTTTTTTTGGTTATTAGAAATATTTTTGAACTTTAGAAACTCAAGGCTCATAAAAAAATTAACCTTTTTTTCATTTTCTACGACTTTTTCCTCGTTTAAGGTCCATTTCGAGTTGAAAATGGATGAATGAAGATTTTCAGTTCACACTCGCGGGCAAAGTCCAAAAAGTCTCAAAAAGGACTTTCGGAAAAAGCCTTTTTCTGAAAAGGACCTTTTACGAAAGTGTAAAAAAAGGCGAAAAAAGGGTGGAAAAAAGGAGATTCCGAGAAACTTTTGACACCTTTTTAGGAACTCAAAAAGGAGCTTCAGGCTCTTCTTTTCAAGACCTTTTTGAGGTCCTTTGGTCTTCGCCTGTGCTGTCACAATCTAACATTTGACGCCGATAGAAGAGTTTTTTTTAACTAAATTTTTTCAGGAGCAACCGATCTCATCCAGCACCAAAAGAAGCTCAACATCTCTACTTTGAGCCATTTTTTCCACCATTACTTTGTAATCTTGTTTCTAATTCTCAATAAGATCCCCGTTTCCATTTCCATATCTTTTTCTAAGATTAATTATATCAGAGCGCTTAATTTTCAAAAAAAAAAAAAAACCGAAATCGTTATCAGCGCAATGACATTGGTCTGAAATCTAACGGTCACCCGTCTCAATAGTTGAAATAAATTCAATATTTGGCCTTACAACTGTCCTATCTTACGTCGAAGACGTCCTTGAAGAAAAAAAGAAAGATATTTGCTTGAAGATATGTTCGTTTGCGATAGTTATTCTGATATAACCTGTCTTCCACATATCGCTTTTCGTGTTAATAAAAATATTGAACGGAAAGTTTGAAACATTGCGAAATCGTTTTGGAGCGGAGAAGTGTCCCTTTCAAAGTACGCTATTTAACTTTCTCTGACTGTCTGCTGTTTGATAAGCCTGCACTCCTGGCTTATAAACTTTCTGATTTTCTAACTAGAATCTATCTCACAGGTTTATTTGAAAAATGATTCACGGTTAATCATTTTGGAACAGAAAATAGTCCAGTTGATTGTGGCGGTCAAACAATTGGCAATTGATATCATAAAGGGAAAATATTTCGAAAAAACTAGGTCTGTTTGTTTATGTCGTTTGTGGGTTTTTCGGCGTTTATTTATTAAGTAAAGCAAAATATGGAGAGTTATAGGAATGGCGACCGAATACTTGATGAAGGTCATTCAATGGGAAGAAATTGACAAATTCCTGCCAAAAGACGAAAAACGCGAGATTCGAATGCTTTCGGGCGGGGTATTTTTTCCTTATTTTCCAAGAAAAATCTCTGTAGCGAACGCTGGACGTTTCTGAGCGCTTCTCGGGTCCACTTGAGAGTTCTTGAGTTAATAAAGTGGTCACTAAAATGCTCGGACAAGTCTGAATCGCGTCCAGTTGTCGTTACCAAGGATCTAGACAATATTCGATACTTTTTTCAGTATTCTGGAGCCGATATCCTCGAAATATCTCCAGTCGATCACCAATTTCCCAGTTATATTTTGAAGGTTTAGCCATATCGCTCCAAGTTTTAAAAATAAAACTTTCAAGGTTACTAGAGCAGGCCATGAAGCTCATCTGAATCCAGAAGGGGAATCCTTGAACCTGGCCCCCGAAAAATTCAAGAGAAAAGACAGAAGACGACGAATCGTGAGCACCACGAAATTATTCTGATTTTTGGTACTTTTCAAGTTCCACAATAACGAGCGCATTATTTTGAAACATCTGGCGGGAGGAGAGAAAAAGGAAAGTTTTTTGGAGACGTCCATGCCCAGGGTAAGGATATCTCAAGAAGAAGAAACATTCTAAGGTCCCATTTCAGATGATAGCTTCCAATGAACTAAACTCCGAACAGAATATCGGTTGGATCTTGATGGAAAAGTTTGAAAACGTTTTTTTCCACGACACTTGCGACTATCCAACTGAAACGCAAATCAATAAAGTTTGTACCCAAAAAAAAAGCTGCAAAAAAGGTGTTTTCAGGCTCTGGAATGGCTCTCCACTTTTCAATGTTCAATCGGAAGGATTCCCTTGGAAGATAGGAAAAGCCTTCACATTAAACCCTTTTTTGGGGACACCATTCCCTTTGATATCAGAAAAGTTTGATTTTTTGGCTTTGAAAAACTAAATCATGCAGGTTCGAAATGACCTTCGTCTATTTGGTGGAAATTATCCGGATGATTTGGAAGAAGACGTGGAAAAGGCAAGGGAAATCGTGGGGCTGTTTGATGAAGAATATTTGACAAAAATAACGAGAATATTGGAAATGAATGGTTAGAATTTTATTCTGAACCTATACGCAGCGTAAATTAGCTTAAAAGCAGATGAAATCGATTATTTTTCACGCGAAATTGCGATCTTGAAGGCTAAAAATGTTCAAAAAAAGTTTTCATTTTCGTTTTGAGAAGATTTACGCTGCGTAAATGTCCATAAAAATGACCTCAGAAATTTCCAAGGAAAATTTTCAGGCGGCAAAAATCTTCTTTGCCACGGGGATTTCTATACGCGAAACCTAGCCTTCGACCAGAAAAATGGCGCTTTGAAATACGTTTTCGATTATCAGGTTTTTCACGCCTCTCAAAAGGATACGAAAAGATTTTTTTCTAGAACGTGTTCATTGGAAATCCAGCCTTGGACTTTTTGAGCGTGGCCTGCGACTTTTTGACGAGTACTATGAGAAGGACAAGTTTACGCGGGATGGCTCAAAGTTTTCATTCGAGGCTACAGAAAAGCGAGGAAATTGAAGTCCCTTCATTTAGTCAGGTTAGCGTAGGAACAGTTTTGATTGATACTTTGAGTGAAGTTTTTCACAAGGAAGGATTTTTTCGCACTCAAAATTTTCTGGAAACACCAGTCGAATGGAACATTATGGAACTTTGAGGCGTTCTTCTTTTTAAAACTTCTGTCTTTTTGAGCTATGCCGGAAAAAAAAAGTTTGCAGTTCTGGAAATCCGTTATTTTTCTGGCACCGATCCAATGTGCCTTCCAGGCCTACTGTAACGGTTTACAATGGGACGACATTCTTCAAAGAGCCACTGATGAAGGGGTTTTCTCAACCATTTCTTCCGAAACTCCGCCCCTTTTTCAGGCCAACAAGCGACTGATCGAAAAAACCAGAGGTCTTTTGTCTGACATGCAGTTCTTTCACGAGCAACAACATCTGATAACAGAATGAAATCTTTAATCGTTAAAGCTATAAATGAATGTCAAAGTGAAAACTGATCTGAATTATCAAAAAGCACCCGTGGGAATGTTGAAGATCATCGCTGATATGGCCACTTCGGTTGAGAAATGACGTTGGGAATGAACTTGAGCATATTGTCGTGCACTGTGCCATTGTGCGAGAGTATCTTTAAGTTTCGACTTGGAGGAATTTGAAATAGGAAGCTCATCACGCGCCAGCGTCACGATTTTTATTTCCCGCCGAGCTACTGGGAAAATTTTTAGTGGCCACTATAGTAGTCAAATTAGTGGCCACATAAGGGGTTAAAGATTAGTGGCCACTATAGAGGTCAACATAACTGGTCCAATCTGTTTTTTTTTAATTATCAGAGTTACTGGAAGGAATACTGATGAAAAACTACTGAAGTGGTCACTTAAACGGAAAATAGTGGCGACTATAGAGGTGAGTTTAGTGGCCACTTTAGTGTCCTCTCCAAGTAGTCCTTGGCGAGCCTCTATAGTGGCCAAATTTTGCCAGTACAGAACCCTTCCCGAAAGATTCTATTCGATGTCCGCGGCCTGTTTTTACCTTTTTTATTAGAGCTTCCTTTTGTTGTTTTGAAGGCGCATGCACACATAAAGGCCGCGTGCATCGAATGGAAGCTTTTCAGAAGTTGACTCGGAGGAAGATAAAACCGTGAAAGGCTGGCTCGGGATGGGCTATACAGGCTGTCCAGCTTTTGAACTACAAGCAGCTGAACTACAGCACCTATTCGCGCCGATTTTTTATCGCGTGTAGCGACCGTCCTTCAATAGCGCTCCATTTTTCGACTTCTTCCTAACCAATACTCTGCCATGGGGCGCATAAAGGCTGCCACAACTTTTTTTTTTCTGACCCACGCTATTTCGTCGTTTTCTCGGCTAGATGATGACGAAATAGTGTGTGTCAGAGAAAGCCTAAAAGGCGCCCCATGTCAGAGTAGATCAAAAAAATTTTTTCAAAAATGTAGCGCGATGATTAATTGACACGAAAGATACGGTAGTCACTGGGGCGATTATTATTCAAATTTGGAGCAGACTTCAGTTGAAGTTTTACAAGAAAATGTGAAATAAGAAAGTTAATGGATATTAGAAAACATTGAAAATATTGCAACTTTTCAATTTATATTAGATCTTTGAAAAAAATCCGTTTCCAGACTTTGAAAAGCTTACCCGTAATTTCGAGATAAACCAAACGTGTGGCGCCATATACGGTGGCGATTGCTGAAGTTCGAGAGGAGTTCGATCGCTTCCCAGCATTTCTGAATAAAATAGAAGATTAGCTACGCAGAATTCGTATTCCGAGAAGGCGCAGAAAAAATTGATTCCAGCGATATATCGACAGATATGCATTTTAACAGTGAGTTTTACGCGCGAACGTGAAATTTTCGTAGAAAACGCCCCAATAATTTGCAAAAATTCAAGCTCGCGCGTAGAAGTTACGGCAAAAAATGCATATATAACGATATATCGTTGTAGGACCCATTTTATCTGCCTATTTGGGTGCCACAAAAATTTCGCGAATATAAAACGGCAGAAAAACGTTTTGAGCAAGCCATGTCCAGAACATTTCACTGAAAGAAAACCCACCAAAATCGCCAGAAATCTCCATGGGACATTCGTCAGACAGGATTACCGAACGGAATTTTTCCACGGCTTCGTCGCTCCAACCTTCTGGAAAACTTAAAATAGTCAGCATAAAATGACGAGAAACCCTACCGCGTCCAATTTCCCGTCGCTCCCTAATTCCAGAAAGACAAAGTTGAAGACAGAGCGGCGGATAAGTGCAATGTCTGAGTAGGGAACGTTGAGCTGCTTGGATTTTCAATGGGAAATTTATCTTTTTTCCAGCTAGGGAATGTTTTTACCCGCCGGTTGAACTTTTTGATGAAAGTTTGCTGAAGTGGACTTCAAGACTTTCTGATTCCAGAACAAGAAGAAAAAAAATATCTAGATCTTGTTCTGAAAGCATCCAAGCTCGCAAAATACGCAAAACATGACGAAAAAAAGCGCTATTTCAAGCTCAGTTTCACCAAAAGTTCAACGGGGGTTAAAAAAACGTTGCCTTTTTCTTTTCAGAAAATGATAGAAGCTTGCAACGTACTGCTTGTGGATTTTGTAGAGACTTGTGAGGAGAACTTTCTCGCGACCGCCCGAATCCAAGTAGCGTACATGGGCAAACATGTCGCATTGTAGAACCTACAAAAATTTTCTCGCTTGAAAAAAAAAACAGAAAAAAATTTTTTTTGATTGCAACAATACGAAAATGGCTTGTTCAAAAAGTGAAAATTTTCTTCCCCCATGATATGAAATATGTCGCAGTGAGAGTAATGCTATACCGCGAGCGATATCGCTTGCCTTTCTCTGCGACCTCGCAACCGTCTTGCGCTACATCGCTTTTCGGAAGTTTTTTCTCTCCATTTGATTCATTGCATTATAAAAGTTGAAATACAGCAAACAAATTTTCTTAGTTTCAAAGTTATGAGATGGAGCGATATCGCAACGAGACTTTGACGAGATCGCAACAAGAAGCCTGCGGTCCGCTGCGATGTAGTAACTTATATTGGTTGCTAGGACCTTAGACGAGCTGGGCTCCGCACTTTGCCACTTGGAGAAGCAGCAGATCGTCGTCGGAACGCTCAAAAATCGTCTATTACTACCTCGAGAAGGGCGAGATCATCTTTCTTGATCAACGACCGTTTCGCGAGCCGACAGACAGCTCTTCAATTATCCCCTGTTTAAAACTTTTATTCAGCCTTCAGAAAAGGTTCTCTGCTGAATCATGAAATAATTGAAGATTTTTTGGCCGGTTCGCGAAACTGTCGTTGATAAAGAATGGCGCGTAGAGCATCTCGCCCTTTTTGTACAAGTAGTAGATGAGCTTCTCAATGTACTAACAGTAAGGCGCCCAGCTTATCCAGGGCTGACGGGCGTCGGATCAATTCGCAGGGGAGAGCGGATATGAAGACCGACCACTCTCGAGGTAGAAACGAGGTTTTTATGATTATCATTGATAGAAAGTGCATGATTGAACAGAGAATCTTCTCTAAAGACCGAACAAATGTTGGTGCGGACCTCGACGCGCTGCCACTCGCCGGTGACGACGGCGCGGTCTTCGTGGACGGCGCAGACCGCGTAGACATTCCAACCATTCCGGTGCATCTCCTCGCTGGAACACGGCTTCGGGTACGGACAACACCTCGGAAACCTCACATCTCCTCCTTCGGCAAGGTCTTCCGGTTCTTGGCGTTGGAGTAGAAGGCGTCGAGTTTCTCCGCAGCCGACCGGTACTGTTCCTCGGCTTCGAGAAGCCATTGGCAGGGCACGAAATACTCCGTTTCTAAATGTTCTTTCTTTGCATTTTTATGTCGGGTCAAATGGAGAACCAGCGGAGACAATCGTCTTTTCTTCGTTCTTTTTGGGTCCGATAGGCCTTGCGTACAGCTCGAATGGCTCGGCGTTTTCAAAGTTCTCAAGAGCGACGAGGACTTTTCCATCGTGAACAAATCTATAAACAAACAATATAATTGTTTTTTCAACCGTTGCAAACTTTTTAATGTCGTTATCTTCGAATATCGGAACTTGGCATTGCTGGAGATCGAAGTCGTCGCCATCCTCTCGGAGGCTCATCTAAAATTCAAATTTTCGAAGCATAACATTTATTTTAAGATGATTCTAGATTTTTCCATGATATTCTGAGTGTTTCTAGTCTCATCTACGTCTTCACTGGCCACCTGCGGGCAAAAAATCATGAGTAACGAAAAAAAGAGGTTAACGAAAACCTTGAAAATGACCGAAGATTCAACGTCGGCCATTTCTTCCTCGGTGTTTTTCCAATCGTCGGGAACCGTTGGATGTGAGGGATCGACAGCCGACTTTTCATTTGTTTCCTAAAGTTATTCAGAACGTTTTGGGAAATAGAAAACTTGAGGTGGGGTTTAACATTGGAGTCTCAAAGCAAATTCTTCTTTTCAGAACAGGAAAAAGGCATTTTTTGCAGTGAAGATAATTTTCATGTAACTACTTTTCTACCTTTTGAATTTCTACTCAAATTCAATAACTGATCGAAATTTTGAATTTCCCGCCAACTTGAGAAAGAAAACGTGTACAAATGGGATCAACTGGTTTATCTCTCATCGAATGTGGGAATTTGAACAAGAAATCATAACTAACACTTTATTTATAGCCGTTGTTTCACAATTATATCGAACTCGAAAACTTCATGTTGAACTTCTTGATTGAAAAGGACAAAAAATGACGAAATTCGAAGTATAAAAAGAGAGCTTTGAACTCATAATACTTCAAAATTACGAACTATATAGAAAAAAAAATAGAAAGAATCTTCTGGAAAATGAGTAAAAATCTGGACGATTTGGGACACCTTTAAAAGTAATCATTTTTGAGGTGGTTTTTAGAAACAAAATTAAACGTTTTTTTTATATAGCAGCTGATAAACGACTGGCTTGAGCCTTAGCAAAATGGGTCCTAACACTAATAATGAAAGACTGTCAGGTTGATGGAGAGCGCAGACAGTGCCACGCCCTTCAACGTCCTAGGTTCGCCGTGAATCGGCAATATAAGTTTTTCGGCGATTTTTTCCGAGAAGAAGCGCTTCGGAACAAACCTGGGCTGGATAGTCGACGTGGTCGGCGGCGTCAGTCAGCGAATCGAGGACATCGACGCCTTCCAAATTGTATTCAATGAAAAGATTGGCGATCGAGACGCACGAGATCTCGTTGCCGTCGTTCTTGACACCGTAGATGTCTGCCTAATACAAAGAAAAGTCATTTTTCTCAAAATAGAAGGCGATTCAGACAGGCTGACAAGGGTAGCTATCAGGCCGATAAAATAAGGATATAGCGGATTCCACGCGGACTTCTCACGTTTGAAATAAAATTGGGAGAGAGCACAGTATGAAAAACTTTTTTGCGCGCTTCGCTTCGAGACCCGCACGCTTCAGTACTTTGCGGGAAAAAAATCCAGAGCCCCTCACGTCCGAACAAGCTTCCCACCAAAACAAATTTCTATTAGAGAGGCTGTGGGGAAGGGGGGTATTTGGGAATGACCCCTACTTCCCTTTAAGACCTGATATCCGAAGTTTACGGTTCATGACCAGAAAAAAAAGTGACAAAAAGGCTTTGGCTCACAATGACTGGCCGGCTGTAGTCGTTGCGGAGAGCGCTAGAAAACAAGACGTCGATTCGTAAATACGGGAAGCCGTTGAGGATCTCCCGCAGGATCTCGCAATCCCGCGTTTTCCATTCACGAGATGCCTATAATGCTCGAAATTCCGCCGAGAACGTTGAAATTGAAAAACATAGAGGTCGGCTGTCGTCGGGGCGACGTTGGCCATCGAGACAAGGATCGCCTGCCACGGATGGAACGCCAGTCGCTCTTCCAGCTCGTGCAGAACCTGGATTGCTTTCCTTATTCGAAATGTCTGACAAGGAAGGTCATTCCACTTCCCAGTTGGGATTTTCTTGAAATTTCAGAGTTTACCAGAAAGCCTGAACTTGCAAAACTCCCTCTTTTTCAAGAGATAAGAACTCAAAGTCTCAAAATAGCCGGTTTCAACGGAATTTAAACATTTTTTTTTAGTTTTAAAGTGTCATTTCTCAATAACTAGCTAATTTTGCAGGTTGAGACTCTCAGCAGCTTTTTCTAGTACATTAAAGAATCTTATGACCAATTTTTCAGAAATTTCCCAACCGCAAAGTAAAATACCTTCCTTTTTTTATTTGTATATTTTATTCAAGGGCAAAACCAGAATATAATCTATTTTCCAACAACTTCTGAATTAAAATAATCAGAAAAAGAGTTATGCTCTATTTTAACAAAGGGAAAAAAACCTCGGGGTAGACCCATCGTCTTGTTCCTTCGTCAATGAAGAAAATCCTGACGATTTTCCGTCGGTCTTCTGTTCGGAGCTGAAAATGATGAGAAAATCGTAAATGGATGACAAAAATTAGAGAAAAAAAAAACTTCATCTGATCTGAAAATTTAACTTTCTATCTTTCAGTTGTTTATAGTTTAATCAGCCTTTTTTTCTCGCATTTTTCGTTCAATCACTTCGAAAAAGAAAATAGGACTGAATATTATTTCAAAGAAGGTTTCTAAGAACATTCCGAAAAAAAGTTTTTGTAGTTCCCTTCGAGGGTTAAAAAGGGCATGAGACAGAGTTTGAAAAAAAAGCAGAATTTTTTTTTCATTTCACTGCAAAACATAATACACGCAGTTTGTGTGAAAAATATTTAAAAAATCTCCTTTTCGAAAAAGTCCGAAAAATTTTTTCTTTCAAAGGGTCGTAGTAAAAAACGATTTTTCTCAGACATACCTTTCACACACCTTCAAAAAAAAAGGAAATATTCTGAGATGAGGCAGTGAAATAGGTAGTCTTTCTAAGACAAAATAGTAAAACGTGAATAAAAAGGACCTCCTCGATGATGCAACGGCCGAAAACTCTGTCACTGACGGGGGCGATCGCATAGTCGCCGACCTCGAAATTGGCCATTTGCCGTAATTTGTACCTGGAAAAACTCATCAAATCCAAGATTTTCACAGGCGACGAACGGTTCTCGCAGACATAGTTCACTGGTTATGTGATTCGAGAGCCGAACCCAAATCTCGTTGGGCGATTCTGCGTGGAGGATTTCGACAACTGCCGATCTGGTCAGGTAAATTCGATTGATCTGAATGAATTTTACGATTTTTGCTTGATATAATAATTTAAGAACGTTCACAACTTCCTGATGGTGTGGAGGAAAATGAGGATTATCTTAGAATGCAAATTTTTTTAGACTGAAATTCAAAATTCTGAATGAAAATTGGCTAAAATTTACTTCAGAGAACATTTTAGATCTTGTTTTTTTCGATTTTTTTCACTTTTTAATATTTGCAAAATACACAAATTATAGTAAAAAAATATACCGTCATTAGAAGCTTTTTTTAACCGCCATAAATTTTTTTAAAATTATATAATTACTGCGAAAAAAAGTTTGTTTCGATGAGAAAAAAAGTGTTTGAAAGTGCGCTCCAGCCAATTTTCTTCAAAAATTCGGTTATAAAGTGAATCTTGTTCGTTTTTTTTTAGTTTCCACCACCACAAAACCTTGCCTAAGCGCCTTCAAATTATGCAGCAAGGAACCAAAAAAGAAGACAACTAATGAACCTTTATCTTTCCCGTGGAAGGATCTTTGCCGTTGAGAATCATTTTCGGATCCGTTTTCTCTGCGAATTCGACGATCGGCGTTTTCCATGTTGAGCCGAAAAGTTCATTTTCCAATGGTTTCGACCCGATGCAAAGCATCCTGAATAAACGTTTCTATTTTATATTTTTGGAAGAAAAAACTGAGATAGCGAATAAATAATTATCAAATTTTCGTTTTTTAGAACTTTGTATAATTTTTTAGATCGATTTCGATGACGGAATAATATATATTTAAAGACTGAAAAAAATTCTTATCTTTTTCAAGCTCAAAATCCCTTATCGCACATCGAAAAAAGTGCGAAAATTTTCAAAAAGGAACTCGAAGAAATCAATGAATTTACGGATACCAAAACATGTTTCAACCGTTATGCAACTACTTTAACGATTCGAGAAGAAAATTTCATTTGAACTTCATTACGCACAGCGTGAATTAAGCAAGGACTAAAAGGTATAACGAATGATAACATGAAAAAAGTAACAAATTCCACATGAAAGCGATTGGAAACAACAATATTCAAACAAACGGAAGCGCTAATTTACAATGCACGAACGCATGCGATGATACATGAAAAGGTCAAACATATACAAGAACGGAAAATTTGGCAAAAAAAAGACATAAACCAATTTTCAGATCGATTTGGACATAACTTCACACTTCTACATCATCAAACTTGAAAAGAAAATACACAATCAGAAAAAAAAAAAGCGGGAACGTTGCTAAGACGGCCGTTTCACGGCTATAAAATGAGCAACTCTATGAAGACAAACATTGCGAAATACCTGAACTGAACACGTATTTATAAAAAATCAACCAACCGTCAAAAGAATGATTACAGGAAAAGACAAATTTAATTTTTTTTTTTTTTGTTGGCTCGGAAAGGGTATAGAAATGAGCAGTGAAAAACTAGAACGATAATTATTATACCATGAAACTTTACATAACCAAAATCATAAAGAAAAAAGTATAAAAAAAATTTTGAGCTGTCGGGAGAATTGTTGCTCCACGGATAAAACTCGCAATTCGAGCTCAAAAATTTTTTTTCCAAAAATGATTCTAGCTCAAATCTTTTGTGAAGCGCGTTTTAAGGGAGAAAGACGCTTATTTTTTTTTTAATTTTCTGGATTTATAATCCTAAATTGTAATGGAAAAAATTACAAGGATAGAAAATATAACCAAAATAGCCACTGAAAATGATGATACGTTCAGTAAATGGGAAGCCATAGTTAACAAAATCCAAAAATCCACAAGCATGAAAAAAAAAGCAGAGCTACTCGCAGTCGGCGTCGTCGTCGGCTTCGCATTCCGAAAGATCATCGTCGTCTTCATCTTCTGAAGTCTCGGCCACGGACAAAACTCGCTTCGACTGCCGCTTCTTGCTCTTCTTCTTCTCTTTCCGACCTTTCCCTTCTTCTTTCTCTTTCTCGGTGTATCTTATTTTCTCGAGTCCTTCGGGGTAGATCAGTCGAACTTCTTGAGCTCTCAGAACCTTCAGAGCGCTGAAAATTCAACACGGTTACGTATTCTTTCGTTCCGAGGATTCTAAAATAACAGAGTGATATGAACAAAACATATTTCCAGAGTTTCATAGTTTCAGGCGAAAAATGGAAAGCTGACTTGTACAAAATAAAAGAGCCGAATTCGGCTTGCTCCGTTTTGCTGTAGCGATATCGCCGAGTGATGGAGTGGTGGCCTTTCTGAAAAATAAATTGAGCGGGTTCCGATAACAATTCGGAGAAGAAACTCCCTCGGAAAAAAAAAATTTGGGACATAACTCCTTTTGCAAAAGTTATTTTTCATTCCTCTAGGTTCATTATTGATCAAAATTCATACAAATCCTTTAAAAACTTGCAGAATCCTAGAAAAAACATTATTGAATGCTATTTTCATATTCACTAAATCCACAAGAGTTGGCTCTTTTTCCTGCGCCCCTTTTGCAATAAGCCGTGCCGCAGTTGCAATTAACCACGCCCACAGATCTGATCCGCCGTTTTTTTGGGAACATTGTGAGAAGTTTCAATTGAAAATAAGAGAAACCTTGATGTTGGTGAGATTTCGAAGCATTATCGCCTCGATGAGGGCCGATTCGCGGATGTGCGCCTCTTCGTTCGTCATTCCATGTCCTTTTAATGAACTCAAAATCCTTGAAGGCAATTTTCTTATACATTTTCGTTTTCTTAGTACTTAAAATCAACCATTTTTTGAAAATTCGTTTTTCGAACATCTTTCAGACTTATCCGTTTAATTATCTCATCTATGAAAAACTCCTTCTTATTCCTTCCAGAAGGAAAAAAAGTTATAAAAGTCTATCAAGTCGTTTTTCTCACCGATTTCCATCTTTGCCACGCCCATTCCGGCGTCCCAAATGCTGCTGATCTTTAACAGCTTTTTTTGTTGGTTCTAAAAAAAAGCGTAGCTTTTTAGAGGATATAATGTTTTGTTTACAAGTAATGTGGAATTCTGGTCCCGCAGTTGCTTCGTTTCGCACATATGGGCGAGAGGGCGTAGCTGAAAAAAAATCCTTTTGATTTAGTTTATCACTTTTTGATTGATTCTGTATTCTTCTTTGTTTATTGAGTATAATTTTATTGCTAGGAAAATGATAACTATTTACGAATTCTCAAAAAGAGCTGAATACTCTGTAAAATCTGCTCAAAATTCTTTCGAATCCACTGAAATCCCTAAAGAGAGATTGGAATTACTCGTTTATTTTTCACGACTTTTTGGGTCTATGCGTTTTTTAAATTTTCGAACAAACTTTTCAACATTTCCTTTGGAAAAAAGCACAATACAAAAAAGACAATGGATGCAAAAGAGGTGAATTCCGTTAAAAAAACAGTTCCGAAAAAAAATTAAAACGGAAATGTTCTTATATATATATGTAGAAAGTATGCTAAATCGTTGAAATTCAACGAAAAAATTACTAAATTATTCCAATTCTTCATCCCAACCGGATCGAACTTTTTACCTTGCACCCTTTGCCGACGTAGAAGATTGAATCGATGAAATTTTGAAAAGTTGCTTTCGAAAGATCAGAACCCAGGATTTTCGGGTCCATCAGAAGATAGACGAACGCCTCGCCGGCCCGTCGGCAAAACCTCTCTCGAACCTCGAAAAATAGGTTCAAAAAGGTGGGAAATGAAGAAAACGCCATAAATATTGTCACAAGCATGAGGTGATTTTGAAAAATATTGTGAAACTACATTCAAAAGAGTCGCAGAGAGACAAATCCAACATTAAATTTTTCAGTGAAAAAAACTAAAAAAATTTAAAACTTTTTTTGAAATTATCAAAGTATTTCCACGTCAAAGTCCCTGCGCAAAATGAGTTTCAAGAATTGAAAAAAACATTTTTAAACTAACTTTTTAATCAGTTTCGAGCTAAAACGTCTAGGATTATCTATAGTGCCTAAAGCTGGGTAATAATTTTCGGAGATATGTTTTTCGAAAAGAAAAAAAAAAAAAATTCTGATTTCTTGAGCTTTCTATTAAATGCTGAAATTTTATCAATATCCTTGAAAAAATAGGTTGAGAAGGACCTTCTGATCAGTGTTGCGGCCAAGACGAAGGCCGAGTTTGGGTTTGCAGGTCGAAGATTTCTGTGGCGCATTCATAGAGGACATGATTTCCAAAGTCGCTTCCAGCTGTTTCGAGTACTTTTTTTCCCCTGAGAAAAAAACGACTTATTAGTTTTTTTAATAGTCAAAAATGTTTGATTTCTAATCAAAACTTCCAAGATTTGAAATAATTTTTTCTGAATAACCTTTCAAAGTTCGCAAAAAAACATTATTGTCAAAAAAATTTTTGATTTTTCAAAAAAATATAAAATAGGTGGTTCGAAACTACCGATTCGCTTTAATGGACTTGAATGCCATTTAAAAAAAACTTTTAAACAACTTTTCCGGCTGTTTTCTTGTTTCTCATTTGATTTAAATCCAGAAGAATCACAAAAAATTTTGGTTTCTGTGGAAAATTTTCTTTTACCAAGTTGGGAACCAGAAGCGTGAAATGGTACTCATCCAAAAGTTTCGTTCCTTTCAAAAATAATATAATAAATTTATGTGTTCGACGCTAAAAAAGTTTTAAAAAACATGATAATCAATCGTAAGTCTACAATTTAAACAAGTATGAAATTAGCTCGAAATGTTTTTCTGGCTTGTTCAAAAAAGCGAAAAAAGCCTTCCTGATGGTCTTGAAGCGAAAATCCAGCAAATATTTTCGAAATCAGAATTTCTCCGCCAATTCCACTCACAGCAATGTTCTGGACGACTTTGTGACCCTCAAGGACCAATATTTTCAAGAGATGCTTTTCGTAATTGTCGCGATTCCTGAAAAAAGTTCGAAACGAAAACTATTTTAAGAAGCTTGATCTCACGCTTTATTTATTTGGATGTCATTTGAATTGATTCCGGCCACCATGAGCTGTCGCTTCAGGTCAGCATTCGACAGACTAAAGCGAGTTTCAATAAAAGGAAAATCATATAAGGGAAGAAAAAGTCTTTGCTGATGTCACGGGCAAGGTCAAAAGGACCTGACAAAGGGACTTTTTTGAAATAAGAAGCGCGATTTCGAGTAAATAAGAAAGTTTTGAAAAAAAGTTCGAAATAAGGGATACAAAAAAAACCGAGAAAAGTTCCTTTCCTTTGAAAACGTGATAAAAAGGCGCTTATAATCCGTTTTTCGCGACTTGAAACTGTTTTTTCTCTGCGCCCTCCTCGTCTCTCGGCGACTCTCTCATGTTTCTGTGCTATTTTCATGTTTCTCTGACCTCGCCGGTGAGGGAACAGAGAGACGCAGACACTCGAAAACTGTCAAGTCGCGACGGACAGAATTTTCTCTTTGGATTATAAAAAAATTCTGTCGAATCTTTGAAAGGTCCCTTGGACTTTGCTCGTCCTAGAAAGAGATTAATCGAACTTCCAAATTTTCTGAAGCTCTCGAAGTTCAAGTTTTTTGCGCTCCTCTTCGGGCAAGGTCGTCGGATCGTTCTCCTTGTCGGAATCCGCAGAGTTCTCGTCAATGAGATCTTCGATTTGACACGACAATTGTTCCGTTTCTTCTACGGGTAAAACACAGACCTCGGACTTTTCTGGAAAAAAGAAAATATTGTAAACATATCAAAGGAGGAACACCTTCGACTAGTGGAGCCTTTTTCGAAAGCCACTTCTGAAGGCATGTCTTCTTCGGCGCGACTTCGACAAAATCGTCATTTTCCTCTGAAATAGACTAGAGACTGGAGATGACCATTCTCGATCTGACCGATGGCAACGACGGATTTCTCGAGGAGCTCCACATCTTCTACAGGAACGATGCCTTCTCCCATGGAGATCCCGCTGTCGTTCATCACCGAGGAAATTCTTTTCGGAGGCCTTTCCACACTGGCTTCAGAGTCCAACTCAGCAATGAATATATCGCTTTTCCGTTTCCTTCTATCTTGGTCTGCAAAATTCGCACTGATACGTTTTTCTTTTTAAGCTGTGTTTGAAGATATTTCCGCAAAATGAAAAATTATCTGTGACTCTCCAAAATTTAGTTATTTTTATCACTTTCAATCTGAGTTCCACAGGATCATTTTGACGGTATAACCATCTCCAACTCAAAAAAGGGCTATGCGAATATGAAAGTTTTGTGAAACTTCGCTTACCACCTTGCTTAGAAGGACTGTATAAAAAACCAGATTGAATTTCAACCGTTTTTTTACGCTCCCTCTACAGTCGCGTTTCGAAGTTTTTTAGCGTAAAAATCAAAAAAAAAGAAACAGTGACCTGGAAACTTTAAATAAGCTGAAACACAGTTTTTTTCAAATTTTTAAATTTCTTAAAAAAATTTTTAATTTTTTTGCTTCTCTTCGCCTATAGTGAAACCTTTGAAAAGGCTTTTTCAAAAAAATTTCGCCTAACTTTTCAAACTTTTTATTATAAGCTCACCAAGTTTTTCTGAAACATCGGTTAATTCTTCCATTGAAGAAAAGGGTTCCTCAATTTTCTTTTCCAAGAGAGGATGACGAAGCTCCAAACTCCACTTTTTCATTGTTTCGCCTACTGAAACAGATTTCAAGATATAAAAAACTATCGAATCGAACCTGATCTGTCAAATTTCTTCACTGGCGTCGAGAAGACATCTGGAGAGCATTCGGAGTTACAAAAAGCTATAATTTAGAAATCAAATTTTATAAAATTATCAAAATTGTTTACAAAGATCGCTGTCGAACTGGAAAGAAGAAGTGTTTGGCAACCCTAAAATATATTATTCGACTTCAAAAGCCTTTTTATTCGAGTTTTGATAGAGGGAATTTGAAACAAACCACTAAAACAGCGATTTTCCTTTTCATCTGGAAGGACTGGGCGAAAATCACTTTCAGATCGAGTTCTCCGTCTACCTACTTTTTGGCTCTTCTTCCTCATCATCATCCTAAAAAAAATTTTTTTCCCTAAAAAGAGAAAGCCAACGTATTCGACAAACTCTAAGATTTATGAATCCTTTTTTTCGACAAATTTTCAACTTTCTTCCTTCAACAAATTAAAAATTTCATAAGCAACAGAGAAACTTATTTTTAAAAAAATCATGAATTTTCTTCACTTTTGCTGCTTTGAAAACTCAAACTCAGTGAAATTTTCTTTTTCTGACTTACTGAGCATGCGTAGAGTGAATCGATTATAATGAAAACCAAGCGACGGGATTTCGCGTTCAATCCGTCGACGACTTCGAGGAACCTGTAGTGAATTTTGATAATATCCTTTTGGAAAAATAAAAGAACGGAAAATCGTCAGTTTTTAAAAAAATTATTAAAAGAAAAAAAAAATTAAAAATGAGCTTCCCTGTGAAGCCGATTTTTTCTATTCAATATTCTTTTGACTCGAAAAAATTTTCTGCGAACCAAATTGTGCTCAGAAAACCTTTTACAACGGCCCTGTGCGACGTGTTGCGGAACAACGCCCGAAACGTCCCTGGCCTTCGGATCAGCACCAAAAGCCATGAGAAGTTGACTCATGGGCAAGTTTTCGGTCGCCAGCGCCAGTGTTAATGGAGAAGTCCCTTGCGCATCGCACTCCACAGGGTCTGCCAAGCCATTCACTGCAAGATTTCTCTTAGAAAACTAATAAAAATTTCGGGCAGCACTTATTAAATGTATGGCTGCATTCATGGCATGAACCGTATCTGAAAGTGCCAAGCACTGAAGGACGCGATTCCTCGAAGCGTCGGAAGGACCCATCAGTCTGAAATCAAAGATTAAAAAAAAAAGGAAAAGAAATCCGCGGTGAAACAACCTAAAAGTCAAGAAGGCGAAACAGAAACATTTTTACCCAAAGATTAAAAATGAGAAAAACCAAATGAATCTAATATATACATTTTTACTAATATGAGCATTCTCCAGTCATCAAAAACTTTCATTTTAATGAATTTCTGAACTTTCCGTTGAGTGCGTTTTTGGAGTCTTGGGTCTCTTATAAGAAACAGATAAATACAGAAAATAATGAAACGGTAGCGAAAATACACGAATGAATGATTTAGCGGCAAAACGAAGAAATTTTTTCAGAAATCAAACTTGCGGTACTGAGAAAAAGCTCGATGGAGGGGCCCCTAAAGGGTGGAGGAATTCTTTTTGCGATTTTGTTTTTTTCAATCCATTTTTTTCCAAAGTAATTTTTTTATTCAAAAAGTATATAATTTTTCAAAATTGATCGATCGTGAATTAAAAGTGATTGTTACTCAGGTTTTTAAACTGATCCTGACTCCAAAGCAATTCTTATTTTTCAGAACTTCCATTCGTAATCCCGTTTCGAAAAAGCCACGACGGGAAGCGTAACGCGCACGAGAAGCTCATTGAAACACGATAGGTTTTTGTACAATTGGGCTCAATGGCGCGGCCATTCGCAAAATATCAAAAATGTTTCCGCCACATGTTTCTGCCGCCAGTCGAAAAGTCTTCTGTTTATATTTTTCAGTGATCTTCAGGCGAGCTCTCTGTATGTATGCTTATAATGTCTATTGAGTTTTTTTTTTTGGTTAAACAAGCTGATTTTTAATTAAAATAAATGGACTCTAAGAGCTCTTTGAATAATCTAAAGGTCTTATGATTATATATTTTTAATGGTATTAATTTTCTGAGAAAGGGGAGAAAATTTTCAATTTCAAATTTTTGTTTGTGTTCGGTGGAAAACCAGGGCAATTTACTGAAAGAATAGGACTTTTTTCGGATGGGTGGCGCGTCTCAAGATTTGATGAGCTGATAAAATCAAGCCCAGATCATATCAGTGTTGGTCTCATTTGCGATCGAGATGCCTTTCTCAATGCGATTTTGTATTAGGTTTAATTTTGTCCTTAGTTCTTTCTTTTTTTTTTTATCAGTAAATCTTTCCCAGAAATTGAGTTTCTGCACATACCTAGAAATATAAGTATCCTGTGTTAGAACACTTCTTCTCGATTCTTCGTTTCAGTCTTCTTGAAAGTATTTTGAGACTTCTATTTGGACTCAGAAAGACACAAAGAGCGATAAAGTCAATTTTGCTTCTTTTTTTTCGCATTTCTACGCCTATCCGAGCTTCTTTCTGCAGATTTTCAAGCCAGAGGTCTTGAACAGGACCTTTGAAACCCCATCAGAAGGGTTTGATTTTCTTTCGACTTTCACTAATTGCGTGAAAATATGCCGCCGGAGCGCCGATGTAATTGTAAATTGAAACGGATCGCGCAACCAGATGTTTCTGGGCGAAATCCGTCGTCGCCTTCTTGTAAGCGCTTTTTTCCTGAATCCGCCGGCCTGGAAAGGCTCCGCATTCATTCTTTTTCTTCTCGAGGTAGGTCTTGGGTGGATTTTTAAGTTTCATTTTTTTCTTGATACATTTAGAGAAATGCTGGTAGCTTTTTTTCTCCGAAATAAGAAATTGAAATATTTCTTATATTAATTGTGGCAGAGTTCTTTTTTTACTACGTGAAAAAAATTAGTTTGAGACCCCACAAAAAAAATAATGTTTTTTTTTTCCAAAAATCCGTTTCCGAGTTCCCTCCAGCTAACTCTAAACAGACTTTACTCATTTGTTGGCCAAATGACCCCCCAATTTTATTACCTAACCCATCCAATAACTCAACACATTCTGAGCCAGATGTCTTCGCACTTTGGCCAACGTTTGTGGATTGAAATTCGCGATTCTTGGCTCAGCCGGAAACAGTTGCGTTTGTCACATTTCGGATTGAAAAATTATGGCCGATACGGTCATTTGTTGCGCGTCGAAATGGAGATAAATCTTGTGGTCTGCGCGTATTTTTCCCCCCGAAATGTCTTCTTTGTTTCAATTTCAATCTGCATTTCGATCAAGTTTGATAGGAGGATTATTTTTCTTTAGGAATTGACTGAATGATCGGAAGAAAATGAATTCTTTTTTTTTTCGATTTTCACCGTCAGACTTGAAGTTAAACTTCATCATTTTGGGTCTGAAAAATCGATCATTACTCCTTTCCTTTTCTGAAGCTTGAATGTTCTAAAATGATTTTGAATAGATGGGCTCGATGTTAACGAAAACCTTTTTTAAAATTTTTTTTTCTATTATCTTCTTGATTTCAGCCGCTGCTCTGTCCTTCCAATATGTTCGTTCTAATGAAACGTACAGTTCGTTTCAGAAGAAACTCTAAATGTTGACATGACACTGATAATCCGATTTGCATTTTACCGCCCTCGTAATTATTTATACACGCGCGTCCGTCAGTTCAAAGTCTGTGTTTGTCCGCTTCAGCTTATTTCGTGGTTTCGATTAATCTGAAGGTAATCAGATAACAAAAAAATGTTTTTTCTCCCTGAAGTGTTTACAGGCTCAACTTTCATCTTGTTTTTCTGATTTAAGTCTCTAGCTTTAAGGGTTCGAAAAAAACTTCTTTATTCAATCAGTTATTTGATTATTTTTTTCTCATAAAACCTAGAAACTTTATTAGAATTATGAGGGACTTTCTGAAATGTTTCCTCTGTCTGAAAATTTTTTCGACCTTTTTTTAGCGTTTTTCTTCATTTCATTTGTCGGTTCTTATTGTTGTTTCAGATTTAATATAAGCCTGGAAAAGTGTAATGAGAATATGAGATAGGGAAAAACTAATTTCAAGCGTTTTTTCAACGTGTCTTGTTAGTGAACTAAATGGGTTAAGTTAATTCACACGTTTTTTTCATCGACACGTCCTTTTTTTCTTTTTTTTTTTGAAACCACCGGGGCACTTGGTTCGATCCGCGGATCCGTTTATTATGATTCCCGTTCTCTCACGCACTCCTCTGTCCAAATAAATTCTCGATTCTCTCTTTTCTCCATTCAAACAGTTTTCAAAATGTTTTGAAGTGTCCTCCGAGTGCGGGTTTATGTATTATAATAATCCACGGCCACAAAAAGAAGTCGTTCCGTTTGTCCCCGCATTCACAGTTAATCCTCATCTTTTTCCGTTCTTCTCTTTGGAATCAAATTTTTTTCGTTCTTCTGTTGGAAGCAGATGTAATTGAGGCTCCTTCTTGTGAGGTTAGAAAATTCAATTATTTATTTTTATCATTTTTGTGGGAAATAGGATTTTTTAATTATTATATCAACTCTTGTTGAATTATTTTTGAAAAAAAGTAACTCAATTATTGCTTGTTCTCTCGCTTTGTTTCACTAGTCGCTCCATGAAAATTCAGTTTTAGGCGTTTTTTATCGTGAAATATTTTCCTTTTGTCAATGATTAGGAACTTGTCGCTTCAAATTTCCCCTTTTTTAGAAATTGCATTATTTTTTTATGTGTTAGTCTTCGGTCTATCATGTTTTACTGTACTGCAGTATTATCATACAAATCGAAGAAAGGTCTTCTGCCTGACACAAGGGGCGAAGAAATGGCGCCAAACCTAAAAATTTTACATTTTTAAAAGGATGGATATTGGAAAATCCCACAAAAAACATGAAATTGAATTTCAAAAGTGCCGAAATCTGAAGAAATAAGTAGCTCTCGATTGGTAATATCCTACAAACGTCTTCAGTTTTCAGAAAAATGTTCAAGAGTTCCCTTGGCACACATTAGATGAATATCGGAATAATGTCCACGGTTATAAATATGTCAGAGAGACCCCCCGGGAGGCGTGCTTATCCGCGTGTCAAATCGAACCCCACGTACCAAACATTCATTCCAATCCGATCATATTCTTCATCCATCGTTTTGTATTTACTCATTTTTGATTGAGTTCAAAATATTCAAGGGCCGCGAGAATAACTAACTTTTGTGTGTAAATCTTTCGTTCAACCCTTTCTTTTTTAGGGGACTTTTTACGCTTCCAGTCTATTTGAAGCTAGCTCAACTTCCCTGAAGGCTTGAAAACTTTTCAAGGATGTTTGGTTATTGTATATTTTTACTTTCAAACCGAAGGATGTATGTAATTAGGAGAAAAATGGTTTCAGGACTAAGAAAGGACTGTTTTTCAAAGTACCTAATGACTTCGGAAAAGTCCCATTTTTTATTCCATTATAAAGCGAAATTTTTAGAAAAATGGCTAATCTCATTTAATTTCACATGCCCCAAGGACCATTGCCGTTTTCAGCAGGTAGCTGTCTGGCAATTTTTATTTCGAAATGAAAAATTTTTAGTCTAAAAATGATGAAGATGTTCAAGTTCCTGTTTCACTATGTTTTGCTCGTCTTTTGTGTCAAAAATATGAAAGAGCCATGATTCGAAACTGAATTTCCATTGTTGTCGAAACACAATTGAAGCCTGAAAATGACAGGAAACGGCAACATTTTCCAGTTTGGCACACGCGCAATTAATTACGATTTTCTCTCCCACACGTCAAGGCCGTAGAAACGTACCAGTTTGACGCCATTTTCCTTTTTTTTTCTAATTTGATCCATATATCAAAGAAAATTTTTGTCTGGAAAGTTCAATGCCTTCAATGATCTTTTGGATCTTTTCATAAGATTTATAACACGTTCAAGTTTTTTTTTTCAATTTCTTGGGTTCAGGAGTACTAAAGTTTTTCTAAAGCTCCATAAAAATCCAATATTTCGACTTTGCACTTCCAGTTCATTTCAGAATAAATTCAGGAGTTTTTGAGCCAGAATTTCCAAACTTCACATATTTTTGCTCTAATTTTTTTTATTCTCAGGGTCTCCCAACCCTCGCAGAGAAGGTCATTTTACTTTGTGATTAGGAATTTTCTGAAAATTGGCCAGAAAACATTATTGATGTTCCAGAATAAGAAAACGCTCAAAATCCATCAAAATGAGCTAACTTGGGCTTTAGACCCTTATTTCTGGAAAACTAAGAATTTTTGCTGATTGAGACTTCCAGAATATTTTTCCGGTACATATCAAGGAGTTTTCTGGCCAACTTTCAGAAAAATCTCAACCGCAAAGTAAAATGACCTCCCCTTTTAGGAAGAAATCCTTGATCAACTTTTTCTGGCAGATCCTTCAGATCAGATACGTCGGTTTTGTCTCTAGCTCCCAAACAAAAAAAGTACCTCCTCACTAAAGTGTCAACTCCAACAAACTCGTTCCATTCATTGGCTGTACTCAGCCTCTGATCTGCCCCCAACGGCCTCTGCGATTGACCGATTGAGGTGAAATGACACGAAGAAAAGGGAAAAGATTGTCGTCGAAGCGACCAGGTGTTGTTCTTTCGCCTTTTCGGCCACCCAATTCGAATTGTTCCGTGAGTTCGAATCGTGGGCCTCAATTAGTTCAGTTTAGGTTCCATTAATTTGGATACTTTTTTTGCGTTGCTTTGGGATTCAAACATCTACTTGACTTTTTTTGCCGCTTTTCCTACATCCTTTTGACGGAAAAGGCGTCTCAATGAGATTGCCTCAAATTTCGAGTCTTTAGGATAATTCTCATGTTTCTTTTAACGTTTTTTTAAACTGTTTATTGCATCTTCAATGTAAGAACAAATGTGCAATCGACATTTAATAGTTTAAATGTGTTTTTAAACGACGGCAGGAGCTGTGGCTTAAAAAGAGAAGTTGTGAATCGTAGAACATCAGGCACAAGAGAGGTCTTAGGTTACGGTGCCGAGTTACGTAAGAGTTACGGTGCCGGCTTTTCAAAGGCCGATGGCAGAGATCTAGCCTTTTCGCTGCATACAGCTCCCAATTTTATCTACCCCGGAGGGATGAAAGGCTTGGTCGACCTCTTTTTCACGTGTTCAAAATAAATTAAGGTCCTTTTTCATTATTTTTGCCCTAGGAAAGCTCGTTTTTCAAATAAGGCTCCTTTGGGAGCTTTACGCTTATTTTGGAACTTTAAACTTGACTTCACTTCTATTCTAAATTTTTTTCAGTCAAGGAAGACAGAAAAGAGAATGGCTGAGGCCTTACAAAGAGGTCTTTACAGTGAAGTTTGGAAAAAATCCACTCTGAAGGTTTAGGTGAAGGCTACCCTGGAAGATAAGAAGTATTTCAGGTCTAATTTGGAAAATTCAAATCTCCGCAACGAATATTTTGCCTATCACATGATGAAGATCTTCATCTAGGCTAGATCTTCACAGTGCGTTCAAGCAAGTTTCGAGAAGTTTTTTATCCTCTTGTCAAAAGGACCTTCTCTGCTAGTCAGTTTTTTATAACCCATTTTACCAAAAATACTCGAACAGATAATTGTGAGCACCCGAAACCACTGTTTGTACTGTTTGGCGGCCGGGTTGTCCAAATAAAGCCCTCGGCCTTTTGCAACCGTTTGCCGGCAACGTCTGGCCGCTGTCATAACAATCCCGATTTCCTTTTTCATCGGCTTCTGCATCATCCTATCCTTATTTGAAAGGTTGATCCAAGATTACATCCAAACTTTTTATTATTTTCAAGTTTTTGTACCCAGCTTCCGATAAGAATATTAAAATTGTTTACTAAGGCTTGGTAGGAAGTTACTGAACTCTCGAACGGATTCTTTAAAGCTGAAAAAAAATCCAACCGAGCAGAATTTTTTGAAGAGCGATTATTGAAGTTCTGTATTTCAAAACAGTTGATCAGTTTTCTTTAGGAATAACTTTTTAAGGCCAAAATTAAGGTTTTGATTTTTTAGACAAGCAATCAGCTTCAAAATTGTTTTTTTTTTAAATTAGTTATTCAGACTCCAACAGCTCTAGAATTGTTAGGAACAGAATAGATTCAAAAAAGTTTTTTTTATAGTAATTACGCGAACAAAGTCCAAGCGACCTCTTAAGGACCTTGAAACAAAAATAAAGCTCCTTTTAAGTTCCTAAAAAGGAGAAAAAAGTCTCTTCTAATCTCCTTTCTCTTACCTTTTCAAAAAATAATAGTTTTATCGAACTTTTATTCCTTCTTTTTCATAACTTATTATGACCTTCTGCTTTTCAACCTCTTTTTATCTCCTTAAAAAAGATCTTTCGATGAAAAGTCATAAAAAGGCGACAGGAAGGCCTTCTAAAGGCTTTTTTTTTGTTTCAAAAATTTGTTCAGGTACTTTCGGACTTTGCTTGTGTATTTCAGTCATTTATATTTTTTTGGAAATACTCGAAAAAATAGAATTTAATTTTGAAGAAGTTTTGTAAACAATATTTTTGAATGGAAGTCTGTGCCAGTCTCCTCTTAAAAATCATTTCCTCCCCAGGGCTCCTTCATATCCGCTCAATCTAAACAATGAGAAGCGGATTGATAGGTCTCCAAACACTTTGAGTGGCTATTAATAATCTCGAGCCGACCGGCCTGACAGAGGACTTCCGGTCAGCCAAACCGTTACGGTTCTGCATCTTCGTCCAGCTCAAAAAAAGAAACATTTATTGTCGCGTTTTGTATCATTACTACGTTTTATGGTTGTTTTTCAAGGCGCCTTTTGAAACAGTAAAGATAGTAGATGAACAACAAACAGTGATAGCAGAAAGAGTAATGTCCCTAAGCAGATAGGAACTATGTTTTTGGCAAAGGTTTCCACCGATTAAAATTTTAGTCTTTGATGAGAAACTCGTAGGCAAGATAGTACTATCAGCAGCTTTCGAACTTTGGAAACAAGATGGGTGTTGCTTCAAACAGATGCTGTAATTGTTAGTCAGAATCTTGTTTCGTTGACTTTTTCAACGTCGGTTAAACTCCTTGGAGATCCTTATCCGTATTAGCCTTTTCTGGATTCAAGGAAGAAGCTTCTTAAAGGATCTGGACAGGATTTGAAAAAAAAATTTCGTTTCGAATATTCCACTTACTGAGGAACGTTTTTTTAGTTCCCGGTTGAACTTTTGATGGAATTTTCCGACCAGGGAATGGTCTCAGCTCCAGTGAGATTTCTGACTGAGACCATGTTTTCTAGATGTAGTTTTTCATGCTGATTCCAAATCAGGTCTCAAAACCTGCCCAAAACGTCTGTGAAAAAAGTTATGCACCTTCAAAAGTCGAAAATCGCATAGTATCCGATCGAGCTCATTGGCGAAATATACTTCAAGACTTCCTGATTCCAGTACAAGAAAAAATTCTCGCACTAGATCTTCTTTTCTTCTTTTCGATTTGTGAAGCTTCAAAGCTTGCAAAATACGTAAATAATGACAAAAAGCGTTTTTTCAAGCTCTTTGAAGCGTCTTAACTGGAAAACTAGACCTATTGCGAGAAATTATTTTCTTGTTCTGAAGTAAGGAGGTACTAAAGAACATTTCAGAAAAATTTCCTTCCTCAAAAATTTAACCGAATAGCAAAAAACGCTCCCTGATTGAAGAAATCCGAGTCTTTATTTTATTTTACCAAATTCAGCTTCTCTTATTTAAGAACCTATTTTTTTATTCGGCGCAGTTGCTGTAGAAACGAAGAAATTTCAAGATTCTTCGTTGGGAAGCGAATTCGCGATTACTCACATTCTCTGTCAGTTTCTCACATTGTCAGACAATTGACAGCGAAAACGACGTGATGACAAACCCATTTTTTGGAATTTCCCATGTTTAGCAGCTGTTGGGTTAGGTTATTATTCACTCAAAACTGTTTGCCAAAGGCACCGTTTTTCATGTCCCTTTAAAGTGTAAATTTTCTGTTTCTGCGTTTTAGTTGATTCATCGCTTGACTCTTTATTTCCGAGAAAAAGGAATTTCCAGAAAATACCTCTTATTTTGGAAAAATTGGAAAATGGCCGATTTCAGTATTGTAACTTTTGACGAACAAAAAACGAAAGAAATAAAAAAAGCAAAAGACAAAACTTTTTTCTAGTTTTCACGCTTTGAAGCGTTCCGAGAATCATAAAAAAAAACAATAAAAATTGCGGGGTGAACGGTTTTTTTTGCCCATTTCGAAAAAGCATTCAAAAAATGTTTTCCTGTTTCCTATAGTCATTTAACACCGTAAGGTGCGAAGATGCGCACCTGTCATGCCATATTTAGGCAACGATGCCAGAGGGCGTTGGCCACAAACTCCGCCTCTCTTTTTTTTAGGTTCTTTCTTCGCACGTTCTTTCATTCATCCTTTTCGCCGTTCCTCTTCGGTTATGCTAAACGGTTTTTCTTCCCACTTTCCAATCATTTGTTCCTTGAATCGTTTCCACCAACGTTCATTCTTTGTTATTTGGTATGATATTTTTGATTAGAAAGCGGTTTTTTATAGATTTTCGATTGAAGCTTTCACAGGAAGGGTATCTCAATTTGCGGCTAGAAATTTCCTATAGTTTGGCCTGAAAGCTTCTTGATCTACCAGATGAATATTCTCAAAGTCTCAACCAGCAAAATTAGCAATTTTTGAAAAACAAAAAGCGCTTCAAAGTGGAAAAATACCATCAAAATCTCTCAAAATGAACCATTTCTTTTTTTTGGAATGCTAGAGGTCGCATCTGCTTACGAATTTCTGGCCGAATTTCAGAAAATGCCAAAGGATTCCCTTCTTTTCCGTTAACTTTTTGTTCTCCAGATAGCTTTTCTTCTCAAATTTTTTAAAAGCTTAAAGCACGCTAATAAAAACATGTTCAGTACAGTTTTCTATCAAAACTTCTACGGAAAGAACCTTTCGAAAAACTTTGAAGCGGTGCTGAAAACATTGGCGGAGACGTCCTGGGTGGGCAAATAACGGCACGTCGTTTTCATTCTTCTTTTCGTGTTGATTCGGCCGCATTGTATTGCGGAATATGGCATTTCCTTCTCTGCATTTTATAGTCGTTTTCCTCTTTGAAATGATGGGCTTTGTACTGAAAAGTTGTGGTTGATCAACTTCATTCCATAACAGGCCGGTGGAATACTTTTTCTTGCCTATATGGAATACTTTTTCTTGGGAATATTCTGAGAAGTGCTACTATAGAAATTTTTTTCTCATTTTAACGGTTTTTCCTAATAGATTTTCAGCGTTATATGAGAATTTTCTTTGACGAATGAGAATGGATTTAACAGCTGCCTATCGTTGTCATTCATTTCTATGAAGCTCAAAATCGAAATGGAAAAAACGCGCTCATGTCCTAGCACCTTCTGAGAAAGCTGAAATAAGGAAACGGTCATTTTTTGCTTTGAAAATCTTCAAATTCTTCTATTCGCTCAGAATATTTCTTAATAAAAGACTCCCAACCTTCAAATTTTACTCGATTCATCACTAGTTTGTCGGAAAAACCTTTTTGAGGACAGTTGTAATTTTAAAAATCTAGTTTTAATAACTCAACCTTTTTTGAGAAGCACTACATCTTAAGCTTCTCCACGAAAAATAAATAAGGAGCTTACTTTTCCTTGGAGAAGCCTTAGTCGCCCCGCCCCTTTTCCGATTCCTTTACCAACTTATTTCGCGTTTTTTTTCGGTTCAAATGTCTTTGCGAAATGTTTTTGTTTCGCAAGTTCTAAAGTTGAAGGAATAAGCTTGAAACTTCATTTTGTTGGTTTTTCTTTCTTCCGAAGTTATTCTCGTCAAAAAAAATCCTGATACAAAGCTTTCAAAAAGGACATTTTATCCTTTCTCCTCAGTTTTTGTGTTCTCCATCAAGATTTTGAACAGTTTTGAGGTTTTGTTTATTGATTTTTTTTTGTTTTCTATCAGTATATTTTTTGTATCGTTTCATTTTTAGTTCTTCCTGATTGATTTTTCTCTTCTCTTCAAAACTCTAGTCGATAAAAAATCAGAAATCGTATCTGTGAATCAAAAATTGCTTTCTCCATGTTCGTTTGCATATACAGACACCCATCAGAATCTTCAAAGAAGGCCTTTTTTGCAGTGAGCAATGCTGAAGTACCAAGTGAGGGCGTCTTCGCACTCCTCGCGGCCGTTGTACAGCGTCAGCCCGACGTCTTCCACAGCCTCATCGTCTTTCCACGACGCCTCGCTCACCAGCCGAAGCAATTCTCTCGTCTCCCTCAACTCCATCGACAGTTGCGGTTCCGACGCCGACATCGTACGTTTCTTGCGCCATTTCAACGGATATTCTGCTCATTTTTGCTTTATTTTTGAAAAATATAGAAAATGCAAGCCAGGGAAACAGGAGTTTTGAATAAAGAGAGTTATCGGAAAGATGCCGGAAATTTCCAAAAAAGGATCTCTTTAAGGGTGGAAAAGGTTTTTTTAGTGCATTTTTGAGCTATTTTATCAGCTCTCATGTATCATTTCATCTGGCTTTCTTCTCATTTGCATTCTTTTTTTGAGCCTCAACAATCCTAGCAAAAATAAAAAGCTTTTTCTGCCCTTTTGACATGTTTTTCTCTGTTTCATAATAACCTAGCTAAAATTTGAGAAATAAAAGAAATATAAAAAAATTGTAGTATTTTTTTCAAATCTTAAAAAAAGTTCTCAAATTTTGCAAGTGAACAATTGAATGTTTCGAAATTTTCCAGAGAACATTTTTTAATCTCCCTTTCTTCGTAATCCTCTACGTCAAACTTTGATATAAGAACTTTTTCCTTTAATCTTTTCTCCCTGCAATTTAGAGAAGTACTTCCTTCATTTTCCTTTCTCATAGTCACTGCGAATGATTCACAAATTCGCGTGGGCTTTTTATCTTTCACTCGTTATCGCGGTATCATCGTTCTTAACACTCATTTTCCCATGGGACACTTTTTGATTTACAGTTCAAAACAGGTCTCGAAAAACCTTTTCATTCAAAAAAGGATAGAAAATGCAAATTCTACCCAATTTCCTCAAATGTGGTTTGTTTACGGGAAAAATTCGGTTACTAAGAGGGCATTGAGCGGAGGAAAAAAACAAAACAACTGGAAAATGTCGCGTTTTTTCCCAGATTTCCATCGGTCGTACCACTTTTTCTGATGAATTAATGTTGCTTTTGAGGTTTTGTTAGTGGTGCGATGTTTTTTTAAATTTAGAGATAAACGAATGTTTTTAGTTGGGCCTAATTTTTTAGGTGTAAGGTTTACTTGTGTTAAGTATATTTATAAAACTTTACCTGGACCTAAATTGGAATATATTTCGATGACCTAACCTATAAAATCTCGGAGCTGCTTTTTGGAAGAAAGAAAAGGACGACCGCCGCCGTCGGCCTTTCTTTTTTTGTTTTGATGGACTTCACCTTGAAGATTTGGCAGGTGTCCGCCAGTTTTTCCTTTGTTTTAGAGCCGGTTTAAAAGTCTATTCATCTTTTTATCTTCGAAAAAAAAAAAAATTGAAAAGGTCATTTTCTAGAGTACCTAGAAAATTGATTAACCGCTCTAAAATACTCCGCCTCGCTCTTCTCAATAAGCAATAAAGGAAAGAGAAAAATGATTAATGGGAAAAATAGCGTGGAAAATCGATCAGCGTCCCAAAAATTCTGCCGGTTCTTTTTTTTTCATACTAGACCTACGAAACGCCGCGTCGTTTATCAAAAATTTGGTACAAAAAGAACGGAAATTGAGCGGTTTTGAACCGTCTGACGTTCTGTTTGATGGATGTCCATAACTTACTGGAAAATCGGGTTATTTTAGCATTTTTCATGAAGTCGGTATTGAATGAAAAAGAAAATTTTTAAAAAGTACTCATCTGGGGGAAAAAATTCAAACAAAGGCCTGAAAATCATGAAATCTTGAGCTTGCTTTTGTTTACTAAATAGGGAATTTTCCTGATTATGAGATATTACAGGGAGCCCTGAAGATCGACACGAGCAGGATCAAGCAGTGCACGGACTACAAGACGATCCGCGTCTCGACCAACACGCCGACCAAGACCGTCATCGAACAAGTCCTCAACAAGTTCAAGCTCACCTGCCGCGACACGAACCTCTTTGAGCTGTGGATGGAGGTCTCTTTTTTTTTCTTCATTGAGGAAAAGCTTTTCGGGTTGCCGGTATAGCCTATGTAACGCGACTTGGAATTTCACCAAACGACATTCCGCCGTTCCGCTGCGCGCCTTTGCGAACCTTGGTCGCGCTTTCAATTGTTTTCTCTGTTAAGATACTCTACTTTCATGTTCTCCCACATCAACAACAATCAATTGAAAGCCTGACCTAGCATCAAAAGACGCTTCGCGAACGCACGCAGCGGAACAGCGGAATGTCGTTTAACGAAATTTCAAGTCGTGGAACACAGATTATAGTTAATATAGCAATATTTTAGTTAAAGTCCTCCTTCTAATATTGCTTGGAAGTTTCAGATCATTACCAAAGCCGACGGGAAGCCGGTAAGGACACTGATGAAGCTCGACTCGGAATCTCGACCTCTGGAACTGCAAAGGTGTGCAAATCTCAGTTACAGCAACAACTCTTTATTTTCTCTCAGGTGCCACCCGGCTGGAATGTCTCGTTTCGTCCTACATATGAACTCGACCGGCACGCTCGTCAGGGTTTACGATCATAATATTTCACCTCAGGTTCGATTTTTTATATGTTTTACCTACAAGGAGTTATTCGTGTAACGAATTTCAAAAATTGAAAAAATGATTGAAAAATGGCACTGTAGTAAAACAGAAATTGAAAGCTTCGAAAAAAGGCGTCTCTGTTTTAAATTATCTATTTTCTCTTTTAAGAAATTTTTCTATGATAAGAATATTGCACTCATTTCTTGGGGAAAATTGCTCGACAGACAAATTTTCTTGGCCTTCTAGAATTTTTCAAATTTTAATAAAAATGCCCTCCCTTTTTTATGCTGTTTGAAGGGTCGTTTTATAGAAGACTTCTAGAATCTTCTCCTGGTAAATCCAAGGTTTTCTGGACTTTCTTAAAATATCGAAGGGAACAGTAAAAGGAACGTGTAACCTTTCAAATCCTTCCACTCCTCTGAATGATCATTTTTCCCTCCACGAATACCACAATTTTTCTTGGCGCAGAGACAAAAATCCGCCCGTAAATCTTATTTTGCGCCTGCAGCCAGCTGCCGCCTTCTAGGGAGAACTGTCAGCTCGCATTAATTTGGGAACCGAGGGATAGGTTGGCTGGATTGTCCTTGGAGGTTCTGCGTTCTTTTCCCTTCTTTCACAGTTGGAATATGGACGGAAACAAAAGATGGACGCCTTTTTTTCCCACCAGAGCGCTTGGTTTTGTTCGTTTCAAATGGGAGAATTCAGATGCGAAATATTTTCCCTCCCAAGTTCTAGATCCGATTCAACCTTGTGAATTCAGACTTAGATATGAGCATTTCCGTATATCCAGGTCTCAGTGGGATTCAAGTTAATTTTTTGTAAGGCTTCGAGGCAGATTCATTGGCATTTTCTTTTCTCGACAATAGTTTTATGGCTTCTAGGAAAAAAATTTCTGAATATTTACAAAAAGAAAGTGATTTTTTTGAGTTTCAAACCTTTTTCCATACATTTTTTTCCTAGTTAGTTTTTTTGAAAAGAGAAAAAAATTGTTTGGTTGTTTTTTTCAACTGTTTTTGATACGATTATCCGGTTTGATCCGCCGATTTGAGGTTTTTTTGTGTCCACGTTTAAAGGGAATTTTTCGCATTATGTGGGAGTTTTGAAAAAACGGTTAATCACAGAAAAAAAAATCCACTTCAAAAAATAATAAGAACCATGAAGTTCATAGGTTTGGACTTTTTTTTTTTTGAGCTCAAGTTTCGAGAGTGAATAGTTGTGAACGGAAAAAAAGAGGACGCGACAGATAAATATCGAGTGCGAACTTGACACAGTTTTTTTCAACAAAGTTTTTCTTTTTATTATTGAAAAAAAGGAAGTTTTTGGTCTCGACGACTGTTTTTCACATCTTGAGCTGTTCTCGTTCTTCTTGTAAACTTTGTGAACCTTCAATCAAATTCAAAAAGTTGTATCTGCAGTATAAGAAGAACTTAACTTACGAAACAACTTACAAGAAATTTTTATTTAATTGTAAAGTTTGAAATCCCCTGAAAATTGACCAGAGCACACCTTGATGTGAATGAGGATGATTCCAAGATTCTCAGCCTACAAAAATTCCTAGATTTCGAGGAATAAAGGCTAAAAGACCGATTAAAACGGATTTCGTGAAGTGATTTTTCATTTTTCTGAAACTAGGAATTTTTTCAGGCCAATGATTTTAATTAGAAACAAGAAAAAGTGTTCTAGAAAATAAGAAAACCGCAAAGTGAAATGACCTGTTTATGAGTTCTTGATATGGCACGACTCTACGAAACTTCTTGAACTCAACGCTATCAATTTTCAGTCCAACTACAAGTCGTTGATCTTGTCCAGTTTGACGACGGCAGACGAGGCGATCCACTTGGTCCTGGCGATGAACCGAAGACACAATGACGACTCCACCTACGGACTTTTCCTGACGGCGCCCGACGCCGAAGCGCAGATTCCTGGCGACGTCAGTTTCCGGGAACTTCTGGAAACCCTTCTCAATCCGAAGTTTTCAGGTCTCCCTGGTCTCGATCGCCTCGATGTGCAAAGCAGAACACAAGATTGTCATCCGACTTGTCAACTCGTTATGACGAAAATTTCCACTCTAGAATAACTATTCGTGTACATTGTCTCACTTAGAACTAGAGCTTATAATCTCTCTAAAATATCTCTGTAATTACAATCTTCTTGTAGCATTCCTCTGTCCTGTAACTTTAAAAGTAAAAAAAAAAACTAAACATCTTCATATGATACACGGGCCCTCATTTATGCACTATTGTTTGTTATTATTATTATTTTTTTATTCAGGCGAAGTTGTCTCTTGAGGCGATTCCTTAAGGGGCCACTCCACGCCATATTTCCCATGGTTATTGTTCCATATGCAATAATATTTGATATCATTCGGCTTAAATAAAACATTTTCATTGGAGAATACTCGTAGTTTTTTCGTGAAACGGTCAAGGGACATTCTTCTACCCGAGCTCAATTTCGACGAATCCGAAAATATCGGCGGCGATTTTGTGCGCGTCTTGGAGGTGGTGGAAAAGGCCGCCTTTCGGTAGCTCGGTGAACCTGAAAACTAAGATTTTGAATGGTAAAAACCTATTTTTGAATTACTTAGGAGCTCCAGAGTGGTCCCTATAGGGACTCTTGTAGGTTCCCCTCTATGGACCAATTTACCTCCCCTATAGGGGTCGATTCTTTGAATTCCATGAGAAGAAGCTTTTCTATGCGAAATACTCAAGGAATTTTTTGTATCGAAAAAATCCACAGAAGAAAATCGATCAAATGTTTATAAAATATTTTCAAATCTTAACAAAAAATTTAAAAAAAACCCCTACAGGGACCACTTAAGCTTTAGGGGTCAAAACCTAAACCCCTATAAGGACCACCTAGATTTTAACATTATATCATATATACAAAAAAAACGCCCCATATAGGCTATAGGGGGCGTTTTTTTTGTTCCCTACGGGACTTCGTTATTCCCTAACCCCTATAGGGACCCCTCTGGCGTTCCTAAGAAGTAAAAAATTCATACGAATCGAAGCTAACCGGGTGATGTTGAAGAACTTGTGGGCCAAAACCTCCCAGGAGCTTCTCCAAGGCGATTCCGGCGTGTAAACGACCGCAGTCGGTACTTTGACTTGAGAACTGTAAGATTCGGATGAGGGGATGAACGAGAGAATAAGCCGACTTCAACCAGCTGGAATCGACGTTGTAGGCCTTGTCCAAGACGGTCAGGGCGATGGGGACTGTCTCCGTCAGCCACTGGAGGTAGATCTCCGTGGCCAGCTCGTCAAGGGTGAATCGTTCGTTGAGCTGCGTGACGACGTCTTCTGAGTTCCGAATCGAATACTGCCGCCAGAGTTCCATCAAGTAGGCGGCCGTCCCAAGCGGCGAGTTTTGAGCGAAAATTCCTGGAGATTTTTTATATTTTTTGAACTATTGAGACCGTTGAAAATCCAGTGTAACATAGGTCATTGAAATCAACTATTTCCGTTTTTAATAGCTTCTTTTTGTTTTTCAAGGTTTCCCCATTGAAATAAGATCAAAAAAGCAGAAGAAAACGGAAACCTAAGGCTGTCGGATTCCGCTCTCGAGCAAACGGCCGACTGTTGAAATATTCAGTGATGGAGGTATTATTTCCGGCATCGAAAAAGCCCTCAACGGCGTATTTGAAGAAAGTTGACGTGGAAAAGGTTGGCGGGACGAAGGGATCGCTTAAATGGAGACCCAGGACGTTACTCGGGTGCTGTGAGGCCAGAAGGGCTGCCAGGTCGGCTCCGAATCCTGAATTTTGAGGAATAATTTGAAAATCTTTAGTTATTCCTTGTACGGTCAGTTCTTTTCTCTGAGTGGAAGACGATTGTAGTAAAATTTTTAGTGGCCACTTTTGGATTTTTTCAGAGGCCACTCTAGGAGTCGAATTAGTGGCCACTTTAGAGGTCCAACTGATACTACTACTCAGCTAAAAACTATTATAGTGGCCACTAAGACGAGAAATAATGGCTTCTAAAGAGGTGGTTTTAGTGGCCACTTGAGTGTCCTCTTCAAGTAGTCCTTGCGGAACCTCTTAAATGGCCTTTAGAGTTTTTCGCAGTACGTTTACAAGTTCAAATAACTGCAGAAAATTTCAAAAAACTATCAGAAAAAGACGTAGACGTTTGACTTGTTTTTTACTGTCCCAAAGATGCAATAAGTCTAATCTATCACCCTTCAAGTCGGCGAAAAATTAATCATACCTTGACACCCATGAACGTAGTACTTGTAGACGTCCAATCTTTCCAGGAGCTTCGTTATGATCCGAACTATCGCCCCGGGATCCAATCCGACGAGTTCTGGCTTCTCGGAGAACAAGAACCCAGGCAGACTTGGAATGATGACGTCGAAGTGGATCGAATCGGTCAAGCCGAAGTCGAAGCCGTGCCGCGAGGGATTCGATAAAATCGGAATCACCTGAAAATAATTCAAAAATACAGGTAGGCGGTAGCTTTTTGAAAGCACATAGAAAAGCTACCGTATACACGGCTCCACAAATCTGTAAAAAAGGTCTTGAAGCGAAGTTTGGTAGAATTTGGTATACGGTCTTTTTTGAAACACACAAACGGGACAAGCTGGCCCGGAACGGGCTACAAATCATTTCTATACCTTAAAAAAGTCCCAGAAGCTTCCCGGAAAGCCGTGAAGAATGAGCAGCGGGACGAGACGTTTGTTCTTGCCTGTAGGCGTCGAAACACGAGCAAAGTGTATTTTTAAGCCTTCGATTTCCCTTCTGAAACAGGAATACTCTACTTTTCTGTATTAAAAAGAGACGCTGACGTGTACTGCTTGAAGGTGTTCAAGAAATGCTGGTGTTGAGCCCAGTCGAAGTCCAACATCACCTTCCTCAGACTCGTCAAAAACTTCTCATTGCTCTCAGCTCCAACGTCACCGATCAGCGCTTTCGGAACGATCTCCGATTTGAGCTTGGTTTTGAAGTTTTCGATTCTGAAATTACCACGTTTCAAAGGGTTTTTCAAAACTTTTAAAAAGGAAGATTTTTAATTTTGGGTTTTTTTTTTCAGAACATTCGCTCAAGTCTTTTTCTGATGTAAGTTTGGAAGCCAGAAAACGCGGAAATTCTAATTTTAAACGAAGAATAGCATATTTAACTGGCACGCGAGGATTTTTTTTAACTTTTTAGCGTGATTCATCCTTCAGGGAATCTTCTCTGAAGACTGAATGAATGTGGAACTGTGTAAAATACCGAGATCAGGCTCATTACTGATAAAATAATGAAACTCAGAGGAAAAAAAAAATAAATTGCCCTCACAGGGTAAATCTAAAAATAGTTTTCCAAAATTCCTGAGGATAGGATAGAGCTAAATTATCTTCCTTCTAGGTTACCTCTTCTGATCGATGTCGATGGAAAACGGTTTTATTTGGTCATCGTCTTTATAAATTTCTCCTGTCTTCCAGAATCCGTCCTGAAATCAAAGAACAATTTTCAGAGGACTTTTTGCTGATCGCGGGAATGAAAACCAATCAGGTGAACCTAATTTGTGAAGAAAGAGATCTTTCTGGCATATATTCTCATTCATTTTTGCTTTGCTTTCTTAAGAAAACGGGGATCGAACTTGTGACCTGTGGACCGTAGACAGGCATGCATTGAGTAACAGTAAAAAAGGGTTTTTCCTCTAAAAAGAGGAATAATTCCTCAAAAGTTGCTAACATTAAAGGACGAAAACTTTAAAAAATCATATCGCCAAAGCGAAAAGTTTGCGCAGATTGCGACTATGGGGGATCGATTCCCAGTCCATAAAAGATTGTTTGAGCAAATTTTTAGAAAATTCCAAACCCTACGCAAAAATGACCTTCCATGTAAAATAAATTTGAAGGCTTAATTGAAGTTTCTACCTAAAAAAAAAACCGTATCTACTTTCTAATCTTTGCTTTCGACGGAAAATGTGAACTGAAATAACTATTTTTAAACTTCAAAGTTCCTTTTTCAACTAGACGTTTGCGCAGGAAGCAAATTTGTGAAAGCTTCATGTAAGCCTTTGTAGAATATACTATTCATATTCCAGAAAAGTTCAGCCTTTTTAGAAAAAGTCTTAAAAAAGGAAAAAAAATGACGAACCTTGTCGACTTGATGAACTGGATAGTTAGGTACATAATTTTGGAAGGCGAAAAATAATAGACCGATCGCAGAAGCCAAAAAAGCGTGGAAAAGGTGGTTGACCATGGTTTCGTCGGAAAGAAATGGCGGAGCAACGGCAGAGCAGCCGAGTGTTTGTCGAACGACCGCTGACCCCAACTGTGCGGTAAAGATTTTGGGTAAATACCGGTTGGCTTTGAATCTCATCGATTTTTCTTGAAAATTGATGAGATTAGCAACTATAAAAAGATTATAAGAATTGATGTCTGAAATTAAAGCCAAAGGAGAGGTTTCTTGGCCGCACGGAGAATGGTTCGAAGCGTTAATTTCTAGTTGCGGTCAGATCAAGAGTACTTGTTGAGGCTATTTTCATAAACTATGAAGCAATGTCTTACATTGAGCCATTCCAAGTGCGACCGTGGGTTTCCAAGAAGCTAACGCGAATTTTTACATCATTTTTTAACTATTTGGTGATTCATCGAGGGATTTCTGATATTGATCGGAGTTCAAACTCAAAAACCGTATAAAAAGTGATAATTGTTTTCTACGATATCATTTTTACACTGAAACCCATTCTCCCATATATTTCCCAGTTTTTCAAAAATAGTACTCCTTCAGAAAGAAATATCACTAAACTATTTGAGATCGAACTTCAAACTTTTCAGCAAAACCCGGAGATTTATCATCCAATTCCTTGCAAAATTTTCTTCCAAATCTTAAAAATTTTTTTTAAAAATTGATCTTCCATAGTATAATTTGATAATAATCAAGCGACTAATACTCTTATTGCATTATTATTTTTTAAATTCTTATTTTCAAGTTTTTTTTAAAGTTCCTCTTTAGAGAAGTAGGCTTTTGAATGACTTTTCAGACCTCCGAGGCGGAGGATTTTCCCAGAATTTTAACACTGGAGCAAACTTTTACAAATGATATTCAAAAGTGGAACGCATATCGATGTATTTCTTTTCTCTTTGTATGCTCGTTTTGATGACTATAAAACTAATTTAACGCTTCTTTTGATGTTTTAAAATTTAAAAAACACCGTTAAGAGAATTCTTTTCACGGTTGAGAACTTTTTGAAAATTGGCAAGACTAAATTTTGATTTATGAGTTGAAGATCCGGAAAGTCTAAAAAGGCAAAATTCCCTAGTTTTAGGGATAGTCGAAGAAAGGTCTAATTCAACGGTTTTTGATGACTTTCCCTGATTTTAAGGTGATAAGCTAGAAATTTCTGAAAGTTGAGACCTTTCAGGATCTTCATCTGGTACATCGAGAAGACTCGGAACAAATTGAACTTTCTTTTTTTGGGGAAAAAGCGACAAATACGCTCTAGCTACTAATTTTAGCCGTCTATTTCGTTGTTATGATATTGGACGTGAGTAAACTGACGGAAAAGAGCCCATCTGGCCGTCTGCCAACGGCTCATTTCTTTGCGTTACTACCAACCAAAACACTCTCTCGTCGATTCCCTTCCTGTCAGCGTCACTCATTCATCCCGATCTTTCGCTATCTGAAGGAAGCCTTCAGCCGCTCGTTTCCCCCTTTCTTCGCCTTTTTTTCTTCTTGTTGTTGTTGTTGTTTTCCGACGAGTTGCGCCGTAGAAAGCCATGTTCTCAGATTTTCGCCTCTTTGTTGAACAACGACTCAAAATTGCAGCAGTCGAATTTATGAACTCAAAACAAAAATTACCAGTTTTTCAAGCCTCGACGTCTTTGTTTTTCACTTCTCTCTTCACTATTTTGATAAAAAGTGCGAGCGTTATTCGGTTTTTCCTCCTTAACGTTGCTTTTATGAATGAAAGCTAGTTTAGAATATCCAAAATACAACTTTATTCTCAAATCTCCTTTATATTAATGAAAATGTCTTCCTCTGATTTTTTTTAAACGATACACTAGCATAGTTATTATCCCCACCGACTACTTTTTGAAAAAAAGGGCCTGCCGTTCTTCTTACTGGCTTGAGTTTTTTTTTTTGAAGCTTTTCATATTTTTTCCTTATTTTCCTGATTACTATTGACCTCATGATTGATGATTTTCGGCCTTCACTCGGGTATCTTTAAAAAAAAAAGTTTCTCATTTGTGCCAAAACAAACGTTGCGACCTCGTGGTAATAATCCCGACGCCTCTCAGTTCAAACAACCAGGCGCCGCGTTTTCCCTTTGAGCTTCTGAAATCACGGCGCTATTTCACTCGAGGCAGCAGTTGCATGCGTCTTGGATCCCTTTTCTCAGCTTTTTTTTTCTTCATGTTGTTCAGTTGTTGCTAAATTTGAAGAAAGGTGCATGTAAAAAAAATGGTCATGCCGGGTTCAAAGTGATTTCCGCGAAATTAAAAATCATCTCTCAAGAATTTATTTATCGTTTTCACTCTCTGACGGCTATTCAAAATTTAGCGAGATCAGTTTGAACTCGCATTACCAAAGGTTCATCTTGTTTTCTTACAACTTTTTCTTTTCAACAACATCTATCAGTATTTTTTTTTGAATATATAGAAGAGAATTAATGATAGGGGATCCAAATAAACGTTTCATGTTATTCCTAAATAAATAACGTTAAATATTTAATATTTCTCAATATTCTCAAATTTTCCCTTTTGCCGCTAGTATCAGACCTTTTCAAGTCGAATATCCAAGCCAGGCTTCGTGAGATTTTCATCTGCTTCTTCAATTTTCAATCTCAAAATTTTCAGGAAATGTCGGAGACAGAATCTTTAAAAGAAGGGGGAATAAAGTTGAAGCCGAGGATATCGCTCTTCAATGGCTGCACAATCATCATTGGCGTTATCATCGGTTCGGGCATTTTCGTCAGTCCAAAAGGTTCGACTTATTTTCTTACTTGAAGTTTTTCTCTACTTTTAGGGTGCATTTGGCTAGTGAGGTTTTGAAATCACAATAGTAACCTCTTTTTTAAGCTCTTTTCATCGAGTTTTTAGTTATATAACTGAAATTGTTTGCATGTTTTTTTACTTTTTTTAAGTTTTTCCCTTTGAGAAGATTACTATGGGTCATTAATATTTCAAATCTGATTTTCTAGACTAACCTCATACTTTGAAGGTGTGCTGATCGAGGCTGGAAGTGCGGGAGCTTCGTTGGCCGTTTGGTTTCTGTCCGGAGTTTTTGCGATGGTCGGCGCCCTGTGCTACGCCGAGTTGGGAACGACGATTCCTAAGTCCGGAGGCGACTACGCTTACATCCATGAGGTATCTGAAAGTGAAGTCTGGTGTACTCTGGAAATTGCTCAAACTTTCCTCGAAGTTTTAGACATAGGCAAAGTCGGAAGGACCCTCCGAGGTTTCATAGAGGCTGCTGGAAGGCTCCATAGAAATGTTCCTTTTTGGGTGATGAAGGCTCTCTTTTTTCTGCCTTTTTGCGCCATTTTCTCAGCCGTTATGCACCATTTTTACTGCCTCTCTATTTCTCTATCATTTCTTGAGCCTTTAAAATTCTAGAAAAAATGGAAAGCTCGATAAAGGGACTCTCTTTGCTGATTTTTGATGCCTTTCTGCGGCCTTTTTTGAGCCTCTCCGTTTTAGCGGCCATTATCCACCATTCCGACTTTGCCCGAGGATGAAGTTATAGTTCATCCTTACTTGTCAATTTTTTTTTCTCCTCACAGCTTCTTCGGTGCGCGCGGATCGTCCCTCTGCATGCGCCTTTAATTCTTCTTTTTCCGTTATATAAAAGGCGCAGGCACACAGACGGACCGTGCGCAACGAAGAAAAATTTGCTACAGCTTGAAAAAAAAAATTCTTAACAAGCTGGCGCGATATGAACTATAATTGCAAAATGCGCAAAAATTTATTTTTTTCTACGTCAAAGGTCGCGTTTAAAACAGAAAAAAACAAAGGTAAAATCAATGTTTTGCAATTTTAAAAGTTGATATCTCCTCCGCAGGTGGCCACTATGAGAGATGTTTTCTTAAATTTTCAGAGAGTCAACTCGTAAAAATTCCAGTTTTCCCAAAAAAAAAAAAATCACTTTTCAATTTGGCAATACTAACGGCCAAGACTTCAGGCTTTTGGCGCGTTGCCATCTTTTCTGTTTCTGTGGGTGGCTCTGGTGATTCTGAGCCCGACGACGATCGCCATCATGGCCATCACCTTCGCCACCTACGCTTTGCAGCCCATTTACGGGACCTGTACAGTACCGGAAGAAGTGGCGAGTCTCCTTGCCGCTGCCATCATTTGTGAGAATTTTCAATCCTTCCTATAAACGTCTCAAATTCTCTCGACTTTAAATATCGCGGACAAAGTCTAAAGTATTTGTCGAGGACCTTAAAGGAAGAACAAAATTTTAACCTTCTAAAAAGATGCGAAAATCGGATTTATCTGACATAACTTCAAGTCAGAAGCTATAGCTGATTCACGGCCAGCTTGGGACGCTAAGGGGGTGTGTCCTGTCTGCGCTCTCTACGAGCCAGGCTCTATCTCGGGCATTATCGTGTCAGGACCATTTTTTCGATGGCTCAAGCCAGCCGTGAATCAGCTATATACGAAGACCATAAACCTCATAAAAACAGTGGAAATCGAGCAAAAAACTTAGGTCCAAAAAAATTGCTTATTTTCCAAACTGCAGTCCTCGTCACCTTTGTCAACTGCTACGATGTCAGGGCAGCCACCAGAACCAACGATTTTTTCACGATCGCCAAGGTTCTTGCCTTGATCATCATCATTGTGGCTGGAATCGTTTGGCTTTTCCTAGGTAATTTCTTCTGGTTAGGATCAAAAAAAAAAAGTTTATTTAGGAAACTTGGATTACTTGCAAAGGCCGGAAGTCCTGGAGGGCACTAAACTGAATCCGTCTTCTCTTTCCTTAGCTTTTTATTCCGGAGTATTTTCTTTTTCCGGCTTTTCCTATCTAAATTTTGTCACTGAAGAGCTGAAAGAACCGTTCAAGTGAGTGTAATGTATTTCAAAAATTAATTTCTATCAAATATTCTGCAGAAACTTGCCTCGGGCTATCTACATTTCGATCCCGGCCGTGACAATCATCTACATGCTCGTCAACATTGCTTATTTTTCTGTTCTCTCCGTTGATGAGGTCAGATTTTTTTAAAAATTCAATTAAAATTTCAATTTTTGTACGCTTGGAACAGCTTTATTTCTTTAAGAATGTAAAGTTTATGGGTCATTTTCATTATTCTTTGATTTTTTGAATTCAAATTAGGTTTATATTAGTCAGAATTTTTCAAAACGTAAGATGGTACGAGTTAAAGATTGACGAATTTTCCGACCGCATTTTTTTCAAATCGCTAAGAACTTCACGACTAATATTTTCATTCAGTTTCCTTTTTGTAGTTTTTTTTCCAGAATCTTCATCGTTATCTCTCTATGTCGATTTGAAACGAAGTAATTAAAAAAAAATGTGAAAGTTTACTGGCGATATGAAAAAAGCAGAAAACTTGGATTTTTGTTGTAAAATTCGCTCGTCACATAAGTTAAAATTTTTTTTTAAATTAACCTTTCCTACGTTAATTTGAGAGGAAGAGATACAAAATGAGACATATTTTCAAAAAAAAAACTGAATCAAAACGCTGTATCACCTTGTTTCATTGAGAAAAAAAAAAACGAAACACGAACTTTTTTCAAGATACTCGATTCGAGCGCAGTTGCTGTGACGTTCGCCGAGAAGCTGATGGGAAAAGGCGCGATTTTGATCCCAGTTTTCGTCGCCTGTTCCTGTATCGGAAGCCTGAACGGCGTGATGTTCACCTGCTCGAGAATGTTCTTCGCCGGCGCCAGGTTTTTTGAGTTTTCGCTGAAAATTTCAAGTTTAACTTCAGAATCGGTCAAATGCCAGAACTTCTCGCGATGATCTCCATCAAGAGATTCACGCCGATGCCGTCACTCATCTTCCTCGGAGGTTTCTAAAAAAATCATTTAGTCTATTTTCCTCATTTGAAAAACAATGGAACGTATATAGACGACTCACGGCTAGCTTGGGACGCAAAAAGGCGTGGCCTGTCTGCACTCTCTACCAACCAGGGCACTATCTCGTCTCTTTTCGTGGCAGGACCCTTTTCTCGATGGCTCAAGCCAGCCGTGAATCAGCTATAATGGAGTAGACTGAAGGAGTACGCTAAAAAAAAAAAGTGGGCTTTGCCGAGAAATACTGAATCTTTTAACGTTTTCAATGAAAAAATCCGCATTTCTAAACTTTCCATTTTCCTGATAGTTTTCTGTATCAATTTTTTAATCGAAAACATAAAGGCATAAAAAAATTCTTTTTTTTTCCAATTGACGTTAAAACCGCATTTTAACCGCAAAATTTTGAAAAAGTTACTATAGTTTACCCGCGCCTGAATAAAATGTAGTCTGCGCGAGACGATCGCGTTCTTGAAACACAGCAGAAGAAAATCTACTTTTGAAACATATTTTTACGCTTTCGCTCAGAATACTGCAGAGAAAAGTGTAAAAAATGGCAAAAAAAGGTCTCAAAGCGAATTTTGCCCTTTAGAAATGAAAAGTGAGAAGCCGTCCCGAAAAATATATATCACTCACATTTTAGCATCTTCCATCGCGATGCTCTTCATCGGCGACGTTTTCGTATTGATCAACTACCTTTCATTCGCGGAGAGCTTGGTCGTCTTCGCCTCAGTCGCTGGTCTAATTAAAATGCGAATAACACACCCAGATCTGCACAGACCGATCAGGGTATGACAATCATTTTCTCTAATCTCTTCTACTTACATTAGAAATGCGTAACGGACATTGAAAAGGCGCAAAAGCCACTTGATACGAATATTCATTTGGTGTTTACTTCACACCAGAAGTCTGAATTCAAAACTTCGGGGCTCAAAACTTTGAAGGTAGAGAGAACTGGTAAACAGGAGGGCATATAATGTTTTATAGTGCGTTCCGCCAGAGACGATCATCTTTTAAAATCACGGAAGAAAAAAAAATTTCATAAAACAGCTTTTCTTTGCATTTTTTCTCTACACAACTGCAAAAAAAGAACAGCAAAAACAAATGCTCTAAAGCGAAATTTGGACAATTTTGATCAAATTCGGTAAACGGTTTTTATCCAGAAAAGAAAACGGAACAAGCAATACGGGATAGGCTATAGAGAGAAAAAAACGGCCACCCTCTGATTTTTTACGCTCTCAACCTTCGAAGATTCGAGCCCAGGAAGACATAGAATCGACAGATCATCCTAACTGCGACTAAAAAGTTCTAATTGGTTGCAAATTTTGAGATATCGAAAGCAAGATTTTCCATTTCAGCTGAACATGCTCATCCCACTGTCTTTCTTCTGCATGTGCCTCTTCCTGCTCATCTTCCCGTTCTTTCAACAGCCGGGCGAGCTTTTCATCGGCGTCGCCATCGTCCTCTCCGGCATTCCGGTCTACCTTCTTTTCGTCTACAACACTCACAAACCCGCCTTCCTCTACAAACCTTGGAGTTGGTTTTTTTTTTCAAAATGTTTAGTGAAGGAGTTTTAGAAAAAGTTCTACTCATCTTTTTTCAGTCTGGTTCACTCATTTCATACAGAAGTTGCTCTACTGTGTTCCAGAGACCAGCAAATCAAATTGAATCCTCGTTTATTTTTAATTGAAATTTTCTCTTTTATTATTGAACACAACATTATAGTTTTTCAGCTAGCTTTAGATCAAATTTCAGAGGTTCTCTGTATTTTCAAGTTCTCGAGAGTCCCTATATTACTGATTTTTCATTCAAATTCATTTCTTACTTATATCTTACGACTACGTGTATTTTCTAACAGCTACTTCATATCCGTTAGATCTTTTATTCAATTTGATTCTTTATCTCAACTTTTTAACGACTTTTTTTCAATCCGCTCAATTTTATTCAAAAAATGTTGTTTTACCCTGTTTTCGCTCACGGAATTCCTCTTCAATCATTGCCTTACTTCCCAATTCGCTTTCAGAGCTTTTTGCATTTGTCCCAGTGCCTTGTCTGAAAAATATACTTTTCAACTTTCAATGATCGTCTTTCCAGGATCAATGAATTATATGAAACTTTTTTCCGCGGTATAACATAGAAAACGTTTCAAAATATAAATACAAAGCACAGGCATTTTTGAATAAATAAAATACCTGTGGAAACGCGATTTTTTCACTTGTGTTTCATTTCAATCAGCAAGAAAAAAAAGACACTTGAACGCGATTGAAACTGAACTTATAGCCTGTTCAGATTTTGAATGTCAAGCAGTTAACTCCACCCCCAAGGCTACAATATCTTTCGCGTCAATATTTTATCGCAGATGATAATGACCGTTTAACAGGGCTGCATTAGATCGAAACCGTCCCGCGCGATAAAAAATCAACGCGAAAAGGTATAGGCCATTCCGCGCCAGCTTGAAAAACGTGACAAGCTGGCGCGGAATAGGCTATACCGTACGGTCTCAGCAGAGGCGGAGTTTGCTGGTTGACACTCGAAATCTGAACAGAATATATCTGAAAAAAGCAAGGTAATGCCGTGTTCCAAGCTAATTTGATGCGCGCAGCGAAAAAGTTTTTGTTGTTCAAAAGCACGAGCCGGAACGCGGCGGAAAGCAGCGAAACGCAGCAGATTCCCACGACTTGATTAGCTGGCAATAAAATTATTTTGAAAATAAATTTATATTGTTCAAAAGCACGAGCCGGAACGCGGCGGAAAGCAGCGAAACGCAGCAGATTCCCACGACTTGATTAGCTGGCAATAAAATTATTTTGAAAATAAATTTATATTGGACATTTGCCAAAAAGGCGGAGCCAACCAATCACGTCGTGGGAACCTGCTGCTTTTCTCTGCGGTTCGGCTCGTGCTTTTGAACCAGAAAAACTTTTCCGCTGCGCTCGTCAAATTAGCTTTGAACACGGCTTAAAAAAAATAGAAAAAACTGCAAGAAACGAAGAAAAGGTTTGAACTTTGATAGGACTCTTCAGGAGCTTTCATAGCATTTGAATGATTTTTCTTTTACCGAGTTGATAAAAAAAAAATCGAAAGAACGATATTCGCTAAAATCGTGAACTTTCTTCAAGCAGGGAGCCGGGATCAAAAAAGACCGATATTGAGCTTTTATAAATTTGCAAGAGCTTACTACTACAAATTATCTTCTTTAAAAAAAGAATTCTAGTGCCAATAATATATCCCAGAGGTGGAGGATGGCTGCCCACTGGCCGCCCTCCCTGCCAAGCCATTATAATGGCTTAATATTAACGGCCAAAAGCAGAAATGACTTTTTCAATAGTAAGTCAATGACTCATTCCTATCGCTTGGCTAAATGGCTTGGCTGCCAAGCCAAGGGCTGCCTTCCCAATCCTCGACCTCTGATGTATCCAATCTGAACAACCTGAATTATCAAAAATTGGATGGAAAAAAATAATATCGAAACCGAACCATGAAAAAATAAAACTTGACCGACAAAAAATTTACTCCATTTCATATAATCAACAGCATAAATTTGGTCATGACCAAGTTTTTTTGTTTTGTGAAGCATCAGAAAACATAATCATTAAAAAAAGATGCTAGCCAAAAAATCGAAGCTATCGAGGTTCAAATGAAATTGAAATGTAAACATGCCCTGGAGCCAAATGCAAAAACATAATTAGATTACGAAATTTCGTATTCCGCAAAATATAAAAAATAAAAACCATGGGGCGGATCAAAATTTTCAAAGAGCAAGAAAAAAGTTCACTTCCCCTGAAACCTTCGATTGGAATTCAAATAAATTCAATTACAAGTGAATCCAAAATATTGAAAATTAGACATGCCAAGAGAGGTCGATGAAATAGCCACGTAGACCAAATATGACGACGCGGAAGAAATGAAAAAAAAAACCAGCGTAGACCAAATTTGACCACATTGAGAAAGTGAAGAAAAAAACATTATTGAAAAAACTTATACAACTGCAGCAGCTATTGTTAAAGGTTGGTTATTTTTTCGTTTTATATTTAAAACTTCAATTATTCGAAACTAGTTTTTTAGCTGAGAGCTTCGTCAAGTCTGGTTTCTTTTTTGTTTAAAAACCGCCAAGCCCTACAGTTTTTTGCATTTAGAAAAACATTTGAAAAAGAGACATCGATACGTGTAAATCGAAACAGTTAAAAGTGTGAAAAAAACCTCTTTCTTCCAGCTCATATACACTTCATTTTAACTAGAATATCAGCCGTGTAAAAATCTACGCGTCTATCCTACATTCTTTCTATAAAAAGCTCTCAAATTCTTCAGAGAATGTATAAACTATTCAAGTGTTGAATTAATCATAGGTCTGTAAAAAATGTAACAAATTTAGCGCGCCAATGCGCGTAAGATTTGACGTTTGCTGTGTGTAGACTATTGACGCAAACCCCCATACTGCTCAATTTTTTAATTTTAAGAATTGACAGAAATAAAAAAATTACCAATACAAAACTGCATAAAAAGATGAATCAAGTATACAAGCCAACAATTTTTTCCACGAAGATTTTTCAATCAGATTCGTGGAATTTCCATATATTCTCAGAACACTGGTTATCATTGAATTTTTTCGGAAGAAGTTTGAATTAAAAGTCAAATGTATAAAAGCGTAATCAAACGTTTTTTGCACTTTGAGATCACAAAAAAAATATATTCAAGTTCATTTCATTAGGGTAACTACTAACTACAACATCAATAGATTCGAAACTTCATTACAAAAAAGCGTACTGTATATAGCATATGCCGAAATCCAGAGGTGAACAATTGGGAAGGCATCCCTTGACTTGGCGTCCAAGCCAAGTCATTTAGCCAAGTGATAGAAATGAGTCTTTGAATTACTTTTGAGAAACTCGTTTCTGCTTTTGGACTTTTATGGCTTGGCAGGCAGGGCGGCCAGTGGGGAGCCATTCTCCACCTCTGCCGGAATCAATCTAGATAAACAGGAACCGAAAAAAGGTAGTAATATGCATCATGTTTCTTTGAATGAAGCAGGAAAGTGCAGGAAGTGCGCTCCATCGTTAGTTTTATAAGCTTCGCACTCGGTTCAATGCGAGAAAAAGTCGCGGGAAACTTCTGAAAAAAAAATTTCGTTTAATTTTGATATATCTGTGAGATAAAGTGAAATATTTAGAAAAAAAACCTAGAATGAGACGCTTGCGTTTTAGTACTAAAGGTTTAGATCAATTTTATAAAATTTGTGAGCCGGAAGGAAGAGGTTTTCTGTTTCATTCACTCAATTCCCACATCTTTGTCCAGCATTATATTCAAAAAATATATCAAGAAATATAATCTAAACCAAAAAAGAATGGGCTTTGCGGTCTCCGAGAAGAAGTTCCCATGAAGATCATTCTGAAAACATGGTTTTTTCGGTGTGAACAAAAAAGTACTTACATCCCAGTAGATATAGCTGATTCACGGCTGTCTTGGGTCGCTAAGGGGGCGTGTCCTGTCTGCGCTTTCCACGAGCCAGGCGCTATCTCGTGCATTATCGTGTCAGGACCCTTTTTCCGATGGCGCAAGCCAGCCGTGAATCAGCTCTATCGGAAATCTAGAATCAACGGATTAGAAATTCGAAAAAAATACATTTTTGGTTCATATAAATCAAAAATTTTTTTTGGAAGTATCAATTAAAAACTGGGAAAATCATATTTTCTAGAAGCTCGTCTAAACTTTCATACATGTCTAAATCGATGATTCTGGAACTTAAAAATATAAATTCCTGGCTAACTAATGCCGTGTTCAATTTGATTCCGCGAAATGCAAAATGATCTCTGACTCTCCAAAATCTAGTGATCTTTTCCTTTCTCTAACGGGTATTTTGCATTTCGCGGAATCAAATTGAACACGGCATAAGATATTAGGTTGAGATTATTTTTTTATCTTCAGCAAATAAAAGGTCAATTTTTTTTAGAGAATTCCAAAGTTTGAAGTAGACTGACCTTCCTTCTAAAAAAAAAATTTCCGACTACGATGAAGCCGATTTTAAACTTGCGGTTAATAAGTTTCTATTCGAAAAAGCCATATTTGAAATAGCCTTTTGGCTTTTGTGAAAATCAAGGCTGTTTCAGAATCATCGATTTTGAATCTCAATAGCGAGTTGAGCCTAAATCCAAATGGCGCAGAACAAGTCTGCACCCGAATGTCAAAAAAATTAGACAAAATTATCAAAAAAAAGAGAAAAATCAAAACAAAAACGATAATAGTCAATTAATTTGCCTTATTCAGTGAACAAACTGAAATGGACGCCCAGATGATCATCCCACAGGTTCGTTTTTTTTCCAAGGAATTAGTTTCGGAAAGAAAATGGCTATTTCATAGAAATTTACAAAATTTTTTTTGGATTCGAACACGGACTGGTTTGAATAATTTTAAAAGTTGGCCTAGGAATAGAAGATCAAAGTTTCAAAATCAGCCTGTATCAAACTTAAACGTAATTGCTGAACTCTTAACATTTTTCGAGACGATTCGAAACGAGATTTCGTCTCGGAATGTCTCGAAAAACTCCTCGTCCACTGTCGAGATGCAGATTTAATCTACCTTAATTTGAGCTTTTTCTTGCTCTGCTATTTTTTCTGCTTCTCCCAGCTAAAAATAGGTTCTCAAAGGCTTGAAAACTTCAAAAGATGAAAAACTGCAAGGAGTTAATTTTTTTTTTGGCTTTTGTAGGTTTCTGTTGAATTTTTAGCAAAAATTTAGGCCATTTCAATAAAAAAAAAACATCATCTTCAAACTGGAAGGAAAAACCTTGCCGACAACCAATTTATCTGTCCCAACCTGGAAAAAAACGACTTTAAATGAACGATTAGACTTCCCGAAACGTTCTCAACTTTTTTGAACACGAGAAGGTATTTTAGTAATGAAAAACCGGAGCAGAATTTGCGTTTGAATTCAAAAACCTTAGCAACCTTAGCGTTACCTGAGCGCCGAAAAAGACACTTCAAAAATTCCTATCTTTAAAAATAGAATTTCGTTCCAAATATATTTAAATGTAGATTTTCAGGGCCAATATTCAAGTATTTACAATAATTCACAAAATATTTACAATAATTCACAACAAAAAAAAATAATTTTCAATTTTCAGCTCCCTCCAAGATCCGTCGGCACCCAAACCGACCAGGTGGAATTTTTTTTTCTCAAATTATGGAAAAAAAAGAGATAGCATCAGCGTTGCAAAATAGGAAAAATGTAAAGAAATTTCGCGAATTTTTCGTGAAACTTGAATTTTTTAGTGAAATTGTTCTCAATAAGTAAAAAGAAGAAGCTGAGCGTTCAAAAAAATGGACTCAGGCTTTTTTTCTACAATTTCTTTTCGAAAATTTTATAAATTTATTTTAATCAGTTTCCTTCAAATTTTATAAGTCTTCAATAAAATTAAATTTCCAGAAACTGACCTAAGTTCTCTAATTTATAACACCACAAAATTTTTTTCCTGAAAAAAAGTCACTTTCGAAAAAAATCTTCAAAATCGGAAAGTTGTCAAGGAATTGTTTCAAAAACATGAAAAGAATTTCGTTTTTCATGGAAAAAATTCAGACAAAAAAAAATATTAGATAAGAATGAAAAACAGAAAACTTTTTATGATCATCTATTTAGGAGATGTGGGTTTTCGACGAGATCCTGGTCCACCGAGAAGGCCAGGATGTGGAGATGTTCTTCGAAGCCCCGGTAAGACTTTTTCAAGCTTCTTTCACAAAAATGTTAGCTTCGACTGCGTGAAAATGATGGCGTGAAGTATTGGAGAAAGCTCGAAAATCTTGAAGGCTTTTAATTTTCATATCTATTTCTCCTCAGAAAAAAATCTTTCAATTACGAAAAATTTTTAATTCAAAATTTCAGGAGGACCGCCCCAGTTGCGACTCAGGCATTCAGACCGAGGTGGGCCTTTTTTCTTTTGTTCATCGATAAAACTGAACATCTCAACTTTGCGAGAACTCGAGCTTCTATTTCGTAAAATAGCTCGCACTTACCTTTTCGTAGACACATGGGGAAGCTCTCATGCATCAGAAAGAACAGCCGAAGAAAAAATGGCAAGAGTTGGACACCTGAAAATCTATCAAGTTCATGCGTTTCAACACAAAACGAATATCATAAAGTTTTCTAAAACTACTTTTTTTAACTACCGCAAAAATAAAGAAATTTTTCAGCGCCTCCAGGAGCGAGAGGTGGACCGTGCTCTGGACCAACACCAACGGCGTATCCGGTTCTATCTGGATACGCTCAAGGCACGGACACAGCACGGAGGTACAGAACAATTTTAAAAATACTAGCCTTTCTCACGATTCTCAACTAACTTAACTAATCTAATTTTTCAAGGTTTCAGCAAAAAAAAACGGTTCATGACGTTTTGCTCAAATTCAAGATAGGCTGCAAAGCTTCATGAAACTTGAAAATTTGTAACGAGCTTACGATAAGGAAGACGAAAAATCTGTCCGAAATGAGAGGAAGAATATTTTTCTCCGAGTTGATTTTAATAGGTAGAACCTCTTTGATCAAATACAGAGTCAGGTCTTCAAGTATAAAACTTTTTTTATAAAATCAAAAAAATTGAATTTTTTTGATATATATATATATATATATATATAAGATCCATAATAGTATCTGACTCTGACAGAGATACAGCTAGATCTCTGAATGATTTATTTCATCGAAAAAAAAAAAAATGAATGATCAAAACGGATTTGACAATTTTTCGCCCGTTTTCAGCTATATACTATAGTATCAAATATTGCAACTATTCAAAATTGACTCAACGATTGAAAAAAACAGCGAGACCAGTAAAATGTGAATTTAAGAGAAAATAATCTCAGCTCTTTTCTTCTCTATACACTTTTTTCTAATAAACGGAATTTTGTGGACCTCTTACTAGCTGATAAACCTTTCTCCGCGTCTCGAAAAGTTTATTCAAGATCCATTTCAAAAGACTTTATATAATAACTTGTACAGAGAGAAATAATAAGACTTGCGCGAGTTTGAGCCTTAAACTTCGAGAGTATAAACGAAAAAAAAAACTTCGGACTAGGGAACATTTTCTAGCCTCGGGTGCATTTGATGAAATTTTTCGGAGATGTACTTCTTGTTTTTGATTTTTTTGAGATCTTAAAGTTCACTTTATCGAAGTATCATCCTAAGTTCAACTGGGGGCTGGAAAACTTTTCCTAGTGAGAAATAAAAAGTCATTATCAGACATTAAAAACTAATCAAAACGCTTTTTTCAGGTCCACAAACGAAGGAAGCCGGTGTCGCAACCGATGGGGCGTGTGAAGAAGAAAAGAAGAAGATCAAGGAGCTCCAGAATGAGCTGGGAGAGAAGGACGAGGAAATAAAGTATGAATTTCTCAGAAGTCTAAATAAGAACTGAATAATTGAATAAATTCGAAGATACAACTAAGTCTTATACGGAAAAAAAGATGTTGGATTCTGAAACACAACCGATTTTTTTCGAAAGATTAAACTTCGCATAAAAAAACCAGATTCAATACTTTTTCAAAAAAATTTCGATTTTTTTAAAAATTTTTTTAACTAGACCGTATCGTCCAAAAGGTGTATTATCTTGCAGTAAAGAAATTGTTTCGAACTGCAAGAAGTTTCAAAAATGTTGAACAGAGAAAAAAATTCTGATAGAAAAAGTGTGATTTGCATCTTTCAAAACAATAACTAAAAAATAATCGATCTAGATTTTGAGCAAGTGAATCATCAAAGTGAGAAGAAGCCAGGCTGAGATAAATATTCAGGGAAAAAATTGATGTCACCAAACGGTTGAGACCTCTCAACAAATTCTTTAATGTTATAGGGAAGAAAAGGAGAAGGTCATGAAGGCCAACTTCAAAATCGGACGTCTGACGGCGGACCTCGCCCAGACGTCGCTCGAGTTGGGGTCGTCGTTGGCCAGGGGTAATTTCTCTTTTTTATGAATGTACTAATAAAATCATTTGCAGAAGAAATCCTGCGCCAAGAAGTCCTTCTCCTCCGCGCTAGGCTCGCCGAAGCCGACGAGGATAGGGTCAGGCTGGCTGCCCTACTCCAGGTTACTAAAAAACTATAGAATAATCACCTGTATAGGCTTGGGAGAGCAGTTACTGCTTTAACTACCCCAGATTTGCCTGCAAAACATTATCGAACCCATCTGAAGCTTTTTTCTATCTCAATCAAAGCTTATGTGTTGAAACTCCTCGACAATATTTTCGTCAAAAATGCGGGAATTTTTGGCAAAAACAAAAAAATATAGATAAAAATGTAGACGCGCTTTGAAGTCATTCTTATCACTTTTGCCGATATTTCGAAATGGTCAAGCTGTTTATTACAACATTTACACCTAATTCAGAATTAAAATTCAACGAAAATTCTTTCAAAAACTTTTTGAAGCTTTTTCTTTTTGAACCTACTTTTTAAAGCCCCTTTTCGGAGCCTTTTCTATTATTTTTGTTTTTTTATATCTTCTAATTTTTTCAATCAAAGTTAGCCAAATTTTTTTTTAACCAAATTATAATAAAAAAGGCTGTTTCTAAAACATAAAAGCTTTCGACTTCAAAAAAGATTCAAACTTTTCAGAGCTGCTTTCATTAAAATTATTGCCGTGTTCAATTTGATTACGCGAAATGCAACATACTCGTTAGAGAAAGGAAAAGATCCCTAAATTTTGGAGAGTCAGAGACCATTTTGCGTTTCGCGGAATCAAATTGAACACGGCATAAATATGTGAAAAAGTTAGAAAGCTAATTTCACAAACTTTTCAAACTGATAATTCTTTATGTAAAGATCTCGCTATTCAAATCAGTGTACCTGAGAATTTTCGAGTGAAGGTAAATTGGAAGACTTCGCGTTGTGGTTTCTGAAAATGTAATCGGAACTAAACAAATGGGAAAAATTGGCTCAAACTTCCTATTCCATTGTACAAAGAATCAGGGCAACGGAAAGAGTTTATAGATTTGAAATAGAGAGAAAGACAGTTTTACGGATCATTCTTATTCGTCCGATTGAAAAGTAGAAAAACAATTTTAGATGGACCAGGCCAGTACCAGAAAGCGGAGAGGAAGTTCAACGTCCCACTCGGACGAACCCTCCGTGAAGAGGTCGCGGAGTGAAGAGAGTGGAGGGGAGGCCTCGTCAGCCGGAAGCCCGGACGTTTTCCGGACGCCGGAACGTGGCGTCGAGCATGCCAGAAATGGCCACGACGCCACTTCCGGCCAAGAAGAAGAAGAAGAAGAACGGGAGCCGCAGTTGGAAGAAGAGGACGAGGTCGTCCCGGAGAGCGACCAAGAAGAGCTCTCCGAGTCCTCTTCTTCCGGCCCACCATCGCCGGCCCCGTCGACCCCGCCCCGATCCCCGCTGCCGAGACCGACGCCCCCAGCGACGCCACCAAGGACGCCCACGCCGCCGGTTCAGCCAACGAGACGGGTTAGTTTTCAGCGGAAAATGGTCATCAATAGTGAAATGAGAGGATCTTGAACAATCTTGAACGCAAGTTTTTGAATGAAAAGTGCTGGAAATCATAATTTAAAGAATCAAAAAAGCGGAGAACAAAAAAAATTTTATCGTTTCGTTTCCGCGTGAAGTTCTAGCGCATGAAACTGAAACGAAAAACATTTGAAAATCGATAAATAAAATATTTGAAATCATTAAATTGGAAAATTAGTTTTTTCAAATTAGCATGGACGGCCAATATTTTCTAAGTCTACTTGAACAAGCGCTTCCTACGACGGAGAAATAGAAATTTTATAAAAAAATCACAATTTCAAAAATTTTTGCCACAGATCTACTCAACTTTTTAACTGCATTTTTTTGCTATGTTCTTAACCTTTTTTCCATTTAAAGCTATTTTTTTAAAGTAATTTTTTTGACTCGCGATGAAAAGCTTTAACTCATTTTGAAAATGAAGTTCTTTCTACTCGAACAAGAAAACGGAACTAAATGGCTTAAATTTTCATGATATTTATGTATAAAACTTTTCTCGTACCTGTCACTGGATTGAAAGTGGAAACCCCAATCAATGAATTTGCCAACCTCTCTGAAGAGACTCGTTTAAGATGTCAGAAGTTTGAAGTTTAAAACGTGCAAAATTCCGATTCATCACTGCATAGGAATTCAAAAATAAGTAAAAAATGATCAAAGTGAACGGCGAAAGAATTCGTTTGCGTAAAATTCGAAAAACTCAGAATCTTAAAAATAACAGATTTGAAAACAAAAACATTCATGAGAAAATTATCTGAAATAAATGAGAAATAAAAGAATAATCACTAGCCTTTTTGAAAGAAAAGTTTGAAATAGAGGTCTTTCGATTAGAAAAAAAAATCTTAATAAACAAATTTTGATTGTTTTTTTTTTCAATATCAGAAAAGAAAACAGTTTGAAAAAATAAAAATTAGAAACAAACACCAAACTTTTTTACCTTCAAACTCCAGTTGCTTTCGTTTTCATCTTCTTATAGACAACAAGTTACAGCCCTAGTCAATGATTTCGAAAAAAAGAGTCGGATCTGAAAATAATTATGGAAAACGAAGCAAAATTCAAAACAAAAAATAACAAATTTTAATGGAGAAAAGCGATTGTCGTTCCGATTTCGAGCAAAGTGCTTCAAAAAAAAAAATCATATATAATGAAAAAAATCCACGAAATATGTTTCGAAAACGAATACTTTTAAAATTAGTTACAGGTGGCTAAGCTCAATCATGAAAAAAACCTCTTGAAAAACGAGTATCGTAAAGCATGAATCTGTGAATAAATTATTATTATTAAATTAGAACGAATGATTATTCTTTCATTGGTTTGAGAAAAAGTTTTCCTTTGATTATATGAAAACAACTATACCTTTTTAGCAACGGCGCGCCCAGGCGGTCATGGGGGTCCTCAAAAGGTCGAGCAGGATCGGCAACACGCTCCCTGGCCCCCAGCCCAAGCCGCCGGTGGACGCTCAGCCGATCCCGTTGGCCGTTCTGGCGCCGCTGACGGCCGCCGAAGTCGGCGCAACAATCCAGACGAGGCTGGCGGACTACGACAGCGGGGTTTACATCCAGAACCTCGCTGTCGTGGTCAAGTTGGGACGTTACCTCACGACGGCACGCAGACTCTCGAGGAACCTCCCGTCGTCCGTCAAGGACTTGCAGGACCTCGAGAGTCTGAAAGAGAGTCTCTCTCGCCTGTTTTGAGGTCAGTGCTCATTCAAATTTAGCCTTTTTTAGTCATTAATAACCGTGAAGAACAATAACGAATCGAAACAATAACATTAATCAGGAAACTTGGAGAAAATCTTTGCTTTTCAATTGGAAGAAAAAAAATGAAAAAAAAAAACCGCGATTTACGTTTTTAGGGTGACACATCGATTAGAAACCAAAAAGAAAAAAGTTTAAAAGGTCACGAAAAACTGACTGAAACATGGCGATATGACATTCATAGTGATTCTCATGAGAAAGTTATGACAAAAAAATGCCGGAAAATTCCCTAGTGGTTTTAGAAAACTGGAACAGTCGTCAATGAAAAAGCAAAAAAGATAACTTACCAGTCTGACGCAAGGGAAAAAGCGAACTCGCTGGCGGTACATTGACGAACTCGCAAAAATCTCGCTCTGCCTCGCATTTTTCTAGGCGCGACCTCGCATTACGAAAATTCTCCAAATGCGAAAGCGCCCCAAGGAAAATGCAAGACCACCGCATTTAAGAAGCAGCTTTGTTAACAAAACATTTTTGAGGTATTCAATGTACTGCAAGCAACCTCGCTATTGCCTTCACAGTTACTTTTTGTTGATAAAACACCCATAAAATTTTAATGTGCGTAATTGCGTCGGTGTGATTAGACCAAATTCATAACCTCAGGTTTAAATTTAACAGGAGCCTTTTTTAATTAGAGACTTTTTTCAGTCAAATTGAAAATTATTGCGTTTTTGTTATTTTTCCTTCTAATGAATAGCCGAATCAAATGCTGCTTGATTTCTTACACAACTCATTCTGAGAAACCGTAGCCTTCAATTTTTTTCAAGTTTCTCTCGATAGCTGAAAAAACAGAACTTGACTTCCTTCTTATCAAACATTGTGAAAAATATCTGTCGAATATTTACTTTTCGGAGCTTGAAGGTCTTCATTGAGATATTTTTCAACTGAAAAGCCGCTTGTGAACCGTTGAAAAACTTATTATTTTAAGGTCTCCCCAAATGTCAACTTCTCGCCGTGCTCGCTGCCTTCCGCTCACCCTTTTCGGTTAGTTATTTTCTTATTAAAAAAGCTAGGGTCGTGGGAAAAAAATATAGCTCAGGACCCTTTTTCAATGGCTCAAGCTAGCCGTGGATCAGCTATAAAAAAAGTCTGAGAGTTTCGTAGCTTGAAATTAGAATCATATTTCTTATTTACTGATTTTTACATCCATCAAAATTTTTTATGATGTAGAATAGAAATTTATCTTAATTCTTCAAAAGCAGGAAATGGCTTCGTTTCTTTTCAAAGGATGCTCGTTGGTTCGCTATAAATTTAAGCTCATTCAAGTTTTTTATTTGAAAAAAATCGAGGAGCAGTCGAAAAAAAATAATAATTCTGATCATTTTTGCTGAAGTTTGTAATAAAAAAAAAATTTAAACAGTGTATTCTGTTTGTTCATGAAACTCAAACCGGTTTTCTCAAGAAAATTAGAACGTAAAATACTTGCCTTCTTCTGAAAACTCGAGCGAGGGTTCTCGAACAACCGAAATGAACGGAAATTGGACTCCTGAAGTTCCCGGGTGCTCTCAAAATAATTTTATTTGAATTTTTGTAAAAAAAGGTTTTATAAAAAAAGTAAATGAAATGGAGAAAGCTTTTTTTGATGAAGTTCAAATGGTGAATTTCGTTGATTCATAATATTTATTTCAATTGTAGCAAAAAAATATGTTTTTTTATAAATATATTCTATTATATTCATATCGTTAAAGCGTCCGAGCTCGTTAGAAGTTAAATTAATTACAAATTTATTTTTTGACTTTGATTCAAATTATTATTTTCAGCTGCCCTCCTTCTTTTTGTCTCGGTCAAGCGATTTTCATCGTACCGAAGAGGAGTGGAACACGGTCTTTCGACCGTTAGTACAACCTCATAGGAACGAGGTAACTTTTGAATCACTTTTGCCTTATTTTATTTCTCCCTTTCAGCAAAAATCGTTGGTCTTTGGTTTTCTCCCATCCTTGCTGAGGATCGTCTCGTGGTCTTTCATTCACGGACGTCGTCTCCTTTCTCCCCACCAAACTGTAAGTTTTGAAAAACTTACTGACCTATTGCTTTTATTAACCACGACTTTTTTTGATGGTTAAAGTCGTGATTGGAAGTTATCTCATAATCCAAGGACTTATTTCAGACTTCATTTGAATCGTTTTTCGCGCTCAGTCGCCAAGGCCGACAACAGGCAGGACCATACTGACGGTGACGGTGGAATGACGACAATATTGGACAATTTGAGGTAAAAAATCCGCAAAAACTTGACTTCGATCTAGAAATCAGTCATATAGATCTCCTGAATGACAAAGAAAATTAAAAATGTTCAAAAATCGAAAAAGCTTCAAAAGCTGTCAATCAATTAACAGAAACTTATCGAAAGCAAAAAAACAAATACGAGTTTTGGAAGTGACGTTTTTTGAAAAAAAAAAAGAAAATAGACTTGAAATCTTAGTTTTTTTTTTGTTCAGATTTTAATGAGCAAGATTGAAATATTTGACTAAATTTTTGAAAACCAAACGCTCCCATAGCCTGGATTCGATGTCGTTCGAGAAAAAAAGAAATTCTTGAGACATTTCCATTGAGTAAGAATTTGGAACTGCTCATTTCTCTGTGTTGGTCACAGAAAATGTAAATTTTGAGCGATAATTCTTCCAAAAAAATACCTTATCCGGTTTTCAAAAATAAAAAATGTCTCTTCTATAATTATATAAAAGAAAGATTCTTGTTTCAAGGAAACCAGATTCGCCTTTTGATTATTTTCTCAGCTTTATTCGAAAATAAAGTATTTTTTGATATTCTTATGAAATTCGAGTCGTTTTTCAACCTTCATAGTTAGTTTTTATGAACACACGTTTTTAATTGGCGCAATTTCATTTTTGAGAAGTTTTCTGAATTTTAGTTTTGTTGTGCAGAAAATAGTTTAACCATTTCATTTGTTTTTCCTTCAGAAAAAGGAATCGTGGATCTTTTTTCGTGGTAATGACGGCAACTTCGCCCAATCGAAGTTTTTGGTGTTTTCTGAAGGTCTTGAACAACTAAAAAAGAAGTCGACAGACTATTCTTCTCGCAGGTAAGGAAATTTGATGATTATGTGGGTCAAGAATAAGTTTAGAATAAAGTCCGTTCGTTTTATTGCTGAACGAATCGCGAAGGAGGTTCTTTTGGACGCTAATAGTTCTTCCATGATTTTTCGCCGCCGCTTTCATCACTCGTGAGTAGTTGGATGGTTTTTGGAAACTTGAAAATTTCCTCATACAGCAAAAATGAAAAAAGTTTTATTGAAAAACAAAAATCTTATATTTCATTTTTCATGTGATCAAAGAGCGATCTCAACTGAAAGGGGCTTTTGAGCAAGGTTTCAATTTATTAGATGAACATTTTCGAAGTTTTTCACTTGCTGTCTAGGGATCACTTAAGAGTGCTGAGGCTACTAAAGTGGTAACTAGAAATGCCCCGACATGTCCGGTTCACGTCCCGCTCGCGTTACCAAAGTCCGAGAAATAATATATATATATAAATATATACAAAAAAAATAGCTTAGCCCTGGAGCTCACTTTCAGCCGACTCGAGCGCCTGTAAAGACTTACCTGTTTTGTTTACTATATTGGGACCTTTTTTCTGACTTATTTTGTGAATGGCTATGTGAAATGCTGTGCTCACGCACCCAACTGAATACTGCTTTCATTATTCCTTTCTAATCGTCTTCTCGTTGGGAAAAGACAAGGGAGGTCATTTTAGTGTACCTTTTCGAATTTTTTGATGAAAATCAGTTCTCTGAAAGTTTGGATGAATTGCCCCGCCGTTTTCTAACTTGTTAAATGTGAATTCCGGGAGTTTTTTAACCTTGCATTTGGGGTTTGAATTATTAGAGAAAGAACTGAAGAATTTTCGAGCAAAGATTCAGAAAAAGCCAATCTTGACACAAAAATAACCTCCCTTGTTGAAAAAATTTCTCCATCCCAAATATTCCTTTAGGGAGTTTCACCACGGAAAAACTACCGCGATATCCATTCTCCGGCTTTTCTCAACTACATCGTTATCGAAAGGTCGACGAGCGACTGGAAACGAAATTCTTCTGAGTAGTTTTATTGTTTTAGCTCCCTTTCCCTTTGCCGTTCAGTTTGGATTGGCCCACTTTTTCCCGTTTCTTTTCCCCCTGATTTGAAAAATTCATCATGTGCCATAGTTTTTCATTATTTTTTTCATTATTTTCAATATTTTTCCGTTTTTTTCTTCTTCTAGCATTTTTGTTCTACTCGACTGTTTTTTTGTTTTTACTTATCATTTTTTTATTTCACTGAGCAGTTCATTGTTCTGCCTGATCTCATCTGTACTATGGTTATAGTTTTTTTTATTTTTTCCACTTAGTTTTTTATCCGAATTTTCTCAGGCTCATTTTCCATCCATTCTTCCGATCTATTTTCAATAATTTGTATCACGGAATATCTAAAAGAGCCTTACAAAAAATCAAAAAAATTAAAAAAAAAAAATTAAAAAAAAAAAAAAAAAATTAAAAAAAAAAAAAAAAAAAAAAAAAAAAAAATAAAAAGTAATGCCGTGTTCAAAGTAATTCCGCGAAATTCAAAATAGCCGTCAGAGAAAGAGAAAGATAACTAAATTTTGGAGGGTCAGAGACCATTTTGCATTTCGCGGAAATTACTTTGAACACGGCATAAAAAAAAAGGCCAACTCAGTTGTATTTATTTTTTGTTTGTACCATCTAGCACTTTTGTCCATTCCGGGCATACCGTCAAATCGTTGCAGCGTCAAGCCGAATTTCTCAAGAAATCTCGAGAATCCGTCGATGTGAATGGTTAGCTTTTTAATTGGAAAATTACATTGACGAAAAATTTCAGGAAGCTCTATTTTTATGGAGAAGAAGTCGACAATACTTCGAAATTTGAAGAAAAATGAAGCCGGCAATACTTCATACTTTGCTCAACTTCGGTTTTGGTTAGTTTTCTGCTTTTTCTACATGATAAAATGAGATAATCTTCAGAAAAACCGAAAGTTTCAAATCAATGAGCAAGCTCCCCGCACAAGGATGGGACTTTTCCCATCCGGAAAAATTTTGCGATTTCTGTGATTCCAGCTTATCATCATCAATATCCATATTTATTGGTCAGAGTCCTTCTCGGTTAGTTTTCTGATCTACTTGAAAATCATACGGGAAACATTCAGGGAAAAGCTGCAAAGACGTCTTTCATCAGCAGGAATGAACTGAACCAGAATAGAATGTTCGGCTTACGTGAATCCAGCTCTGTCCTCAACGACAAATTGTTTTTACTTTCTCGGATAGCGGCGATCCTCGAAATATCAAACAAGAGGTAATTTAAAAAACTACAAACTCCATTGACAAAAGGAAAATTTCAGTTTGAAGTGGACAAATTCGGAAACTAGACGCCGCAATTCCATAAACTTTGGAAACCTCATCGTCGGAAAAAAAAACTTTTTCCTTGAAATTACGCTCCAGGTGTGTAACCTGATCTTATTTACAGAAAAAAACATTTTTATTCAGATTTCAATAAGAGCAAACTCCAAGTAACTATGAGAAATTCGACTCATATAATCCTACTTTCTACATTTACCGGTCCCAACTCTCATTCGGTCTTTGAATAGTTACGCTCCAGGTGGGTAACCATATCTTATCAACAGGAAAATGAAAGATTTATTCCAGATTTCAATAACAGCGAGCTTAATATAATGAGAAAGCCGATCAGTTCAACTCATATCATCATATTTTCTATATTTTCCCGTTCCAATTGGAATTTGGTCTTGGAAAAGTCTCCCCAAGGTTGGTTAATTTTCGAAATTCGAAAAATATTCTCATTTTCCAGATTAAAAACGGAAAAAAAAAATCGCCATTAAGCCATAATTTCGGCGTTGAATTCAGCCCTGAAAACCTGATATTCTGCAAATTGTCTTGGTTAGTTTCCTAATAAGTTTAAAAATCATAATAAACTTTTTTCAGATAGCTGACGGTTGAAAGCTCAGTTCTCAAAGAAAAATTGAATGATATAAAAAAATAGAAGCGGGACTTCGAGAAGAAAAACGAAAACCGTTTTTTTCCTGCTTTTCGAAAAACAGGGCCTCTAAATGGTGAGTTATTTTGCGACCAAAACTTGATAATTTTTCGAAATATTCAGGCCAAAAAGAGTGTCGCTCGGAATCGTATCAATTTCCAGCCTTTCGGACGATTCTTTGCTTTTTTCGTTCGAATTTTCGCAGTCGCAATATTTTGAAGCGGCTTCTGAGCTACTAAACGTTATCAATGGTAAATTTTCCGATTGGTCCAATTTTTATAACGAAAGAATTTTAGAAAAAGCGTTATAAATGGAAGATCTCCGTACGAACTTATGAAGAGAAGTTCTGTCAAATCAAGAAGAAAACTAAATTTCTTCTGGATCGTTATCCTTCGAGAAGATCTTCCTCCCTTTAGTAAGATAAGAAAAAAAAAAAAAGGAGAACAAAAAAAAAAGAAAAAAATGAAAAAATAACAAAAACTCCTTCCCCCACTTCTATTGTCCCCCTTAGGTAATCAATCTCTTTTTATTGTTCTCGATATTTATTTTACTTTGTATATCAAAAACATGGAGCGTCTTGAAAAAGCTCTTCAAGACGACTTCATTGGTGAAAAACATGTATTGAAATCAATTCTCATCCATTTCTTTCCGCGTTTCGATACATGATCTTTTTCACCATTTTCGAATCAAATTTTTCCATTCAAACGCTTCCAAAAGTTCATTTTCACTGTTTCGGAGCATTTTTTGACTTCAAAAGACCTGTTTTTCGCTTTTTCCCTGGACACGCCATTCAATTAATTTCTGAGTCAAAATTCAAACATTTTGGCTCAAGAAATTCATATTTCAGAAGTGTCCAAGGAAAAATTCATTTTTAATCAACTTCTTTCCATCCAGTCTTTCAGAACTGTACGAATTGTCAGTTTCTGAGAATTTTTTGGCGTTTTTCAGCCTTTCGAGACATTTTTTTTGCTTTTTCCCTGGACACGCCATCACAACATTTTCCGAATCAAAATCCAATCATTTTTGCTCGGAAAAGTCTCATTTCAACAGTGTCCACGGAAAAAAAGACATTTTTTCATTCATTTCGAATCTCTACGAAATTTTTGAACTCAAAAAAACAATTTTATTTTTCACTTTTTCCAAACATTTCCGTTTTTTTACAATGAACACGCAAAAGCTTTCACATTTCGATTCAAGTCGTGATCATTGTGAAAAACCAAAAAAACTCATCAAAAAAATAATTCTTATATTTAGTCGTTGCGGAAAATTTCATTTTCACTGTTTCGAAGCATAATTTTTGGCTTTTTTTAGACTTTTCAAGACATTTTCTCAATTTAATCTTTGGACACGCCTTTTCACTGACTTCTAGGCGAATTTGCAACAATTTTTGCAGAAGGAATTGGTATTTCAATAGTGTCCAACGAAAAAAAATTTGTAAAAAAAGAATTTTTTTCGGTCCTTCGAAGCTGTACGAGTTCTCAGTTTCGGAACACGTTTTCGTTTTTTTCAAACAATTTTCGTTTTTTTCGCAATCAACACGAAAAAAACACTTTTTTTGTTTTTCAGTAACGTCGTGGAAACCGAAAAAGTAAAAAAATTTCATTTTTTTCATTTTTCTCAAAAACGTAATTGCTTTCAATATTTCTGAAAAAGAAAATTATTTTGAATTTCCTATTGCATAAATCATTATAAAACTTTTTTTGAATCAATTTTTCGAGAAATTTAGTTTCAAAATAGCTATTTTCAGTTTTCCAAAGGGAAAAAAAAATGTTCTGGTTTCCCAAAAATAGTAAAATTTCATTCTTTCTAAACATTTCTCTTGCTTTTCGAAATGTTCAGCTTCAGTCGGTCAGCTGAAACTCTTGGTAATGATTCCAAAATTTAGTGACTAGAATAAATGGGACTTTTCTTCGTCTTTTTTTCAATTTGATTCAAATTTAAGTTTTTTTTGCTGGGAGTCATGAAAATTTTAGCGTTTTTTGGCTTTCAAAATGTTTTTGCGAATACTGAGAAAGTTTTCAAAATTGAAAATACCTTTTTTTACGGTTGTAACGCCCTAAATTACCCTGAGAGAACTTTCAGGAACCCCAATATTTCGGTCGTTTTATGATTCAAAGTGTTAGAAAGAAATTGAATACCATGTAGACTTTGAAAGTAAAAAATAAATTGAAGGAGGATGGACTTTTTTGAACGTTTAAATCGGAGGAGGAGGATTTTAAAATATCAGAATATTTCTCTTAAAATCACTAAGGATTTAAAAGTAAAATATCGACTTTGTAATATTTATAAAACTGGAGGAGGATGGAATTTTGTAAACTTTAAAAATCGGAGGAGGAGGAACTTTTTGATATCAAATTTCTTGCTATTAGAGAATATTTTCTGAGTAGAACTTCAAAATGGAGCAAGGATTTCCTTATTATTTTTTTAACTTTTCGATCAACAGTACTTATTTTCAATAGCTCATATAAATTGACGAGATTTTTTCTTAATTCCGTGTTTTTTCTTCACTCGAAGTCTCTCAACCGGCCGAGGCTACCCTAGAGTGTACACGGCGTCCGTGCCCGATCTCCGCCATCACCGCCGTTCCCGTACCTGCGAAACTGAGGGATCTACTTGTGGAAGAACGAGGCGAAGGACCGTAAGACCCTGCTTTCAATTCAATCGACTACACGTTTGACTTTTTTCGCCAAAGGAGGTGTCAGTACCGCTCAAAAGAGCAATTTTTTCACCGCCTAGTCGATTCCATCTGACTAAAACAACCAATTAATATTGATGAAATTTTGATTATTTAGTAAACTACGGATTTCGCATCGAAAGTTACCGTTTTTTCTTTTAAACAAAAACTGTTTTTTTTTTCTAATTTTGAGCGAGTTTTCGAGTTCTTCCGGAGAAAAGGATAATCAGGAATTATTTTGCCAAAAAAATTTCATTCTCAAAGTTACTGTTTTTGGAGGAACTTCGATAGAAGAAAAAACTAGCTCTCTCCAAAAAACACCATTTCAAAGTCTTTTGTTTTCGAAAAACCGTAAGGGGTTAGATAATGGGGTGGGATCAAGTAAGTTTGAAACAGTTTCTGTACCGAGTTAATTGACTTTTTTTTCAGACCGGTTACGGTAGAAGAGATCCGGAGGACGGAGATGCAAGCCGGGAAGAGTTCCTGTAGCGCAGTCCGAGTGCGTCACGGTGCTGATCTTGCGTGGCTAGTTCAAACCTTTTTCTTTGCGAAAATTCTTTTTTTCATAATTTCCGTCAATCTCAAAATTTATGAGTATGTTTTTGAAGATCAAAACCCGGTTAATTTGGAATTTGGCGATCGACAACTTGTTTTTGAAGGGCGAGAAGACTTTTTTTTTAGCGTCTCGGAGCTTTTACTTACTTTTATCAGAATATGAAAATTCAAAAAAGTTTCTATTTTTGGATTGAAAATGTTAAATATAACCGAATTTGTGAAAATCAGTAGCCATGCAAGAAATAAACTCGGAAAAAAAAAACCTTGTATGGAAACTTTCCTTCTATCTAGAAATTCAGACCTCACGAAATGACGGAAAAAGAGAGAGACAGCAAAAATGTTTCATAAGAGCCTATTAAATCGCCCAGAAAAGTCACACCGAAAAAATCTTCGATATTCTGCATGGGGTCCTTGCAAGAAATTTTCCAGTTGCCTTTTTGGACCCCCAGAAAGTCTTTCCGAATTCGTTTAAAATTGTTCATCTCCAAAATCATCATCCGAGAGCGACGTTTTAGATCAAAAAATCGGAAATTTTTCTTTTGAAATGGACTCAGTTTCATATTACCATCCAACGAGATGAGTTCAATACAAACCGTTGAGGAACCTCTAAGGCAGGCCCCCGTTGGGCGGAAACGACATAATTTACCGGAGAAGGTGCTCTACGGTGACTACTGCCGTTAGTCTTTATCGCTTCGAGTGATCTCCTGGATTTGAAAGGGTCTGTGCGCGGGTAAAATATCCGCGGGCGCTTACTGGCCAATATGTTTTTTGAGAAAATGATTTTTCAGATTTCGAATTTCTATAGCTGCTTCAGTTTTATTTTCAAAACGGTTGAGCTGTACAAAAAAGGAATGAATAAAATTATAGCCAAAAATATAAAAATTCTCTAGCTCTCTCTATCAAGTTTGGTTTAAATTAATTCTCCGAAATCCATGTCAGTCGTCTTGAGCACGCTTGCGCGTCAGGCTGGGCGGCCTGTCCCGGGTGGGCAACTGAAAAAACTGAAAATAGACAAAATGCGAAAAAAAAGAAAAAATTTTGAGTAAATTTGAAAAAAATGGTAGCGAAGTTCGAGAAAGAGATCATTTCAATTCATTTAGAACTCTCAGATAAAATACAGTCCCCCAAAAATTCTGAGAAGAGTTGAAAAATGATTTCAAAAAAAGCAAACCAAAAGTTTTCAAGTCTTTATTTTTTTTTTGAAGAATATTGGGGGCATAACATTTAGGGTGGGATCAGGTAAGTTCAACATATTTCTATTTCTGAGTTCATTGACTTTTTTCAGGACGGCCACGAGAGAATGGAGCGCCTCTACACAACGGGTCGTGGGTTAGAGGTAGGAGGAAATTTAAAAAATTGAGAAATTTGGCCAAGTTTCGAAAAAGTAGGACGCGTCTAGAAAAGTGCAAACTCGCGGCCAAAAATATGAGAGAAAAAAAAGCGAGATGTTTGCGAGCTCGTCAATGTACCGCCAGTGTCTCACGTTTATCACGGCAGTTATAGTCTGTTCAGATTTATTCAAGTGCAATGACGTCATTGAAAAACGCTCTGCGGGTGGCTCGCTCTCTGATTGGTTTATCGCATCATTAGGGACGGAGCTTGAGCGACGACTTGACATTCAAAATCTGAACAGACTATATTCTTCGTGAAAAGACGCTAAAACGTGTTTCATTTCGAAATTCCCGTTTGCGTTCGAAACTTGGTTGGGGTCAATTAAGCAACGAAAAAAGTGTTGCTAGGACATTTTCCTAGTTCATAAACCCGGAAAGTGAAAAGTAAAGCTCGGCAAAAATTCGAATAAATAGAAAAACTAGCAATTTTTTAAAACTTATAAAATTTTTAAAGCACATGCAGATTTTCGCGCGGGTGTAAACACATAGTGCGCCGTCGGTGTTTACGAACTCATTTTTTAATACATTTTTGTACTAAAACGGATATTTCACGCCTTTTCTACTCAATTAAACCTAAAATTGCAACTGATCATGTTTTTCGTGGACGCTTCTTTTATTTTGAATTCTTCTCGAGCGAAACTTTATATTTTTCGAAGCGTTTCAGCTTCAAAAAAAATCATTTCAGTTTTTCCAAGCGAATTTTCTTGAACTTGCATCAAACTATCTTCCAATTATGGTTTATTTCATTACTTTTCCGCTGATAAACGTAGAATATTTTACAAGTGTTATTCTCATAAACGAATTCAAAAAGTTAGATAACGTGAAAAGATCTTATTTCGGTTTGGTTCAGCTGGGAATTTCGCGAAGTCGTCTGAACCTATGGACTTTTAGGGTAGTCTGCAGCAATTGGCGCGATTGAAAAGCTTCGGATTGCCTTAGATGCTGGATTATGCATTATGAACCATAGTTTGAGTTATTTCAGTCTGTTATTTGCATCGGAATAAAAATTCGAAAAATTCATAGTCTGCTTTTTACCTTTTTCATTCATTGGTTATTCAATCTTTTGAATTCAGAAGTGATGGCGAGATGGCGACAACGGGAACTTCAGCGAGTGAAACTCGAAAGGAAGATCTATCGGTTTAATAACAAAGGTTTTTTCCAATGTACAAGGTTGTCAATTTCCAGCCCTTCTCGCATTTTTGAAGAAGTTCGACGAGCTGACCTTTTGATTCGCGTCCAGAAGCTGTCAAACTAACTCAACGTCTTTCTCTTTTTTCTCTGATTTTGGTCACCTCGATTTTTTTCAACTCTCCTCTGCTCGTATAAAGGACGCAAGTACTAAAAAGCGAAAAAAAAAAATCATATTTGATTATTTGTTGAAATTTTTGTTTTTGTTTTTATTTTTGGACCTGTTTTTCAGATTTTCTCGACTTTCCATGCGATCAGGCTTCCGATCCATTTCTAAGCCCGGCCCAAAAAGCTCAAGTTTTCTTTATTTCGAATATCGAGGTTTTTTTTTTACAATAAAAGTCATTTTTTTGGTTTTGTTTGCTTATAGTTTCGCGGTAACTATGATTTAACAAGTCAAAATATTATAGGGTGGCAGGAAAGAAATGCGGGTTTTAATGTTATTTTATTTTATCGTAATAACAAGGTTATCCCAAATAAATCCGAAATGTAATTTCCATCTGTATTAACACCTTGTCAGCAACGCTCACGCAGAGAATGGATACTCTCTCTGAAAACTGGGCCGCATACGAGTCAAAGAAGTTGCACGCCCAAAAGTGGACTTCATTGGATTTTTTGAATTTTTTTTTGGGGTGTGACTCCATGATTCGGACGGATGATGAATGCGAAGAGCCATGTCTGAGCTTTGTAGCGAGAAAAGCAGAACTGTTTAAAACAAAAAAAAAAAATGAAAAAACTGTTTATTGCATCTTCAATGTAAGATTACATGTGCAATCGACTTTCATTGGTTTGACTGTGTTCAAACGGCGGCAGGAGCTGTGGCTTAGGCAGAGAAGTTGAGAATTTCGCTCGTAGAACATCAGGTACAAGAGAGGTCGTAGGAAGAAGTACGGTGCCGGCTTTCCAAAGGCCGATGGCAGAGCTTGAGCCTTTTCGCTGCATGCAGCTCCCAGTTTCATCTACCCCGGAGGGATAAAAGGCTTGGTCGACCTCGGGGGGACTCGAACCTACGACCTTGCGGAAGTTAGAAATGAGTTACGCCAGCTTTTTTGGAAATTTTATGATAAAAAAAAACGAATCTCATATTTTATGTAGGAAAATTGAGCAGAAAAAAAAAAGAAATTTTTGTTAGTTTTTTTCAGCAAGATCTGGTGTTTCATAAGAAAACATATATAATACTATTTTAGGAGATTCGCGAATTTCAAAATAACCGTCAGAATGGGAAAAGATAACTTAATTTTGGAGGGCCAAAGATAACTACGAATTCCGCGGAAATTACGTTCAACAAGGCAATAATTCATACTAGCGGTTTTTGAACGTTAAAAATATTCATCCGTAGAATATTCAAGAAAAAG